AACCATATTCTAGCGCCATAATAATATTCGTCAAAATACAAATGCCCGACGCAATAGCCGGCCAGCAATTGATAAATTTGCAAAGAAACCTTCCTCCCCACCAGTGCCCGCTTATCAAAATCGTTATCTCTGACCTTGGGGTCATGACTTTTTCGGAGGAGAAAAACTCGCGGTCAGGTATTTTACGAAATCGATGACCCAAGAGTGAAGGCATTGCGGCGACGAGGTAGAGCAGCTGGGCGACGGAGTTTATTGATGTTAAAAGGGTGGTAGCATTCCAAGGATTACGCTAGAATAGAAACGTGACTAAGGGGTTTTCTGAGGATTTTACATAGTGACACCCTTATTTTCTTTTTGCAAAAAGAAAGTTGAAGAACTTCCTTAATTTGAAGCTGAGAGAATAAGGGTGTCACTTTGTTATTTAATAAATTTGAAGAAAATCCCGATTTATGATGACTACACCCTTAATTTACCCCCTTTTCACATTTTATATAGTGACCCCCTTATTTTCTTTTTGCAAAAAGAAAGTTGAAGACCTACCTTAATTTGTAGTTGAGAGAATAAGGGTGTTACTAAGGGTGTTAAATTCAAAGAAAAATCGCGATTTATGATGACTACACCCTTAATTCAAAATAACCCCCTTTTCAAATTAAATTTTTAACATTTGCGACATTTCATCAAGGCCTCTTTTTGCGTGCAAAATGCGTTTTCATTTGCATCACTTATTTGAGGCGTTAAAACACTGCGCTGTGCGCATATTGAAATGTTGGCTTATTTAAATCTGGGGTTTAACTGAATCGCTATTGCTCGTTTTGGCGCGCCGACAATATCGTCAGATTTCTCGGTCTTTCGATACAATGAAAGCCCGTGCATTCGCGCTTGATTGAATAAGTTTCGTAAAAGAGGCGTAATTTACGATGATAGATCTCCTAAGTCCTGGCCTCGGTCATTACGCGCAGTATCAGTAGAAAGTTACATCAAATTTTAAATTTGATTCTTCGCTGCTTTTTCGGTAAAATATTTTAATCAAAAGTTGAAAAGGGTTTTTTCAGAAAATCAAGGGTGTCATCAGAATATTTTATTCATCATTGTCAAAAAAGACCAAAAATGGTTCAAAAATCTGCCAAAACCTTCTGTTTTTTTTTGAAGGAAATTCTTGTAAAAAGACCTTTCCGCATCAAAAACACTCGCTTGAAAAAAGTTTGACATACCCTCAGGGCGAACAATAGAATAAGATGAAGAACTGCTCCGAGTATTGATGAAATGCCAATTCCAATTGCTACCAGCAGATCTTTTAATGGCTTTATTTATATACCGCGTAGAGCCTTAATTTCCAATAAAACCCACGTCCCTGAGAGTTCAAATTCTGCCTCGGCCATTTTCTTAATCTTCCTTGATTTTTCTCTCAGAAAAAAATAATAAAAAAGTATTTCTTTGAATATAAAAAATGTGTATTTTAACATGTCCTCAGGCGAAATCCTTAATTTTACTCTCGCGCGCCATCTCTTTTCGTCTTTTTCTCCTTTTTTCTCGGTTTTTACGATATTCGATTTCGATGCAACATTTTAGAATTTTTATAAACAAAATTGGATGATCGTTTATTTTTCATTAACGCATAATTTCTTTCCCGTTACTCGAAATTTAACCACTTTCGTTGAAACGAGAGTCTAAGTGACGTGCCTAGCTAGTGTGTTTATGCATGCAAGTAGAACATGCAAGCACACGTGAGCACGGACAGGGGAGGACATTTGAGATAATGTTGAATGTCCAGGGCAGAAAATGAAACAATAAACAGCCGCTCAGTGAGACAACAGAACTTCTCCAAAATCAAGACAGCTTGTTGATTTTTAGAAATTCTTTGTCAAGTTTCACTTAAAGTTTTCAACACTACCTTTTTATCCATAATCAAGTTTAAAGTGCCCTTGTTTGTAAGTAAGGCTACGTGGCCTTATCTAAATAGGCTCACTACAAGTATTTTTCAAGTAAATAAGATTTTAACAGATCTGGATGAGATCGGATATAATCATTAAAAAGTCCTCCAGGAGGACCCCTTTTGCTGGAAGAAGGAAAGTCACTGGAAGACTTTTGAAAACACTAATTTTCGAATAAATATTTCAGAGCAAAGTTAATGCCCTTAAAATTTTTTCTTGCTGCTTATATCTTAAAGGAGTGGCTTACGAAAAGTCCTTTTACTCAGGATCTTTGCTTAGTCAAGGCGCACGTTGTTTCGCTGAAAAAACGCAAGAAAGATGATGCAATCAACAGTTAATTTTATGAGAACGAAAAAGCACAGTGGCAATCACATTCTCACGTGACAGCTTCTTCTTCTCCACCCTTTTCTGCTATCTTTCAAATTTTCGATTTTTTTATTCAAAATACTGGTTCAATTCGGCAGATAAAAAAGGAGGGGAAGGAATAAGACCGGATCTAGCGGATCTGCTTATAAATCGCTTATAAATCGAGCTCGGGGATCCGGCTTTTAGAAAAGCGTCTAAACAAGTTTGAAAGCTCATCGATTTTAGACCCCTTCCAACAGTTTTCAAGCACAGTGAAGTAAAAGTTTGATAATCAGATTTTAGAGTTTATTAAAAGCCAAAGCCTCGGTATTTGATTTAGCCGAGTCTCGTCGAAACAAAAAATTGCACAGTGAAAAACAGTGAATTAGAAAAAAAACGAGTCACAGAGTTCAGAGGGATTTTTCAATTTCTACAGGGAAATAACAGTATATTGCTTCAACTCTGGCGAACTCAATTTGCAGACAATTGATCATTTTCTTTAGTTGCACTCGCTTAACTTTTGGAAATTAATGAGTGCTTTTTCGAAGCTGTACAGTAATAAACCGGAGGTTGGCGATTAATCTGCAGAGGTTATGATTAACTGTTGGCTAATTGAGTTCACTGCAGTTGAAACAATTTACTGCTGTATTATCATTTTAATAACGGTTTATTTATGAAACCTTCTTTCATGTTTCGCGAGAAAGTGAGCGAAGCCGCAAATTGTTTCTTTACTTCGATGATGCCCTAGAAAACCTTAAGCAGTGATTCAATCTTGCGGAGAAATCACCTGCGGCTCAAGAAATTCACCTCGTGGCTGTGTTAAATTTCCCATTTAGATTCTCCAACCGCAAGGACATTCCCTCGAAAAACACACCATACTTGGAATTTTGAGATACCCTTTTGATGATGTGTAGGGGATGAAATCCTTAGCAAGATTTTAAGCGAATTTCTGCTAGGATTTATCAAGGTGACACCCTTAAATCTTCCAAAATGATATAAAGGGGCAGAGAAAAGGGTTCACAGCTCATTTTGGTAAATAAAAATAAGGGTTTCACTTCGTAAAATCTCAGAAAAAACATTGAATCAAAGATGACTCACCTGAGAAAATTCGCTTTAGCGAGGAACAACTACTGTCAATAAAATGCTCAATAAATGAATTTCGGTCAAGCGGTTCGTACATTTTTGAATTCCTAAGGGCGTCACCCTGAAATTAACAGATTTTACATCAATTTTGTGCATCCCTTAGACGATTTCTTCAATCGTACGTCATTTCAATTTGTAAACATGATTTTTAAGAGAGCACTTTGAGAAGCTGTTTCAATCAAGTTTTATACCCCGGAAAAATCTGGACGTTCACGGGAACAGAAAATGACTTGATCATTATGCTTTGCTTATAAACTAGAGACTTGTTAGCTTCGTCAGAGGCACTTGGCGCGACAAAGTGTTCCGTTTAGAAAAACTCTCGAGGAAGCTTGATAAGTCGATAACATTACATTGTACATTGTTGCCGCTGGAAAGAAGAAAAAGCTCACACAATTCCCTGCATCGAAATAATTTGCTACGCCCGGATTCTCGGAAGCGACAATTTACGATTTCAATTTCTAAAATCGCTCAACGAATACAAATTCCAGCAATTTTTCAAGCTTTTTGACAGCAAAAAAGCAGATATTGTAATTTATAAATAATAAGTCTCAAGGTTTGTTTATTACAGGCTGCTATCTACAGCAATACTCCTATCATCGAATGCTCATATAACTGAAATCGTGAATCATTTTAAAATAATGAAGTTTTGAGGCAGAAGTGGATTCTTGAATAGTGATACTCAGCATAAACTTTGGAAGCGAACAACTCTTGATATTAGGGTTTCATTTCATTCTCGTGAAACTGAGGTTTGTGTTCATATTTATGCCAGGGGATTTATCAACAGCTGTTTTTAACATGTGGCCTACAGCTTTGAGGACACAAGTTGATTTTTATCAAAATCTAAGCCTTTTATTGAAAAGCTGCATTTCGAAAAAACACCTGAAAGCCTTTTCCTAGTAGGAAAACAGAAAAATGGATCGGACTTGAAATTTTATAGGAAAAAATGCTAACAATTTTCGTCTCAAAAATAAAAAGAGAAACGTGTGCAAAACTCCTTATGTATATTTTCCCTTCATTCTTGCTGGGCAATTCTTATCAGTGTGCCACTTTGGGGTCCTTCTACGCGAGCCACTTTTTCCTAGATAATCCGTCATTGGAGTTACGTGATTGTGGCGGGCACTCCAATGGCCGAACACCTGCTCGGCTCACTCACGTGACACTTAGCGATTCCAGAGTAACGTTTTCTTTATCGCAGTTGGTAGAAAAGGCCGGTTGCGGCTTTGATGACGGCCCAAGTTGGAAATTACCGAAATCGCGCTCGTTGAAAATTAGAAACGCACTTCTCAAAAAAACCAAAATCAGACCTCAGCTTTTTTCCTCTGTAGGAAGAAGTCTTTTCCTACAAGAGTTCAAAGAACTGGCAGCTGCTTCCGAAGCCACTATACAGTCAATACAAGCTGAAAATCGCTATTATTATCGAAAGCCGCAATAATAAAAATCTTTTAGTGCCAGGAAGTTACTGTACTTCCTGTCAGTGCACCAGGGAAACTGCTGTTCTACCGGAAAACTATTGTCTTTTGAAGGATAAATTCTCACTCCGACCGATCAAAAATCAAAATTTTTTAAATTCAAGTTTTGAAAATGAAAAACGTTGACAACCAGAAAACGTAAGAATAAGTTATTCTGAATAACCAATCATCTTTAAGATTAAATCACTTGGTTTAGGTTTGAAGAAATCGCCCAAAATGTGTTGGACAATTTCAACGGAGACGAGTCAAGATACACCTATCTGACTCCATCAGAATGTCGCGAACTTCAAAGTAAGTTTTCTTCCGTTATGAGAATTTACAAAGTCATCGTTTTATAGACTTCATCGATGACGACTGGCAAATAAAACGAGAATGCTCGAAAAACCCGGTCGCCTTCGCCGATTACATGGAAGACTGGGCTTCCACTGAGTTTCCCACTTGCAATTTGGTAGAGAATAGCAATGACGAGTGGATATTTTTTAGAAATTCTGCCGAGGAGGATATCCAGGGGCACCGGACGCTGCTTCAGCGAATCATCTTGTCAGCAGCATTTTCTTCATTTTGATGGCTCTTTTCATCATGAAATAAATACAATAACTGTCTCCCAGAAGTTGTTAGTTACAGTGTCTCTCCAAGGCAAGATGATTTCAAAAAAATTTTCGCGGGCCCGGAAATCGTCAAAAAAATTCTTGTCTAGTTTTGTAGAGCTCGTCGAGAGGAGTCGAATGATGTATCAAACTCCTGATAGTTTTAAGATTTTCCGCCAAAAAAGTGATAAGAAGGTGTCTTATCAAAGATTTTCTGACCAGCGCCGTTTTTGTTCTAGAAAAGCTGAGGTCATGCTTGACCCCGGAAAATGATCCTCATGACCTGTTCTATTACAGCAAAAATTTCAGCCCGTCATCATACCCAGCCGAGTTTATCGTTAAATTTCATTTTCCAAGGAGAATGGGACTGGAAATGGGCCAGAAATTAGGAACGTGCAGCGACAACAAAATGCACTATTTTTTGATTTTTCGCTGATAAGGACAGCAGGATACGTATGCATGAGCTGAAATTTTTGCTGTAATAGAACAGATCATGAGGATCATTTTCCGGGGTCAAGCATGACCTCAGCTTTTCTAGAACAAAAACGGCGCTGGTCAGAAAATCTTTGATAAGACACCTTCTTATCACTTTTTGGCGGTAAATCTTAAAACTATCAGGAGTTTGATACATCATTCGACTCCTCTCGACGAGCTCTACAAAACTAGACAAGAAGTTTTTTGACGATTTCCGGGCCCGCGAAATTTTTTTTGAAATCATCCAACAATGTTTCCAAAAACGGAAGTCTATTGAAAAATATCAATTGCATTTCCATAAAATGCGAACTGTTCTCAAAGCAGGTCAGAACAAAAAAGATGAAGAACGCAGATCGAGTCAAAACGCAAGAAAAAAAAGAGTCAGGTTTTTCATTTTCAATTTCAATTTAGATTTGAAGAAATTGCCAAAAAGCAGCCGCAAAATTTCCAGAAAAAGATCCCAAGCAATACATTTTAACTGAGGAGGAATGCGACGAGGCTCAAGGTAGATTTTTGAACAGTTTTTTTGACTAAATATTGAAAGATTTCATCGATAATGATGATTATTTTGCCGAGATTTGCGACACCTACTCGGAATACGAGAGTTTCGCTGACTACGCGGAAGACTACATGGACGGCCTTTTCCCTACTTGCGATATTGTAAGTCGATTTGGAGCAAAAAATAGAGGATGTTGTGTTTTTTAGACTTATTGCTCTGGAGCCGAGGCGACCAAACTCGTCAGGAGCAGCATTTTCTTCTTTTTGATGATGTTTTTCTTGATGAAATAAAAACTGATCTTATGAAGCAAAAACGTGTCAATTGACAATTGTCGCCCAAAACCATTATTTGGGCAGCGCGTTACGAAATTAATTCCAAAAAGAATGTTCCTAGTGGGCGGCTATTTAACCCATTCCAGCGCGTCATTAGCTCCCGCAGCAGCGCATAGCCGATCTTTCTCGCTGAGTTGGACAGGCCGGATGCGAATCAGTTGAGCACATTTTCGTTTCGAAAGGGAGGTTATTAGGGAATTCTAGTGGTTGGGGTGAAGATGTCGGAAAACGTCATAAAAACGATCCCGGCCTTGACTTTTAGTAACTCAGTTTTTTGCTTTGGAAAATTTCTGAAGAAAAGAAATTTTCGTGAAACTGAAACTGAATCAGCCATAATCGAGGATCATTTGTGTTATTGTAAAGCTGGATCCAACTCACGATAATGACGTCGTTTCTCTTCTCGCCTTGGTTTATAATGATTTGGTGAGTTCGTTCTTGTGATCGTGTTTGTTTCCATCAAACTTCGGGGCCAGATCACTTTTCAGAAACTAGTGATTTTTGAATTAAACAAGGCCGTTACGGCAGAAATGATGATCGAAAAACGGGCTTGATTTGCAGGTATCTTTTTAAAATTAATTGCGCGATAACACTTCCGATTTGGATAAAAGGCCTGTTAGTGGTTGGTGGAACGCGTGGAGTCAGCGCAAGGTGGGTAGATGTGTCCCTAACCACATCCTCTCCGAATCAAGGATGGTTACTGAGATTAGCGGAATGATTATATGAGTCATCAGTTTTTTCAAATTATGGAGGAAACAGAAGCTCTTATAGTTAGTAAGTGCAGCTTTACTATTAAGTAAGTAGAATGTAACCAAGCCTATGTTGTCACTCTTCCTTGATTTCACTACTCAGATATCTCTTTTGTTCTGCAGCAAAACTTCTGCTGAAAAGCCTTTTGACTTGATGAGTTTTGTTTATTTTCAGAATTTCTATTTTTCAAAATATACAGTTGTTAAAATTCATATGCTGTTTTTTCTTGTAAGCGGCTGGCTACCAGAAGCTGACTGTACAATTCTCTTAATTTCGTGAGTTTCTTCTGCTCAAAATTAGCTCCGGCTCTCCTTCATCTAAAAAATGATTTTTCTCTTCCTTGATTTCACCAAAAAATAAAACCTGCTTTGGGCAGAATTCCGCCAGAAATAGAATCATCCATCGCGCTCGAAAAATCGGCCGGATCCACAACGCCATTGTCGTTTCTGCTTTCGTCGCCGAAGGCGCCATCGTCGTCGCCGGAGTCCATGTCTTCTCCCGGCGCTGGGTTCACGGGAACAGTGGCCGGTCCCTTCGGCGGCGCTTTGATCTTAAAATAGCTCGATTAGTTGACATGTTTTGTGGCCATTTGATGGTTATGCTGATTTACGGCCGCGCTGCTTTAATAACGACCATTACTTTTCATCGTCGCCAATTAAATTTATTTGATCATTTTTTTTTGCAAATTTCTTTCTATTTTTGGCCCAGACTTACATTGCTCGGATACCGCATCGCGCAATCAGAAGGATTACAAACTCCTTGTGGTCCAACAACGCCTTGCATTCCCGGCGGCCCAGGAGGACCTCTTGGTCCAGGTAAGCCACTAGCTCCTCGTTGGCCGTCTCTTCCGAATCCAGGAGGACCGCGTTCGCCAGCAGGACCAGGAATACCAGGGTCGCCAGGTAGTCCGTGCCCAACTTGACCGCGATCGCCCTTTTCGCCTCTTGAACCAGGGTTTCCATCGTTGCCAGGCGGTCCGGGCATGCCAGGGTGTCCTCGTTCGCCAGGATCACCAGCGATGCCTTGAATTCCTTGAGGGCCAGGTCTGCCCGACAAACCAGGTCGACCAGGCTGGCCGGGAGGACCTCGTCGTTGGTTGAGAACGCGTCGGATTGCTCCGCCATTTCGCATTCGCTCATTTATCAGGCCCAAGCAAATATCCTTCACAAAGATGACTAACTCTATTTTAACGATTTTGAACTTACTCTGACGCGCTCGTCGTCCATGTCTTTTCCCGGCGGTCCCATCGGGCCAATTGCTCCTGGAGGACCTCTTTGTCCGATCGGCCCGCGCGGGCCTTCGATTCCACGACCACCCATTGGTCCTCGCATTCCAGGCGGACCCATCGGCCCTTGTCCACCGGGCTCACCTCTCCCTCCGGGCTAAATGAAATTCAAAAACCCACATTATCTTTGCGATTCTTACATTTCCATTTTCACCGGGATATCCTTGAATTCCTCTTTCTCCTTTTCCACCTGGTGGACCTTCAGGACCGGGCGGGCCAGGCTTTCCATCTTAAAATTTTTTAATTCTAGAATATGCAACGACCAATTCTCTAGATTTCAAAACGAACCTGCGCCTTTTTCTCCAGGAACGCCAGAATGGCCCTTGTTTCCCTGAACACCAGGCAGACCAGGAGGCCCGGGTGGACCTGGATCGCCAGGCTCTCCTCTTGCGCCAGGAGAGCCAGTAACTCCTTGTGGACCAACATCGCCTTGCGGTCCGGCAGGTCCTTCCGGTCCAACCAATCCGGGATCACCTCGAACACCAACAGGTCCTTGCGGTCCGATAGGACCTGCGGGTCCAGCTGGTCCTCGATCACCAGGAGGCCCCTTGTTGTAATTTAAATAAAATTTTACTTTTAGTGATTTCTTACCATCGGACCAGGAGCTCCCATGTCGCCATTATGCCCCGGCGGACCTTTATCGCCCTTCAAACCATCTTTTCCTTGAATTCCTTTTCGCCAACGGCTCCTTTTTCTCCGGGAGCGCCGGCATCGCCAATGTCTCCTTTGAATCCCTTTTCTCCAGCTTCTCCTTGTGGTCCGGGTGGGCCATCAAGTCCTCTTGGTCCGACTTTCCCAGACGGTCCTTCTGGCCCTGGCGGTCCGGCAAAGCCCATCGGTCCCATTAATCCGGGTTCTCCAGGAACACCTTGCTCGCCCATCGGCCCGGGAACTCCTTGATCACCAGTGTGTCCTCTTCTGCCTGTATTTCCTTTTTCTCCGGGTTCTCCAGGGTTTCCGGGAGGACCCATTAAGCCTTGCTCTCCATTCGGCCCCGGTTCGCCAGGTAATCCTAAAAATTGATGACTCCGCGGATTCGATATTTTCAAGGACGATTTTGGTCACTTAATGTTTCCGCTAGTACCTTGAAGTCCAGGAGGCCCTCGCTTGCCTTCCTGTCCCATCGGCCCTCGATCGCCTTGGTGACCTTTTGCCCCTGGCATTCCTCCTCCAACCGCTCCTGCAGGGCTGCCACTTCCTGGATCGCCCTTTTCTCCCTTTTCGCCGACAAGTTCATCTTTCATTTTCTCCTTGAGAGTCGTCACAATCGATTCATAAAACTGCGGATCTTTCAGCAATTCCGCGATTTCCTCTGCATTGTTTTTCGATTTCCCAGCAGCATTGGCACTGTCCGATGTAGGAGTAGCTATTTTTGGAGTGAATTTCAAGCGATAACATATATTTCCATCATACTTGTTGTCGTTGTGACTTTTTCCGTCGTCAAAGTCGTTGTTTTTGGAGCATGAGTCGTTGTTGTTGTCGGTTTTGCTGGTGCAGTCGACGAAGAATCTACATAGGTTTCGATAAACTACAGTAAGAATGAAGCTGAGAATCAGAAACGGTGCCTGAACTTGAGCTGGGAGGTTCTGTCGTTGCTGGAACAAATTGAGTGCTAGAAGATTGCTCTGTTGTCGTGGTGGTGGTGGTGGTGGTCGTCGTCGTCGTGGTTGTAGAAGTCGTTGTTGTAGTTGTTGTAGTTGGCTTCTTTGTTGTTGTAGTAGTAGTGGTAGTCGGAGGGACTGTGGGACTTAGAGGTTTGAGCGTTTCCGGTCTTGAAACATAATTTATCGATTTCAATTAATAAATTGACTATTTACTTGGCTGTGGGTGTTTTGATGATGATGGGAGACCATTCTCCGTCGTCGTCGCGCAACTGCCGTCTTTTGAGCTGGTTGATTTAAACTAAGCTTGACAGAAAAGTGACATTTTGAAAGAAGACAAAAAGCTACTTCGTAATTCAAAGACAACCGCCAAGGTTATTTTTAGAAAACGGAGGTTTCAGCTTGTCAGAATTCAAAACAGCTCCGTAAATCGAAATCAACAAGGATTTTTCAAGACACAATTTTCACAGGACACGCGCTTATGCTCTCAACCGGGTCCTAATAGAATTTTCTTGCTCGAGTTTCTTGGCTTTCTTTCTGTTTTCTCTTTCTAGCGCTCGGCGCTTCTTTTCATCTGCTCTTTCCGCTCTTCGGTTCGCCTTCAATAATCTTCGTTTGAGGCGATTTTCTTCGATTCTCTGTTTTCGGCGGGAAAGGGCAGCAGCTTCTTCGAATCCTGCGAAAATTAGCAAAGCTTATTTTTTTGTCCAAAAGCTGTAAAACAGCAAAAAGAAGCTTTTGAACAAATTTCCTAGAAGCAGGATCCGGCGCATTTCGCGATTTCTCTATTTCAAAAATGCCTCTGTAACTGTTTTGTGTTTTTCTAGCGGGTAAAGTTCAGCATCATGAAAAACGTGTCGAATCTGGCAATTTCAGACAGGTTCGCTTTAACACTCAGCAGTGGCTGGTTTTATGTTTTGACATTAACTCCTGGCCCGTGGCGACCGTCACCGAGAGCGGAAGATAAAGGATATATGCGCTTTTACGGATTTTTAAAACTCGAGCCGCACTTTTTTACGGCACTGACCTTATAAGTTCTCAGCCGGATCAAAACCAGCTTTTCACGAATTATTAGGAATGTCACTTGCGAACTTCAATGAGTCATTTTTCAGAATTTTTTTTTACTTGAATTGAAATCAAGGAAGAAAACCGACCCGGTTTTTTAATAAAAAAACTTTCTGAATAACTTAACTTTCAATTAAAACTTGAAGCAAGGTAATGATTGAACTGAATATTTCCGGTAATAAATTACGACCGTCTGATTGACTGGAATCAGACTGGATTTTGTGTATTTTCCAGAATGGTTTTATGATCTTCGAAGCTGGCGCTGAGTTGCTCTTGTGGGAAATGTTTAGGAAATAAATGACAATAAAACCGGACTTGGAAAATGCTTTTGGGGCCATAATTACGCTTTATCGGAAGAGCATCTTTTCTTCTTTCTTTGATTCAAATCTACAAATAGAGCTCAAGACTAAATTAACTGAACGAAAATAACAGACGATTTTTCAAATTTTATCTATTTTATTTTTTCAAACAGTTTTTATTGAATATTTATATTCATTATTTCGCAGCCAAATTTCGCGACCTTATTTCTAAAGGAAAAGAAACATTTCATTTTTTCTGCATGGCTTTATATAAAAATCAAGCGTTCATTGCCGTTCTCATTTTGTAAAAAAATTGACTGCTGGAAGCTTCTTTTCTTCAAGAAAAAAAAGCTCGTATTTGCTCAAGAAAAATGTTGACTTTATTGAGCTCCTGCCAAGTTCGCATTTTTCTATCTCTTCACACAAATTATCGAATTATTCCAAAACGCGATTAAGATATTTCGATCTTGTCCTTGGCGTTGTTTATTTACAGAAAATTACAGTAATCCAGCGTGAAAAAACAGCAGAATGAAACATTTTCTCAGAGTACCATCAGCACTTTCATCTCGGCTGGGTGATGTTTATCGTGGTGCCGTTTCAACTTCAGCTTCGATTTGAACTTCTTTTGGCAGTGTCTGCAGCTCACGGAGGTTCGGAGAGGCGTTCCCAGGGACTTGAGGTGTTCTTCTTGATGTCGCGAGTAGGCTTGGTCGGTGGCGAAGGTGCTCGGGCAAATGGGGCACTGGAGCGGCTGATCCAGGTCGACGGAGAGGTCGATCGAGGCCAAGTGATGCGTCAAACGGAAAGGAGGAACGTTCGTCGGCGTCTGGTCCAGGTCTTGGTCGAACTCGTTGGGCCAGAAGATGTCGGACTCGCTCTCCGTTTCTGAATCTTGAATCGAGCAGGGCGGCGCGGGAATCTTCGCTTCCGGCGACGAAGACAGATCCAAAGACGAAAAATGCCCGCTTCGATCGGCGTAAACAGGCGAAATGACTCCACTGGGAACCGGTTTCAAAGTCTTCTTCGAAGTCGGGAAATGGGAGCTCTTCATCGTTCCGTAGCCACGTGACTCGTTGCTCGTGCAGAAGCTCTGATACTGCTCTCGAAGAGATTTTCTTTTGGGCGTCGAGGCGAGGAACTCTGGTTTGGCTATTTGGGAGATTTCGCTACTGACGTTCATTTTTTTCTCTTGCTCGTTTTTTTCTTTATGGGAATGGGTTTTTGACAATTCTAGTTTTCTGTGTTTATGATTCCGGGAAGCGGAGCGAGAGGCCTATATAACTGTGCTGCGCCATCCGGCGAGGATCGAATCAGACGATCGAAAATCTTGATTTTGAGCAGCTGGAATAAGCAATTGCCAATTGGGAATCTCGCTGCTCCTAATTGTTTGCCCAGCCGCGGCTGATGAGAGCCAACTGGCCTACTTTCCAGCTTCAGCTTTGGATTTCGCCTCTATCGCTTTTGTATACAGATCAGTTTGGGCGATAAGTAATGCATACTCCTAATTTGAAATTTGGTTACAGCGAAAAAATCAAAGGATCAAAGAGAGTCGACTGAAATCAAGAATAAATAATTATGCGCAAATGAGGTCGAAAAGTCGCGTTTATTTCAAAGGAAATTTCGCGGAACCGAAATTCGGAGTCGTAAATTTACGTGGACATTTATTCCGAGCTGCTTTGAAGAGGTTTTCTTCTTTGATTTCTCGAGAAATGATCAAAAGGACAAAAAATGACTCAATAATCTGCTTCTTGATTTGTAAAAACTGTATTTTATACAGGCATCAATACAGACATCAATATATAGAACGGATTAGATGGATCTATTTATTAACTCTTATATATTGTTGAACTTAAGGGAGTAGAGCCTAGTTTTCAAAAGAATTAGGCGTTGACGACGCAGGAAGCATAGTTGACGTCGTTGTTGACGGCTTCGGCGTAAGCGTTGGCGTTGTTTTCGAATCCGATTCTGGCTTTTTCGAAGCACATTTCGATGTCTTTGCCTTGCCAGTCGATGGTGTCGATACCGTGGATTTGGACGAAGACGATGTCGACCCAGGTAGATTTACCGGCGCCCCAGACGGCAGCGTCGGAACCTCGAGCGCTAGAATTAAAATTTGGAAAAAGGATAAAAAAAGAATGGACTCACATAAATTGGAGAGTCTTCTTGGAGAAGTTTCCGTTCTCTTTGTAGGCGGTCTGGCCAGAGTAAGCGTAGACATGTCGGTTGTCGGTGAAATCAATTCGAAGGCGTCCATCATCGATGGCTTCGATGAAATCGCTGCCGCAGAAGAACTGGCCAAAGGTCAAGAAACCGAGGTAGTCGCTCTTGTGCAGATTCCACTGCTTGATCAAGTATTTGATCTAAAAATGGAGGGTTGGAGGGAGGAGCGGAGACCGTGGACTTACAGAGGCAGATCGGGGAGAGCCAAGACCGAAGGGATACTTGGAGGCTGGGTTGTAAATACCCGGTGTTTTCTGCTGGAAGTTATTGGTGCTCATGTCGAGGGTCAGAGGAGAGCAGTCGACGGTTGGGCCCTCGGTGGTTGGTGGCTCGGTGGAAGGCTCTGTGGTTGTGGTGGTGGTGGTGGTAGTAGTGGTAGTGGTGGTAGTGGCTGAAAGGTGTTACGATCCATAATTGGCTCTATTTGAATTCACGCTTGTGAAAAAATTATAAAAAATAAAAAACAACACGCTGGGTCCCGCTGAAAAGTCGGCACCTAGCGCGCCGCTCTATCAGAACAGAACAAAAATATCTTATGAAGCTGGCTAGCCAAAAAACGTCGTTTTTATAAAGCCGGCCTTATCTCCGTATTCCTCCCGTGACATTCTCGGCGCGAGAGGAAATTCGACGAAAATTCGTTGTTTGGAATAATTTTTGATTAGATTACGGCGATGGATAACCAGGAAGCGACGGAATTTCCTAATAAACCGCGTTGCTTCGGCTTTATCACTGTTTTTCATGAAAAATAAATAATTGAAAATGAAGGTAAAAATACATATAAGGGGAGTCTGAGTCAGAAAAAAGATTGCATGTTGACCGAATTCGCAAGATCCTTTGCAAACATTGACAAAGTTTACAAGCGTTATTATGAACTCTCGTCTCGTTCTTGAATTTTCACCGTTTTAATTATTTTTTCAATGGCGAATTCGACGCTAGAGAACAGTCTCTGGGACCAAGCAGTCGGTTTACGAGCGATTTTCTATCTTTTACCGCCGTCAGAACATGGTTAGGATCCTAAGACGAGTTTTGTTGATGAGAATTTAAAGAGGATGATGTCGAAAAAGTCCCTGATTATATTGGCAAAGCAATACCCTGGTTTTATGCGATGATTTTGCTCGATTGGGTTGTGGGCTGGTGGAGAAATAAGCTTAGTTTTGAGGTCAGAAAAGAGACGATTATTTAGTTACATTTGTATAAATTTCTAGTCTCGAGATGCGATCGGGTCGTTGACAGCAGGATCCATGTCTCAAATGACCAAATTACTTGGCGAAGGAGGACTTGAAATGGCGATTTATACAGCGCTCTACAACTATGGACATTTTCTGGACTTGGAAAATCGCTCCTGGACATTTTGGTTGATCGGCTTCTTTGGCTACGATTTTGGATACTATCTCACCCATCGATTCGGTAAAATATTCATCGTTTTTCTTTTCATCATTTGAATTCTTCAGGTCACGAGATCAACTTTCTTTGGGCAGCGCACCAAGTCCACCATTCCTCGGAGTACTACAACATGGCCACGGCGCTAAGACAAAGTGCGCTGCACAAGTATACTTCCTTTATCGTCTACCTTCCTTTAGACCTGTTTTTTCCTTGAATCAATAATCACTTAGAAAATCCTTGAAAAACCGGAGAAAGCAACAATTGGACTCCCTCCACCAGTTTTTCTAGCCCATCGAGGGTGCAACCTTCTTTATCAATTCTGGATCCACACTGAGCAAATCAAACACTTTCCCTGGATCATTGAGATTATTTTCAACACACCAAGCCATCACCGAGTCCATCACGGCCGCAACCCGTACTGCATCGATAAAAACTACGCCGCAGTTCTGATTATTTGGGATCGAATGCTCGGAACATTCGCGGCCGAGCGGGAAGAAGAACCGGTTGTTTATGGACTCGTCTCGCCGATTGAAACGTATGATCCGATAAAGATTCAGTGCAAATACTACAACGAGCTGTTTTGGTACTGTCTGTCGGGGAAGAATTCGTTCAGTCAGAAGATGCAGAAACTTTGGTACGGGCCTGGATGGAATATTGAAGAACAGAAGTATTATCCGATCCCGGAGGTGGCTAAAGACTCAAAGGTTGGGGAAAAATAAGCTTTCTGATTGGCTCAACAAAGCAATACTCGTCTTTGATTGGCGCTTCGTTTTAAACCGTTTTTCTAGCCATGGAACAGTCAAATCGACACGCCGATGCTCCTGTATGTCATCGCTCAATACAGTATCACCAACATCCTCTTCGTCACGGCGCTAGAATACGTCAGCTACTGCAACGCCGCTTACATTACTCTCTCCTTCTGGATCTACGGAAACCTCATGAATCCCAAAGAAGACAGAATGAGTCACATTTTCTTTGAATTTTGCCGCCTCGTGCTTGGGCTGGTCTACTTCAGCACTAGAATCAACGAAACACTTTTCGCAGCCATGTTTCGATGGAACCTGGTTTCTTGCTTTCTTCTGACTTTGTACTGTGTTCTTTGCCCTGGTCCAGAGTTCAAGAAAAAGCTCGAATAAAAGAAAAAAAAACGCGCTTTGGAAAAATATATATCGTTTATTAAATTTTGAACTGCATAAAAATGAAAATGTGAATTTTACAAAAATACTCGTGAGCAGACTGTTTGTATAAATATTTATAAAAAAGCAAAAAAAAAATTAGGTAGAACTATAAAAATAAACTTCGCTGACTCTGGAATTTGTAGAAAAAAGGAGGGAGAAAAATATAATTTAATAATTATTTTTACAAATTTTCGTATCTACAATTAAAAACAATATCAACAAAAAGTCCGGTAGAAAGCACCAGTTGAACCGTAGGAATCGGCCGAAACGAGAAAAAGGGATGAAAAAGAAGAGAAAAAGGGTTGAAGTCAGCGGTAGTCGAGCATTCCGCGCAGATCCGATTCTAGTTTTTCTTTTCTCGCTAGGTCGAATAGAGGATCGCCTATTGCATCGTACAGAACTGAATAATCAAATGCCAGCTTTCAAAATGACTCTAACTCGTTACCTTCTGCTAGTAATTTTGCTTGTTGTCGACAGCGATGATCTCGGATTACTTCCCACAGCGCAAATGGACCCCATCTACAATTATTCATCAGCTCTAGAATCGACGAAAAGGACTTACTTTTGTACAGTACTCATTTTACTAGATCCGAGTTTTTCCAATATTTCGGTGAACTTTGACGTTAGTTTTGGTCTTCCTGTGGCTGCGTTTTTGATTCGCTGGGCAAGAGGCTGCACTAAAGCAGCTGGATCTGCATTGTTGCACACTAAAACTCGTTTCAGAAGAGGAACGAAGCCTGTAGCTTACTGTCATCTAACAGCTTCGACGCAGCTTTGTTATGACCGCCAGCTCCAGCAGTGACTCGCTCCGCGACTGCGAGGAAAAGGTTTCGATAGGACACGTGATCTTCGCTGACGTAGTGGATTAGATCTGGTGCTATGTTCAGCGCTTCCTGAAGCGTTTGATAAATTCTAGTGAAATCAAGGGAAAAGTACCTGATAGCTATTTGGAGCGGCAGATTTGAGCATTTTGCAAACTAAGTCGGTCACGTGCTTCAGCTCATTTCCTAAGCTTCCACCAGCGCGAATTATATTCTGAAAAAAGTTATTTTAGCTGCCTAATTTAACATGGTAAACTAACCCTGACAGTATTGAGCGCTCGAACTTTCGTCTCGTGCGTTGTCCCACTGATTGCCGCCTTCAGATCGTCCTTGAGCGTATCATCGACTCTTGCTGGTCCAGATCTACTCGTAATTCGAAGAGGACTGCTATTCTGACGATCAGGGGGCAAACGAGTGTTCGACCGGCCGGAGAGTGTTCTCCGAGCTGATTGAGGCTTTTCGCCTATTCCTTTTGTTCGTACTTTGTGAGATTCTGAAAAGGGTTGAAATGACTGTCAAGGGCTGATGTTTACCTTCTAGTAATTTTGCAGTATTATTATTATTCAAATATTTGCCAGCAAGTCGCTCAAAATCTTCATGAACTTGCAAGAGCGCTACCATCCTCTTTCCCCAGTAGCGCACTTGGTCGGATTGATCGATCACTGCCGACATCATCATCGGATAGACTCGTTCCGTCGTGTCACGTGTCTCTGATAAGGCTCGACCCGGGCTCATTTTTTGGATGGTTTCGTAAGTGTATCTTGCCACCAGTGTTCGCACTGGAAAGAAAATTATTACTCATTTTTAGATGAAAAAAGCCATTTTCTACCTGCTGTATTTTTCGATTTTTGATGTTGAGCAAGTGCAGCGAGCATTTTTCCACCAAGACCATCAACAACCATCGCTTGAACTCCTTCCTCGAGACACCTTTCGATCTAAGAAACAAATATTATTTTTGAAGTCAACAAACAGTCACTCACCTTTTCCCTCAAAAAAGCATTCTCCTTGCCTGCCTCCGTCAACAGCGTTTTCATTGCTGATTCGAGTTGCGGCGCCACTGCTTTTTTCAAAACTCGGAAAAGATCTCGCATCGTTTCAGTCGCCAAGCCGGACACTTTTGACCGTAAATTACCGACATTTTTGATGACGAGTTGAGTCGTCTCGGAGACTTTCGGAAGGAGAATTTCTTGGTTGAAATGGACGAGAGATCTGATGATGGACAGAGCTTCGACGTGCTTGTTCCACTCGATTCCCGGGTCGCTCATGTAGGCCAGGGCCTTGTCGAATTCTTTGCCGGGCCTGCTCAAGGGGGTCACTTCGCCACCGGTGGAGCCGGTTCCAGAGCCAGAAGAGTTAATCCTTGGAGATTTTCCGAAAGAACCGGAACCGTTGAAGTCGGTTGAGCTGTTAAAATCAGGTCGATGATGAGGGATGGCATTCCGATGCTGAAGAACTGGTTCAGATTTCTTGCCAGTGATTCTTGGTGGCCGAGGAAGAGTGTTGCGAGAATCGAGGGAGAGATCTGACGGATTTTCGTCTGAATACGGCATCGGCAATCCGTAAGGGCGTTGGTGCAAGGAAGATTCGGAAACTGTTTCTCCTGGCTTTATCGGCCGGTTGTCCTGAATAATAAGAATCGAGATGGTAAAGATATCCTTACCAGCTCTTTTTGGAATTTGTCTGCATAGCCAACTCCCGCTATAGAACCGCCAAAGGAAGAGTTCAATTTCGCCTTCGATGTTTTCTTGGCGGGTTTGTATCTATTGCTGCCCGGATCTTTGTTTTCCGAAAAAAGTGATCTTGTGACGGAAGAGTTGTCCAGAGAGGTATTTGAGAGGGCTCTACCAACAGCTTCCAGCGGGCTAGAATCGCCGTTGGGGATTGGGGAGCGCTGAGCACCGCTTGGTGGCGTTCTTGGAAGATTATTCGACGGGGCGAAGCCGGCCAAAGAGCTCTAGAAAGAGGGTTTTGGGGGGAAGGGGGTTGGAAATTTACCTCTTGGGTGTTGGTTCTGGACAGTTTTTCTTGCTCTTCTATCCTGTTTCTCTTTCTTCTGTCCCTGGCTGAGCGGCGGATGTGAGAAATGCTACAGAAAAGCATAAGTTAAAATAAAAGAAAGTAGTTAATTAACAAAGGCCGAGGATAATTGATAAGTGAGTGAATTGCGGCGACATAGAAAGCAGAAAAAGTGCTAACCTTTCTCTACGGGCCAAATCATTGTCTGTGCCTGAATCAAGCTGAGCGAATGGTGAGCAGGACGAGATTAAAAACGGATGAGCAAAATTTTGAATTTGCTGTGCGGCTTTTTGGATTAAAAAAAGATGAGTTGAAAAGCTCGTGGAAAAGCGGGACAGAACATAATTCGGAAGTCGAATTATGAACTTGTGAATTGTGAGAGATTAAAATTTCTAGTGCGCGTTTTTTCTGTTTGACATGGAATTTAGTAGCTTTACCGCGCATCCATAAATGCAGCGCCATTTTCCTGATTTTCTGGAGTTCTCGGCAGCGAACTGCTTTGAGTTGAGGGAGACATTGGGGAGCGAGAATGGTGCGAGTTCGTGTTTTCTTTCCCACGGCTGGTGTAATCGGGGGAGGAGTCGCCCCCGCTGTAGTCCGATTTTGTGTGCGTTGGCGGGACGGAGGACGGCTTCGGACGAGAGAATGGACGCTCTGGGCTCACTGAAGAGGGGTTAGGGGGGGCTTATGGGGTTCGGGGATACCTGAACCAGGACTGTTCCCATCATAAGTTAACGAGCTGAAAAGATCATGCGCAGAGAAATTGTTCGGATCCGCCATCGGGCCGAGCTGGGCTTCTATTTCCGGCGACAACATCGAATTTTTCGTAACGACATTTACTCCCTTTTGCGACAAAGGAGTCAATTTTCGTGGAGAGTTTTCGCTCTCTCTAGGATCTAGCATTGTTGGCTAGAAAATTGTTTGGAGGAGTTGTGGTTGATGTCTTTACCTTGGCAGCATAAGATGAAGATAAATTAATGGTGTTTGAGTTGTATTCTCTGTATTGCTCGTTGCTTCGCGAAGGCTTGGCGCTTCTGGGCATGGAGGGTTTCCTCGTGGGTTTTAGCGTGTTTGAATCGACCTCGTTTGAAGATGGCCCTGCGGAAAGAAGAATTCAGTGATTAGTTTGCCCAACAGTTTGGCTACAAAAAGCTACGGGTTTTCTTGTTTGTTCGCTGTTTAAAACTAATGAGCAAATAATTACTGTGGTTGTAAATTGACGGAAGGTTACATACGTTTGTGCGGTAGATTATTCTTGAAGAACGACGCCGGCATAGAGGAAGAAAGTGAGCTATCATTTTGCATGGAGCTAGAACTACTCGCCGCCGAGAGTGCTGAATTTCCAGGTGAGTTCTTGATTATTTGTGACAAGGGGCACACGCCTGGGGCAAATAAAAATATGCACACATGCAAAAATGTCAATTGTTGGGTGCGAGAAAATTTTATTTTTACCGAGGATGTGTTTTTGCGGATTTTCTTTCCAACAAAGAAGCATTTTTTATTTGACTCCCAATTTTATTTGGTGAATACGATTTGTCTCTTTCTGTCAGTGGTGGCTGGAACTCTGCGCTACTGAATGTTGACCGTGGCAAAAACAAATCGCAAACTTTTTAACGCTTCTTTCAATATTCAATATTGACAATTCCGAATTGCGCCAATTTTGATAGTAGTGCGTGCCCCTGATTGAGATTTTTCTCGATTTCGTGATGTCAATTTTTACCTTGAAATTTTTGATAATTATTATTCTCTTTTTCTTTTCGTTCTTCTTCGCTCGTCATCCAGCCATTTTTCGGCCGAGTGTTTGGATCCTGAGAAACGGGCTCGAGTGTATTTGACCGGCGGAGAGGGAAATAGTTTGTGTGAACGGCAACTATTTACCTCCCTGCTGCAAAATTTTCTGCATTTTGACACTCAAGATTCTCTTCCTTGATTTTTTCTCGAGCCCGACCTGGTAAAAATCTTGTGGAAAATGCGACCTGGCTCGCCCAGCAGATCCTTTTCTCGGCCCAGTTAGGTTCAGATCTGTCGATTCCCGCACGTTTCTCGGCCTCTCTCCATAAACTAACAGCCCGAAAGAGTCGACTTCTGGCGGGTTTTTCCTCGCTATTCTTGCATAAATCTCGCCGGAAATGCTCTGCCCGTGGTTTCTTATATCATAAGAAGTGAGGACCTTCCGCAGCGGTTCCAGCTCCGATTCATGGAGGACTTGGAAGAGTTTTTGTATTGAGGAATTTGTAAATAAAGCAATGTTGGTTTTAGATTTGCTTGACAAGTTGTGTTGCAAGTTTGACGTAGATTCAGACGTTCTATCGTGTCACGCAGTCATCAAGTCATCTAGATTTTACATTTTCATACCGGAAGGACCCTTCAATCTTTGCTACTCGCCTGGGGTCAAATCAAACATTGCCCAATAAGAAAATCAAGATTCTCTCACCCTTAGGCCCTTTAGGCTTCCCCTCGGGCCAAGGTAAACTTCAAAACTCTTTCCTGAAGCAATAGCAGCACACAACTCTACCCCCGCATGTCGGACCTTGGGACTGTTGCTCAGCAAAAGCGGCATGATTCCCTGGCAGACTTGAACGGCGATACTATCGAGTGGATAAGTCAGGAGAAGCATGGTCAGCGCGTTTCCAACTTCTGCTTTTTGTTTGGACGTCGTGCCGGGTACTTTCATCTTGCGTATCAGAATATCGACCAGATCCGTCGTCCCAGCTGAGCGGGAAGCGGCTCATGTCAGGGATAACATACAGTTAGATTCAGATTCTTAGAACTAAAGCGCTCAAGGGCGATTCTGACATGCCCCGGGGGCAGTGGTCGCTTTAAAAATACATTAAACTCCGACCAAAGCAATAAAATTTCAGATCACGCCCTCAAGGCCAGTTCAAACACGCCCTAAGGCAATGAAATTTAAAGATCTTTATTTAACCCCCTCCTGTAAGCGCTGTATAATGAAGTATCTTCAACTCTCGATTTTTCTCCTCCAAAACTCCGACAACAACATCGACAAAATCTGGAATCAGTTCGCCAATGTTCTCCGCGAGTAAAAACAGTAGCTCGCCGCCAGAGCGTTTGCATTCGTAGTGGACATGAGAGCAGAGCACTTTCGCGAATTTCAGGATGAGTTTTGGCGGAATTTCGCGATTTCGCGCGAGTTTGAGGATTTGCTTCGTCGCTTTAAGGTTCATTTCTGTGTGCACGCCTAGTTCGAACACTAGAAAATAGGTTAAAAATGTAATTGACGAAATAGGCGTTTTAGGACCAGGGTCACCTGATGGGTTAAAAATAAAGGTGGCATTTCAGCGAAATTTAACCCATTAGCGCACTGTGGCCAATCTTGATATCAGGCATTTTTGATTTTGGTTAATTTTTGAGGGAGCAAATTTTGGGCCTTTGTACGTTGATGGGTTAAATTTTTCTTTCCTTTAGTGGGTTAAATATTCCGCGAAGCAAAGTTATTTACAAAAGCCGATAAAGCGGAGTTTGAGTCACCAAAATTGTTTCAATATTTAGCGAGAATTCAGCGTCTACCGTACCTTATTATTACAACGAACAAAAATCGCTCATTTTTTGTTGAACAACGGAAATACCAATCATTATTGAAATCATTATTAAATCATTATTGATCGAGTTTCTCAATGACCGAAATGGAAATTGAGAAGCTAGAATCGTACCTTGTAACTGTTGGAATAAATGATCATATGGTGACGGTTCTGGGCTGCTGGTGGCGGAAGATTGTCGTGAAGGCTCTTTTGGTGGAGGTGGAGTATTTTGGACGGAACGGCGATGCGAAGGTGGCGATTTTGGAGGAGGCGGGCGAAGTTCACTTTCAGCTTTTCGAAGCTGTCTGTCGAATTCCCCTTTTCCTAAAAAAATACGGGTGAGTCATTTTATTATGAAAGCACTCCCCTGAGGGCATGTTGCTTCAGCCCCGGAAAATAAATTTAGACTATTAACCTTTCAAAAATATTTTCCTGAAAAAATTCTTCATCAAAAAATCTCTGACTTTCCTAAAACTCCTAGATTTTGACCTCTCTCGCCCAAGGGCAAGTTCAAAATGCCCAAAAAGAAAAATTAACCTCTCCATATCTTCTGACAAAATTTCCGCATTCAAAAAGCCGCGGCAATTATTTTTAAACTAAATGTATCTCACCATTGACGTGCAAAAAGGTTTCCATTCTTTCTATTTTGATATTCTCTCTCTCTCTACGTTTTTGGCCTTTCTTGTTCTTACTGTGTGTGCCTATCTAATGCCTCGTCCAACACTTAACAAAGGTGGAGACGAGAGAAATTGAATTGGGCTTCTTTTGGGCACGCAGCGTTTCCAGAACAAGTTTTGATAGTCGAAAGTGCGCCGATTGTCAAAAGCAAAGAAGAAAGAGAGAGCCCTTGTCGGCCTTTCTCACTTTCACTAGAATTAAAATTCGAGAGAACTAAAACCCCCAAAAAGCACCGTCCCAAAACGCATCACAATCAGCTCTAGAAAAAGACGATTCTTCAAGGCTTACCAATGTATTTTTCGATTTCTGAAAGAGTTTTGTTCGCCACGCGCTCGGTTAAGGTTGAAGAGTTGGACAAAATGCACTCAGGTAATTGTTCGCGAATTGATTTTGAAAATAGAAATTCTATTTAACCTGCTCGAGTCATAAAGCCAAAGTTTTGCCATACATAGGAAGAAAGCGAAAAACGGGTTGGAAAAGGAAGAAATCTGATTTTAACCCTCTGCTGCGCGTTGGCAAAATAATGGTCTTGGTCGATAATTTGCGTTTTTGAAATCAAGGAAGAGTACCTACGAATTCCTAGACACTAATTCTCTGGTCAAATGCTCCCTCGCGCGATAAGTGTGTTTATTTTCTTCCTACAAAAATACAATTTCAAATTTGCGAACAACTATCCTTTATAACAAATTCAAAATCTGGTCTGGTCGGCTTCAAATGTTTCAAGAGCAAGGTCGGAAGATGGATTGCCGCGGTGGTGGCGATCTCCCGCTGCGTCGATAAAATTCCATGTTTGGCGATTGAATCCCACACTGGAAATAATGGCGAGTTTATTTTAAATTAGCGGGGGATAATTGTGAACTGACCTTTGGAGCGCTTCTCTTCCGGAAGCTTGAATAGGATATTGAACAGCTCGCTTGTCGCTTCTTTTTGGACACCTTTAAGCTCGGCTCATTATTTCTTTTCAAGAATTGTTTTGGAAAAATTGATGATTTATTCGCCAAAAAAAGGTCTCAGAAAACGAAAGTCATGAATTAGGGTTAGGTACTTTATTAAATTTTTCGAATGTAAATAACAACCAGTAAGATTCGTTAATTTCAAATTTTGGCCAATCAGATTGTTCAAAAAAAAACATGATTTTCCCGATAATTTTTGATGAAATCTTAGATTGGCAATTATTTCCGCTGCTGTCTACTCGCCCTTGAAAAAAAGAGAGAGCTCAGTATTGAGTTGGTTATTAGATTCTACGGGCGCAACAATGGCCGCCCAGCTAGTTGACAACAAAAATCCTCGTCAAAAGAGCTGAAGTGCAAACATCAAAAATCTCTTTCTAAGCTCCTAGTTGTGGGATAATTAAAGCCGTTCCTGGCGTCGTCGAATTGGCAAAAGACAGGACCAAGGAGGAGATGTCTTCTTGGGAAGTCGAGTTGAAGCTGGACTCGAAACTTCCTTGTAAAAGTGTCATTTTCGTGAGTTTTCAGTGTGAACAGCTTTTTGCTTTTTTCACTTTTCACACGGCGCGATTATCGATTCCAACAAATTTCAACATTCTAGAGCACATATTTTGAAATAAAAAATACAGTCTTCGAAATATTGAATGTTTGAGGAGAAAAAACGATTCAGAAGTGGATGATGGTCGTAATGATTGGCATTATGACAGGGTCTATTAGTTTAGGAAACCAAAATTGAGTCTACAATATTTGTCTCTCACTCGCTTTAGGGCAGAACTATGGCGATTTTAGGCTAAATTTTGGACGCAGAAAGTAATTTGGAGGTAGATTTTTCACAGACTTGAAATTTGATTTTGAAATTCGTGATTTTTTCAAGAATTCAATTTGAATTGAGGCTAAAGTTTAAACTTAAAAGTTCTCTCAATGAAAAAAAAAAAACTGTTCCGTTACCCTTAGATACCGTCTCAATTTCCTTCTATTAAAAAATCTCTCTGGCCTCTATTTTCTTCCCTTCTTTTTCTTTCTTCTTTGCTATCTCTAGAAAAATCCGCCAAAAAAGCCTCCTCTCCGTCTTTTGCTCTCTTTTTTCGGAGTTCTAGAGCTATTTTTTCTCTCTCTTTCAATCGTTTTTCTTCTATTTCTTTCTGTCTCTCTTTTTGTGTTCTAGTGCTCGAGTTTTCGAGCAACAAAGGAACGCGCCAAAAATATGTTTTAAAAAGTTCTAGTTTTGTTTTTTTTTCTGAAGGAGGCCTTCTGGAAAGCGCGGCGCGACTGTGTCTTTCCAGTCGGAGTGTGCAATTCTACTTCTTGTCTCGGCCAATCGCGGAAGCGCCCAATCATCGCGGCGGAACAGCACGCGCACCCCCCGGGCACCGCCGCTTTGTCCGACGGAGATTACCGCCTTTGAAAACTGTTATGATAATATTAACGGAAATGAATAAGAAGTAAAAAAAAAATAAACATCACATTAATTTGACGGCGTCTTTTAATAAAAATCCCGATGTTTTCCTCTGTGGGCATAATCCCCTTTTTCAAGTCAAAGACGGGAACCACTTCCTGGGCTTATCAGTCTTCTCACAATCAATGATTGTCAATAATGGACAAGGACATCCGTTTTTGCAATATTTTTCTGTAGGGCAGATGAATTGGATGTTTGGGTCAACTAGAAGCCGCGGATTCTCAAGGCGAGATTGAATGTGTCTTCGTTGATTTCAAAATGAGCGTGTTAGAGCAAAAAATGGCGGTGCACTCTTAGGTCGTAGAACTTTTTCGTTCTAGATCCGCGAAGATTCACTTTGTACTCTTGGATACACCGATCAAACTGATCATTTAATGTACACGCGGCTCAATATGTACGAAATCCTGAATCCATCCTTTCTGTCAAGAAGTGCGAATTACTAGCATAAGTGGAACTATACTACTACTGCCAATGTTTCGATTTTTAACCTTGAAATTTCAGATGGCTACATGTGTTAACGACCCAAAGGCTGCAAAGGCTTTTCCGAAGTGCACAACAACGACCGAGACAACGACAACAACAGTGACACTTATGCCGCCATACATTCCAAGCGTTGAATGTGACTGATTTATTGTGAGAATGCCGAAATTTGAAACTCAGAAAACGACAGTATATCAACAGGCTCACATTTTTTTTTCTTTTCTTGTTTTTGCTTCCTTTATTTGTGAATCATTGGAATACACTTCTTTCAAGTTTTTATATGATTATTGACAACTGAGTATGAATTTTATTACTGAAACGAGATATGCAAAAAAGGTGAAGGAAGAAATAAAATCTAATTATCATGATTGAGTGGGGATGGAGTGACATGATCAAGCGAAACGAACCACCACTGATTTTGCTGTCGACTTGCACTGCCTGCTCCTGCTTTGCATGGCATTTCCGCTTTGGAAATTGTTGCTTCTCGCCGGGTCGGTGGAATTGCTGCTGTGAGAATCGGAGCTGTGGGGCTGAAAACGACGGTTCAATTTTTAATTTTCAATTTTTTGATTTATTTAAAAGTTTTGATGTTTGGCAGGTACAGTCATAACTTGGTGCATTGGAGTAGCTCGAGATCGGGTTGAGAATTTCTTTTTGAAATCAAGGAAGAGAGAAAGTGCCTCCGCAATTATGAATTTCGTGCCACATCGTGAAAAAAAAACAGAGAGTTTCTCAACCCTTTTCCTTATACCTGTTGAAGGCAACTTCCGGCTTGAGGTCATCCGGGGTCAGATTCTTGTTCGCATTGGTCGTACTAGTGGCAGGGAGCGGTAGTGGCGGGACGGTTTTCTTGCTGGTGGTCCCTTGGGGCGCCCCTGTGCCGTTGGGCACACCACTTCTGGCCGGATCGATCCCGTCAATATTTTCGTCCGCCGGGTGATGCACCAGCGCACGCGACTTTACAAGCAGCGGTATCGAGTCCGGGCACTCCGACAGACGCCCAACGATGTGATCACGTGAGCCGGCTCGCGAGTTGGATCCGCCCACGGTCGGACAGTCGCCGGCCAGATTGCCGCCTGTGCCCGGCCGCGAACTTCGCCGGTTCGTTGGAGTAGGCAACGTCTGTGCTTGACGTTTTAGCAATCGCTCGCTAAAGATTTATTAAAGCATTTGGTTCGGAATAGAACATCGTTGAATCAAGGGTAAAATTGTTCCTTGTCGATGATAGATTGACTTACCAAGGTTGATATTCACGATAAGAATATTGAGCGTCTGGTAGACTCTGTAGACTTGGTGCCCTCTGGCGCCTGTTAGTGGACGTAATTTGTTCATTTTGAGTATCGAAGGTGTTCACGGTGGGATTCTGCTGTGCGTTGGAAGAAGAGGAAATCTGATTGGTGAGTGGAAGAGGAGAAGCGTAGGCGGGGACTTCGCTCTGCTGCGCCACCTGAGTCGACAACATCGTTGCTTCGGGCGCGGGCTGCGTCATGATGCCCCTGATTGGCGAGTCCAGCGGCGACGTCATTGACTGCTGATGCCGAACACATTTGGTCCCGGAAGTCGAGGGAAATTTTCTCGTCGAAGCGCAGCAAAAGATTTTAATGCAAATCGCCACCACGACGACAAGCATGATGACCAGCACCAGTCCCACCAATAAAATAAGATATGCATTGTCAACTGAAATTTGAAATTTCGCGGTTTGAAATCAAGGAAGAGTACGTTTTTCCTACCTTTGTTCAAAGTCTGAAGAAGATCATTTAACCATGAGTTGCTAGCATCATCATCATTGGCCTCAGCCATTGTTTTTCTTTACATAACTCTATCTTTTTTCTTTATGGCCTGAAAAAGCAGATTAAACTTCGAAAAAAAGACGGACGAAAGAAAAACAACAAGAAGAGAGAAAGTATATCGATTTCTCATTAGCAGCCCTGGGCGTGTGTTAATCACTGTCTTGGGTTGTAAATATCATCCAGTAAATATGCACGGCAATAATGCGGTAGTGAATCGGATAAAATGAAAGAGAGCTGCGTAAATCTTAATTAAAATCTCGGGGTCTACCCTTCTCTTGATTTCTCGAAAACTGGACTACAGACAAAATTTTGTATTCGATTAAATATCGATACTTTGACTACTTTGATACTGTCCTCCGCTCATTTATTAATAATAAAAGTTCGAAGTATGTTCAGCCAATCGAGCTGGCACTTGGACCGTTTCTAACCAGTCGAGCAAGGTTAGTCGGTAAATAAATAGTAGACCGGCATAGGTGGAAGAAAGGGTCGAGAGGAATTTGAGCGAGCGTGGCTCCGCGCCAAATGCGCGTCAATTAGATCTTTATTGGCTAAACGTGATTACTATTCGATGGGACGAGAAATTGAGTGCTCGAGTCTGTCCTTTATTGAACTATTCTCGTCTTTTCAGAACTTGGCAAAGAAGCAAAGAAAGATGCTCCTCTTGAATTTTTGACTAGAAAGGATTGCATAAAATATGAGCCGACAAATTGATACTTGATTTGTTTAATTCTTGAGTAGATCCAACTCATCCAGCTCATTTTAATCAAGTAGATCAACTTTGATAAAGAAGGTATAATCGTTCAGCCAATTCCTTAGTACTTTATTCGTTGTATTTATTGTATTTATTTTTAGTCAGTGATGAAATTAAACGAAAATAGATTAATTTTTTTATTAGAAAACGACTAAAGTAATCCGTTTTGGTCCCTATTTCTGAACCTGTATGCATTCCTTTTTGCCCTGTAAAATGATGTTTGCAAGCATATTTGCGCGAAATGCATTTAGAGCAAAAGAGAAAGAGAGAGTTGAATATTTCACGCGCATTGTCAATAGCAGAAAATCGATATTCACCCTGTGTCTTTTTTTTTCTTTTTTCCCAACGTAAAAAAAACTTGACTGCTGTCTAAAATTTAATCCAAAGTCTCTGCTTCTCAAAGTGGCCAAATTCAATATTACGGTATTTTCCAGCCTGCGTTTCTTTCTGTAGTCAAAATAATCCTATTTCGCGCGCGGTTATTTTGTTTGATCCGAGCTTCTATATAAATAACTTCTCGATTTAGATCATCTTTTTAGAGATCCAAGAAGTCTGATAACCTTACCGCATAAATTCCCCTATACAAATTACGCGAAATAAAGACACATGTTTAACATCGCGCTACACCCTTAAATTTTCGAAATCGTAAATACCGGCATATTTTTACACTTACACTTTTGTACATCTCTTTCTTTGTCTGTTCAGGTCTTCTTCTCTTTCCTCTTGTTTAAAGTTAATTTGGACAGAAAAAGCAGGTTGTTGTTGTGGTTCTCCGCGTTTTCTTGCAATAAATAGAAGGAGAAAAGGGGCTCAACGCGTGGTGACGGGCACACTGATGTGCCGCTCAGTCACTCGCCCAGGGGCAAGTCAGCCAGCCAGCCGCCGACGACGACTCGCGGCGCCATCAGCCGACTCCACAAGAAAAAAAACAAACCAATGGGTAATGAAAATCAAGCACTTTTTTCTTATCATCATCCCAAACAAAAGCCAACATCTCGATTATCCATATCGGTTCTAATCCAACCCTTATCATAACCTAAACCCTTACCGACCGTTTGTTGAAAGTCCTAGTGAAGACTTTTTTGCGACTGAAATGACAAAAGACAGGCAGTTCAAGTAGCCGCAAGCAAAAAAAGTATGATCCAGTTTGAGAAAAATTTTGGACAATTTTGAGCCGAAAAATAATGAGCCGAAATTATTAAAATATAGATTTCCGATTTGGTTCGCGTCTGATAGTAATTTGTAGGCAAATTCTGTTCGCTGCATAATTTAGCGTGTAAAAGCCGCGCGAAAGAGGAGAGCGTTCATCTGACCGTCATCCGAATACCAAATTTAATGAAGCCTATCCTTTGATATGCGATTGTTTGTGACGCCCTTACCCAATCGATCCGCAAAAAATTGATTAAGGGGACCCCCTGCAGAGCTTCAGGAAAGCAAATAAATTTATCAAACCTTTGTGAAATTTAGAAAGAGGGAAATTGGCAGTTTTTATAAAGAAAATTAAAATTTTTATTTAAAAAATTTAACAAATTTATTTTTTTTCTTTCAAAATATAATTACATAAAAATTTTAAGGGGGAAGTGTCAGGAACCCACAAAAAATTTCGACAAATTTTGCGTGGAAATTTTCGACCAATCAGAAGCCTGGAATCGGCTAACCGGCCAATCAGCAGTCGAATAACCGCCCACGCAAAAATTGTCGAAATTTTTTGTCGTTCTCCATTTTTTATGGATTCTTATGCAAAAGTTTGACTGCCGTAGTGTTTACGTCAGTTGAGTGTAACCATACAGTATGGTCCATACTGTATCATATAATATTTTGTTTGTTGAACATAAGATTGAAGCAAAGAAAATGATTAATAATTCATCTTAGGCCAGAAAGTTGAGTTAGACTCATGATTAACTTACCGCGCTTTCGTAAATTTTTAAAAGACAGGTAGTTGTTCGTCCCTTCCTCTGAGGAAAACGAGGAGGGTACTGTAGAATGGAACGTGTTTATTGGGCTTAGCGAATTTTAGCTGCTTTTGGTCGAAGGAGCGCGTAAATCGTACTTAGACGTGTTTAGGGCAGCGAGGACGGGGCGGGAGCCACAACATGTCCAACTCCGTGTTCCGAAACTGATTTCCGCTGAACATGTGCGCCACGCGGCTTTTTCTAAAATTGCTGCATTAGCGCTTATAGGTAAATGATTCCAGTTATAATCCTCTTTTTTTTTTCGAATAAAAAAAAATTCTGGAAAATTTAGGAAGTGCCACGAGTCCGAAAAATGCGAAAATTTTGACAAAAATTTTTGTCAAATTTTAGACCAACTAAATTGTCGCATTTTTCCAGTAGACCAATCAGATCTAAATTTTGAATTCTTTGAAACCGTGCCCTTATTCCCGGTCGAGTCAGAAACCATCAATCAAATATTTTGAAGCTTTGCTGAAAAATACAAATTACCATAAATTGAGCCTCAATTTCGAGTGGCGTATTCGTTCACAAAGTGTATCCATACAGTATTTTAGGCAGCGATGCAGCAAATGTGCTCTAAAAATTGGCAAATTTTAAATTGCACCTGGTCCCGCCTTGAAGAGGACTTGCGCGTACGAGGTAATTGAATTTGTTTAGACTGTCACTACTATTACCAATTTTATACAGAAAGAACCTTTTACATAAGGCCAATTTCCTTGTCTTTCTAAAGAGGCAATCAGAGGTTTCATTCAGCGGAAAGATTTTCGTGCATTTTCGAATTCAAAAACTCGGATTGTTTCGTCACCAAACCTGCCCGAAAAGGAAGTTCCGGAAGCTTGAACTGCTTTGGGAAGTAGTTGCTATTGACATGTAAATAAGAAAAATGTTGCAAAAATATTTTGAAAACAAGGAGTCCTGATTTCAATCGTTTTCTTCTTTCTTCAATAAGTAATTTTTAAAATATCTTTTTTTCGGATCATGTTTTCAAAATTACCAAACAATCGAAATTTACTTTTATTGTAAATTGAAAATTATTGAGGGGTACTTAGTATTCACTCTTTTATTTCAGCTGTACTGGGTTCTACTGGTTTTAGCTAGGTTGATGAAAAATGCTTTATGCTGCGGTTTTTTGCTGAAAATGTTGCAAATTTCCGCCGGGAATAGACAGGAAATGCCTGCTAGAACCTCTCATTCTGTTTTTTTCTTGATCACGTTACGAATTTAAGGTGCGCGTGACCTTTCTTTTGAGCCGGATTCTGGATCTACCGGTGGAGAAATCGGGTTGAGAAGGATGCTATAATTTTCCAGTGCTCGAAATTGAATGCGATTGTGGTCAGCTGTTGGGGATTTAGCGAATTTACAGTGATTTACTTGAATTTTGCCTGTTATGAAATCAACAAAGACTAGAAACAAATCTACAGTGTGTAAAACAAACGAGTCTACAAGCCAGAATCTACATAAACTCAATCTCCCTACCCCCTAACATGAAAGAAGTTACATATGTTTTCCATATTCTTTGATTCTAGCGCCGCGGCCAATGAGCTTGCAGCGCGACACATTCCGCGCTGAATGCGCGCGCGAACGCTCTCTGGCTCGCTCGGGTCATCCCAGATGGCGCTCGCACGACGGAGCGCGGCGGCAATGGGAGATTTCTCGAAAATCGTCGAGAAATAACGATCGAGAAAGAAATAAAGATCTTGCCATTTTTTTTTATCTTTTTGATTAGTCAGCGATAAAGAGAACCTAATATCGCTCAATCAGAAAAATCACTGTATAAATCACACTAAAAATAGAGATCATGAAGATATTACAGACAGTATGTCTGATACTACAGACGGTAGCAGCGATGAAAAGTTGCTACGCGCCAGGACAAGGGGTTGATATTTCCAAAAGAGTCAAAGCGTAAGTAAACCCTTAAGATTTTTGATGAAGTTAATTTATGCTAATTGCTGGCTGAGTTAGTTTTAATTGTCAAAATAATTAATGCATGTTTCCATCTTTGTCAAATTCTGTTTACGAACAGGTGTTTCATTCAGATTGATCCTAGAACCAAGGCCCTAGAAGGTTCTTGATTTCTTAGATCGCCTTAAGGACCTCCCTCTCTAAATGCACAAACTTAGATAAAAAATACTTTTTCTGGTACCAAATCTTGATGAAAACCATTTAACCTTAGCCCGCCAAGGTACACCACAACTCGTGAATCGTTCATGTTTTTGCTCACTGCGCTGAACATTGAAAATTTTTTCGAAAACTGAGGATATGCTGAGACGGCTTGATCGATTATCTATCGATGTTGGGATTTTGGACCAGTTTCTGATAGATCTTAGAGTCGGGAAACCCTTATTTTTGCAAAAAGTTCATGCACCATATATGGTGTCGAGCTACAATTGTTGGTGCACCATATATGGTGTTTTTGGCGGGTACCCCAGCTTTTTCCAAGCGATTTTATCGAAAATTTACCCTAGTCAGCTTCTCTGATCCTCAATTTAAAAATTCCAGTGAGTGGGTTTTTGAATGAATGAACTCTAAAATCATCATGAGAACACCTCAATACATCAAAAAAATTATTTTCGAACAAAAACTTTTAATAAAATCATGATAAACCAAATATGGTGTCGACCTACAATGGAGGATACACCATATATGGTGTTCTTGGCGGGTACCCCAGAAAATCCACTTTTGGCGGGCTAAGGTTAACCATTTTAAGGCAAAAAAAAAGTGCGTTAATTTGATGAGGGGTTAAATATTTAACCGGTCGGAGGTACTCACTCCAGTTATTGAATATCTCTTGACATTTCCAGTCTAAAACTACTTCCGCTTGGTAAATCAAATTCACCATGGAAGGAATTCCGAATTCGAAAATTGAAAAATGAAAGCGCCGTTTTTTTTTATTTGTCTATTTCTAGTTGTGCCCAGTTCGGTGGACTTCTTGCTTATCGTTTTCGTAATATTTAAAGCAAGGGGGATGTTTCTTTTTCCAGCAAAACAGCAAAATAGAAGCGGGTTTGGTAAACGAATCAAGCGGATCCCGAAAGGAAGATCAGCTCGAGATTTTATGACGCTCTTGTTTTTGTCTCGAGACAAGATCAAGAATACGCTTAGAAGCCGCCCCCTTGGCTCATCCCTTTTTCGTAATCGAAAACAAGGAGCTCATAATTCAACTTGAATACGCTAAACTAAAAACAAGCACGAAAAAGAACCGAATCAAGTGTACCCTTTTCAAGCTTTTTGTAAAGTTCTGAAAAAGAACGCACTTGTTTTTCATCCAGCTCATCACTTTATCACCTGTTTTTCGCAATACTGATAAGAGCCTTTTCTTCATTCATCGCTGAAAAATTTGGTCTCCCGCCGAGTGTGTCACTGATAACGTAGCAAAGATGTTGTCTAAGCTGTCATTCACCAAAAATTAAGACAGATCTGAGATCTGCATTAGCCCCTAGTATCAAGTTTCTGCGTCCCCTGCCGAGCTGGAGAAGCGTGAGAACTTTTTTTCTTATCAGTTTTGCTCGAAAAAGAGGGCTCGCTATAAAACGTGAGGCAGAAGGGCCGCTAAAGGGAAACAAAGACAGAAGAAATAATTTAGACTATCGCAACTTATTTTGGCTCCTTTTGAAGTTGCACTAGAATTACATAGAGTTTTGTTTTGTTAACAAAACCGACAAAATGCGGCGTCCCGCGTCACTCTTGCCAGCAAATCCGCTTACGCTTGTTTCCACACCATTCTCCTTTTTCGTTCAAATCATTCAATTAAAATCGCCGTTTATTTCTAAATTATCACTCAAAATTCAGAAAAAGTTAATTAGTTAGCAAGACAATCTTTTTCTCTTCTCTCTTTTCCGTGGTTGTTATTGCAACAGATTTAATCCCCGCCCTTACGATTTATTTGAGCATTAGAAAAAAAGCGCCAATGTTGCTACTTGAAATCAAAATTCCATCATTTTGAAATTAGTTAATTTATAACCCTGGAATGGGTTACCTTACATACCACGGGGCTAAAAAACACTTGGGTTAATAGTGGCGGGAATTTTTTCAAAGGAATGTGTTTCAAGTAAGAAGCTATTTTTTTTCAGGGGAATAGAATGACTGTATGTACTCGGTTAACTGATAAGCAAGGGGTCTATTTATACTGATAAAGTCAAACAGTACTGACTCATACTAAGACAAAGGAAACTTTGGCAAGTTAGAATTCCTCTTTTTTAACTCGGTTTAATTCTTGTTGTAACAGTAAGAAGCCAGTAAATCCGCAAACGCTAGTTTGGTTCGATAAATTGTCGGCAGCGTGGATTTCCGGCTGACGCAAGGAATCAAGAGCTTTCTAAAAATCCTCGAAATGATACCTTCGTTGTAGTTGTTGTTGGGCACACGTACTGCCTTCTCAACGAATGCAAAAGAGAAAGGCTTGCATTTGGCCACTAGCTCCTCTTTCGGTCTCCACTTTAGAAAGAAATAGTGTTGTGCGTGTACTAACAAAGAACCTTTTGACAAGCCAGAAGGTCGGCCTCACGTGTTCGTTTAGAGAATACCGTAAACATTCAACTGCAGTTCATGAGCACTAGAATTATTGAAAAAAATTATTTTCCAGACCCTGACTCAGGTTTTCTACACAGGTTGCCGAGTCAGGAAGAAACTGAGACTTTCGAGTCAATAGTTTCGACTTTTCAAAAATCATTTTTTTTTCTTCAGTTCAACTATGGTCGTCAACGGAATTGTCTCATACGTCGGAAATCCTGACGAAAATGGAATCTACAACGCCACCATTTTGGTCCGAAAAACCTGGTCGAAGAAAAACGACGATATCAAAGACAATGTCGTGCTGCGATTAGGCCCCTTTGGAACTGATAAGAAATGTCCCTCAGTAAAGGAAAGGCTCTCCAAAATTCTAAAATTCAATTTTCACGAACTTTTTTGAATTTTATTGCGAAAAATTGAATTTAAATTTCATTCAAGGCAAAAAAATTCAGATGAACATTTATGTCAAAATATTTTCATCCAGAACGGGCGCGAAAAACGTGGATAAGACATAAAGCCTGTTAAAATACGAGGCGAAATTCTAGAGCCGTAAAAACAGCACCGCATGAGTTACATCTTTTTCATTCGAAACTCGGGGAGAGGAAAGGAAAGTACAAGTACTACAGGACTCAGCTCTTTCCAGCGTACGCTAGCGAGCAGAATTTGAAGAAGACGGCGGCGATTTTGGGAGAAAAGGATCCAAATGGTAAGAATTTTGAAATCGCGATTTTGACATTCCTTGTTATGTCTGTTCGCTAAAACGTGAATTTAGCTGTTGCCAAAGTCGAAATGCTTCCGCAAAAGGTCCGGCCTTGAAAACACACATCCACGTTTGGTGCATTTTTGTTACTGCTTATTAGCATTCCTTTTTACCCGACCCTTAGCAGCTTTGTTCAGTGAAAAACAAAAGTGAAGAATGCTCTCTCCTTTAAAATGAGTCTCCTTATAAAGACTTATGTTTAAGGGGGCACATATCCTGTATTGAAATATATTGATTTCTCTTTAAATTATGATAGAGAGATACCCTTATTTTTTGACTTTTTTGAGATAAGCAAAATCTTTCATATCTTCCGCTGAATTCTTGATAAAAAAATAAGGGTGTCTCTATGTAAATTCTCGTAAAAAGAAGCTAATATATTTCTCTATTAATTAAGATAGAGATACTCTTACTTTATGCCTTTTTTCCGAGCGAAACAAAAGCTTTGATAACTTACCCAAATTATGGATAGAAAAAATAAGGGTGTCTCTATGTAAAACTTTCGAAAGCGAAATCCAAAATAAGTGTCATTTTCTCCCCCCCTTAAAAACGTCGTATCTTGCATTTCATTAGCAAGAACTGCTAAGATCCGTCGCTAAGCTCAATCAGCTTACGTAGAACGGATCACATTATGTGCCCAACCGGCCATTTCGCTGCGCTCGGCGAAATTCAACTCCTCTTCCGACTTTTCCGGACTAATTGTGAAGCCTTTCTTATCGATAGTAGTGGAAGAAGGACCCCTCTTTTCAAGTCAAGCCCATTTCCATATTTTGTTGAACCCAAGGTTCAAAAATAGAATATTTTTCATAAAAAGTGTATTCTCTTTCTTGTTGCATAAGCACTTGTGTCGATTATTTTTTCTTGTTTTCAACGCCGCGAAAAGTCCATCCACTCGACGTCACCTGAACACCCTCAGTACAACAAAGCGGGCTGCCTGGTCTTGGAGGCGCCTGAAAATGGCGATATGTCTTGCATGGCGAACGGGAAACAGTGCAATTTCAAGTGTGACCCTGGTTATACGATGGTCGGATTCCACAGAAAAATTTGCATGGGCCGAAAAGTTGGATGGAAACCATTCAAGCCCGTTCTTTGCAAGGGAGAAGATTCGCTCGAAATGGCGCTGATTAATGTAAGTAAAAATTAACCCATTTTCGTCCTGAGGGCCAAAATTTACTATTCGGCTTTTTTATCGGCCCCTACACCCTTAAAACTAAACTAAAAATTTATTTTTTTTATAATTTTCAATTCATTTTTTTTTCAGCTAATTGATTATGCTAGAAATAACAGAAAATATAACTGTAATGAGATGATTTATTGAAGCTTGGAATTAGCGGGTTACGAAAATGTTCGGCACACTCCACTTTGTGTCGGGGTCAAAACTTCGCACCTGGGAAGAACGGGCAGGATCTCCAGCCGAGCAAATAGGATGCAAGGGTCCCCCGACATGTGCTTACTCCTGCAGAGACTGCTCTCAGCGTAAAATCGGAGCTGCACTCGGCACGAGATGTATGAGCCATTGAGTAAATATGATCACAGGGCAGATTGAGCTAAAGATGAGGATCAATCTCAGCCGCGGATAAGCTTCAAATATGAAAAAATGGAAGACTCAAAATAAAAATTGGTCAATTCTTGCCTCATGGGGTAATCGAGGGCGTAGATTCCGATTTCGGCGTCAAAACTGACTTTAAAAGATCCCCACCAGTGGGCCACCACGGTTTTGGATGAAATGGTCCTCGCACGGACCAAAATTGTGAAAACCAGGGTTAAGGGTATCAAGTAAATATTTTTTAATTAATCTTACCCTACCGAATTGTCATTTTTAGCCGACCCACCAAAACACCTCAGCAACCCTCACCCTAACCCTAACCAAGAGTAGTCGAAGTGTAATCTAAAAATAGCTAAGCGATAGATATCTACAGTTTTTTTACTTTTTTCAAAACTTCAAGGCATTTCTGCGCGAAAGCTAATTTTTCGACTCTCGTGCCTCAGGAGGTGTATAAATTATACAGTATAATAACCTTTCTTTCACCCTTATTTCGCCAATCGTAAACAGGTTTTTTTTGAGGTGAACATAAATTGGTGGAGCGTTTTTGAAGGTGTTACAGACGAGATATTTCAATTCTCTCTTTTGCATCTTGTTGGGGAGAGTTTCTAGTGTTTTAAATAAGCTTTTGGTGTTATTTGCACCACTGGTGGTGGAGTAATGACGTCACAAAGTTCAAGGTTCTATTTTATAATGCATTTTGATGACGTCATAACTCCACCACCAGAATAGTTACTGACACCAAATTGATTAAAAATTAGTAATTTAATACCCGACTATATTCTGCAAGTTACGGAGCACGCTCACTTAAACTTTTCACTCACTTGGACTCGCGCTCATTCTAACCCGCGCTCATTTGAACCCGTCGGTTCAAGTGAGATTTTGGTTCAATCGAGCGCGAGTTGAAGTGAGCTTTCCATTTTGCGTGAGCGAGGGTACTGTATTCTCAGTGGACAGTCTTAGGGTAGTTTATAGAATTCCTTTTCTTTAATTTTCATAACTGCTAAATAAGAACTTTTTCTGGAAACTTCCAACAGTCAGTAACAATAGGCTTTTGTCAATAGGAAGTTACATATCACTGAACATGATTGAACCAGTAATATTCAATGCATTAACGTTTTAACTTTAATTTATAATATATATTATTAATATATAATATAGCAGCTAAAAGTTATCATGAATCGAAATTTAATTTGAAAAACGAAGGTTTACATATTCCAGGAATTCATTAAAAAGAAATAGATCTTTTTATCCAGGGTAAGGCCTGCTATCATCGGTATAATTCTAGAGCAAAAATAACTTTCTAGAGTTCATAAGTAAAGCTTACAAGTGGGCAACCGAAATTTTCTTCTTTCTTGCAGACAAAAGTCTTGTAGACAACAGACATTTGCAGGAATGCATGAACCTCCAAATTATCACCCTTTAAAATTGTACAGAATTATTTGATACTTCTATCAGAATGTAGACTAAAGTGACTTGAAAAAATTTCTCTATTATGTTACCCGGTGACAGTCACCGGACTCATTTTTTAATTTCTTTTTTTTTTTTTATTTTTATTTTATTTTATAATTCTTGCACTCATTCTAACTCCTCGCTCAATTCAACCAACACTCTAATTGACCGACGAGTTCAAACGAGCGAGGAGTTAGAATGAGCGCGAGTCCAAGTGAGAGAAAAGTCCAAGTGAGTGCGCTCCGCAAGTTACAGATCATAATTATCTTAACCCAATCAAAAGTTACAGAAAGTCTATGTCCGCCTCAAAAAAAAAACCTGTTAAGCTAAAAATTAGGCAAGATTTGTCCAACTTATATTTTTTCGCATTATTGTCAATAATTTATTGAGACTTAAACGCGGCTGAGCTTGATCCTGATCTTGGACTCAATATGCCCTGTGATCATACACTGTACTTACTCAATGGCTCACACATCTCGTGCCGAGTGCAGCTCCGATTTTGCGAGAGCAGTCTCTGCAGGAGTTAGCACATGTCGGCCGACCCTTGCATCCTATTTGCTCGGCTGGAGATCCTGCCCGTTCTTTCCAGGTGCGAAGTTTTGACCCCGACACAAAGTGGACAACCCCAAATGTTCGAATAACAAGAAAAAATCTTGTCTCGCGTTAAAATATTTTCTTCTCAAGACATTCTAATTCGCTAATTTACGTCTAATCAAAGAGGTAATCAACGATTGGTGCTCGAAAACATACCCTCGATTACCGGGCCCCGAGAGTGCCCAAACTACCGCCTTCTTCATCGCCAAATTTGCAAAAATCATGCAATCTAAAAAAACTCTCAAAATCGAAAACACACGTTTTTCTCGTCCGTTTTGTGATGTTTTAAGAAAAGCTCACGGTATTAGATAACAAAGAGGGCAACTAGTTATTTATTTACACGTTTCCTTCTCTCTCTATTTCACATAACAAAATTTGAAATGTTGATAAACAGAAGACATAAGGACCAACGTGGCCAGAAAATACGGAGACGGGGGCGAAACTAATCTAATCCGGTGTGAATTTTTGCCATTTTTTTTTCGTTGAAAAATTAACATTATGACACCCTTATTTTATGATAAATGTCTGTTTCACATAAAATAAGGGTGTCATAATGTTAATTTTTGAATAATAATATCAAGATAAAATAAGGGGGTGAGGCTCGATAATTTAGCTTTCCAGAACTCTTTTCTACGAGAATTAGCATAAATACACCCTTAATTCCTTCCAAGTTTTCCTTGAAAAATTAGCATTATGACACCCTTATTTTATGATGAATGTCTGTTCCACTTAAAATAAGGGTGTCACAATGTTAATTTTTCAAGAAAAGCTTCAATGAAAGAATTATGGGTGTATTTATGTCAATTTTCATAGAAAAAAGCTCTGGAAAACTAAATTAGCGACGCTTACCCCCTTATTTCAACTTGATATTATTCAATTACCGGTAGAGAAAACGTATTATTATTCTACGGATAAGGGAAAGTCAAGATTGCGGTTACCAAAATAAAATGACACTGTCATCAAAATTTGATCCTGAAAATTAACCCCTTTCAGCAAAACGAACACGTTTTTCGTAATTTTAAAAAGAAAGTGGATGTTCTTTTTGGAAAGAGCTTCTTGAAAAAAGGAGCTTAGAGAGAATTGCATGTAACAAAGTTGAAGTACGGCATTTCCGCTCGTTCTCTTTCTCTTTAGAAACAATTTCGACTTTGAGAGTATTGGAGATCGTTTGGAAAATTCAAGAGTCTTGGATTTGAACATGAATGCTCTTGCATTAAAAACTCCTTTAGGCGGCGACTACAGTCAAGGAAGACAACTCAATGCGACAGAAGCTTCTTATCGAATCGAAATTGAAGTCGGCCACTCCTGATTCCTCGGTGCATACAGTCAGCACTACAGAAACAGCTGCTTCGGTCTTCCGAAACCGACCATTGCCAAATTTGAAATTCGCCTCCGACGCTGGTCAAAAAATGGACGAACTTTTGAAGCAAAAGATGATCGCGAGAACAACGCCGAGAACGACCACTACTGCCGCGCCGTTGGAAGCTTTCTTTACCGATTTGCAAAGCGAGTGCAAGATCAAAAAAGGAACGTACCGACGGGGCAACGCGTGGAATCAGGGCTTCGATGGAAGCGTTCAAGTCAATCCTACTCAGGTAAATCAAAGTAGACAGCGCTGCGGACAGAAAGTGATAAATTGAGCAGTTTTTGCGGACAAGTAAAAGAACTTAGTTTTTTTGAAAAAATTGATTTTTAGAAATTTCAAAATACGATAAATAAAAAAAATAATAAGCAATCTTTTCTTTTTTCGCTTATCTTCCAATCACGTGATTATTTTTAAGTGATCTATCTCATCTTTGAAGACCGTTTATCATCATATTTACTTACAAAATAAAAGTTTAACCCTTCATTCAACCTTATAGTATTCGCAACGGATTTTGTTTATAAGGGTGTCACCAAGCTAAAAGCTTTCCTTTTTAGAACAAGCTTTGCTCACTTTTGTTTTTCAGCGCATCAGCGAGTGGACCCTCGTTTTGACCTTTTCCGCGCCCGTCACTTCCCTCGCTCTGCACCAAGAGCGAAGATATGTCCTCAGGAAGTCATCAGCCAACAAGCGCACCTATGCTATTACCGGTTTGTATATTTACTCAATCTCTTAGAAAGCCTTTTACCTTTCAATTAAGAAAAATATCCTATGGGGTTCCCTTAACATTTCGTTTTCAAACCTAGTCCCTGATAAAAGCAGACGAAAAAATGCTTGAAAAGGCTGTCATTTTTGCGTTTTGCCGCAACTCGCCTTCTCTAATCGTAAAAACGTTATTGTTATGCTTGCCTCGTGTTTCTCATCGCATCTTACTTTCAATATTTTGACATTGTGGTTTTCAGTTTCGTCCTATCAAAGCAGCCAACTCTTCCCCGGCTATCCGCTTGAGGTAACTTCTATAAGCGTCTTCGCAGGCTCAGCTTCTTTTCTTTCAGGTTGATTTTACCGCCAAGCACATGAGCTTTGTCGATTTGGACGTCGAGGCAGTCCTCTATTACGATTGCGCCAAGGCCGTTGTCGAGAAGAAGCCAGTTTCGTTAGGTTCAAGTCCCTTCAGTCGACTTTCGAACAATCGATGGGGCGTTCGATCTACTGTTGCTCCTAAAACTACCGCAGTTGCTCCAAGGTTGAGAGAAATTCCTTTTGAGGGATTAAAATTTTCGGATTTAGAAAATTCGCGGCGATCGGGGAAATTTACACGGGAGACCAACTTTCCGACGGTGTTCAACATTGCAGCGCGTGGGAACCAGCCGGTCGCCTTCCTGGCACTGGACAGGTTTACCCACGATGGATTTCATCAGGTACGACTTCTCTTTTCTGAATCTAAGTTCAAAGAATTTAAAGAGTGATACCCTTAATAAATTTGAATATTATCATTATAAAGCCATTATAATTGATAAAAATAATGAACTGAGACCCTTATTTTCGCTAAAAACAAAAACTGTTAGAAATCACGTTTATGAGGTGTACCCCCTTATTTGTCAATAAAGATAAAAAATGATGCTTTCAGTCTTCAAAAGCGCCGTCAGATACGACTACAACGAAGTCATGTCGAAATCTCTCCTGTTCCTGAACGCCCAACGCTCTGGAGCACTTCCTGAGGTATATTTACATAGTTGTTTTAGCATTTCAGCGAACAGAAAACAACTGTCTTTGCGTCATTACTCTCGATAATTCTCAAGAACCGAGCCAACTTAATTATCGTTAATTAAAAGCTAGTAGCAAATTCTCGTATTTTTGCCAAAAACAATGTTTCATAACCAAAATTCAACACGAGCGCAAATTCACAAGTGCTGCTCTTTTCAGAAGAAATCATAATTCATTCAATCGAAATTCGAACTCTAAATAAAAATATGGCCATTTATGAACCGCTCTAGCTTGTCAGAACATCGCCGAATGACCTGTAAGCCTGTTTTGAGTAAAACAACTTGAGCACTGAGAAATTCCACAGCTTTAGCTGGGAGTCTCTTTTCTAAAATTCGTTTAGTAAAAATTAAGGGCGGCGAGTTTTTAAGGGAGGGGCGCTAATAAAGCAAGACTTACTAAAGTAGGGTAGATTTTCATAACTCAATATTTTCAGCTGACCTCTTATTTGTCTGATTAATTGGACTCGAGAACCTGAGAAGAAAGCCTGAGTCAGGGTTTGACAAAGCCTAAACGAAAAGCCGCGTAGCGGCTTTTAAAACGAAGCCGCGAAGCGCTTCGCCAGAATAAAAAAATTGCAAAAGAAATTATGCAAAGCCGCTTCGCGGCTTTGTTTTAAAAGCCGCTACGCGGCTTTTCGTTTAGGCTTTGTCAAACCCTGACTCAGGCTTTCCTAACAGATTGTCAACCTCAACTTGAAATATCGTTTATCAATTTTCGTCTTTTAGAGCAACTGGAATTCGATCCCTGGCGAGGCGACTCTGGTCTCAAGGACGGTTGTTTGGAAGCAGTTGACCTCTCTGGCGGCTGGTACCACGATGGCGGCCACGTCAAGCACGCTCTTCCCACGGCTTCTGCTGCGACGATGCTGCTTTGGGGAATGATCGACTACAAAGATGCTTACGCCCAGTCCAACGAATTCGAGTTTGCAAAGAACCAGCTCAAGTGGATCGTGGATTATTATATGAAGGCGCACACTGGCAAATTTGAGCTCTATGTCCAGGTACACCCTTATTTTTAGACCAAAAGGGTCCCTTATTTACGAAAAAGTATATTTTTAAATTTTTGAATTTTTAAAAAATAAGAATTGAGCAAAACGAGAACATCTGCGCTTTCTATTTTTTGATTTACCAAACACGTGACTCACTCAATTATCTTGTTATATAACACAACATGGGAAGGTAGCGATAGGGGTGCCTAATTGAGTAAGTACGCGTTTCGGGGTGGCACATGTTTAGAACGCGTTTTTAGCTCCGGCGCGGGGCAAGGCTGGTGAATATTGAACAATCTTCGTTTAGGTCGGCGACGTCAAAATTGATGACAACTACTGGGGCAGGCCAGAGGAGATGAACATGGACAGGCCAGCTTTCAAGGTGACCCGAAATGAATTTCGCTTTTTCAACCCTTTTAGATCTCTCCAGAATACCCCGGCTCGGACATTGCCGCAGAAATCGCCGCCACTTTCGCAGCTGCTTCGATGGTTTTCGCTGACGACGGTAAGATCATTGACTAATAAGGCCACCTGGACTGGATCTCAAGACTCCTTGGAGATTTACCGCGGGCGAGATGTTCCAGGCGTTACGAAATCCTTTGTATGCGGTTTGATACCAGCCACAGGATTTTCGTATTAAAACATACACGTATTCTTGTAGACTTAACTTAAAAGTTTGCAAGTTCAAAAACAAAGAGTTCACCTCTATTATGCATTATGCAACTCAGTAATCGCTTGTTTTTAGACGAGTTGTACGCGGCCAAGTGCTTGGAACACGCTCGAGACTTGTGGGAATTCGCCTCTACTTACCAAGGCAGCTACAGTGCGCACATTGAGACTGGCGAAAAATTCCAGGTAGATCTTCGTCCCCCTGAAAATCCGCAACCCGGATTTCCACATGTCATTTCCGGCTCAAGGGTTTCCCTCAAGGGCCTCCCTTAAAATACATCCCACGTGACTTAAATTGAAATGAAGGATCTCGTCATAAGATGATTTAAAAATTTTGCGGGCCCGGAAATCGTCAAAAAACTTCTTGTCTAGTTTTGAAGAGCTCGTCGAGACGAGTCGAATGATATATAAAACTCCAGATAATTTTAAGATTTTCCGCCAAAAAAGTGATAAGAAGGTGTCTTATCAAAAATTTTCTGACCGGCGCCGTTTTTGTTCTAGAAAAGCTGAGGTGATGCTTGACCCCGGAAAATGATCCTCATGGTCTGTTCTATTCCGGCAAAAATTTCAGCTCGTCATCATATACCCAGCCGAGTTTATCATTAAATTTCATTTTCCAAGGAAAATGGGACTGTAAATTGGCCAGAAATTAGGAACGTGCAGCGACAACAAAATGCACTACTTTTCTGATTTTTCGCTGATAAGCACAGCAGGATATCTGAGGACGAGCTGAAATTTTTTGCCGGAATAGAACAGACCATGAGGATCATTTTCCGGGGTCAAGCATCACCCCAGCTTTTCTAGAACAAAAACGGCGCCGGTCAGAAAATTTTTGATAAGACACCTTCTTATCACTTTTTTGGCGGAAAATCTTAAAATTATCTGGAGTTTGATATATCATTCGACTCGTCTCGAAGAGCTCTTCAAAACTAGACAAGAAGTTTTTTAACGATTTCTAGGCCCGCGAAATTTTTTTGAAATCATCATAAGATGATTTCCATTTTTCCGAAATTTTTACGAAAAAACTTTCCATTTTAGAACCGATTTTTGAATAATTCGGCTCACGCTGAGCCATATGTAAGTTGGGTGGTTTCGACAAAGCTACTCGCCACTTAGAATTATAAGATTCTCGATAGGGCTTATAAAAAAGAAACGCTTACATGCTACATGCAAGACTAAAAAAAAGAAAGAAAGAAAAAGGATTGATCAAAGAGATTGAATCTGATTATCCTTTTTCTCTTTTTCTTTCTGTAGCCACCGTAACATGCCATGCTCCGTGCGGTTCGGATTTTCAGCTACATTCATTTTTTCTCATTCTTTGAAAATTCCGCTTTTAAAATGTCGATTTTAGCCTGAGACTGGATACATGGATGAGTTGGTTTGGGGAGCTCTTTGGATTTACAAGGCGACTGCTGACAATTACTACCTCGATCAGGGACGGATTCAACACTGTCACAGTTTTGGCGAAATTAAGGCTTTCCAAAGCGATAATAGAAAATACTATTCTTCCTTGTGGGATCATAAGCATTCAAGGCAGGTCTTGAAATGAAGCCAAGGAAGCAGGAGTTCCAAGAAGCTCTGCATTTTCTAGAGAGAGGCTGCACTAGACTATCCATCCATGCAATTTTGATAACAAGTGTTTGATCCCTTTCCAGGCGGAGCGTCTTTTCTCCGAACACGGCTTCTACTCTCCCCGAGTATTTAGCTGGGACGATAAGCGAGCTGGCAATTTGGTAAGTGCTCCCGCTTTTTAATAGACTCAAGCTTCTATCTTTCGATTATCGATTATGAAAATTTGAAGAAAGAAGAAAGTTTTGGGTTTAAGTTTATTTAAATTTTTACAAGGAAAGAAGTAGAAATAGTAATTATTGTTTTCTTTGACTATTATTCTTTTTTGATAAGGAAGTATCATCAAAGCACAAGGGTTGGCAGAATTACGGAAGCCTAATAGTAATAATAGTAATAATATAATAATTTAATAAAAAATGATAAAAAGAGAATAGAAACAGTTGTGCTTGCGACAGTAATTTCAAAATTCTAGGCACGCAGTAGTTCAAACAGTAGCTCAGTCGACTGTAGTTTTCAATAAGACCCTTGATTGGTTGTGAAGGTGTGGTTTTGCCCTGCGGCTTGCGCCTGTATCTTGGTATCGGGAAATTGAAATTGAGTAATTTTAGAATTAATGTAATTGGTTTTTATACTTATGCTGTTTGGTTGGAGATAGGAAAAAGGATGGATAGAATGAACTTTGAGAAGCTTGGACAGGGGCCCGTATTGGGCCGGCCTCGGGCGAGAGAGGGGGTAAGACGAGGTCACGTGGTTTTTCTTTTCAGGGCATTTTCTAATGCCCAAGTTTTAAATAACCAAGGTAGAGAGTTTGTTTGTACACGTGAGTAGGCAGTGTCCATGATACGAGGTCACTCGGGGTCAAGTTAAGGTCACAGGGGTCACGTGATGAGGAGCCAATCAGACGTAGTCGTCGCCCGCCCCGTTCGTCCCCCTGCGTCCCTTCTCATCAGGCCCAGCGTTGCCCACCAAGACCCGCTTCTGGTCACCTGATTTGCCCTTTTGCAGCGCCATAGATTGCTTCGGCTTTTCAGGGCTCACAAGTTTGTTGAAGAGCGCCGCGCTTTTCTTTTCGGCCCCGAGGCGCGTTCGCGGTTTTCGCGATTGATTCTTTCGCTTCTTTTCAAATGATTGTGAGCCCGGTATCTTGTTGCTGGCTGCGAGATTGGGATTGGTCTGATTGTCGATCAAACTCTTCTTGGACTTGGTTGAGCGGTTGAGCCCGGTCGCGCTCGCGCCACTTGCGCCGAGGGTCGGGATGATCGGCGCCGTCGGATCATCCCCTTGATAATCTACTTCCGTGAAAGGAAAATTCATTTGCTTCAGTCAGATGCTCAGACTTTCCAATTTCTAATTGGACTATTTCTCGATCAAACTACAGAATCTTCTTGTTTTCTAGCCAATTTTAAGGGTGTCATCAATGATGACTCATCATACTTATCTAAGTAAGAGTTTGAGCACTTTCCTGAAGCTTGGCTAGTCGCTGCCTGTCCCTAAGTTTTCGATGGCGCCTCGCTATCCAATGCCAGGCCAGATATATCAGCTCCGTGAAGTTTAAAAACATGGACAACAAGGTGATGCCGAACATGAAATGGATAAAGATCGTCTTTTCCGTCGGCCTGGAGGAGTAGCAATCCACTGTGTTTGGGCAAGGATCGACCTAAGGAGATACCTCTCTAGCTCTTGAATTTAGGAGGTGGACTTACTCGGCATTTGTACAGTTCCGGGACGCGGAAGCCGAAAAGTCGATACTGTAATAATAGAAAGGCACATTCGATTGCTGCTCGCAGAACAACCGACATGGTGTAAATCGCAAAGTGTTGGAAAAACGCCTAAAATACAGTCAGTTACAGTTCATTCAAAATTGAATTTTGCCTTCTTCAGGAGCTAAATAATGTTTTAACCTATGTTTTGGCGGGATAATATAAGGGTATCACAATGTAAATGAAGGAAGAAATGACGACTTAAAATCCGGCTTACAATCAAAAGATGCTTGGCCTTAAAATTGAACAGCGTTTTAGAAATTGGAGAAGGGATTACTAGCGATGTTTACGCTGACCACTCAATTATGGTTGATGGAACACGGCCCCTTTGACAAGGAAAATAATTGATTGGACGAGTAAAACATCGTATTAACATTTTCGTAATTAGTTTTCTAAAATTTCCTTTGTTTTAGACCTATTTGGATAGGTTTTCTTTATCAGATCGCGCGCAAAAATAATTCATAAAAAAGGAAAAAGTGAGTTTCCTGAAGTTCTAAAATAGTGCTCCAGGCATTTGAGGGGTTAATAAAGCGGTGGAATTTGGAAAAGAGTTAAACAAAATTAACTCAAGGTGAAACTAATTAGAAAATCACCAACCGACGTGTAGTTTGCTCTAAGTTGCCTCCTTACGTTGCTCTCGAAAGTGACAATTTCAGAGTGATACCCTTAAAATCTCCAAATTTAGAAGCAAAATTCGCAAAAAAGCGCTCCCACGTAGTCAAAGGTTAAACCCCTCGGCCGGCTAATTTCCGCGATCTAAATAAAGCACCAAAGTTGACTAACCTGCTTGTCGTCATCGTCAGATTTGATTTGGTACTTGGCGGGTAGCTGGACGAGTTCCTTGCCGGGCGAGTCGTTCTGGCCCGGGCCGAGGCCCTTTGGACCGCCGAACTTGGATTGGCGCCGGTTGCGTTTTCCCTTGAAGTCTTCGCCCAGCTTGTCTTGGAGCATGAGAAGGTTTGCCATTCTATCTTTGCCCTAGGAACTAAGCTCAAGCCCTTGGTCGTTGTAATTTCGTCTTACCGGCGAAACTTCTTCTTTGGGTTTTTCTTTCTTTGCTCCTTTGCCTCCATCGTTTCCTTTAACCTTGTGCGCACTAGAGAAAATAGTCTTAAAGGCGAGAAAAGAAAGGGTTTCTTACCTGTAGACCATGAAGACGATGGAAGGTGTGCAGACAAGGATAATCTGGAAACTCCAGAATCGAATGTGCGAAATTGGTGAGAACATGTTGAAACACACATTTGTGCAGCCGATCTAAAGTTGACCAATAAGATTTCAAGGGAAAGGGTCCTCCGAGGTTCTGATTGGTTCAGAAACAAAATGGGGCGCTCTAATTGGCTCAGAAGCAACTTGTGTTTCAACCAATCAAAAATATCAAATTGCTTTTTGAGAAGGCTCGAGTTGATTCTGACTGTACCGAGTGAATCATACAGTCAGTTACAGTACCTGTAAGGTGTTGCATTTGAATTCGGACTGTTCGTCAGAGTACACCCTGTCGCCGACCGAGGAGACGACGACAATTCTGTGGCGGGATTTAACCACTTTGCCGACTACTAACAAATACAGTCAGTAACAGTCAGTTGATACTGGCTGTATCTAATTTCGATAATTATTCGCGGCTTTGGAGTGAATTTTTCATCTCGTCTGATAAATATTTTAATTTCTTCTAAACCACTTTCAATATTGAGCCAGCTTTCGAGGAGATCAATTTACTGCTTGAATCAGACAGAAATGTCACTGAGTTCGATAATTGAACGATAAATTATTGAGGATAACTGATGGAACGCCGCGCGCCTGGGTTAAATCCTGCTCCTGAAGATGATGAGGAACGTGAGCCAGAACTTGCCGATAAGGGTCGAATGCTGGTTAACTTTTTGAAGCCAACGCTCGACAAAGTGCCACGACATAAGTCACGGGGATTGGTCAGCCGCTAGCGACCACTAGAGGGCGCTAACTCGTCGAGTTCTTCTGGATATTCTTCTTCGTGGTACTCCCAGTTGAGTTTGTTCGGATCTAGTGGATTGTCTTTCGAAGCCGTTACAGATCGATTTCGCGAGATTACTATCTTTTTATAGCTTGCATGAAATATTCACGCTGCATTGGTTGAATATTCAACAAGCAGATAAATAATCGCTTGAGAGCATTTGGAGTTAAATGGGGCCTCTTTTAACAGAAAATCAGATTCTTCTTTTGAGCCAATAAGAAGCCGTCATTCTTCATTTGGGCCAGTAAAAATGATCGGTCGAACATTTGGTTCATATTATGGAATGGATTGTTCTTTCAAAATCCTATATTTCAGCCAATAAGAATGCTTGAATCTTAATTTGAGCCAATAAAATTTGTTGATTCAAAATTAGATTCTAAGAAGCATACCAGCTGTTTATTGCCTCAACTTTCGAAACAAGGAAAAGCGGATCGGTGCTCGCACTCCTCCAGCAGTGGGAAACCCGCCCCGAGGGGAAAAGTAATTAATCGAGCAATGGTCGATGCTTTTGAAAGAGCGTTTATTAGAAATTCGATATTTGGAAGGAATTAACCCGCCGACGCGCTGCAACTCTCGGGACTTGGTGACCTCACGTTTTAATCGCCCGCCGGGTAGATAAAAACTGTGCGCTATCTCCTCCTGAAGAATATTTGGGGCGTACGCAATATCGCAATCATCAGTGCATCGAATTTTTGCGATAACACTACTAGCTGCCCTTCTAAGCTCAAAGCGTCTCCCTAATCAGTGATTACAAATTAGGGATGAGCTGTTTGGTGGACACCTGTGTACTGAAGTGATAGCCGTAGTTTGTCTTAATAAATCATAATCTGCTTACTTATTGTCAAGGGCCATAAAGAGACCCTACCTCCAAGCGTCAATTTATCTGGGCGCGTGCCGCACCCCTACTAAAACCCTCACTGGGCCATTACGCTGACACGCCATATGGTTAGAGGTTAGATAGGAAGCGGGCCCCTTAAAAGTAGTGCTGAGTTTTAAGAAAGGGATCCCCATAGAGGGAAAAAGAATCGATTCACGGGCCTTGCGGCTTACATTTTCGGGAAAAGATGTTTTTAAAAAACGGTTATCCGATAATCGATCCCTCAGGATCCCCCTTTTTATCGCCTTCTGACGAATGTGTATATTTTTCCCAGAAGAAAGTTTAAATATTAAATCTTCTGAGCACAAAAAGTTTTGAAACGATCAATAGAAATGCTAGAAACTAAGTTAAGGTTCTAAGTCGTGTATAGACCAACATGGATCAAAAATAACAACCCGCGATGGTTAACAATTAACATAGGTCATCCCCTTGTTACCAGGATAAACGTCGGCGAAAATCTGAATTTAGCAGGATAGACCCCTGGCAAAAGGGCCCCCACGTTAGCAGCATAAACTTTGGCAAAAGGGTCATTGTTAGCAGGGTAAACTTTGGCACCAAGTTAACAGGGTTAAATGAATCACCATTGCTTTGCCTCACGGAGCGGGTTTGATTTCCGCCGCTGATTTCACGCTGGAGGCGCTCACTTATGATTCACCTACCCTGTTAATTGAGTGCCAAAGTTTACCCTGCTAACAATGACCCCTTTTGCCAAAGTTTATGCTGCTAACGTGGGGCCCTTTTGCCAGGGGTCTATCCTGCTAAATTCAGATTTTCGCCGACGTTTACCCTGGTAACAAGGGGATGACCTATGTTAATATGGACAAGGGTTATTTATATTTCAGCTGCTCGATGGCGTTGTTGTTTGATCCACTCGCCTGCGGCCAGAGCATTCACTATCATATTAGCAGACTGCTCTGCATTTACAATAGTGACCCCCTTATTGTCTCGAAGCGAAAAATAAGACTAAGGGTGTCACATTGTTAAATCAGCGCGAAAATCTGTTTATACGATTGCTACTCCCTTAAAATTGAGTTGAATGAAAAACTCCCTTACTGTATCAAAATTGAAAAACAAGGCAAACTCGCCGACTTTTAACTCATTTTTGCAACGTATGCAAAAATTATTCCTCCGAGGATAATTCGCGTTAATTGTGTTAAAGGACTTTTTATCCTTAACACCGCCCGAGGCGAGTTAACTCAATTTTCTCGAATCGGAAGACGCGGTAACCAGTTTAGTCGATGATCAACTCAGCCCGTGTGTGTAATCTGGTTGCCGAGCAAGAAGTCAGGCAGAAGTAGAAGGCGTTACTGTAACTACTGACTACTGAGATTTTGCCTTGCGAATTACACTCTACTTAGCGGTGGTGCCCAAAACAGGAGCTATAAAAACCGCACACGCAGAGAGCTTATGGGCAGGAATTAGGGACGAACTGGCGAAATGTCAGACGACACTCGATTTGGAAGTGGCACCTCAGTGACGCTGTTTTTCTCGACCGACAGCGCGGAAACATTTCCGAGAGAGCTCCAAAAATCCATGTCGCTCATCACGACATTGGATAATCCGATATCCGCTTTGGTGTTCCTGCACGAGTTCTTCTCCGCAAAAGCCAATTTGCGGTATTTATTCGATTCAGTTTGGTTTTGATTTTCTGATGATTCTTTTGAGAGCACAGTCTTCAAATGACTCTTGTCTGTGAAGCATTAAGGGGCTCCTCCTATCCAAGGCGAAATAATCGGGTAAAAACAGAAGGGATGCTTAACGCGCCGGCTTACATAAAACCCCTTTTATTCTGATTAAACAAAATCGAAAATACCTAATTAGCGATAGGGTAGCCCTATCCTCCTCCCCTTCGTTTTTCCTGGCTTCTTCGGGAGAATCTCTGAACGGCTTTCCTGAAAATACTTTTCTTTGCGGCGCATAATGCCGCTGGAAGTTCGCCTAGCCGATCATTTTTAATCATTCGAGAAAAAGAAGCAGGATCAGCTCATCCGATCGATCCAACTCTGTCTCCACTGCTGAGAATATTACTCTTTCTTACTCTCCGATAAAGAAACCGATTCCAATCTGAAATTACAGAATTTTAAAATCTTCTCTTTAAAAAATCCAGAAAAGAATCTTCTATCTAAAATCTTCGAAAAATCTTTTAAAAAATAGTCAAATTATTATTTGAAAAAGATATCGTTAGCCACGCCCTTAAAACCTCAAACAAGTTGATTTTTATGAGATCAAAAATTCAAGAGTCAACTTTTTCGCGTTGATTTTTGAAGCTTGTTATTGACATACATTAACTCGCCAAAATAAAATATGTTTTGATATATAATATATCATATCATATACATTAAGGGCGTGTATCTCCTTAATCCTTATGAGAAGGAGGCTGCTTGGCTCATTGAGTCGCCATATTAAAAAAAAGGCTTACTCAATATTAGATATAATGACTTCGACCCGGTGGTTTGACAGAAGGCGATGTTCACGATCATATATAATCGCTCTGCATGTTCATGTAACCTACAGTCACGTGCAGAGCCTCTTCAAGAGTTCGCTTTTGAAAAACTTGATTTGCGAGTTCGAAAAAATAGAAAGCGCGCGGGCATAAATCCTCCAAACTCATCGAAGTGAACCCAAGCCCGAAGAGATTAAAAAATTAATCACCAAGTACAGTAATACCTCTCGCGCGAATTGGCTGGATTAAATATTATCCTCCGGCCTTAACTTTTAAGTTGACTATTATTTGCTGTCTCATCTGCGGCCGGGGCGGGCTTTCTACAGCCAGGCTGAATAAATCCTCGGAGATGCAAAATTCATACTGCGCCATATTGTGCGGAGCATAGAATATCTCTCTTAGTTTCTGCCTGTATATACAGGCTCACGCAAAATCTGCACGACTCGTTATCTTTTTTCTTTAGAAAATTGGTCGTTTACGTCAATAGGTTAAAAGAAATCAAACTTGTCATTTTTTGGTCACTTGTTTGGAAACGGGTTAAAATTTTCAACCCTTCGAATCGAATTCGCTAAAAAGATGGTTAATTTTTTCCTATTTTAAAAAATTATTTCTATTCGAAAAAAGCAAGAATCACGACTCAAAAAGTTCTAATTAGCACCTGAAAAGAAACATCGACTTCCTTAACCCGTTGACGCACGAGCGTTTTAAAATTGACACGGCGATGACAGAAAACGTAACGTGCTCGCCGATCTTACCCAACATGCGTGACAAATAAATGTCATACGCGAAATTAAGCCTAACAAAGAAACTTTCCACTTTTCAAGCACACTTTTTCTCTGGGTCGTAGGAGAGAGTTGTATCTTTACGGGAGCACTCAAGATGCGATCCTGGCAACGCCTTTTGTGGCTTTGCGAATAAGGGATTAAAAATTAACTTGCTTGAGGCTTGAGAGTTGTGGCTCTGAGCAGCACAAAATAGGCTTTATTTTTATTTTCTCTAAGAATCTAAAATATCAGTCTCAAAAAAATGGTCGAAAAAATCAAAATTAGTCGCCGAACAAAAGAGAGTAATTATGCATTTTTAACAAGCGGCGCTCGAATTTTCAGAATTCAAAAAAGAGCCCCTTTGTTTTCTTCTTTTTTTTTCTCCGTGGATTTTGCTTGTTCTCTTCGTTGATTTCAACAACTCTCTGTTTTTTCGTTTTCGTTTTCGTTCTCTGTCTTTTTCCTTCTTTTTTTTTGATGATCATCATTTTCAGACCTTTTTTTCGTCTTCTTTTTTTGCAGGGTGAAAAAGCGCGCTTGCGCCCCAGGGCACGTCGGTACTCGCTCCAAGGCGGAGACTTTGGAAAAAGATGGTGGTGGCGCCATTGTGCGATGCCAACAACGAGTAGTAGCAAGTTGCGGGCACGCCGCACTCGCTTTCTCAACTTGCCGGCGGCGCGCTTGTGCGAATTTATGTCTCGCAAGTCTGCAGCGACTGATTTTGAGGATTTCGCGTTTGAGGTTGATCATCTGTTCTCAAGGGCTGCTCTTTCTGTTGCTCGTTTCTTCGCTGATTTTCGGGCCTTCTGGAGCGTCGTTTTTTTTTTGTTTCTGAAAAGGCTTTGTCAGGAGACATGAAAAATTTAGCCTTGGGCGGGCGTAAACTTGGCCTGAGGGGAGAGCGGCTTCTTTTGTTAAAAAATCGGGGCTGATCCAGGTTGAAGATCAGACGAAGCTGAAGTGGAATACAAAGTGGATTGAAAAGCTCATCTGGATGATGATAAGCGGCGTGTGCCCAAATGCGTGTGCCCAAATTTTTAAGTGCTCTGATTGAATTATCGATCTAGCCGGGAGACTACTATCCACTACAGCACAGAGTACAAAGGCCAGATGCGCTCAAAGTAGTTTCAGGTTTTAAGCGAATTAGCGAAGCCATTTAATCAGCGATTAAGGGTATACACCGCGCAATATGCTCTTGAGAATAAAGTGTTTCGGGGGAGATATAAAACTTCAAAATCGGCACACTTGTAAACTCCCACGGAAAGTTTTAACAAGGGCGAAAATTAAGGTGCCCCGCAGCGCGTGTAAGAAAAATATTTCGACTCAGAAGAGAGTGCTCGAAAGTGCCTTAATTTTGCATTGATTGTTTGACTTACTGAGTGGCCAGGAGAGCACGTATTCTTGTTCAGCGGTTACACTCACGCGCCTTGGGCGAGATTACAGTTCTGAGTGAACAGAAAATTGACAGTTCCTTATTTTTCCGATCGAGATCGTAACTAATCGATTTGGCCCATCCATCATGTCTTCATCCCACTTGTGTGTCTAAACGCCAATCTATCCTGACCCACTGCTGAAGGCTAGCGGTCTGGCCATATAGGCCATATGCCCGGCAATATTGGATAACAATAACTTTTACCCCAATAAGCGCTTCTTTGAAGTTGAAGTTGATCCGAAGCACCTTCTTTTTTCAGTATTTTTTACTTGAGGAATTTTTCAGATCTTCTCTAAGACTTGATATGTTTCTGGATGCTCTCTTTGAACTAGAGGCAGTACTCAGGGTTGAGTAGAAAAAGAGCGATACAAAGGAGATAAGGAAACAATGCGCTCAAAAGTTGAAAGTTGTAATTTTGCATCTTCCGAAAAGAATGGCTTGTAGGGATGAATAAATGCATGGGGGGGATTGTTGTCTGTCCCTTTTCCAAAATCATCATCCCCCTCCTTGTTTCTTTCCGAATGCGGAATTCGCCGTGAATTTAGTTTTAATATTTATGCGTTGCAGGCTTAATCTAGCTGATCGCTAAATTGCTGCATTATTTAGCGGGCTCGCTTGTGTCCGGCTGACATGTGTGCCTAAACATGTCCGAAAGCCCTGACATTTCTCCTTTCCCAACTTCCTAAAATGGTGTAGTAATGTGGTTAATTAAGGTTTTGCTGGCCAAGTTCACCGGGAAGAAGGAGTACAAATCGCAGCTGAACCAGTTCCTGAATTGGCTAATGGAGTCCGCCTACCGAACCCCCAAAGGACTCATCTACCTCGATGATGCAGCCCCCAACCGACACGCCGGTAAGTCGCCAAGCTCATTTATATCATCTAAAACGACTTACTAAATCTTTCCATTTCAGCCAACGCGGCCGTAATCGCCCTCCAAGCGGCTTCCATCTTCACCGATTACCGCACGATGCTGACCAAGTTTGCTCAGCAGCAAGTTCATTACATGCTTGGCGATTCTGGCCGCTCCTACGTCGTCGGTTTCGGCGTTAACCCACCGCAACGCGCTTACCACCGAGGAAGCAGTTGCCCCGACGTGCCGAAGTCGTGCTCGTGGGAGCAGATGAAATCGACGCGAGCGAATCCTCAGGTGCTCTTCGGCGCGCTCGTCGCTGGACCGGATCGACTCGACAACTACGAGGACAGACGGGACAGACGATTCAACGACGTCGGCGTCGATCACACCGCCGGGCTTTTGACAGCCGTCGCTGGGTTGAAACAGGACTCGCAAAAGGCCAGAGGGTTCAGAATCCTCGGCTCATGGAAGGGCTAAATAACCTTCTTCGGGGCTCTTAAGGGTTTCAACAACAGTTCTTAGCTTTTTTTACTGCTAGAATCTTTGTTGAGACCCCCCTTAAGGGGGTAGATATCATTAATCGCAATTTTTAAGCAGACTCCTCTTTTAAAGTTAACATAATGACACCCTTATTTCATTTCTGTAAAGTTTTCAAATAAGGGTATCACTTCGTTAATTTTGAAAGAAATGAATGCTAGATAATCGCGACTAAAGGTGTCTACTCCCTTAAAGCAAGCTTTCTAGCGATAGTTGCACTTTGTGGAATTATCGCTAGAGAGCCCCTTATTCGAGGATTTTTTGGAATAAGATGATTAGTCTGATTAATAAGCAATTTTTACGTTACGAATTATTAATCGAAATCTCCAAAAACTCGACTGTAAATATTTTTTAATTTAAAAAGCGAACACACACTCAGAAGAAAACTGACACCTCGAAAGCCTCTTTTGTACAACGAAAAAAAAGAAAACGAAATTGTGAATAGAAATGCTTTTCACTTTTTCTTTCAACTTTCCTGTAAATAAAACAAAATCAAAACCTCTCAAATACTGTTGATGAAGTCAATGGGTCAAGTTTTGACGGTGATATTTGCGTCAATTGTTTCACGTAGATACAGTAATAACACAGTAGATACAGTAAAATGAATCAAATATGAGCTAAAGAAGCAGATTAAGGTTAAAGCTGTTGATTTGAAAAGAAGAAAAGAACTTTTTGCGGCTCCTTTTTAGACGTTCCATTCACTACTGGTACTTCATTACTGGAAAAATTAATTTTGGAAAAACATCAACTTTCAGAAGAGTGAATAAGAGCCTTTTTGGAAATGGAACGTGAGTTAGTACGAGTGGAAAGAGCTCCATTGAATGTTGAAAGCGAGGAAAGTTGTTGAATCGCGGCGGCGATTGTTTCAAATTCAAGTGAGAGGTACTAGTCGCCAACTCTCTCGAAAACCGCCAAATGATTTTCGAATGCGGAGTTATTCTATCTTTCCCTACGCTACTCACACTGAATACACGTTTTTTAACAAGACTCGTCGACGTTGATTTTTCATGTTTCTTGTCTATTTTTGTCTTTTGACGGAGAAGATAAGGGTTTCAACTATCTTTTTAAAAAATAAAATAAGGGTGTCATTTTGTTAATTTTTCGCGAATACTTTGATTGAAACTCAAGATTCTTCATATATTATTTACAGAAATAACGTTGATAAGCGACTGTAATTCGATGATCTTTTTCGATAATCTCATAAGAAAATAAGCTTCTAGCTCATTTTTAGAGGTTTTAAAAATATTTAAAATGTTCGCCCGCTTTTTTTAGCGAAAAGGTCGTTCGGGAGAAGAAAAAAGGATTACACTTCCCGAAGCCTTTTTAATAATTTCTTGAATTTCCGCAAATGCGCAGAAAAAAAGATGCAGCTGCCGCTCGTTCCAAAATGTTTTTTAAAAGATTCAATATCGAAGCAGGCCAAACAAAGTTGGTAAACAGTGTAAACAGAGTTTTTGGAAAAACACCTCCACGCAACCGATCGCTCAATTATTCAATACTTGCTGAAATTCGCGCGAAGAAAAATGCCGATCCTTGAAATCCAAGGAACATGGATTTATTTTCAACAGAATTCAACGTTTTCGCGGCGGAATTTTTGAAGTTGGGAGAGGCCAGATGCGTGGACATGTGCGCGGGGCCATTCCTTCTGAGTAACTATACGTGAACACTATTCAAATTTTCGCCAAGCCGCACGTACTCGAAAATTCTGTAGCTGCTGATTTTTGATAATTTTGATATGCTATTTCTGATCGAACTAATTATTGAAAATTTTTTATACTTTTTTATTGAAAAAAAAGCAACGTGTTAATACCAGCAACCCTTCGAATCCATGCTCAAAACAGGACAGATACGCTAGAATTTCTGGAAAATCAATACTTCTCCCGGAAGTTTACAACTAGATAACGCTTGAACTGCTCTTAATGCTTTCTCACCAAAAGTTGTTTCATTTTTTTCACGCCTTTAAAGCTTTGAAGCTCTGAGCTAGAATTTATTCATCCCCTGAAAATTCAATCTATCAAATTTCTGGCGAAAAACAGGAGAGATATTTGATAGAGCACCCTTTCTCCCTCGCTTTAGAAAAGAAGGGCAAGGGAGAAAACAAGGTTCTTTTTCGGTTTAGTAAAGAAGCCGCAGTGACATTTTGTTTTCAGAAAGCGTTCACGTAACAATATCAAAAGATCTAAGCGAGGTTTGTTGTGGTCGACCGCCCGCGTCACCTTTTCAAGAATTTTCTTTTTAAGGGACTACTGCAAGCTGGCTCGCGCCCCTCTTCACGGCGCTGTCAAAAATCTCATGCTTCTGGGAAATTTATGAAAGTTAGCATGTCTGTGAAGCAAAGCCTTTCAAATTTACTCTCACTTTCAGAATTTTTCTATGACCACTACAAAAAAAGTTGCGGCGCCGAGAGAAAGTGCGGTTCCGAAAATCTGCCCAGCTCAAACGGCTCATCGGAGGAAGACATAAGTAGTCTCACTGGAAAGCTCGTAGTTTTTTTACCAAAGTTACAAAGGCGCATTTTTGGAATTTAGAACTGATAAGTCCTAATTATCGGATTAAGGGTAAAAATCCCGCTGCGCTCGCGCAAAAAGGCGCTAAATCAGCGTGAGATGGCCCAGCGCGGCAGGAAATTCTGACATATTTGCTTGGCAAATCGAGCCTGATAAAAAATCAAGATATGCGCCGATGTAACTTTAGTAAGAAAAACACGGGCTTTTCTGTGAGACTATTTTTGTCTTCCTGTGATGAGCCGTTTGAGCTGGGCAGATTTTTAGAACAACACTTTCACTCGGCGCCGCAACTTTTTTTGTAGTGGTCATAGAAAAATTCTGAAAGTGAGAGTAAATTTGAAAGGCTTTGCTTGACAGACATGCCAACTTTCATAAATTTCCCAAAAGCATGAGATTTTTGACAGCGCCGTGAAAAGGGGCGCGAGCCAGCTTGCAGTAGTCCCTTAAAATGTTTATTTTTTGCTCAAAAATCATGATCGAAAGACTAATTACCGTCGATTAAATTGCCGAACATCGTATGGATCCTATTTAGCCACGTGTTCATTGATAAGAAACTCTTATCAATAGGCGATTTAGCTCATCAAATCTTTAAACGAAGCTGGTAAGTACTTTCTCTTTTAGAAAAGAATTTCCAAGCAGGTGATTATCTCCAATCGCCTTTTTCGCCCAAGAGCTCGACAATTTTCATCAACATTGTTTTTCGCATTCCGCCTTTGTAAGTTTTCGTAACTGCGCGCTGCTTTTTAGAACGATTAGTAACCGGGGACGTATTTCTGGTCGCAGGTACTTTCGCTGCACCTGGCCAAATGAGCTTCAATCGCCCAAGCCAGCTCAACTAATGAAGTAAATTGACACCCTCAAGCTACTCTAGCTTTGTCTTAGCCCGCCACAAAATAGTACATTACTGTATTTCATTGTTTTGGCGACAGAAATTCGGGCTTTCTAAATTGAGCTTCTGGGGAAAAAACGCGGAATTGTCGCGGGAGGAAGTTATCTTCCGTGGAACAAAGCTGATTCCCAAATTAATTCAATCGACCCAAAATAAAACAAAAATGCCTTTCTTGTGGTTCTTTTTTTCTCCGTTTTGAGATGTCATATTCTGGTAAGCAAATCCCAGGGGTGAGTGAACTTTAATTTTGCTCATTAAACCATCGCTCCGAGTTTTTTTACCAAAAATAAAATATTCAATAGCAGCGAATTCAGATTCGAAAAAAGTGCATCTCGGATTAGCAAAAACATTCGACAATAGGATTTAAGAGAAAATCCAAAAGGATGAGCCGAAATCTCACTGTAAGTCTTTTAAACACTCAAGATTGTAGAAAGAGATTTGAGAATTATAATAAATTCAGACGATCGCTCGATTTGTGCGGTGACCAGCTATTTTTTGAGGCTGCTTGGAAGCTCGGTTCTTATTTGATTTAAGATTGGAGAGAAGCTTTTTCTCCCGCTGATGGAAGAGCCAGGAGCGATTAGTTATTTGGTGATGAGTGTTCTCAGCATTTTTGGCAGTATTTTTGGAGAAGGTTCCCTTTTCTTCGCAAAATTGACAATCTCAGGCCTTCTTTTTGAAGTTTTATCGACAATCTTTGACTTCAATCTTTGTCGAAGATGTTCTTTCTTCTAAAAACGCCTATGGAACCTTGAGAAAAGTATCGTTATTGATAATATTCCGCTGCGATGTTCGTAAATCTTGCAACATGATTGCCGTTTTCGTCAAGTTTTCCAATCGAGTTTCTTTTTTATTCACCTACTTAGAGCTTTATTCAACGCTTGTTCCGAGATTCAATAAGACCAGAAAATCAACAGCGTCTTAGAACCGTCGTAATTGTTACTCTCAAAACGAAAACTCGAGAAAGTCGGAAGTAAACCACTCTTCAAAGTTTCTGACTGGGGAAACATCAAGCCGCCTCAAAGTTTCAGCAGCAATGGTAAGAGAAGACCCCGGTTTCGGGGCGAGTAAAAATTAAATTATATTGAATATAATCAATTTTGTCATACAAATCTTTTCATATATTAGCTATGACGGGATATTTATGCTTCTGACTCATCAGCTCTAGAAATTGACAAAAACTTTTAGGTCATCGAAGAAATCCTCGTTCCCGGCTTCTTGGTCGCCACAGTAGCTCACTGACTGTAACAGAGTATTACTGCCACCCTGAATAAAGGCTAATGAACTGGTAGTCTTCCTTGATTTCACTTTTCAAAGAAAAGAAACATTGTGAAAATTAGCTGTCATAATAAATTGCATGGCAGTAAACTTCGCGCGAGTATTACTAATCCAGTCGAGGTTGGTCCTCTTCACTTTTTGGCGATAATCTTTCTTGATCTATGTCGAAGAGGCCCTAGTACTGCCCGAATCAGTTTCTTCGCAAGCGCGACTCTTCCCTGCGAGCGACTTTGTGTATTTTTTCAGAGGAAAGAAACATTGAAAATGACCGGTAAGAATGAATTATTTGAATCCTTTCTTTACGAAAACATAGAGGAAACGGTAGTAGAAGAGCCTTCAGCAGAAGAAGTTCCGGCTGAAACCGCTGAAGCGCCACCTGCCGAAGATGATCGAGACCCATTAGGAACTTGGAGAATTCTAGAGAACCCGAAGAAGATCCAGACTTCCGAAGGCGCAGATGTGTCCATCACCATCGTTCTCGGAAAAGGAGAAATTCTCAACAAGGTACCTCCCACCCAGAATTTCCAACCACCAATTTTCAGCCCCGAATTGTGTGGATCAAAGGAAAATGGAACGAGATCACCAAGGGCGACCGATACAATATGGAAACGACCGAGAGCATCGGAAAAATTGAGGCTAAGATGACATTCAAAGCGCCTAAGATGTCCGACTCTGGCTTGTACACTGTCAGGATTTTCTCCCGATCCGAGAAAGTCGAGGATACTTTCAACTTGCAAGTCGGACCTTATGATGGAACTGAGAAGAAAATCGTCATCGGCAAGGCTCGAAAAAGGTACTTTCTGCAAAGAAAATCGATCGGAGCAAAATTCTAGCGTTCAAATCGAGCAAGAAAACATGGATGTCGACTTCAGAGCTCGTCTCAAAAAAGTGTATGTTCATCATTCCACACTGCATTTTTTCAGCAGATATCTTCTTCAGATATCTTCTACCGCTACTATTTTCATAATTATCGCTTCCGCTCATTGAATTTCTCGGAACCCGCGAAAATTCAATTCTCATCTCATCTATCATATGTCGCATATGATCATTTTGTGCATCAAGGTGTGTTTTTCTTCATTGAACCTATTTTTGACTGTCTGAAATAGCAAGAAGAAGGAATCCGAAGGCGGCGGAGTTTCTGGAGAAATCTGGAACGTCCTCAAGGTAAATTTTTATACCGAAAATTTTGTAGAAAGCGTTTTGATTCAAGTCTGCCGCTGCTCGAGATCATGAAAAGATCGCCTTCAAATATGGCATTTCTGATTTGCGTGGCATGCTCCGACGACTCAATGATACAAAAAAGAATAACAAGAAAGGAAACAGTAGGTTCCTTTATTGATACAGTCGCTCATCAATATTTCAAGTGTTTGCGATGCGATTGAACGACACCGCCGCCTACCAAGTTGGAGACAAAATTGTGCTCACCTGCGAGCTGGTCAACGAAACCCACAACGTTCGCTGGTTCCAGAACGGTCGGGAAATCACCTCGAGCAAGCGTGTTCAATGCTCGGCAAAGGGAGCAACGCGAACTTGCATCATCGATTCTGCCCAGATCACCGACGACTCTTCAATCTACTGCGTCTGCGGCGACGAGCGAACCCAGTGCGAAGTCTTCGTCCGAGCTCCTCCAGTCACCATCGTATCCGGCTTTGAAGATCTTGCCGTGACAGATGGAGAAGAAGCTGTCTTCAAGGCCACTATCTCAGCCGAAAACGGTCGCTACAAAATCCTCAAGGACGGTATCGAGCTTCAGCGAACCGAACTCGTCAGGATGAAGAAACAAGGCGTGGAAGTCACTCTTACCCTTCCTGCTGCGAACCTCGACGATGCTGGTTTCTACCAGATCCAGACCAACGGGGATGAGTCATTCGCTGAACTGCTGGTTGAAAAGAAAATGGTCGAGTTCAAGAGCGGCTTCGAAGACTGCAAGGTCAACTTTAACGAAAGTGCCGAGTTCAAATGCGAAGTCTCAGATCGAGACGCCGTTGGAAAATGGTTCAAAGACGGAAAAGAAGTCGAAGCATCTGACCGAATCGAAATCCGAGATATTGGATGCATCCGAAAGATCACCATCAACAACGTCAAGCCTGAAGATCAAGGCGAGTACGAGTACCGCGTTGACGGCAAGAAGCCAATCAAAATGGCCGCTTGCTTGGAAGGAGTCGAAGTCGTCATTGAAAAGAAAAAGGAAGCGCCAAAGCTCTTCCTCAACCAGAGCGCTTCCAAGGAAATTACCGTCAAGGTTGGCGGCACTGTCGCCTTCGATTTTGGTATCACTGGCGATCCTAAGCCAAAAGTTGAGTGGCTTTTCAACGGCGATTCACTTTCTGAAGATGGCAAAAGAATGCAGATCATTGAAGAAGGCGACAAGACAAGTCTCAAGATCAACAGCGCTAAACGAACTGATACGGGCCTTTACTGTATTCGAGTTACCTCCGAAGCTGGTGAAGATAACCACGAAATGGTCATCAAGGTCATCGATCTCCCTGGTCCTCCTGGCAAACCTGTCATATCCGACCTCAACGACGAGAGCTGCCGTGTCGACTGGACCCCTCCACTCGACGATGGCGACTGTCTGTCCCGAGGATACATTGTCGAGCGAAAGAAGATCAAGGCCCAGCGATGGATTCGCCTCAACGGAGAGTTCTGCAACTACCACAATTATCACGTGCGTCGATTGGTCGACGGCAACACTTATCAAGTTCGTATCACGGCTGTCAACGAGTGTGGCACTGGCCTGCCATCTGACCCCTCAGAACCATTCACGCCCATCGCGCCAACTTCTGAAGTCACTAGCTTCCGGCTCGGCAAGTTGACTGACACTTCCATCGAACTCAACTGGCGACAACCAGCGGATATTGGCGCCGCTGGAATCGGTGGTTATCTTATTCAGCAGCAAATCCTCCCCGGCAAAATGGGCATGGCAAATGCTGAAGATGCTCAAGAAGATGCTTGGACTGACGCGCGAGATAATCTCCTGTCAGCTCAAACGATCAAAATCAATCTTGACGCTCTCGACACCGGAAAGAACTACTACTTCCGTATTTGCACTGTCAACGCTGCAGGCCGCTCTAAGTGGGTCTACGTTGGTCCAGTTTGTTGCGCAGAGTCGATTGAAGATCCCCAGATTGTTCTTCCAAGAGCTTTGAAGAGACGAGTCACGGTCCCTGTTGGCCAAAAGATCCATCTCAATGTGCCTATCCAAGGCAAGCCGAAGCCAGCTATTTCCTGGAACAAGATAAACTTTGTTGAACGAGAAGTCAAACCTCCAACTCCGGAACCAGTTGTTGAACCTGAACCAGTACCCGAACCCGAACCGGTTGTTAAAACCACTCCTGAACCAGTAGCTGAAGCACATGTCGAACCAGCTGCTGAGGCAGAACCTACAGCAGAAGGAGCGACAGAGCCTGCTGCAGAGCCAGCGGCAGAAACTGAACCAGCTCAAGAGGCAGCGGCAGAACCTTCTTCCGAAGCTGCGCCAGAAACTCCTGTTGAACCTGCTGCTGAAGCTGCTCCTGAGGCCGCACCAGAAGCAGCTCCTGAAACTGCGCCAGAGCCAGTTAAAGCTGCTACTCCACCTCCACCAGAACCTGTCTTTGAAACTGTTGAAGAAATTGGCGAAATCCCATCTTTGGCAACTGTCAGAAACGCTGCGGGAAGCAGTATTCTTCACATTCGAGAATCTGAACGATCAGACTCTGGCATTTATCTCGTCACGGTCAAAGTCGGCGACAACGAAGTCAGCGCTAGAATTGACGTCGCTGTTGTTGATGTACCAAGCAAGGTTATTAAGCCAACGATCAAGGAAGTTATTGGCACTGCTGTTTGCCTTGAATGGAAAGCGCCAAAGGATGATGGCAACACTGACATCATCGGCTACATCGTCGAGAAGCGCACTAAGCGACACGGCAAGGATGGTGAGTGGTACATTGTAAACGATAAGGTTCGCCACAAGCAGTGCCAGGTGCAGGACTTGATTGTCGGCAACGAGTATCAATTCCGCATCCGAGCGTTCAACGAAGTCGGAGTCGGTCCAGATTCCATTACAAAGGACTTCGCTAATATTACCAAAGAAGCCTTGACTTTCAACCGCTTCCTGCCGGAAAAGAAGGAGCTCTTTTACGCACCAGAATTCACGACAATTTTGAACAAACGAAACCTTGTCGTTGGATTCAACGCGATGCTCCACTGCGCTGTCAAGGCACTTCCTCCAGCAAAGATCACCTGGTTCAAGAACAAGATGCCATTGCCAGATGTTGGCAAGTACATTCAAAAAGATGAAATCGGAGTGGTGCAGCTCGAACTCATGCGAGCAAAGACTAATGATACTGGAACTTATACCGTTGTCGCCGAGAATTGCCATGGAAAGGTACTGATGCTATTTGATTTCTCGCTCTCATTGCTGATTTCAGGCCACCCTCGAGTCCTACGTCATCGTTCGAGAAGCTTCTGAGCGACTTCACGAGTGAACTGATTCCTGAACACCTAATTTATGAAAATTGAAGAAAACCTTACTAGCTACTCTGAACCTCTTTTGTTTACAAAATACTACTGTTTTCTATTGTTTTATACACAAATTAAAATCATTCAATTCAGAAATCGGTTGAATTGAAATTGAAAATCATGAACTCGTCGCGGTACACTTGCGATGTCTGTCAGAAAACATATCATTTGGGATGCCAAACTTGAAATGCCCATCAAAAGAGAAAAAATATAGAGTGAGGAAAGCAGGCGCACTTAGCACTCTACTGTAGGTGGTTGTTTTTTGCTAGTTTTGCATCCCGGGCAAGTCACAAATCGTCACTTGATCGACATAAACGGCGTCATACTGGAGAAAGGCCCTATAAATGTGCAAAGTGTTTGAAGTCTTTCGCAAGTTGGGATCTTTGGGAACGGTTTTTGGAATTTTCTATCTCCAATTGGAATCCAATATTCCGAGCCGTCAAAAAGAACTACCACACAGAAAAATGCCAAGGCGGGCAAGTCTTCAAATGCGACTTGAAAAATGAGCACGGAGAACAATGCGACTACCAGACACCCATCAAAAGACATTTGCTTTCGCACAAGGTTTAAACGAGTTTTCTTCCATGATTGCAGTGACAAGTGAGTTTGCAGCGAAATTATTCACACCCGTCAGACTTGAATGAGAAAGTCTTTGTTGAAATTACAGTAACAAAGAAGCATCATTTTCTTAATGGAACATTCTAAGACGCGCCATTTCTTCTCCTTTCTCATTTCTCTGACCACATAAAAATCTCCTCCCTTTGAACTTCTCGTAATTTAATAACGCGATGGAATGCGCCTGGCTTTCTAATTTTGCTGTACTACTTCTCTCGTGCTGTGTTTTGCCAAAACCAAGGGACGAGTTTTCGAACATTCGTTTTGGACATGTCACATGAACTATCAACAATATTTGAGCTGCAGCAACAGAAGCATGAAAAGATGTTCACCCACTGCTCAATATGCGGATACAAAACTAAATGCCAAGATGCCATGGAAAGACATCGATTCGAACGACACGATTTGCACCAGGAATTGATCAATCTTCAAACAAAGAAATCATCGATAGTAGCCCAATATATTATCAAATATATAATGATAAGACTGATCACCCTTTGAAGCTTCAGCCATGTCTTATCCGCGAAGTGTCAGATGAAATGTCGACGGCGACCGAGTCGAGCTCCATAATTGATGATTTCTCGTCTCAAGTAACCTCGATGGTATTTCGCTAATTTTTCTGATTTCTGATTTGCAGGTGTCAAGCAGCTCGGTTTGGTCGACTTCGGTCGATTCCTCCATTATCAAGCCGACTTCTGTCATGTCTGATATGGAGCTAGACCACGTGATGGATACTTCGAGTCGTCCCAATTCGCCTGTGGCGGAGGATCCTTACGGGGAAATGGGAAAAGTCTGTGCTTTCAGGTCAGTTACGATTTTCCGGCCGCCTTGGTTATGTCGCCAAATGTCGCCGATTGTCGCTTAATGTCGCTTAATGTCGCTGAATGTCGCTGAATATCGCCAAATGTCGCCAAAAAGGCAACTTTCATTCGACGAAATACAGCGAAATTCAGCGACATTCAGCGACATTTTACGACATTGGGCGACATTTGGAGACATTTGGCGACATTCGGCGACATAACCAGTGTCGCCCCATTTTTCGGAGGGTTATTTTCGAATCTAATTTTGAAAAAATCGGTCAGGAAAAATAGGATTGAATGATTGCCCTTTCTCTAAAAGTCAGTGCTTCCCAAAGTGGTAGAAGGTACCGTAATTAAGTAATCGCATCGGATAATCCCTTTTTGTGAATATACGAGCGCGGAGGTTTGTTATACCGCTAAACAATTTGTGGATTGCAAATTCACGACAACGTGTACTTTCTACACGTTGAAATTGTCTGGACGCTCGAGATTATAGCTTTCATCCCGCTAACGACGAATTCCGACACTGACAAATGACGCAACGGCCTCCTTTTCTTGGCAAAAACATTAGAAAATTAGAGCGCCTCAAATTTCGCCATTTAGAAGCGTTTGTCTCTTATTCTCGGTTTCACGGTACTAAAATTTCTGTAGCCTATAAAGAAATTCACAGTTTTAGCTTAGAGATGAAATCAAGCTTTTTTACTGGCTCTGACCAAGATTCAAGTGTTTTGATCGGCTCATCAAGAGAATCCGGTTTTCTGATTGGATGAAATCTTTAATCTAGCATTTCCATTGGCTCAAAAGTAAAATCAAGCTTTCTTATTGGCTCTTACCAAGATTCAAGCGTTTTTATTGGCTAAAAGAGGAATTCGGTTTTTTCATTGGCTGAGATTTTTAATCGAGCCCTCTTATTGGCTAAACGAAAAATCAAGCTCTCTCAGGGATGAAAAAAGCCTGACTGTATTCTAGGACCGCTCAAGTAAGCGACAACAGTATCCAGCTAAAATGGAGAAGGCCAATTTCGACCCGCGGGGAAGTTATTCATTCATTCAATCTTCAAGTTCAAATACTTCATACTCAAACTGAGGTAACTTCTTTTTAGGTCATCCTTCGTTAAAAATTCAAAAAGCACCGTTGCATTCATTACTGTATGTATTTTGAGGCGAGCGAGGGAAGGGCGGAGAACGCCGTCCCAATCTGGATGGATCTGTTGCAAGTTCAAGGAGGCAAGCACGAGGCAACCGTCACCGCGCTGGAGTGCAATATCGACTATAGATTTCGCATTTGTGCGGTCATGGAGAATGGCAGAGGACCGTGGAATGAAATTGGACCCTTGCGCACCGGCAAGTTTATCCTCAATCCGCGGTTTCAACCTCCAAGGAATATGCTCAAGCCAAATTCGGGTTGAATTTTTTCGCGTTACCAAATTCGTCCAACAGCATTCTCCAAGATAATCGATAAAAATCAGCATTATTGCCAATAATTGGTCAAAAATTGATCAAATAAATTGCCAAAAATGCTCGCTCAAATAATTTTAACCCATTGGCAGGGCCCAATCAAGGTGAAAGCCGGGCGGAAATTCACGATCAAAATCCCCTTCGAAGCAAATCCAGGCGCATCAATTCGATGGATAAGGGATGATGGAGCAAATGGGGCTCGGACGATTCCGTCAGAATTCAAAATCTACTCCAGGTAAGTTTTAGCTGAAAATATGACCCGATTTGATCAATAATTATGCAAGCTAGCATGATTATTTAGCTCTGACAGTACATCACTGTACGTCTCGTCGCCCGAACTAGACGACAGCGGAAGCTACAGTATTCAGCTGCTCGATGGGAATTACCGGGACTTCGTAAAATTACATCTTCTAGTGGTAAATGTTCCTGGCCCGCCGCTCGAGCCAACGGTTAGTCCATTATTTTAAATTTCTAATCGACTTGTTCTTACGCCCGGTACAAGGATACTCTTGTCCAACATTCGAGGGATCGATAATCATAATTTCCTCGTTCTTTTTTTCCTTTATCAGTAGCACTGCTGATTTTCTTTTTTGAACGATAAGGCGGGAGGGCTTATCGCCGCACGAATATTTTTACGCGAAATTTCCAAAACAACCCTTTTTGGGATCAACAGGATCAGGAAAAAATAAATTTCTAAAGAACGCCCAAAATACATGTATTTCGCTAGAAAATGTAAATAAAAAAAGTTGAGATTGATAGAATGTCTCTTTTCAGATCTTGCAAGTGGTCTCGAATACAGTCGAGTTACAGTGGAAGCCTCCGAGAAGCGACAGTAATAGCGCCATAACTGGATATTTGGTGGAAAAGCGCGATGAACGCAGCGATGATTGGTTCGTCGTCTACGACCGCGTCCGTCAAAGCTGCTGTTCCATCTGCTCCCTCGTCGTGGGAAACAACTACTTCTTCCGCATCAAAGCCATCAACGATGTCGGCGTCGGTGTTCCCGTCGAAGTCGGCCCAGTTTGCATTCCAAAGCCTGCGCCCGTGGATTTGAGTCTCTATGCGCCGCAATTGTCAAACTGGGCAGAAATGATTCCTCCCCAGGAGAGGCCTCAAAAGCCGGAGTTTACTACTCCGCTCAATACTCGAACCCTTGTCGTTGGATACAGGTAAATATCGATGAAAATACGCATATGGTCCATATGATATGGACCATCATTGTCCAAGATCCAGATTTTCAATTAAGTATTTCTTTTTACTGATTATTATAATTTATAAATATTTCAATAAATAAGTAATACTTTCAATTCATGAAAAATCTGGATTTTTGATCACCAATTTGTGATCTGGGATCGGCAACCTGAGTATAAAACCTGATTTAAGGGTGTCCACATCGATAAGGTTAAAAAATGGCGAAATCGATGTTGACACTCTTAAGCATTTTCAGGACCCTGACTCAGGTTTTCTACACAGACTGTCGAGCCCAGACAGTAATTCTGTCTTACCCGTCTTTTTCAGTGGCACCCTTACCTGTGCCATTCGCGGTTTCCCTCGCCCAACAATCAGATGGTTCAAAAACTCCATCGAGGTGACCACCCACCCCCGATTCCGCGCCAGCTGGGGCCAAGGAATCATTCAGCTCGAAATCCTTCGTTCCTCCTTGTCCGACGCGGGAACGTACACTTGCTTCGCGCAAAACGCGTTTGGAGAAGCCGCCGTCACTGCTGATGTCTTTGTTCGTCAACCAACAATAATGAACTGTTCAAAAATATGAAAATAATTATTTTCAATAAACTTGGATTAAATGGCGAGGAAATAATTTTCGACGGGTAGAGATGAGAAAGCGAGAAATTGATGGATTCGAATCGCTTTGAAATTCTGATGCGAAATGCGTATACGAAAGTATGCGTGAAAAATGCGGCGCCAGGGAGCCAGCATATTCGCCTCGGGGCGGATCATCGAGATGTGTGCCTAAACCGCAGGCGTTTTACCACCGATTAAGCTAGTGTAGCACTTCTCTTTCTGGAAAATGAAAGTTGAGAGATAAAAAAAGAAAAAGATTGGAAGGAAGATTTTTCGAAAAAGAAGGATTATCTGGAATTACTGAGCAACAAAATTAAGGTAACTTTGAAATAAGGCTTTCTTATTGGCTGAATGACTAAATAACGCTTTTTGATTGGGTCTTTTTAAAAGCCTTTATTTTTGAATTATCTTTGAAACAGAATAAAGGTGAGTTTATAAAAGAAGCTTTCTTATTGGTTTACCCGCTGAACAACGTTTTTTAATTGGATATTTCATTTTTAAAACCAGCATTTTTTAATACTTATGTGAAGAAAATTTCCACAACGCTGCATCTAAAAATGGAAAAAAAGCACTTTAAACCCGCCTTGACCCAAAATACGCCAGCGCCCTTTGCAAAACAAACCTTTCCATTCATTTTCTTTTTTCTTTCCATTTTGAAAATGAAAGTTTTCAGCGATCATAGAAAGCGTTAAATTTAGTAAAGTTGTTTGTGGACTGTCTGACTCAGCGCGCAACGTGTGCTCGTTGAATTTTGCAAATCCCAAGATTTTAAACAAACGCTTGTTTTGGACATAAAACGCGCATTTATTATCAGAAGGATTTAAGTTAAGATCTGAAGAATGCCTGACGTACTCTCTGGTACGTTCGATTCAAGTGCCAAAAGAAGTTACATACCAAATCCCAGTTTCTTATTGGCCATCAGAGAAAATTCGAGCTTCTGATTGGCTACTGGATTGATTTTTAACTGGTCCAATAAAAAAAATATAAAATAACTCGTTTTTGGCGTCTTAGCCAATAAGACGATCGAAATTTCCGACTGGACCAATGAGAAACTCGGGTTTGTTAAAAAATTTTACTTTTGACAAATTGAAAAAACCTCCTTCCTTTCCTTGCTAAACAATGATGGCTTTTAATAGTCTTTTTATTCTGTACTTTCAAATCTTCCAAGTTCTGATTGAACCTCCGAGGGTCACGTGGCTACTAAAGTGTTCTAATAAAGCGAGGCATATAAAAAGAAGTGCCGATATTGCGGCTATTACCCGGGCCATATGCAGCAAAATTGATCCCTAATATGATTTCAATCATTCCAACTCCCGACTGTTTCTCCAAAAGTAGAATAGTAACAACAGTATGGATCTACTGTTTATAATGTGGCATTAAAAGGCCTTTTATTTGGCTATTGTCTGGGCTGAGCTTCATTACAAGAGATAAGAAAGTCTGGTTTCAGGAAAATTGATGATGAGCATGCGCCGAAGAAGGGATTAGCTAATTATGGTTTCGGATTAATTGAGCGCGCACTTGCTATTTTCCCTATCTACTGCAAAATCCTTGGCTTCGAGAAAAGTCGCTCAGACAGAAAAGTCAGCTAACTGCTGTTTTCAGTGATGCTCTCATGGTGCGAATGCAATGGTGGGCTTATTTGCTTATGCTCGCCGTGTACATTGTCTACCTTTTGGTAAGAGAGAGACAGCTGCTGAATTGCTCAATTCGGAATGAGCTCAATGCTAGCACCGGATCAGCCAAGCCGTTCATTTGTGTTCTAAAACGAGCGCAAGCGGCGTTCTTTTTATACAAAACAATGCGACAAAAATGTTTCAAATATTCTGTGCTTTCAGATAGGCGCCGCGGTCTTCCAAAAACTCGAACAGCCTTTTGAAGAGAAGGAAAGGTTTTTCGATGTTCTAGCTGCTTTAAATTCAAATCGAGCGTTTTTATTGGCCAAAAAGTGAAATCAAGCATTTTTATTGGTTCAAAAATACAATCAAGCTTTCTTATTGGCTAATTGATTGAACGAACATTTCTTATTGGCCGATTGATAGAACAAAGCTTTCTCATTGGCTCAACGCTTAAATTCGGCATTTTGATTGGCCTTTGAATTTGACATGATATAAATTCAAATAAATCGTTTTTATTGGCTTAAAAGATGAATTAAGCATTCTTATTGGCTCATTGATTCAATGAACATTTCTTATTGGTCGATTAATAGAACGAAGCTTTCTGATTGGCTCAAGGCTTATTTCCTGCATTTTCATTGGCCAAAAGACTTGAAAACCCAAAAAAGCGCTGCGACGACGCAAAATCAAAAGTTCGCGAAAAAAAGGACGAATTTGGCAATGAGCCGAACGGGTCACCAATTTCTCATTCCGAAATTAATTATGCTCATCGATCATTGAAAACGATATTGACGATAATATCGATAGTTGATGGTTTCGTGATCCAAACTCAGTATTTTTACATTTTTGGGCTGAACAAAAAGTTCTGCGATGGAATCGATCAGTGGAACAAAAATGAGACGCTTTCCAACAACACCTCTGAAGTCATCAAAAAACTGATCATGGAATGGAAATCTTACGAGTAAGTTCTTCGAAAAATTGCAAGTATTACATTGGCAGGATTATAGCTAGCTTGATTATTTTTTGTTTCTAAGCGGGTTATAATCCTGGGTATTAACGACGATAGTTTATTACTTTTGTAATATTTAGCTGCTCGCAGGAACGAGAAGACAACGCGTGGAAGACCATTCAGAACAACAAGACGCAGGTGCAGGAGTACATCAAGGTCTGGAAGGCGATTGCGGCTCCTGTTCTCGCAAAAAGTTTTAATGATGAGCTTCTGGAACGGCTCATGATTCATGAAGAAAATAAGGGTTTCCCCTTCAAAATTCGGAAAAAAGGGTAAAACGAATAAGGGTGTCACTGTCTTAACCCGTTGCCGTGCGCGAGCACACGACACGCCCCGAGGCTCGAAATAGGGCAGTTTTATTGGCGTAGAATGCGGGAGGCTTAAAATTGCATTCTACGCCAATAAGAATGCCTTATATCAAGCCTCGGGGCGTGTCGTGGCAGCGAAATTGCCACGCGGTCGGCAACGGGTTAAGATTCGTAAAATCCGCAAATTGCATATTATATGAAAATGTCATTCTATGAAATGATGATTGGAAAATTGAGCCAAATGAAAAGAGTATAAAAGGCGAAACAGTGCGAAAAGTGATGGAACGCACAGCCCAATTCGGCATCAACAATTACTTGGCCCTGAAGAAAGATTGTACAGATCATTGGAACTTCCACAACGCCTTTTTCTTCGCGGGCACAGTAGCTACTACGATTGGATACGGTAAGTCCGAGCGTTCTAAAGAAAAAATCAAGAAATAACATAATATTTGCAGAGTAAATCGCTCGGACGCTCGAACTTTTCGCGCAAGAAATTAAAATTATGGAGCGTCATAATTTCGAGTTTTGATTAAAAAGTGGCGCCTCGGTTAATTAATAAACTCGTAATCGGATTTCAGGCAACATTTCGCCCTCCACCAACCACGGCAAGTTGTTTTGCATAACCTTCACGGTCATTGGAATCCCCTATTTTGCATATATGGTCGGTGCACTTGCCGAACTCATCAGCTACAAAATTGATGACATTGTAAAGACACGGCTTTTCGAATAATAAAATAGGAGTTTCGAAAACTTTTCGAGAAAAAATTTCGAAAAAAAAAAATCGAAAAAAAAAATCGAAAAATTCGAAAAATTTCGAAAATTTCGAAAAAAAAATCGAAAAATTCGAAAAATTTCGAAAATTTTGAGAAAAAAATTTCGAAAAGTTTGAAAATTTTCGATAATTTCGATAAAAAATTCGAAAAATAAAAACGAAAAAAACCTGCATATTTCTGCTTTGGGCAAAAAAAGCCTTGCTGAAAGAAATTCCAATCAAAATCAATGACGAAAATTTCCCCTGGCGCAATTTCTTCGCTCTACGTTATCCTTGGCTGCATTTTGTTGATCGTCATTCCAAGCTACGTTTTTACCCTTGTCGAAGGTAAATTGAGCGCGCAAGTGAATTTAGAAAATGTCACGCGCGGCTGATTGCGATGTCGACATTTTAATTAGCTCTTAGATCACTTTCTTCTTCTTCTTTTTAAATTCAGATTGGAGCATGCTCGACGCCATTTACTACAGGTACGGTCAACTTGTTCTTTGCCATAACTGGACAATCAAATAGCGTCATCTCGCTGACAACGATCGGATTTGGCGACTTGATACCGCGAAATGAACCGCCAATGTCAAAAGCCATCCATGTCAAAAACGAGTCCATGTGCTTATGTTATGGTTTCACAGAAAGAAATTTAACTGGTTAAGGCTAGAGGGTAAGGGATTTTGTCAGATGTGTCTGTCGATTCAAGGGTTCGGAATAAACGGGTCTTCTGATTGGTCCAACTCAACATTTCGAGGCTCTTATTGGTTCATATTGGTTTATCGCTTATTCAGTGAAGATAACGATCAGGGTTAAATGTCGCTTCTGATTGGTTCAACTCGAATTTGAGACGTTCTTATTGGTTAATCTTCTCAGCTTAATTATTAAGAGTCCCCCATTGCTTATTCATTCAAAATTAGGCTAAGGATTAAATATGGCTTCTGATTGGTTCAACTCAAATTTTCGATGTTCTTATTGGTTAATTTCATTTACTCAATTTCTAAGTAAATGAGACGAAGAAACAACAAGATAATGATTTAAAATCGAGCTACAGTAATCAAATGACAGTAATTATTTGATAACTATTTCTTGGCTTAAGTAGGGCGACTAACAAACGCCTCGATTACTAAAAGGAAACCATGCAAAGTGAGTTGATTAACCCGGTGCCATCGCAAGATGATGTGATCAACAACCAAACAGGACTGAGCAAAAAGTGCGACCCGGTATGCTTTTTTGACAAATCTCACGAACACGCGGGCTTATGGTGTTTAGAACGAGTGGCCCGAAGATATTAAAATCGTGTTCAACTTGTACAGAGTGATGGTGTTCTTTTGGATTCTCGCCGGGCTCACATGGCTTGGTGGCGTTGTTTCCATGCTCACCGATCTCCTTAATCTTTCAGTTTCTTATCAGTTCGACATTTCTATTTCAAGAGTAAGTTCGCGTTGAAAAGTCACTTTTGATTGGTTCCAGGTCTTCCGAAAAGGCAGAGTCGTCTTCCCTCCAATTTGGAACCTTCTCGGTAGCTCCAATTCCGAGTCAAAATACATCACGAAAAACGCTAATAACAGGACGGCAGACGGGAAAGCACTGTATAATATGAACAATACAAAATTGGCGTACATGAACAAGCTCAATTACAATCAGCTCAGGTAGCCCATTCTCCTCATTATCATCCTCCATTCTCCATTCTTCAAAGCCCCTATCGCAATCGAATTCGTCTCGATAGAAGTCCTATCGACGACGACAACGAGTTCTACCGCCGGATCCACAACTCGACCGACATCGACGAGCAAGTAGATCTTGACGACTTCCAGCGGCGCAATCGGAAGAATCTAACCGTAAGCGCGTTAGGCCCGGCCACCGCAAGTGTTGAGATTTTCGCTCGCTCTGACGTTGGCTGAGGTCGCCTCATCTTTCCTTGCAACAAATTAAACTCATTTCGACTTAAGGAGCTACCCAAAGAAAGTCTCAACATTCAAGTTGAAACTTTTACAAAAACAAGTTCAAGCTTTAAACTTTCCCTATGAAAGATATAATAAGGGTATCACTTCCTAATTTGAACTTACGGTCGAGAAGCCGCTTGCGGCTTCGAGTCGAAAAAAAATAAGCCGCGCAAAGCGCGGCTTTTCATGTCTCTGCTCGAAGCCGCAAGCGGCTTCTCGACCGTAAGTTCAAATTAGGAAGTGATACCCTTATTATATCTTTTATTAGAAAAGTTTGACAAAAAAGCTTTACGATGAATAACTTCTTAAAATAACAAATTTAGCACGTGCCGATGCGAATCACGCCGCTGAGCAGGAAGTAAGCGAGTCAATTAGTATCTTCTGGTCGAGTCAAAAGGTCTTTTTGAATGTTAATAAAACACGTGTAAATTCGAAGGTTTATTTGATCGTGTCCATCTAATCCAATCGGCGCGGCTCCATACATTGTTTTTAGATGCTGTCATTAGAATCGGCGCCGTAATCAAAACACTTTTAGCCCGCGTTTATTGCGTTTTGAGATAAAGCACAGTCCCCAGCGCCAGAGCACCGAAGAAAGAGGCCGCTAAATAGAATTTGAAAGCGTCGTTCTCCGATTCGCCAGTTGAAGAAGAACTCTTGTCAGCGGCGGAATTATCGGTGTTCTTCTTCGTGGACTCTTGCTCTCGCTCTATCTCTTGAGCTGGCGCGACTTTTCGGTTGATTGCCAAAGAGTTCGTGTCAGGAACAACAGCTGCTTTTTCCGCTAACAGGGCTGAAATTGTTTTATAACCAGGTTATTCTAGATAAAAATCAAGTTGCGAAATTTATTAAATGTTTCATTCTAATTAATTCTTATAAATAATTTTAATAAATTTTTATAACTATTTTGATTGATTAAAATTTAAGCTAATTTTTATGATAATAACTTTACAAAATAAGGGTATCACTAACATAATGCTTTTTATTTTAAAATTTTCAATTGTACCTTCAAATTTGTTTTCTTGAGCCGGTAGATCTTCTGAATCTTTTCTTTCCCGAGCAATCTGGACAATTTCTTCAATCATATTTTTCTCTTTCTGAACAAGTGTTGGCGATTTTTCTTCGTATCGCTGAATCAATTCTTGTCTTTCCAGAGGATCATTATTACATCTTTCATCGTAAAATTTAATCGATTTGATTTACGAGAAATCTCTCTATAAGAGTTCAAATCCTTATTCTTGCTTGTTCCTGTGATTCGTCAGTTTGAGCTACTGTCTGATGATTGTACTTGATCGCCGCCGATTCTAGTTCTTTCTTGCTTCTGTCGCTGAAGGTTTCCAAAACTGCCCTGGCTCGTTCTCTTCTTTCTTCATACGGAAAAGCTTTCTCACTCGTTTTAACATCAGGACTGGCGCTTTTGTCAAAATTAAAGGTCTGACTTAGAATTTAGAAGTTCGAATTTTTGAAACTCTTCAAATTGAGAATAAAAGGTAAGATTATGATCTAATCCTTTATATCTCGATTCCGCCGGGCGGTTTTTAATTTTGCGATAAAGAAGTACTTGCGGTGGATTAACTGGCAGGATACTAGTATTGTTACGTAGCCCGCTCACGGAAGTGCGTCGAGTTTAAGGGCATCACTCTCTTATTTTTACAAGAAGACCATTAAATTTGACAAAAGCTGCTTTTCGAAGTCGACTTTTTCAAGATTGGTTTGATAACGCGCGCACTCCCTTAATAATTTTTTATGTTGAGAAAGTGCTGACTTAAGGGCATACGAACCTGGATAAGTGCTCGTCGAGCCGTCAGAAATGATAAGTCTGGGGGAAATGTACGCGCTGCTGCTTGCGTCAGAGAAAACTGATGACTCGCTAGAATATTATATTTACTTATCGATAAGCCACTTCCTAATTTCCAGCTTGGCAGATCTCAGATCCGGAATTATCTCGGCCGGCAACTTCACAAGAAGCACTGAGGCATTTTTTTTTGAGGATGCACAAGATCCACAAGTTGAAAAATTGAAAATCATAATTGCCAGTCTTTTTCAGTTAGACCTTGTTATTTAAATTTTATCATAATAGCGGAAGCTAAGTATAATCAGTTTTCAAACTCAAAAAAATAAGGGTGTCTCCACATTAACAGATCAAAAATCCTCAAAATTTGCGTTTAAAAATATGGGGTCCCCAATTTTTTTATGAATCTTATTGTTTTTATGTTACTTAAAGTTATCCCAGAAATATCGATGTTTGAAATTTTAACCTAGCGAAGCGACACCCTTAAGAAGTGAACGAGTGTGTTTTTACTTTTGTTGCCCTCGACCAATTATTGGGCTTTACTATGAGCAAAAAATCTTTCGAAAATCTTAAGGGGATCACTCAGAAATCGCTGTTTGAAAAATTCAGTCCCACTTGACGGAGGGGTCCTTAATACATAATGTACCTGCTAGTAGACATTGTATTAAAATACTATTCCTGCTTCAAAAATCTCTTCGAAAATCTTTTGCTTTCGAATTTTCATCTAGCGGAAATTAATCAAAAAAAGGATGAGTCAGAAACGTTTACAGAGGAGAAAGAGATTTTATTTGCAATATTTGGCGTTGCTCAGAATCGAGAGTCAGAAAGTGAATGTGAAATGGGAAATTGTACAGTTAGAAAAAAGGGGGCTAGAAACGAGCGAAAAGCGGTGATTTTTCGAATTTGTGTGTTTTAGGAAAGAAATTAAAAAAAGTACTTGGTTTTGGTTCTGAGAATGTCTTTACAGAAAAAATCATGTAAAACATGTTATTTTTTGTTAGGGGGTTTCGTTTTGTACTTTTGAGAAGGTTTTCACTTTTGAGTTTTGAGAAAATTGTACAGAATGTGAGTTTTTTTAAAAAAGAAGCGAGCTTTTTGAAATTGTTGCGCTAGAATTTTAAAATTGCGCACCAGCGAAGGTGATGTGAGAGGGTTTCTTCGCCGTCGCCCAGTTGGTATTCTGAAAAGAGTGTTTTTAAGGGAGTTTGGCCGCGTTATTTGCATATCGTCTTTTAGAAAATTTTACGATTACGAAACATTATGCCACCATTTGAGTCACTTTTTTACGTTTTAAGAGGCTTAGCCAAGATCTTAAAATGATCGAATCACGCTAGAAAATTATCATTCGTTTAAGGGTCTCCAAATCGATAATTTGCAACCTGTGTAGAAATCAAAACCTGAGTCAGGATTTGAAAAAAATGATTTTTCTAAGGGGTTGCGTCAAGAACCGACAAATTATGCGTGGGCGGCTTCTCGGCTGCTGATTGGCCGATTAGCCGAATCCAGGATTCTGATTGGATGAAAATTTCAGTGCGTACTTTTTGAATCCTGACTCAGGTTTGCAAAAAATGAATGTTTCTGAAAAATGAAATACTTTTTCAACTGTTTTAACAGGAGCCGCGCCAAGCTGATCGACCGATCCAAGACTGGATCCAACAGCCGAGTCCCTCGAGCTCTTGAATTTGAGTTTCCTCAAAAACTGCGAAATCTTTGATCCACTCGAATTGTAGCTCGACTGATCATTAGTCGCTGCCGTCGTTGTCGCCACCGTAGTCGTCTCGGCTTTGGAAATGTCGCCGGTAGAACCGATTCCCGAAGATTGCCGATCAACGGCGGGTGGGGGCGGTCGGTTCGCTTCTTCTTTCATTTGCTTGGCGAGTTCCTTGATCTTGTTCGGCCGGCTGTTCAGATTGGACTTTTTCAGACGCTTGAGAGCAGTGCGCTGTTGCTTACGAGTTGCCTGAGTCACAGTTTTACACCGTGAAACCCTTATTTAAGCTCTTGTGTTTCTGATTTAAAAACTGTTCCTTTGTATCAACAGCAATCTGCCCAGCGTAAAGAAGATTGTACATATTTTGCGTCCGCAGCTTGTAGTCTTCCACGTTGATCTGTTTCTCTAAAAGAATTGAGTTAAGGGGGTAGACCATGTTATTCGAAAAACAACGGTTTCGCGTCAATTTTTCTTTAAATTATCTTTAGGGAGGCCCTTAAAGCCCTGATCTTTTTTTTTATATAAATAATAATTATTATTTTAAAGAATAAAGTTAAGGGGATAGACCCTGTTAATTGAAAAAATGATGATTTCGCGTCAAATTATTTCAAAATTATCTTTTAATGGAAGGATGCCCTTAAAGCCCTGGACTTTGATTCTAAGAATTTATGGAATGGAGTTAAGGGGGTAGACCTCGTTAATCGAAAAAGCACCGTTTCGCGTAAAATTATTTTAAAATTATCTTTTAAGGGAGGCCCTTAAACTGAACTTTTATTTAGAGCGTTTGTTATTCCTGAAAATGTTATTTTCTATGTTGTTTCTATCAATCTGGAAACCCTTAAAAAAGAACGGCTGAAAAAAGCACGTTCCCGCAACTCGCCAAAAAACAAGATTGAAACTGGAACTGGTGCTCGTTTCAATTTTGAAGCTAAATTAAATTCGTGAAAAATGCACTCTGCTCTTTTCTTGTTTGAACATGAAAATTACGCAGCGGCGCACTAGAAACAAAAAAAATAATGATGAGAATTGGAAAATTCAAAACCAAGTGTTCAAACAGCAAAAACATCGAAGAGAACCTGTTTGCGCTAGAACGAAAAAATGAGCAAAATCTTGTTGTCTCTGAAAGAATAGAATAAGGATGTCAGTATGATAACGTTTAAAAATATCCAGATTTAAGGACCCCTCCGTCAAGTGGGATTGATTTTTTCAAACAGTGATTTCGGGCTGATACCCTTAAGATTTTCGATCAAATTTTCAAATCTTGACGGTTGGTCCTTAAATTCAGCTCATGTGAACCAAATGAAAATAACGACTCTTTTGAAAAATAGAAAAATTCGTCAAAAAAGTGCCCGAGGAATTTCTACGATGGCTACCCTCTTTCTCAGCCTTTGTATCCCGGTTAGTTTCACGGCTCGTCAGCCTGGATAATTACCAAGGGCGCTTGGAAATTATGTTTATTCTATTCAGTTAGAACAAACCGAGTTTCGAAATCAACTAAGCGAACATTTTTTAAGAAATAATGAAAGTCTTCAGCGATGAAAAACAGTCCGACTGCCCCCGAATAAGAAAGATTTTCAATGGAAAAATTCTCATCATTTTGATGATCATCCTCTTTCTGCTCTTCATAGCTGGCATACTTTCATATCAACTGGCAGAACCAAAAACAACTACTGTTAGTCCAACTACCCGCTGTATCGGAAGAAAAATATGCTCTCCCAAAGTTCATTCTGGCTAAATTTTCTTAATAAAAAAACGAAAAATGCTGTGTTTTGCGTTCAACCGCGTTGGATGTAATTTCTGGCAAAGCAAGTTTATCAGCTCTATTTTATCGCTTGAAAAAGTTTGGACAAAATCATGTTATCACGCTATTAGAAATTTTTCGCGGTTTGAATCTTTCAAATTGCATCTGGCCTCTTTTTTCGTTTCTAGTACAATTAGTGCATTAGGGACGTAATTAGCGAGCAATTGAAAATTGAGCATGTCAATTGAGAAATCGTGCATCGGCGAAATAAAATAATTGTTCTCTTTTTTCTTTTGATCCATTTCAAAAGAACTTGTTTTAAAAACAGAGCGAGATGAACCAGTAACATATTATCCTCGAGGAGAAAATTTTAATTAATTCGATTTATGTCGATTCAATTACAAAGTTGAAAAAATCTTGTTTCAATTAAGAAAAACCCGTTTAGACTACAGACGGATGAAAGAATAGCGAATTTGTCATCAAAGTTCCTCATTGGTCAAAAAATGAAAATAAGGTAAAAAGGATGAAAACCGATTTTCTACAACAGCTTGTTTTGAATACGAAAATTTTCATCGACCTATCTGATTGGTCAAAAAATAAGCAGGCCAAAAGGATTCCTTTTCAAATTGAAAAATTTCAAATTGACCAATGAGAAGAAAGAATGAAAGTATTCGTTATCAAGAGAGCCCGTTGTAGAATTTTGGATCACTCGAAATTTACTTTTGGAGCAAAATTTTCGAGTATTTTTGGTGAACTCGATTAGCGTAGTTGCATCATGTTTACTCATGTCAATCAAATGTTACCTTCTGCCTGGTCCTGGAACGTCATTTCGCCATCCGTGAAGTCGTACCGGGCAGCCACCAGCTTTGATATCAAATACGCCTGAACATTAACCGTGTTAATTAGTGCTAACGGAACTCGAGTTTTTACGCACCTTCATGACGAGGCGATTATCTTCAAGCTGCCGTCTGTCCGCCTGAGGGAGCATTTGTTCGGGCCCGAGCTCGAGGAACTTTTTCGTCGAGGGACCGACGCCGTCCACACCTTTCGGAAGATATGATTTTCCATCACGTACCTTTTTGCTCTCTTTTTTGATGTCCATGGACTGAAATAAACAGGTTTAAAATCTAGGTCAATTATGCTTCTAAGGAAAGCCTATCGTCGTATCAAGCTTCTGATTGGCCAATCAGAGGCTTGATGAAAATAATCAAGCTCCTGATTGGCTTAACGGAGCTCAGAATATGTCAACCAATCAGGAACTCGATTAAAAGACTCGTTATTGTATGAAGCAATTGAAATTTTTTTCTACAACTGATCATCACGATAACGAATATTTTGATCAAGCCTCTGATTGGTCGACACGATCTTGCGTAAAGAGCTTTAAGCCAATCGGAAGAAGGGAAAATGCGATTCTCAAAATGAAAGTTGCTAAACGATCTTTATTGCTAATCCGAAAAATGCAAAATGAAACGTTTTCTCGATCGCTTTTTCGGAAGAGCGCGTCGTTGTAAGTGGATTGAGCGTATCTATCAACACGTTATCAGTCTACTGACAGTGCCCGCGTTCCAGTTTTTAGTTTAGAAGCGCCTTATTTTCCTATCGTCGCGATTAATTTTCAATTGATCGATTGGCTTGCTGAATCAACTTTTGAGTCAACTTTAAAGTGGGGAAAAACGCTCTCTCCCGCGTCTGGGGATAACAAGCACCTTGACGGAATCTGTGGTGAATTTGTTGTCGTCCTCGCTCCACCGCAGCGGCTCAGAGCTGGCCCACCAGTTGCACAGACAGCTCCATCGACTTATTGTAAACGAATCGACGGTTGATAGGACTTCATCCTCGTCCTTGCGCTTGAAGCACGAGGCGGACTTGACAGCGACCACGATCAGACTAAAACGAGATTTTACCAATTGACCCTCTCTTTCGATTCAAAATCACAAAAAAAATTAGCAATTTTTAACTAAGCTAGAATTTCTAAGGGAACTACCTCAGATATGACCATAATGAATTATTATCTAAAAGTACTCCCTAATTCGCCTCGCGGTTTTTCGTTCTTGGAGAGAACTTTGAAGAAGAGTACTAGCCGTCGTTAAATCGAGCTCTTGTTGAGATAGTAAAGCTACACCCTTATTCTTAGATATTGATACGGGGAGGTTTCAGGAGCCGACAAAAAATCTTGATAAGTTTACGTGGAAATTTTCAACCAATCAGAAGCCTGGATTCGGATAGCTGGCTAATCAGCAGCCGATTAGCCGCCCACGCAGAATTTGTCGAAATTCTTTTGTCTGTTCCTGACGCCCTCCCCTTATTCTTAGGAATTGTACCTGAGAAGAGTGGCAGAGAGAATTAGCGACGATCCAAAGCTTGCTTGTTGGCTCCCCTCATCTGGTATGATCATTTGACCCTTTGGTCAGCCCTTGATAATTATAAATTCGACTACTCTACTGCTAGAAAATAAATATCTCCGCTACTAGAAAGAAACTATCAAGAATTATCAAGTAAATTGCGACTTCATTCTTTGCTCATCCAATCAGTCCAAGTACGCTCATCCCAAAGTCGAAAAGAAGCACATCTAAAACACAAAAATGAACTTTTTCCATCATCAATCAAAAGAGAGAAACCGAAATATAGTTTTTTTTTCTAAAAATACGTTTCGCCACTATTTGGATCAAAATAAAAAAGGATCAAATAGAATTGACTGAAAACATGGGCGTGGGCCATCTCAAAGCGATCGGAGATTAAAACGTTGCAAATTCGAACAGTTTTTTCGACATTTTTATTACTTTCCAAAATATACTTCTAATTTATTTCAATTGTTTCCGAATGGTCAATCAGAGGCCCCACCCATACCAGCCGGCTTTAAATCGACATCGTACAAAGAAGCTACAATTAGAGGTCTTTAATTTTATAGTACGCGCAACTGGCCAATCAGATTGCGACGCGCGCTTTTCAAATACAAATTTCGGGCCTAAAACATAAGCCATTTCTACAATAACAATTCGTAGCTCAATTATAATTGAGAAAAGTTATGTTTTTGGCCCGAAATTTCGATTTGAAACGCGCGCGTCGCGTTCTGATTGGCCAGTTGCGCGTTGAAATTATAACATTAAAGACCTCTAATTGAAGCTTCATTATGTCGATGTCTAGTTAACATTGTAAAGATAAGGCCCTCATATTTTGAACCGCATTGAACCTTGTCAAAAAGTCTTCTGTCAAACTTTCTACAGTAAAAGCTACTGCTTCATCAAAAAGGTGGAAAAGCCCGTAACCGCGAAACAAGCCCGTAACGGGTTAACTCTGGTGACCCCAAATTCTCTCATTCCGAATCAGGAGAATCAGAAAATCAGGGAGTTTCGCTGTTGAAAAATTTACCTGTCGTAAGTTTGGTGGTGGTGTTTTTGGCGTTGCTAGAAATGGTTAATTCGTGAAAGTCGTGTTAAAAGCAATTAAGAGCCTCTCACTGCTCGAGCAGATACTAACCAAAATATGAAAGGTTTTGTAAATAGCTAGTACAAAACATTAACACTTGGAAATAAGCGAAATGAAGTTAAGGTGAAACTAATTGCAATTTACAAATTAGCGCTAATTCAAAACCCGTCCCTGGAATACAAAACAGGTTCAAAAATGATCAATTAACTCATTTTTTTATGAAATTTCACGAAAAATAATAAATTGAATTCGAAACACGAAAAAATGAAAAATCGTGAAATCGGTAATTTTTATTTAATTTTGAACCTTTAACTTAATCCGAATAAACAAAATAAATCATCTTCAAGTACAAATTTCCCGCCCAAGAAATTAAAAACGAAAACTCCCCAAAAGTTTTAAATTTGAAAAATCAAATGAAAAAAAACAGTCAAAAAAGTGATATTTATCCGGTCCTTTGAAAGGTTCCAAAAATGTTTTTTATGAAAAAAAAAATTAATGAATATAAGATTTAATAAATAAAATAATCTATCGAAAAAATGATGATTTAATTGAAATATGAGTTATTTTAATTAAAAATCAAAATTAACGAGCGATAAATTTCAATTAATTAAATTTATGAAATATTTTTAACAAAATGCGAAAAATGTAATAATTGGAAGAGTAACCCTTTTCTTTGAATATCTTTTTTAAATAATTAGTTGAATGGTTTGTCGATTCGTCTATGTACACATTTCTCTCGAGAAAGTTCGACAAGTATATACAAAAAGCAGCTTCTTCAAAATCGAAAACTGGCTCTTCCGAAAAGCTTCTTTGTAATCTCTCTTTTTCTTATTTTCTCTAATTGTTAGTACGTTTTTGTTAAATAAAAAATTGGGACTGAAAAAATGTCCCGAATTTCTTCCAGTAAAAGGGTTTCCCTGCCAGCTAATTGGCTACGTTCATCGAGAAGCGATACATTTCGGTTTTCAGCACGAGGGCGCCAACGAGCGCGGCGAGAGCTATCGCGAAAAATAATGGCGCACCGGAGCTGGGAAAAAGGGAAATAGTAATTCAAGGGATGGAATAAAATAATTTTTATCGATAATTATGATTTTTGATTATTAATTTTTTATCAAAATAAAAATAAAATAAAAAATTAAAATATTTTTTCTCAGAAAAATTGAGGCTTATTGGTTAATTTCAGAATTTTTTCGTTAAAATAAAAATAATTTTCTTGATTTTTTTCTTTATTTCGGCGTATTTTCCATGAAAATAGAAAAATTCCCGCTCTATCTTTTTTGCTCTTTCTCGAATTTTGCAGATGAAATTCGGTTGTTAACAAATCCGGCGAGCATCTGCTCTACAAGGCAAAGCGCGGAAGTTTCCTCCTACGAAGATCGCATTAGTAAGGACTTGTTCCGCATCAAACTTAATTACTGCAACTCCGGGGCTTTATGAGTCGAGTCGACTCGCCTTTTGAAATTGAATCTTTCTTTGGAGCGCGACGGAAGACAATTGAGCGATAAGATAGCTAACAAGAATGAAAGATCGTTGGAATTATAGGTTTTTACGGCTGATAAGCGGGGAGAGAAGAAAGTAATTATGAATTCTCTATTATCATTTAATCTTTTAATAGAACTTTAATTGAAAGCCGCGCAGCGGCTTTTCTAAAAGAAGCCGCGAAACGGCTTCGACACAATGTCCATTTCCTTATCTATTTTGCTTTTTTGGCTCGAAAATGTAATAAAGCCGCGATTTTGGCAGATTTGTTAAATGAAGCTAATGTACTCAAAAAATCAGTGTTCAGGGTGTTGATGCAGGGAAAGTGAGGCTAGTTTGTCGATTTGCACGGTTGTTTATACATTGTCATTAATTTGAACCGGTCGGTTAGAGCTGGCGGTGATGGCCGCGGCCGCAGCAAATCAGGCGATTTCTGCTTGACTGCTGGATTAACGCACCACATAGTTGCGTGGGAGCCCCAGATTTAATGCACATGCAAATGCAAGGCGCCTTTCTAAACCCAAACAATTACAACAAATCTGTTTCCAACAAATAACATGATTATTTGAATTAAATTCCAAAAAATTTTTATTCTAGCAAAGAAATTTAGCTTTTATTTATTTTATTCATAATTTTTATCATTAAATTATTTCATTTTTCGACAAGGGATAAAATTTTCGACTGTATTGCCTCGAATTTAAACGGAATCAGGGTGCAATGCAAGTAGGTGACATGAATTGGCGGGCGGGCACTCGATGTGGAGATGGAAATATGGGAGCTGCTTCGAGTGGCGGTTTGGATTAATTCAGCGGCGGTGTTGGACTCGCCAAGGAAGCACGTTGCGTCTTCTAGGCACTGTTTATCATTTTTACTGACATTAACCGGCCAGAAATTCAGCCCAGTGCATTTTATACACACCCTTCTAATGTTTAAAAGTTTAAAACAAACACCGTTTTTTCATTTTTATTTTTTTCTAAAAAAAGAAGAGAATCCGGGTTTCTGATTGGCGGTAACGACGATTTAAAGAAACAGCCAATCAAACTTGTCTATTTGCTATTCTGACCAATAGAGAGCCAATTTGACCAATTTATTGGTCAGAAAAGCAAATAGACGAATTTGATTGGCTGTTTCTGTAAATCGTCGTTACGGCTAATCAGATACACAAATTTTCTTTTTTCAAGAAAAAGTGCCCCAGTCATCAGATTCGCTAATAATCGCCGAAGAAGTGATTCGCAGCCCGAGAAAAGTCGTCCAAAAGATCACCAAATGTGAAGTTCTACGTTTCCGCCGAGAAAATTAATCAGCTTCTAGCTCTCCCAAAATATCTCAAAATAAGCAGCTTAGCATTTGAAGAGAGTTGGAACTCTCTTTTTTGATCGTCGTTAAATTTAATCTGTTAACAGTTCGGGTAAATATTATCGGGAAAGGCCAGCTACCGGGTCACCTTAATTGACTAAGGAGGAATCAGCGGCGGCATTCCTACCCTAAAACTTCTACTAGCTTTTTTCGTAAATTTTTATTTAATAAGGGATATCGCTTTTAGATCGCTTTTGAATTCTTTGAATTCTCTCTTCAAAATAGAGGATATTTGTCGATCTTGATGTTTTTGATGATCTAAGATCTTTGGTCATAATAGTATCTTGATCTTATCTCTTAAAAATTCAAAAGCTTTTTTGATCAAACACATCACCTTTGATCGAAAATCAGGAAGTTGATAGCTTCCAGATGTTAAACCAGATGTATTTTCAGGGCATAAATAGCAAAACCGACCAGTGAAATCTCACAATCATAAATTATGATTCATAAAATGATTCAAAAATGAAAAAATAAAGCAGAAAAAGAGTATTTTTACTTTCTTTTTGCTTGATCTTCTCCATAGGAAATAACGAATTATAACGCCTCATCCGAATGCAAGAGCAACAAGAAAATGAATTTTACTGTTTAAAGATTTATCTTGATCCGGACTCTCGATTTCTTCTTGATACTTTGATTTAATAAAAATAAAAAAGAAATTATCTACGTATGATTTTCCGCCTCGCGTTAAGGGTAGTGACCACAGAAATGGATAGAATGCATGCGCTTGTGGTTCGCATGTTTCATTGTTGGTAACATCTCTCATCTTGCATTCGCAAAATAGCTGACAATTAAAGTCCTAACAAAACATCCTCAGCTCAGCCTCAATGTCGCGAAGCCCATAGCGGGGGTCTGAGCGTTAAAAAAAACTGAGCAGCAAGGAAATTAAAGAAAAGTAATAATGAAATTATTCAATTGATTCTTGAGCGAAATATTTAGGGTCGAGCTATTTACATGAAAACACTTGGTTAATTACTGAAGGAGAGATGTTCGCGTCAGATTTGATAATTGCATTCTACGGATTTTCGATTATTGGAGCTTTTAATTTATAAGTTTTTCAGTAAAAATTGAAAGTAGACTATATTTGACCTAACTTCAAGCTAACATATCTCCAGAATTGTCCTCTGGTAATCCCTGGTAACGGAGAAATAAGGGTATCAGTCCTTTATGAATCGTAATTCGCATGTCTTTTTTATACCCTTACTTAAGTTGCTATCTCAAATAAGGGTGTAAAAAGACTAGCGCATTTCGACTCATAAAGGAGTGATACCCTTATTTCTCCCTTACGAGGGACAATTAGTAGCTTATGATCCAACTTAAACGGCTTTTACCTCCTTAATTTGGCTTGAATATAAATATAACAGGCCAAAGTTAAATTGTCTCTTCACACCAAAACGTAAGCATCAAACAAACAGAGCTGCTCCAAGTTGAAATTCACCTGCTAGTTATTTATATTTATTATTGATGCCGGACACCGGAACGAGCCATCTGTCAAATAATGCGGCTTTAGACTTGGACCCCCCTCTTAAAAGTTTGCAAATTATGATAATCGACCCAAACGCGGCAAATTTTGTACAAAAAACAAGCCGAATATTAAATATTTATGCTAATTTGATGGTCATTTTTAGGAACGTAATCTTTTTCGCGAAAGAATTTTCGAAAAATCTTTCTGGGAAAATAACGCTCTTGAAAATTAACCGAGCAACACGACTGATTACCAATTTTTTTTTCAGAACTAGCGGAGTAGCGAGGTCAGAATTGCTAAGTTTTATAAACATGTCGTTCCCAAAAGAACAAAAAATAAAAATAAGCAAGTGGAATTTTTTATTAGAATGAAATGCTCCAGTTCGAAAGGACGGTCTTTCTCCGAGCCACAAGAAAGGACCTGACGCGTGACCTTTCTTCTTGCGTGGGGAGGCGGGAAAAGGTTAAGGATTAATCAGTGAGACATCGACTATCGGACAGGCTCTCTTTCATTTGAACCTAACATTAGCTGCTTTTTCGCCCGTTTCCGGTCCATGGGTTCAAATAAATAGACCTCTAAACGCCTGGTCTCGGCAATCTGTAACGAAAACCTGAGTCAGGGTTCAAAAGATCTGAAAAGAAAAGCCGCGCAGCGGCTTTTTAAAAAAACGAAGCCGCGAAGCGGCTTCGCCAGAGATCAAAAGCTGGTCAAAATGGTAATCTTGCGAAGCCGCTTCGCGGCTTCGTTTTTTAAAAAGCCGCTATGCGGCTTTTCTTTTCAGATCTTTCAAACCCTGACTCAGGTTTTCACACAGGTTGCTGAATCCTGCTAAACGCCTGAGTCAGGGTAGCTCCTCTAAACTTCAACTTTGCTAAATCATCATAATTATGACTCATAATTATGATTGAAAGAGAAAATGAAACGTTTGAGTAGCTAAAACAGATTGATTAGCAATTCCTTACAAATTGGATTTGAACATCAAATTTCGTCTAAACAAGTGCCGCAAGAAAGATGCATCGGTTACGCGATTAGGAAACTCAGAGACGGTGTTCATTCCAGCCGCCGTCAGCCTGCTGGAGAAGATGAAGCTAAGGGATCCCAGAAAGAAAAATAGAGAGATGTTTCTAGAGAGGATAGAAATGAAGAGGGAATTCGGGAATCTTTATAAAAGCTTTTCGGGGGAGCTGTGGCATTCCTGGCGCACTCTGCCAGATGTGGCATGTTAGACATTTTCGATGAGGGCGATCCTACTGTCAATTTTGATGGAACTCCCACAATTAATCGACCCATGACTTTTCAGGTCAATGGTGAATAAGAGAAGCTCAAACAGACAGGCCTAGTCGAGGAGCCAATCAAAATCTTCTTTACAAATTTTCCACCAATAAGAAACGCTCTTTTCGGCAGTCATTTTTCAAGAAATAAATGACGGGTACTAAATTGTGCCGTCTTGTGCCCCCCTACGCCGCTTTGTGCCGCCCCACGCCGCCGTATGCCGCCCTGTGCCGCCTAGCGCCGCCCGGTCGGAAAAGCGCATGCCGGCAAAAGGCGGCGTTAGGCGGCACAAGGCGGTATAATTCAGTACCCTCCAAATAAATCGTGTTGAAATTCGAAAGAAGCGTTAAGAAACGCAAAGCTAGATCGTTTTCTTCGTTGATCTTATTTAGTAAACTCGGCGATTAAATGATTTTTGAAATTACTCGTCTAGCATACTTCGCTACTTTAGTCTGACCGCATTATGACACTCGGCAAAAGTCTCCTGAGAATGTTCAAAAATAAAAAGGATGACTGCTCGTTAACCTGTTTGCCGACAAGCGGCCAGGTGAGAGACGAATAAGAAAAGGAGGCCGTTTTGGTGCGTTCAGCGAAATCGGCATTTTTCGCAGTCTTAGTATTAGAAGCTGTCATAATAAAGAAACTAGTTCTCAAGAATTTGATAATTTGTTTTGACACTAGAAAGTCTATTTTTTGAGCTGAGCTGTTTAAAAAAAGGCTTCTTATTGGTCGAAAAAGCAAATAGACAAGTTTGATTGGCTGTTTTAATAAATCGTCGTCTCGGCCAATCAGAATCGCGGATTTTCTTTTTTCTCCAATCAAAAACGCTTATTCACTCAAAACAGGAAAAACTCAATGTAAAAGCAACCCTCCTCGCCTGGAGTGATTTCAAAACGAAAGCAGATGAGCCAGAAGACGAATCAAATCGGGGCCAGTTCGACTCAGGAATGGCGATTAAATTTTGTTTATTCTCGTCATGAGGGCATAAATATGGACGCCTCAAAACAGGGCTTAGCTGGGAGGAGCTCAAGAAAAATCAGAAGAAAGGAGCGTGTGGCGCCCAACTTGCGCCTAATCAATTGCTTGATGATGCCATTTCCTTCAGTTTCGCCAGCGTAAATACCCTAGAAGCCCTTTTTTCAGAGCCTTACTCAGGTTTTCCGCACAGGTTTTTGAGCTCCACGAAGTCCACGTGCGCTTTTATTGAAAAAAACACTCTCAAGCGAGCTAGAAATTAAAACGAATTTTTCCACGGCGGGTTTGATCACGTGTAAAAACCTTTGAATAATAAAGAGTATGATCCGGAGTGGGGACAGGTAACTGTCACTCGGCAGTATCATTATCTTTCCGATGTTTTTCAATTTTCCCCCGCTGAGTCAACCTTATCATCAAAAGGACACGGACTCGTAATTCTTGAACACGTTTTTTGCCGACGCAACTTGAAGTGGATTTCCAAAACCAAGACTTTCCGATCAAAAACTTGATTCAGCGATTTTCGAAGTAGAGCAGCTCGATTTTCTACGTAAGATTTAACTCCTCGCTTTCCAAAGTTTATCCCGTCCGAGCTCAAACAGCAAAACAAGTGATCCTCATTTATTTTCCCCCATTTGGCCCATCAGGGATTAACCACGTTAGTATGGAAATTTACAACTGGCGGTGGCTATTTACGGGTAAAATAGATTTATTTTGCGAGAGATTTGCGCCGCGCCGAGTGCCCGAATTGCCAAAACAAGGATCGGCGATTTACCTCTGCTCCCAATATTTACACTTTATGTGCTCCTGTTTGGACAATTTGAACCTATTTAGAAACGTATGCCGCAGAAACAAAAAGTTCACAATCGCTGCATACACAGGCACTTTTAAAAAAGAGTAACTTTCAGGCTAGCACACTAAGGGTTAACTTTAACCTGTACAGTGTACACCTGCCTCAATGGGTTAAGGCGCTCGATTGAAGGTAAGAAATAGAAAAGCCGCTTGCGGCTTTGAGCGAAAGAAAGTACAAAAGCCGCGCGAAGCGCGGCTTCAGTACTGCGTACTCAAAGCCGCAAGCGGCTTTTCGATTTCTTACCTTCAATCGAGCGCCTTAACCCATTGAGGCAGGTTTACTTTAACCTGTACAGTGTTTACCTCCTGCTGCTTTGTTTCTTGAAAAAGCCGCGATGCGACTTCTCATTCGGCGTTTTTAGACCCTGACTCAGGTTTTCCTCAAAGGTTGCTGACCTCAGCACGTGGACAAAAACACACTGATGGAATGTTAAATGTTCTGGGTCAAAAATGAATAGGGGTTATTAGCAGGGCTCCCTTTTGAGAGAGAAAAAGTGGGTTGATAGGTAGAATGCGGAAACGGACGAGCAGGGCATTGAAAGGTTGCAATTTTACGGACGAGAGAGAACGTATAACAAGCTACACATTATGCGGTTTAGAATCCGGCGGCAAATTTATCCTCTCAAAATTGAAATTCTCTCAAATTGGATTTTTGTCGGTTAGAATGTTCATTCAAATTCAGTTGTAAAAGAAGAGCATTTTATTATGAAAGAAATTTTAACAATTAAATAATTTTTTTTTTAATTTTAAGCTTAAAATGATTCTTTATTGAGTGAAAGAATTGATATCTGATCGACAGAAAAATTGAGTGGATCGCATTTTTCTTCCTTCGGGAAATCATCTTCTCTCAATTTCTGAAAACACGTGACCGCGAATTCAAATTTTAAAAAAGTGACTCTAGCTTACTTCGAGTTTTGAGAAGTCTCTCAGCAGTTTGGCTTGAAAGTACTTTTCCATGTATTTTTCATCGCTTTGCTTTTCCAATCCAGTTCGTGCTCAGCTGTACTCATGCTCAAAAAGAGGGTGAGGGTTAACAAAATTTTGAATTTCATCATTTTTTCGAATAAAAACGGTTTCTTCGCTCTTTTTATATGTCGAAGAAAAGCATTCCGACTTGACAAAAAATCTTCATTTGTCGATTTTTGGTTTGTTAAATGTGTGTTTTCAATATTTTCCGTCGATTCTGCCGGCTTTTCTATCAAAATAGACGATAAAAAGTCAATTAAAAAAATGGTCTGTGGGAAAAAATGCCGCGAAAAAACTCGATTCTTGAAAAAGATTCCAGAAGTCTTGCAATTTAGCGATTTGCAATTTGCGAATTGGAAAAATGTCCGCCGTAAAATATTTTCAAACATTGCAAACTACGATTATTACGCCATGCTTTGGGAAAAAAGAGCTGAAAAAGTTTGCACTTAGCGCATCCTGTACTTCCATCGGCGATTTTAGAAGGTTCAGGGAATTGAAAAGAGGATATTTACATTCTCAAATTAGCCAAAAAAGGAGGCCACTCCCGATATTTTAGAAGTGTCCAGGAAAGGGCCACCAGCTTGCACGAAAATCCGCCTCGCACCCTCTTTATAAAATAAATGATAAACTAACTAATCAAGAATCGCTAATTGGCGCTGCTTCCAAAGTTCGCTTCTTTTTCATTAAAAATCATAAAAAGATTATTTTACGCTATAAATAATTTTATTTAAAGAAAAATTTATAAAAATTATTATTTTAAGGACCCCCGTCAACAATTTTCGAAAAATCTATTTTCGGAATCTCATAATTTTGACCCCGGAAATGGATTCTACAGGTCAAAAAACGATTTTGAGGCTTCATTTTTTGGGGGTCTATCTCGACTCTAATACCCTCAAAATCGCGTTTGAAAATTGGACTTTTGACGAAAAATGACGAAAAAGTCCCAATTTTGCTGAAATTTCAGATTTTCGTTGGTCAAAAAGTGGTCAGAACAAGTTTTTATGACGTATTGAACTTCTAGGCACACTAAGAAGCCAAAATATGGTTGTTTTGAAATTTTCGATTTTTTGAAGAAATTTGTTGACGGGGGGGGTCCTTAAATTATTTTTTTAAATAATTCAAAAAATTAATAAATAAAACTTTTTTATTTATTCAATTTTTTTTTTAATATTTTTAAAAAATAATTTTAATTGTTGATAATTTTAAAAAATATTCTTATTTTTTTTTTCATTTGAGATTTTAGATGTCAATTTCTAAAAAATTTTTGAAGTCCTGAATCGGATTTGTGCGCGGAGAATCGCCGCGTTCAGATAAGTTCAAATTAAGTTGGTAGTTCCGTCAAGCGAGCTTCCTTCTTATTCATTTCCCGTCGTTTTGAGTTTTGACTGGCAATGACAGTAGTCGGTTTTCACGTTGGATTGAGGCTGGCTGAGATTATTGAGAGGATAATTTGCGACTCTCGAGGGCGGAGCTTATCTCGCTCTAATCCCGTATTAAAAAAATAGTTGCTCAATACTCCGTATTCTCCGCTTGTTTTCATTCTAGCGCCCTGTGTGCCTGCAACTGACCTCCTACAGTTTTACATCTAGCCAGCTAGAAATTAAGCGACGTGAGAAACATGAGAAGCACTTGTAATTATGTCACAAGATATTTTCAAACAAACATGAAATTTGTCAATTTCCAGATGGAAAATTAATAAGTTGGGCTACAGGGTTGGAAAATAAATCAACATTGCAGAACAACGTGAATAGTCACGTGATAAGACTGTAAGAAGACATCATGGTAGCTACAGTCTGTGATGCTAGAATAGCCAAAAACTGAGAGGTACGGGGTCCTGAGAGGTTTCCTCCTCTCTGATTGGCTTAGACGAAAGATACAGGCTTTTGATTGGCTGAGACAGAAAATACTGGCTTCTGATTGGCTTAGACAAAAGATACCGGCTTCTGATTGGCTAAGACAAAAGATGGAGGATTTTGATTGGCTGAGACAGAAAATACCGGCATCTGATTGGCTCATAGAGCCCCATAGCCCCTCAGCGGCCCAAGAACTTCAAGATGATATTTACAATATCACATTTTTTGAGACTTGTTTTTAGTTTCATTTAAAATTAATGAGCTTCTGCAGAAAAAGAATTTATCACAATTGTCAATTGCGGTTTCGGAAATTGAGCCTTACATGATTTTTATACACTGTCCAGTTCTTGGACCGCTCGACCTCAAAACAACTAAAACAAAGGACCTTTCTTTAGTTTAATTCGCAGATTCAAGCTCGCTTCCCGTTAAATTTACATCATCACAGCGCAGCCACAGTTTAAGATTAATGACGAGCGCGGCAAAAAACTGAACAAGTCAATGACTAAAATCAGAGTCAGGGCGAAGCCGACCCGAAGAGAGGCCAATCCCGTTCATTCTTTTCAATCAGAGTAAATGCGAAGCCGACCCGAAGGGGAGGCCGCGCCTTCATTCCTTTCAATCAGAGTCAGGGCGAAGCCAACCCGAAGGAGGCCACGCCCGTTCATTCTTTTAAATCAGAGTAAGGGCGAAGCCGACCCGAAGGCGAGGCCAATCCCGTTCATTCTTTTAAATCAGAGTAAGGGCGAAGCCTAACCGTCGCCTGGCACTTAGTGGCTGAATACGGCAATAACTAGCCAATCATGGCTTTAAATTTTATATGTATTTATATTTTTAATATAAGTCTTCCAGCAGCTTTTCTTCCACCAGAGGAGCTTCGGGTCGGCTTCGCCCTTACTCTGATTGAAAAGAATGAACGGGATTGGCGTCCCCTTCGGATTGGCTTCGCCCTTACTCTGATTTAAAAGAATGAACGGGCGTGGCCTCCCTTCGGGTCGGCTTCGCCCTGAGTCTGATTGAAAGGAATGAAGGCGCGGCCTCCCTTCGGGTCGGCTTCGCATTTACTCTGATTGAAAAGAATGAACGGGATTGGCCTCCCTTCGGGTCGGCTTCGCTTTGAGTCTGATTGAAAAGTATGAACTGTCATATGAACTAAAGTGATCGAGTTTTGCCAATTGTGGCAAGGCTTTTTATTTATTTTTTCTAAATATTGGCTTACGAGCAGTCGGTTTTTCAGTTGGCGGGTCCTCCGGGAGGTCATCCGGCAAAAGTAGCTAAATGCGGCTTATTAGACAATATTTAGCCAATCCAGGCTTTATATTTGTATTTTTATTTTTAAAAATTGGTCTTCCAGCAGCTTTTCTTCCAGCAGAGGGTCCTCCGGGAGGTCCTCCGGCACTTAGTTGCTGAATACGGCAATTACTAGCCAATCATGGCTTTAAATTTTATTTGTATTTATATATTTTAATATTAGTCTTCCAGCAGCTTTTCTTCCAGCAGAGGAGTCCTCAGGGAGGTCCTCCGGCACTTAGTGGCCGAATACGGCAGTAATTCGGGCTCGAGTCCGGGGCAACCCCCTACTTCCATCGGTAGGTTGCCTTTATCAAAAGTAAGTGATTTTGTCATTTTGAGATATTTGCCGGTCAACCAGCTGGTGAAGACGTGGTCCGATTTTGACGATTTTGGCCGGGACATGTAGCCCTGCTCACGACGATCAATTCTAGATGCTAACCATGCATGTGCGATATGCATGACCGGAGAAATCGCGTAGCCCGCAATTGACCTAATTAGACCTTTAGGGGGCGCCCGCGCGCCACTCGTGACGTCACCGATGATAAGACCAGCATTTTCTGGACCAGTTTTTCACGCTCTTTCAAATGAGCACAAAAAAAGGGGGTGTTAGAAAAAATTTTTGAACGAGTTATTTGAAATCGTCCATGTTTTTCCGCGAACATCTGTCCGTGGAGGCTTGCGAGGCTCCGTTGGGTAATGGATTGAATTTATGTCTGACCTGATCCACTTGTTCCAATATTGTTTTAATCGGCGGCGAGGCTCAATCCAACTGGATCAAAAATTTCTTCGCCGAAGCAGAAAACGACTTGAAAAAGAAAATCGCCGCGCGAGACGTTGTTTTTTCATCTCTCTTTTTTCTACATTTGATTTTTTTCAAAAGAAAAGAATTCCAAGGACCAGTTCTTTTGTTACTCCGAACTAGAACTACTTATATGCGTGTAATTCTCGTTCCACTGGCTTCAAAAATTTCAAATATTCAAAAAATAATCCGATTGAAACTTTTACTTTTTTAGCTTCGCGACAGATCGCTAGAAGAACCCGACTACTTCCAACAATTCGTCGACATGGGCCGCTTGGAAGCTGAAGCAGGCAACTTTCCTTCCCTCGCCGCGATCGTCGTCAAGAACAATGGCAAAAAGTGGCTTTGCTCCGGCTCTGTTTTGAGCGAAAACTGGATCGTCACAAGCGCCAGTTGCGTGCTCAAAGAAGGCTGGGACTTTGCCGACGCGCAGATCAAAGCTGCTCCCGGAGTTGTCCGCCTTTCCGATTACAATGAAAAATTATTGGCTGTTGTGGATCTTCAGGTGCACCCGGACTTTGACTTCCCAAAGAAAGACATTGCTCTGGTCAAAACTCAAGTAGCCATGGACTTTGCTAGAGCTGAGCCTCTCCAACCAGGTGAGCCAAAATGGCATTTCCGCTCCTTATCCTTTTCCAGCTTGTTTTGGAAATGAAGGCTCTCATGCTAGTTGCTTCCCTACTACGACCGTTTGCGCGTCCGTAGGACTCAATAGAAATGGAAAAGCAGTTGTTAGACCGGTTCAGGAAAACGGGTTAAACGGAGCGAAATAACACTCGACAAAAAAATGACACCAACAGGTTAATTCAAACAATAATTCGATTACCGATCACTCGCTCATTTCAAAAGAAACAACTCTAGTATAAATATTTTCATCAATGTTTTTTCTTTCGCCTTACAATTAGTACGGTATTTCGAAAAACCATTATTGCTACTAGAAAATTGAGTCTAGCGATAATTCGATTTTTTAAAAACAAGAACTTGTTGACCCAAATTCAAGTCGATGCATTTTTCAAAGTGCAAAAACGAGTTTGAAGATGAAAGTATCGACCCTCTTTATTTTGGCAGCTACTTTACCTGCGCTGGGAGCCGCGAAATTACGGAAAACAAGATTTGTGACTGGCGACCAGGCGGGGCGATGCTCTACTGTCGCCGGCCAGATGGACCTTGGATCGTCTCTGGAATCGAGTCGCTTCCAGAATCGTGCTCAAGAAAGGGAGAAGAAGTAAAACGACCGGCTTTGTTCAGCACGATCGAGAGCTCTTCGGATTGGCTCATGACGACAGCAGGTTAGATTAGAAAGCTCAGCAAAGTTTTGAAGGTAAACATTTTAGGAATGGTTTCGGACATTCACCCTTACATCTGCGGACGTGAAAGGGGCGATATCACAATGTCGCAGGCGGCGGACAAGTGCGGCCGTCCGGTTTACGACCACACTGAAGGGCTACTCGAAAAAGTGTCGAAGAAAAATGGTAGGACAGCTCTCGCTCGTTCTGTAAATAAAAATGGTTCTAGCGCCCGCCGACTGGTACGAAATGATGAAAGAAGTCTACGAGACCCACCCCGAGTTCAAAAACAAAAAGAATAAATTCGCCAACCGCGCGGCGAAAAATGACAAGGTCGATTTGACAGACGCCGGCTTCGAGAACATCGATGCGGAGGAAGAATTGGTCTTTGAGGCTGATCTCACGCCGCGCTTCCACAATAACACCAAAGATATTGTTTCTGGCTTTGGCAGATCCAGGGGGCCAAAGTTTCAATCTAAACCGCTTGATCTGGATCCGAGCGAGGAAGATGGATTCTGGAATAAGCTTTCCAATTCCGATATTCAGCAGTTAGAAGAAAACCAGGTATTTTTCGCAAAAAAAATTTTCAAAAAATTAAAAAAAAATACATTCAGAAAAATTTCAAAAAATTTTCAAAAAAATTTCAAAAAAATTTCAAAAAAATTTCAAAAAAATTTCAAAAAAAATTCAAAAAAATTTCAAAAAATTTTTAAAAAAATTTAAAAAATTTTCTAAATGATAAAGAAACTACTACTCAACATAATACCCCTTACTAGGGCAAAGACAACCGATTCGTATTCGATCCACCAGTAATGATGGGCCGAGTCATCGGCGGAAACGACGCTCAGCCCCACTCGTGGCCTTGGCAAATCTTCCTCTCCTTCGACGAGTGGGATTGCGGCGCAATCATGATCCACCCAACCTGGCTTCTCACCGCTGCGCACTGCATCCCAGGCCAGAAATGGAAAGGCCGCTCGGGTCAGCTTATGGCTGGACTCGCCATACTGAATAAGGAAATGGTCGTTTTGAATACAAAGAGCCCCTTTTCCAAGGGCGATTATCATCTATTCCGAGTCCTTCTAGTTCTTGTTGAATAATTTTTTACATTTTGAGTGTACGCGCAAACTTTGACAATTCTGAATTCGTCAAAAAATGATGATGACCGTCTTAAAAAAGTCGGGAGAGCGAGTAGCGGACTTGGACGACGAGGAGTTACGAACAATTGGATTTGAAAGGGAAGAAGCTGAGCGAGCAGAGCAGGCAGCGACCGAACAGAATTTATACAACTTCAAAGGTTGATTTTTATCGCTTCTATAATTGTTACTCTTTCAGTTATCTTCGGCCTCCACAATCTGGAAAGGCCAAAAGGAGCGCGAATCGCTTCCCTGTCACAGAACTATGTCACTGTTCACCCCAACTTCCACAAGCCTCGGTTTTTAAGTGGAGACGTACTTTTAGGTGCAACGTATGATTACTAAATAGCGCCTCTTTTGTATGATTCTTGCTGAGCTTATCGAAAAAAGCGACCTTTCCTCATCCCGGATTTTTACTTTTTTCAAAGATACTTAGGATTAATTATTGCGTTATGGATAAAAACAACTGCTATCTCGAGTCAAGATTCGACATTAAACTCGCGAAAGAGGATTCGTTTTTATTTTTCCTTCGAAAAATTCGAAAATTCGAAAATTCGAAAAATTCGAAAAATTTGAAAATTCGAAAAACTCGAAAATTCGAAAAAATCGAAAATTCGAAAAATTCGAAAATTTTTGTTCGAAAAATTTCAAAAGTTCCAAAACCGAGAAATAGCCGACTCCTTACAACAACGACATCGCCTTGGTCCGCCTTCGAGTTCCACTTCAGTTCGACGATAAGACGTCACCAGCTTGTCTTCCTTCTCAAGAAACTTGTCTTCCGGATAACACTCAGTGCGTCGTCTCTGGCTGGGGCAACACCAACCGTGATTCTTCAGCCGATTCTGACTATCCCGCTGTTTTGCAAGAAGGAACGGGTTAGCTAGCGTTGATTATTGCGCGATAATCAACGATTCTCCTCGCGATTAATTCTAGCGATCTTCAAGTGACGGGAAAATAACTACTGTCTAACAATTTTAATCAAAAAGCCGTGTCGAACATGTTGGCTTTCTTGTTTTTTGAGTTTTGATAAGAGATAATTTCGGCTCAAATCGAATCGAATTGAAGCTAAACTCCGTGTAAGCACCTGTCAACATCCTCAACAATGATTTCTGCGCAAACCCGGACCCGTGGGAGGAAGGCAACTTCAAGAACCTCTACTACAGAAAAATGTACAGTCACAACATGGTCTGCGCCGGTCATGAGAAAGGATTCATGGACGCTTGTCAGGATCAGAGAATGAGAATTATTATGACGCTAGAATCATGATTTAATTAGCGCCTCGCTCATTGAGAGAGCATTGGATTTGACACCTGATTAGATTAGAAGATTAAACAGAAGCCCCCGCGCCTTGACGCGGAAAAAATAATAAAGAAAAAAATCCTCGAAAGGCGACGTTTTTTTTTCTAGCGCCAGTTTTAGTTCACGGTTTGGTGAGTGCGCAGCGCGGATAATTAGAAATGACACTTGAGAAGCATCAAGTTCTTGATCTCGATGAAAAGGGCGATTCAGGAGGACCACTTTCCTGCCGCATATCCGAAGACGGACCCTGGATCGCCTATGGCATCGTCTCTTGGGGAGTCGGCTGTGGCTACTTCCGCCGCCCGGGCGTGTACACGCGCGTCTCCAACTACGAGGAGTGGATCCATCAGCTTACAGGTTAGATGATCTTGCAAAGAGCATTAACCACTTGGAAATTCAAAAATTAAATTTTTTTAAAACAGGACTCAAGTCGAACGTTAAACCTTGGGATTTCCGATCTGATGGGACTGCTACTTGTGGCCTTTTCGACTCGACCCATTCTGTCGCACTGAAGACCAAAACTACCACGACCACAACCACGACCACAACCACAACCACAACAACAACAACTACCACTACAACGACTACAACTACCACAACGACAACTACAACAACAACGACGACAACGACGACGACGACAACGATTCCCGAACGAAAGAAAAAGAAGAAGAACAAAAAAGGAAAGAAACAAGCCAAAAAGGACAAGAAGAAAAACAAGAAGAACAAGAAGCTTCAACCATCAAATCCGACCTCCCTGGTGTCTGGAACCTGCGAGAGCATCATGCCCGAAGAGGGAACGATCTTTTCAAAGAGCTACGGAAATAACTTGAATTGTTGCTGGTGCTGGCGCGCGCGCAACGAGGTATGGAGTTATAAATACTTTCCTCGAAGAACAATCAATTTGTTCCTCTTCCAAAAATAAATTATTTCTTGAATTAGGGAGAAATCGCAGTTATGGCCGTTGGAGAAATCAAACTCGACGCTGCCAAGGACTGCAAGGCCGATGGAGAATTCGTCGAAATCAAAGAAATCAACGCGAAAGGCAAGCAGAATGTGCTAACCATTTGTGGCAAGAAGGACGGGACAGCGAAGGGAAAACCGCCTCAGTGGATTACCAGCTCGCAGATTTGCGTTCAAATCAGATCCAACAGCATGGACCAGGGCAAAAAGAGGTAGTCGAAGAGGTAGCTCCCGCTCTTTCAAAACTGTTGTAGGGTGTTGAAGCTCGCTGGAGGTTTGATCGCGAAGGAGAAATTCAAAGTCAAGCGAGAAAAAATCCTCATGAAGGGCTTTGGCCGCTCCAGGTCAAGAAAAACGCTCGTGGAGGAAGTTCTAGCGACGAGAAGCGCCGCCCAGTGCCGTTTGTTGACCAACGAGATTTCTGGCAAACAGATCCAACTCGATCTTTAATTTAAAAATTTTAAATCAATTCAATACATTTTTCTTCAGAATTAAAAATAAAACATTGAACTTTTTGGTGAGATTTTTTTACATTTTTTATGACTACTGGTAGCAATCTTTTTCTATAAAAAGCAATTGCGACTTTTTTGACTTTTTGACTGTGACTTGATAATGTTTGTTTTTGGAGGATCTCTAATTCATGTTTCTGTTTTGGAATCGTGGAAGAAAAATTGATTTTAGTTTGTTGTTTGTCTATTTTCATTTTTCATATTTGAAGATGAGTTTGTTTTGAAGCAATTAGGCGTAATAGCCGTATGCCGAGAAGCCACCTTCGCTCTTGACCAGGTAGCAGGCGAAAACGACGCCGATGAGCTCTAGAACTGCGATTCCAGCGGCCAGGCCGGCGATCATTCCGATGTGGTCGATCAGCCAGTTCGCGACCTAAAGTTTTACTGCTTTAGAAACTGTCTACAAGGAGGAGCAGCAAAGACTTACGCCGTCAGCACAGCCTTGATCGCTTCCGGCAGGTCTAAGGGCGTCCGTAGCGTTTTTCACGTTGTAAGAAAGACCACAGTTCTCCGCGGCGGTGACGCAGCAAGAATCGGGAACAGGGTACTCTGTGTTCAGCGTCGTTCCGTTCGGGTCCCAGCCTAAACAAGAGAAGAAGTTGAACTGGGTTTTGTGAAGAATAAGGAGAAATGACGATAGTAAGTACCGTTTGCGCTGGCCCAAGTGAGGAATGTCTCGCCATGGCCCGTCGCGTTTGACCAATCTCTGTAGTGGTCCACGCCGCAGCAGTCGAAAGATTTCTAAAAGCGAGGTTTCGCGAAATTTGCGAAAAATTTAAACACTACTACAAGTGGCTACGTATTAGAAGAAAGCGAAAAATACAACAACTTAAGCTTAGCTACTAGTAAAGTAATCGTGCATTTTGAAAAATTCAGTTCCACGCAACAAAAAAGGAAAGTTGTTAAAGATTTTACTGTCAGCACTGAAGATTTCACAAATGTCACGAATGTCAAGAATGTCACGATTTTTCTGAAAATGTCACGAAAAAGAAACATGTTTTTCTGACATTCGTGACATTTGTGAAATTCGTGACATTTCTGACAGTAATGACATTTTCGGTCAGTACTGAAAATGTCACGAATGTCACGAAAGTCACGAATGTCACAATTTCGCTGAAAATGCCACGAAAAAGAAACATGTTTTCGTGACATTCGTGACAATCGTGACATTTTCAGCACTGTCGGATTTTACTGAATATTTTCTACCTGAATGGTATTCCAGGAATTTTGAATAGCAGTCTCGTTCCAGCTGTCCATCGCATCAAAAGCGAAGGTTTTGATTGAATTGCTCACTTCATCTTTTTGCACAAATCCGTAAATCGCTGCGGAAAGCTCCAGGAGAAAAAGGACCAAAAGAATCACGCTTGAAAATTTTAACTTTTGAACGAAGAGAATTAAATTAGCAATTATCTTTTGAGGATGAAAAATTGAAGATGAAAGATGCAATGTGTTTTGAGAATAAACGTTGTCGTGAAAGTAGATTAGGTTTTAATGGCTCTATTAACCTGTAGGTAGTTGTCATGCAAACATTTTCCTTGAGTGTGCCAAAATAGCCGAAGAACGAGAGCAAAAATATGAAAGCGCCGAGACAGAGGATAAATATTGCGATTCCTTGGAACGTGTCTGATGCCACATCCTTAATTAATTTCATCAATTAACAATTATCGATAGAGGAGAAATTAATTAATTATATTTTTTTCTGGGCTAAGTTTTAAGGGCATAAATTATGCCTCATAATACAGTTTTAGCTTAAGGGTACTACCTTTGATTTCCGCAACTTCACCATTTCGGAAATCGAAGGTAGTACCCTTAAGTTCATTTAAAAAGGTATCTTTTTCGATGAATTCTTACGCTGAAATTGTTAACTTGGTGGTAGATGTAACCGCCGACACCTAACATGGCAAGGCCGAGGATGAAAAATATCAAATTCATAATGTTGAGTATCCATTTGATACAGCTCGCAGATGTAGACTCTGCCATTTTTCTCAATTTCTTCGCGAAAATCGGATTAACTTATCAAATCACTTTCGTTCTAACACTTTTTGGCGAATTCTGACTCAGCTTGGCAGTTTTTTTCGAAAGGCAAAGATTGATTTTTCGCAACTTTTTTTCTTCTTTCGAAAAGCATCACTAACTCAACAACATTCACGATGACACTCTGAGTTGATGAACTTTTACCGCATCTGAAAATTTGGCCATGTGTTGGCCTGTTTAGCATTATCCCAATGCGCGTACGGGGTAATGCTAAGTAACTGCATCTGCGCAAACATGCTTCTAGTAAGAGGTTCAGCCCGTTTCCAAAATCCCAAAAGCGAAACTACCGCCCGTCATTTTATTATTGGCTTCCAATAAACTCTTCCCTCGCTTTTTCTTCTATAGAAGTACCCTCGCAAAACTGCATGCCAAATGAAATTATTCGACCTTTTTCATTAATCAAAATGTAATATTTTCATCAAAGAAGCTTAAAATTTAGCCATAAAATGACTTTTTGGCCTATTTTTTAACATTGAGTTGGTCAAAATTTTTGACTCAAAATTAGGTCAATTTATTTATGAACAAAAATTTATCGATATTTGACGAACAAATTGGTCAAAAGGACCAAATAAGTTAATTAAAAAATCTTAAATTTTAGCCCAAAAAGTCAAATTTGACCAAAAAGATGGTAAAAACGAATGACCAAGTTAAACTTTACCAATTCAAAAAAATGGCATGTCATAACATTCCAAAAAGACATAACAACTAAAAAACTGAAAAACTTCCAAACAACTTTCATCATTTTTCCCCTTCCATGATTCGATCCGCGTGTCTCGTGATCACGCCCTGTCTTTTTCAAAACGGCTTAATTTCTTTCGCGTTTATTTGCGCTAATTCGATATTTCTCCAGTCTAGCCGCCTTCTATCGTTGATTGTCGTGACGATTTCACAAAAATCACGGTGGGAATAAAAGGAGCCGGCCTGGGAGCGTCGTTCTCATTTTCCCGTTTTCTGCTGAAATCAGCGAAAACAGACATAGACAGCGGGAGGAGCATAACAACACTGTCTGCGAGAGCGGGAGAAAAGGACGCTTCTGCCAGCGGCTCAACTCAGTCGGGTCAGAGATGTCATCCACCGATGAGCTCGCCAAGTTCAATTCACTTACCAAAGGTAAAGAAAACTTCGATTTATTAAATAATTTATGAAAAATAGAGGGATCTTTTTGATAAAAAATGAAGGAAATAAAAATAAAATATTTTATAAAAATAATCAAATTTTCGCGCTTTTGTTCATGATAACTCATGATAACTCAATTGCCCTTTACTTACTACCATTTGTACTATTCCAGCTTTTCAATTAGTTTAATTAACATTAATTGTCGAACAAGAACACCTATTGTAAAAACATGTTAGTTCCGCTAGAACTTGATCAATTCTATCAATTCTAAATACGGTATTCTGAAAAAAGACATGCGAGAGATGCTGGAGTAGGAAAAAATGTATTTTGAGACAACACTGGGGTTAGCTGGGCGCATTAGACGGTTCATAAAATTTCGAATTTGCAATTTGTAATTATGATTCTGCGAATAACGAATAAGAGGCTATAAATACTAGACAACCACCTACATGGAAGACTGTTCCATGAACGTCGTAGATCTAACGGTGGTGGTCCTAATCGTGTCTCGTGGCAGATATGGGTTAATCATCTTAACCCGCTTCACGTAGCCTATCAACCAGTCCATAATTTTCCTTTCAGAAGAGCGACTAATGTCGTCCACGCGAATCCGCGCCAAATATCCGCAAAAAGTGCCGATCGTTCTTCACCGCAGCGCTGGAAATACCGCCGTTCCAGAGCTCAATCGTTTCCGATATTTGGTGCCTTCGGACTTGCGCGTCTCTGAGCTCATCACAGTGATCCGACGAAACATCAAAGACCCAAAGGTACCAGTACTTTTCCTTTTGCCTGAACGGAGGGAGCGGAAACCGCAAATAAAAGCCCCCTTCGGCGGAGTGGGTTAACCTAGGTGCCAACACGTAAACTCATCCCTTTTATTAATCATGGAGTTCGACACCTCTATTTGTTCCTTGGAATGAGTAGATTCCAAATCTTTAAAAAAAAATAAGGTTTGTGACGTTTTTCTCTAGAAAATTGACGAAAATCTAATTTTCGCCGGAGGATTTCGACAAGTTTGTTAAATAATCCTAGCCCGAGGGCAAAACGAATGTGCCCAATGAAAAGAGGACCCTTTTTTACCCTAGAATCCCTCAAAAAATCTTGACGACATTCTTCACGAAGATCAGAATCGACGATTGAGAATTTCTTCTTGTTGTTTTTCTTCTTGAAGAGCCGGCGCTCTCCACCACCGGAAACAAGGCTTGACGGTACGCTAGAAAACCCTTTTAACCCCTAATCTCTAGAATGGTATTTACCTGGTGCAATGAGAACCTTTTCCGCCATCTTCCTCCAAGTACTCTTCTTTGTCAGCACTCGTGCACGCCAAAGCGTCTCCTCCCGGGTCTCAGCCAACCGAATCTTCTCCAACGAGCCTTCCGGAATCTCTTTGGCGGTGGTCATTTGGGCAATAAGCCGCGAAAAATTCAAGGAAAAGGGCATTTTTTTCTCTTTTTCGTCCTCTCTCTCTTTTCTCTGATCAGCAACTGAGAGATTTTCAGAATTTTCCTGACTTTTATAGACGACAATGACTCATTACCAAATCTAGAAGAGAAAGAACAGCATTCTACAAAAATTATTGGATGATAAACCTAAACGAACAGCCCACGACATTGTCCTACAAGATCGAACCAAGAACATCAAAGCCTCGTCCTTCCAGTAAGGTTCTTCCATGACCTCAAAGTCCTCCTTCATGAGCGCAAGAGAAAGCTCAACCATTCCTCCTCAGTCCTCCGGTATGACCTTCAAAAGAATTTCTTCCATGACCTCAACGTCCTTCTAAACGAGCGTTACATCTTTCCCATAAAGGTCTTCAATTACGATCAAGTCCTCCAGTGTGAGCACAAAATCCTTCTAAATAACTTTTCCCATAACCTCAGAGTCCTCCATAAAGACTTAGGCATCCTAGAAGCTCTTCCCTTCTCGAGAAACTCCATGATGAATTTTATTGATGCCTGTCATTGGCCCATATTTGTCTAATTCAAGTCTTGATTTTCATCTATATTTGGCGCTGTTTTATCCAAGTTGAAGCTAATTCTCAGCCACATTTGGCGCTATTTCATACATCTTTGAACTTATTCTAGGCCACATTTGACGCTATTTCATACATCTTTGAACTTATTCTAGGCCACATTTGGCGCTATTTCATACATCTTTGAACTTATTCTAAGCAATATTTGGCGCTGTTTCGTTTATAATTTTACTGATTCAAAGCCAAATATGGCGACTTACCGTTCGAAATTTTACAAGAAGCAATTGATAAGCTATTCTAAGTCGGGGGCTTCGCCCCCGCACCCCCATCAAAGAAATCTGTTATCCTCGGGGGCTTCGCCCCCAAGACCCCCGTCATTCCAAACTATACGAAGGTGAGGCTTCGCGGCGCAGCCGCTCAGCCTCCTCCCCGGAGGTCCCTGCGGGCCCTCCGGGAATCAAATATTTTCGTCCATGGACTCTCGTTTCTGACCATGGTGTGGGTATAAATTTTTGTTTCCTGCGTTTCCGGTAAGAGTAAGGATATTTGAGTATGATTAAAGATTTTCAAGGTTTTTCACAAATTTTTAGGCAGAATGCGTTGAATTTGATATCAGTGGATCCACCGCAAAAAAAGGAAAGAAAATAAAACACAATTTAACCACCCGGTTAGCTCTGAACCAGGCGGTTCAAAGCGTTTTTCTGCTTTTTAGAAAGCTGTAACAGGACTTTTGTCGGGTGGGTTGGCAGGACTGTGCTGACTGAAAAAGAGCCTCACCAAAACAGATCTTAGAATCAGTCCACAGTGTCAGCTTAAACAAACAAAGCACTTCTTTCGGCGATCATAACCTTGAGTTGAAAAATTCTAGCACTCAACAAACACAGCTGAATTCAAAGAATAAATGAATTGGCCCCGAACCTGACTGGAATGAATGTGTTTAAATGGCCTCCCCTTCGGGTCGGCTTGGCCCCGTCCCTGACTGGAATGAATGTGTTTGAATGGCCTCCCTACGGGTCGGCTTGGCCCCGTCTCTGACTGAATTGAATGTGTCTGAATGACCTCCACTACCGGTCGGCTTGGCCCCGTCTCTGACTGAATTTAATGTGCTTGACTGTATGTATTGCATAAATTGAACTGACCTCTCTTCGGCTCGGCTTGGATTCGTTACTGAATGTATTGGATGAATCGAACGGGCCTCCCCTTCGGGTCGGTTTCGCCCCTACCTGACTGTATTGATTGAAACAAATTGCGTCCCAGCAGACTGATTGAAGGTAAAAATTGGCCGGGTATGTTTGGAAACGTGACTGACTTTATTGAATGAATGGAAATGGCGCCTTCTTTGGCTCTATTGCTGAATGTATTGCATATATCGAATTGTTGTTGTTGTTTGACATTTCTGTTTTTTTGTCTTCCAGGAGTTTGTCTTCCACCAGAGGGGTCCTCCGGGAGGTCCTCCGGCCAAAGCCGACCAAATTTGGCCATAGAATCCTGACCAATTGCCACGTATGGTCATTTACAATATTTCTTTTGTATTGGTCTTCCAGCAGTTTGTCTTCCACCAGAGAGGTCCTCCGGGAGGTCCTCCGGCCAAAGCCGACCAAATTCGGCCATAGAATCTTGACCTATGGCCATGTATGGTCATTTACAATATTTTTTGTATTGGTCTTCCAGGAGTTTGTCTTCCACCAGAGGGGTCCTCCGGGAGGTCCTCCGGTCAAAGCCGACTAAATTTGACCAAACTTGGCCAAATCTGAGTATCGGCCATTAATAACTTTTTTGTGTTGGTCTTCCAGCAGCATGTTGGTCTTCCAGAAGGAGGTCCTCCGGCTCTTCAAGAAGAAAAACAACAAGAAGAAATTCTCAATCGTCGATTCTGATCTTCGTGAAGAATGTCGTCAAGATTTTTTGAGGGATTCTAGGGTAAAAAAGGGTCCTCTTTTCATTGGGCACATTCGTTTTGCCCTCGGGCTAGGATTATTTAACAAACTTGTCGAAATCCTCCGGCGAAAATTAGATTTTCGTCAATTTTCTAGAGAAAAACGTCACAAACCTTATTTTTTTTTAAAGATTTGGAATCTACTCATTCCAAGGAACAAATAGAGGTGTCGAACTCCATGATTAATAAAAGGGATGAGTTTACGTGTTGGCACCTAGGTTAACCTGATGATTGCGCGGTTAATTTCAACAATAAAGCGCCAGTTGTTTTCCGCGGGTATCATTTTTTGATATGGTATCGCGGTGCACCACTCTATCCAAACTGCTCTTTTCCGTGAGCGCGGAAGTTTCTATTGCATTGGCGCCAATGTCGTTAAATGATACAACGCGCTCGAATTTTAGAAAAAGGAAAATTTAAAGAGGGTTCAAGTAAAAGCTAAAATTCTAGTTCGACGAGTCAAAAGCGCTCTTTTGATCGTCAACGAGCAAATGCCTTCGTCGACCCAGACTGTTGCCGAGCTGGACCAGCTCTTCAAAAACGAAGACGGATTCTTATACATGAACTACTCTGGTGAAAATACCTTTGGTGCCTGCTAGATGCTAACGAAACAGAAGAAAAGCAACAAAAAACAAAACGATTATTGAAAAACTTGATCTTTCAAAAAATGAATACTCATCTCAAAGAAAAACCTTCGAAAATGCCATCAATGCAAAGAAAAAGTTAAATAAAAATGGAAAAATACCAGATAGAGGCGAGAATCTTTTAACGACTGTGAATAATGAAGATATTCATGCTAGTGAATTCGTTTTCCTTTTTATTATCAGCCTTGCGATGTCGGGTTTCTCACAAGTGAAGTTTGTCTAAGAGTAAAAAACATTGAAAAAGAATGCTTTCCAAGATAGAATCGAAATCAGCACCATGCTCAGGATTTAAGAATCAGAGAGAACATTGTACAAAAGATCAATTGAGGTTGATAGGAGCTTGGCATAGTGACATATCCACTCTTACGGATGAATTTAAAAGCGACCTGAAAACTCGTTGCTTTGAATACCAAGCTTTGCAAGAAGAACTGGGAAAGATTATTTTCCATTTATGCCAAGAAGAGGCACGCCTTCTTAAACTCAATAAACAACGAGGAAAAGGCTTTAACAAAATCACAATATTCCAAAACATGGATGATCGGAAGATGGAGAAAATAAAAAAAGACATGATTTCGTTTGAAAGAAAAAAGAATGAGATTATCCAACAGTTCAGAAAGAGGCAAGAACAAAAAGGTCAGCTCATAAAAATAAAACCGAAATTTCATGAAAATGGTTAGGGAGCCCCAGTTGCGAATGCAGAGTATGCAGCTTCGAATATGACAATGATCAACGTCGTCAATCGGTTATCACGAAATGTTTCCATACTTTTTGCTTGTCCTGTCTTAGTAGAGAAGATCTTAAGACCTGTCCGATGTGCAGAGTTCCATTCGAAGAAAGCGACGTTGTAAAACTAGTATAAGGAAAATGGTTCGCCATTTCAAATGGCCCATTTGTCACACTAGACTCATTAGTAAAGTGGTTAATTTGTTTCCTTATTTTATACAGTGAAACCCTAACTTAAGGCCCCTTTTTGGATGACAGTAGATTTAAAAAGGAGCCTTAAGTTGGGTGATTCTTCGATTTAGTTGGATGACACTTAAGGAGGGGTCGACGAGAAAAATTTTTTCGTTTTTTCAAAATTTTGATTATATTTTTGGATTCCTCAATAAAAAAGGAGCATTTTTGGTCTCCAGCTTTTTGGGCATTGATAAGCTTTTTTTAACAAAATTTTCGATTTTGTGTCTGGATTCCGAGATTTTACGAAAGTTAAAAGTTGGTTATATCACCCAAAAATAATCCTTATCAAATTTTTATGTGCTAGATATTGTTTCTTGATGATTTTTTAATCATTATCAGTAAAAAATTCTGAGTCTCCGCGATTTTGGTAAAATTCCCTATGAAAAATGAGCAAAACTGACGATTTTTAGGCAAATCGGATATTTTTAATCAACAGTAAAAAAATTTTCACGATAAGCATCCCTTTTTTCATTGTCGCCGCTGTATTTTCAAGGGTTTAAACTTACTTTTAAAAGTATTTGATGAAGAAAAAAAAATCCCGTTTTTGAGAATTTTTGGTCAGGAGACACCCCCACTTTGACCTAAATTTTACAAAATTTTTTGGAAAAAATTTTTTTTTCATTTTCGCCGCTGTATTTTTCAGACCCTTTTCTTTCCACGTAAAAAGTCAGAATTTGCCTATCTAAGCAGGTTTTTCCGCATTTTTGGTCACAGAAATCCCGATTCTCGTCGACCTCCCCCTTAAACACAACAGATTTGGGAGAATCTGTAGATTCCAAAAATATAAGATTCATATACTGACTGTGTGTATAAGCGAAATTACGATCACCCCTGAAAAAATTCTCGTCGACCCTCCCCCCTTAAACGACCTTCCTGCTAACCTTCACTCTTGCAAAGCCTAGAAAAAAAAGACTTATCAGTGATTTCCTCTACTGTCTGCTTTATTAATATGTTTGATATTTTTTCCTTAATTCAATTATGCTTCTGTTTATGGATTTCGGAAACCAGCTATACTACACGCAACAAATCAAGTAATTAAGATCGATATTTATTTGTATCTGAAAAAAATTATAATTTAATATGAAAAACCTTTAAAAACTCAATCAATCCAACGAAAAAAGCGAATAAACATGAAAAATTTCATAAAAAAAACATTCTAACCGGCTTGAGAGTAGATCCCAAATGCCATTTGAATAACATTATAACATATTCATTGAATAACTTGGAGATTGAAATATCATTGAGAGATTTGGCTAGAACTCTTTTGAATTTTATCCGTTATATTTATTATCATACTGTCTCACAGATCAAGATCAATAACGGGTGAAAGCGAGTTTAGACTGGTTGATTGAATATAGAACTATCTGAAGTCTTCTTAGAGAGATTGAGCGGGAATCATGAGCGAATTCTAGTGAAGAAAGGAGAAGTGCGTCTAAAGAATCTTTCATCAGAAAATTGTATTTTCGAAATAATAATTATTTCCACTTTATCGTTTTTGAAAAATGATAAAGAAGCGATAACGCACTCCTCTTTTTTAATTTTACATTGATACCGCGTAATTATGGTCGATTACGCAGGAGGAAAAGAATCGGAAGAAATTAATTAGCGATGTTGAGCAGTAAAGATGGTTGTTTTAGGCTTTTAGGGGGTGTCGACAAGATATTCTTCGAGATTCTTGCAGCCCTGTTTCACATGAGCGCGGATGCGATTGCGCAACTCGTCGATCTCGATTTGAAGCTTGCGTTTTGTGTTCATGTGCTCGCTCATTTTTTCGTTCAGCATTTTTACCTGAAACAAAAATTGAAGTCCCATAATAAGGATTTTTTAAATTTAAAGTGAAACAGTAATTCTCTTTAATTTCTATTTACCTCTTCTTCCAAGATATTTATCCGTTCTATTTTCCTCTTTCTACACTTGGTCGCTGCGATTCGATTTCTTTCTCGTTTTCTTTCAACTTTTTCTTCCTCTTGTTTCTCCAAATCGACCGGGACAACTACTGAAATCAACAACGACTTTCAGAGCAAAATGATCTTACTTGGTAGATTTGTGTTTCGATCCTGAACAACGGCGAATGTCGTCATCATTGGAATAGCATTTTGGCTGCTTGAAGACAAATGCTGGTCGGTTTGGTTTATAACTTGCGTTTCGTTTCCAGAATTCATCGCGACGGGCGGACTCGTGCTCAAGTTGATCGTCTCTTGCTCAGAAACCGAATCGGGGTCTTGCTTGATCGTTGCTGCTTGACGCTGGGTGGAATCGCTGCTCAGATCGTTGAGGTTTGAAGTGAGAATTCGATCCAAATCGGGCGTCTATAAATTTACTCATGTGATGGCAATTAACTCGGGTTCTTTCAGATGGCACGAAACTCGATATATAGATCTTTCATTATGGAATTAATGAATAATTATTTTCTGAATAATATGCAACTTTCTTTGAACATGGAAGCAATCAATATTAACCCATTCTAGCGTGAATGCCAGAAACAATCCCGTTTTCGGTCTGGGCCTGGCAACCTGTGTAAAAAAACTGTGTCAGGGTCTAAAGAGCTAAAAGGAGAAGCCGCGTTGCTTTTCATCTTAGCTCTGACTCAGGTTTTTTACACAGGTTGCCAGGCCCAGACAGAAAATGGGATTGTTTTTGACTTTCATGCTCGAATGGGTTAATATTGATTGCTTTCATTTTCAAAGAAAAAACAACGCGTGTTGAGTCAAGACTCAATAGTAAGCTCCATTCAGATAAAAAAAGTTGTTTCCTGCTCAACCCCACTTACAATACAAATTGATAATTACTCGAGCCACTCGAAAGAAAGATATGAAATTAATAACGGACTTGATCTCTCGCGTTTCCACCAATTCCTCAATTCCCTCGATAATTTAAAGCCACTAGATGACTAGGAAGATGACTAGGCGATAACCCGAGGGCTGCGGCAACATTTGACCGCTACAAATGGCGAAAAGGGATGATTAGGACCGCCCGTATCGTAAACAAGGACGCAAGAAATTGGAACTTGACTGACCTGGAGAGCTTTTTTCAAATCGGGCGTAGAAAGCGTCGCGGAAGTCGTGTTCGTTCGAATTCCCAAGTTGAAACCGGGCGGGCGCTTTTCTTTTATCCGCTCACTAGAATTGGGCTTATCAAAAAAATACTACCTAGGGATTGAAAGATGATTTTAAAAAAAATTTCGCGGGCTCGGAAATCGTCAAAAAACTTCTTGACTAGTTTTGAAGAGCTCTTCGAGACGAGTCGAATGATATATAAAACTCCAGATAGTTTTAAGATTTTCCGCCAAAAAAAGTGATAAGAAGGTGTCTTATCAAAAATTTTCTGACCGGCGCCGTTTTTGTTCTAGAAAAGCTGAGGTGATGCTTGACCCCGGAAAATGATCCTCATGGTCTGGTCTATTCCGGCAAAAAATTTCAGGTCGTCATCACATATCCTGCTGTGCTTATCAGCGAAAAATCAAAAAATAGTGCATTTTGTTGTCGCTGCACGTTCCTAGTTTCCGGCCCATTTACAGTCCCATTTTCTTTGGAAAATGAAATTTAACGATAAACTCGGCTGGGTAAATGATGACGAGCTGAAATTTTTTGCCGGAATAGAACAGCTCATGAGGATCATTTTCCGGGGTCAAGCATCACCTCAGCTTTTCTAGAACAAAAACGGCGCCGGTCAGAAAATTTTTGATAAGACACCTTCTTATCACTTTTTTTGGCGGAAAATCTTAAAACTATCTGGAGTTTTATATATCATTCGACTCGTCTCGACGAGCTCTTCAAAACTAGACAAGAAGTTTTTTGACGATTTCCAGGCCCGCGAAATTTTTTTTGAAATCATCAAACTATTCAACGGTTAAATTAATTGATCATTGAACTTACGTAAAAACTTTCTTCTGAACTGGGGCCTGCATTAATTCCTTCTTTTTCTCCCAATTTCTCCGAAGTTTGAATTCCAAAGATTCCCAAGTTTTAGTTCTTTTCCGGCAAGTTTTCGGCTTCTTTATCTCTCTTTTTCCTTGTTTCTTTTTTTTCAGACGGCTTCGATCCCAGACAGAAGAAAAAAGGGCAAAAACAGGAAAAATTACTCGTCGGAGTGGCTTCTTTGGATGAATTGGCGATTCATTCGGGCGTGGGCGGCACTGCTCCGAGCAGCGCCAGAAATCAAACGAGCATGATTCATACGAACTCAGGACATTTTTGGGCTTGTTCACGGTTTATGATGATTTACGATTTAGGAAATAGAGACGATTCATAATAATAACATCTGATTTAGGTTTTATGATACCGCGAGGGTCAAAGGTAATGAAGCGACTACCGGTATTCTAGGAAATAAGGTGAGGCTCGTGCAAACACTCTTCAACTAGCTTTTTTCTACGATAAATTATTTATTTAATAAATTATTAATTATTTTTTTTAACCAAAAACAGCCCGAAAATTGTCCTAAACGCTTCAGCTCTGAATAGTGTGATGCAAAAAATAGTCGGTAATTCATGGAAAATCGACCATCTTGAGCCAATTTTTTGGAAGTAAATAACTAACTGTTTAGTAAGGTAAATCTGGGCTTTCACTTCTTGATAGTGGTTAGACCAGTCCCCTGATATATTGGTTGGTATTGTCTCTAAGAAGAAAAGATCCGTCAAAGCCTATGATCTTTCCGGCGTTCGTTTTGTACCTTTGAGTTGACCTTCTCCCGAGACTCGTAAAAATCATCTTCCAAGTGAAAATTCATCTTTTTCCCCTTCCTCTTTTCGCAATAAACAATGTTTTCCACAAGACAAAAGTACCTCCTAGCCTTTTCTTCGTTATGGATTTCTACGAGCATCTACGTCCTCTTCTTCCTCGAATCCGAGATCATGCAAGACATGCGAGGCTACATCAGCGCGCTTACTGAAGACTTGCACGCGCAGATGCAGCTGGACGAAAGAGAAAAGGATGAAAAGAGGGAGAGAGAAATGAAGATGAAGATGAGGGCGCTGGTTGAAAGATACGAGACAGAGTTGGACATTATCTTCAGAATTTTGGGGGATCCGACGAACAAGGATTCTTCGAGGATTTTTCAAAACTACCCGAAAGAGTAAGTCCTCTTTTATTCTTTTTTACGTGCTTTTATCATGATTCTAGTGCGCTGGAAAAGCTGTGGAAATTCTGCAACAAGAAAAAGAGCGATTTTATAACAAAAGACAATTTGATCATTTGCGGAAATTACTTCATGAAGATTTTGGAAAACAAAGTACCGATCAATATCGCTTTGATTTCGGACAAGTTCTGGCCGTATGTGGATAAAAACATGAACGACCAACTATCGAAGCACGAGTTTTTGCATTTTGTCGCGGGAGTTTCAGGTTTGAGGGGAATTCGTTTGAAGAAAAGGCGCTAGAATGCAATTTTAAGGCGCCTGTGGAAGAACTGTTTTGACCAATTTGGACGGAAATTTCAACAGAATCCTCGAAGAAAAAGAATTTGAGAAGTTCTGGGAGCTTTTCGCCGTCAATTTTAAAGAAATCATGTGGCGCGATGGAGTGATTGAAATGCTCAAGCGGATTGAAAATACAGTCACTTATCCGGTTGATGGTTTCAAGGTAAGAAAATGTCCTGAGAAGGGATGGTGAAGCATCATTTTAGATGGCGCAAATCGTCGCTAGAATTCTCGCCGAAGCAACAGAAATTGAAAATGCCTCGCAAATTTGGAAAGAAGAACTCAAGAAGCAAACCTTGAAAGAGACAAACGAATGGCTTGGTGCTCCGACCAACCTTTTTGCTGCTGACTTTGATGAAAATTAAAATTGTAATCTTTTTATTGATAATTTTTTTAATTACAAATGGAAGAGAGCAAGGGAACTGACAAGAGCAAAAAGAGCCCCGGTGACAGATGCGGCGGAACTCGTCGAGGCAATGACGGCAAGTCCAGTTGTTCCAAGAGGAACGGCATTTTCCATCTTTTGGGTGATGCCAGCGGCTTCGCAAGCGTCGTCGAATTCCTTTAAATGCTCATTTGAACGAAGTTAATACTGATATCTTACCTTCGTTTTATCGTTAAGCTCTTTCTCATCGATAGCTTTCCACTGGTCGAACGTTTCCCAGTCGACATGGCTATAAACATCGCAGTTGGAAGCTTTGGTGAAATCGCAAGTTCTGTCCACATTCGTCGTCTTTCTCACAAAACCGTCTTGCTTGGCCAAGTAAGTCGTCCAAATCTCATCATCAAGCTCGTTCCACTTGTCGACGTCTTTGCCATGGACTTTGAAGTGAAGAATTTCAGTAGTCAAGCCATTTTTCTTCAATTCGGCTGCGTCTCCGTTCGTGCCTCTCGTATTGGCGGCGAGAGCGGAAGAAGCGAAAAGAAAGGAAAGTTTCATTTTTGAGATTTGTGGGAGTGAAAAGAACTCGAAGCAGATTAAATAGCAACTGGTGTTTGAAGAACGCCTCGTTTTTTATTGACTCAGAATCTTCTTTTGAGGTTTTTCTTCAAGCAGTGAATATGCGTTACTATGACAAAGTGACACGAATAAGTGTAATGTTAGATACTGTCATCGACAAAAATGACCCTTGAATCGAACGAATACGGTTGACATTGGTGAAGGTCAAAAAGAAAATCGTTTCAGAATGCAGCGCACTAATCATCAACCCTTTCTTTTTTCGCGATCATTAGACAGCGACCTTGAGATAAATGGAACGACAGTAATGCACAATCGTTTTCAATCGGCGCCTAGTCCGACCATTTTAAGATTCAATATTTTATGGCAAGAGATTAACCGCATAGAAGTCATTTTAAGCAGTATTGGCAGGCCACGAGCAATAAAATACGAGGAGAATGGGTAGAACTCCGACAGTTTCCAAGAGAATGTCCAAGCGACCAAGATTCATGACGAAAAGTGGCGAGTGCAATATCCGCCACGATGCAAAAGAGAAAACGAAGCGGTTTTTGCAGGACTTTTTCACGACTCTAGTCGACCTGAAATGGACCTATTCTCTTGGAGTTTTTCTCAGGTAAGGCAAAAATCAACGAAACTCTCTAGTATCCTCAGTTTTTATGCAATCACGTGGCTGCTTTTCTCCGGAGTTTACTGGGTCATTGCTCATTTTCGCGGAGATCTGCTTTTTTATAAAGCAGTGAAAGAAATTCGATCAAAGGTTATTTTTTACAACGAAACTGGGGAGCCGCAAATAATGCCAGATCATGAAGTTACAAATGCGCTGGAAATGTTTCCTCTTGAAGGGCTTTTGTCGCTTGGCATTGGCAAACGAAATGCGGAGGTGATCGGGACTGGGTTTTGGGTTCTTTTTTGAAATCAAGGAAGAGAATTTGAAAAACCCAAGCAGTTGCCAAGCGCCATTCTTTGTGTTTCGTCGGAGTTCGAAGCTATTTGACTGCTTTTCTCTTCTTTCTCGAAACAGAAACGACCGTCGGCTACGGCCGGAGAAACATACAGTCTAACTGCCCAGGTACAGTATCAACACAGTGCTTCAAAGACTCGTAATCTCAATTTCAAGAGGCTGTGCTCGCCCTCGTGATCCAATGCTTGATCGGAACATTTGTGGACGCCGTAATGGTCGGTTGTATTTTCATCAAGCTCTCAAAACCCACAAATCGAACGGACACACTCATCTTTAGCACCGATGCTGTCATTTCTCAAGTAGGCGCGGTTTCCGCTAACATTTGAGAACATGCTTTCAGCGCGATGGAAAATATTGTCTGATGTTTCGGGTGGGAAACTTGCGTAGCTCCTTGATTGTTCAGTGCAGAATTCGGGCTAAGTTCGTGAAAAACAAGCAAACAACAGAGGGCGAATTTATTCCACTTATGCAAACAGACATGAACGTAGGATTCGACACCGGAGCTGACAAACTCTTCCTGGTTACAGTAAGCGATTGATGGGTCATAGGAAACTCCTATGGAAAGTTTTATGGATGACATTTTTTCAGCCGCTAATTGTCTGCCATGAAATCAACGAAAAGTCACCGCTCTGGGAAATGTCAGAAGAAGACATCAACCAGAAGCACTTTGAAATCATCGTCATTTTAGAAGGCATTGTTGAATCAACCGGAATGATCTGTCAAGCGCGCACGAGCTACTTGAACACAGAGACAAAATGGGTAGGAAATAAAATTCATGAATTACTAATCAATTTCAAAAAAAATAAGGGCTTTCGATTCATGCCGATGCTCTTTCAATCGCAGCATCATTTCACTGCTGATCATTCGAACTTTAACTCCACCTACGAAATACGGTAAGTTCCTCCTTCCGACATCAATCTCACTGAAGCTAGAATGCCTGCTGTATCCGCAAGCCTCCGGGAAAAACTGCAAAAAGACCCATTCTACAAAGACCGGAAAAAACTCACGATCAATCGCTACAAAAGCCTTCCCCTTCATCATCAACATCGAAACTCCAAATTTTCAACAATGGAAGAGTAAAAAATTTCTGCCCTTTTCGAACAGTGTTTATATTTTATAGAATTAGAATTGATAGGGAATAAAGGAGCGGAAACTCGATTGAATACTTTTGTTGACTTTGCTAAATTTCTCGCTGATTTTTAAGCTAAGCGATGGGGATCTCCCTCTTCTTCTTTTCTCGCCCGACTCAGTTTTCAGTCTTCTTCTTGAGCTGTTTGAGCTGTTGAGCTGTTTCTCGAGCTTTATTGACAACTTCTTGACTAGGACGCCTTCTGATTGAACTCTTCGCAAGGAGAGTTCGTTGGAGTTTGTGATCAAGGAAGAAGATTCTTCGGCGAAAGAGTTTGGAAGCTTTAAATTGGCGAATTTGTAATCGTTCTGTCCTTCTTCAAAAGCTTCAAAAAAGGTTTCACAATCTTGAAATCAAGGAAGAGTACCTTTGAAAAACTCCCCTGCCCAATTTTTCCCAATAGACTCTCCCAAGTCGCCAATCTCTCCATGTTCATTGACGAAGAGAAAAACGAGAGTGTGAAAACCGAGAGTGTAGCCAAGAAGTTTGGGAGAAATAACAGTCTTGCACTCTCTTACATTTTGAAGAATCCTCATTGGGACTGACTGAGAAATATGATCTGGCGAGCGGTTGAATCGCTGGATTCGAATGTCACGGTATAGCATCGCGTAAAATTGAAAAAGCTCTCTTTCCTCGCTGACTGTCATTTCTGCTCTCGTTTACGATAGACTTGAAGATGGATAGACTTGCAAGTCGATTTTAAAGGAACGCAAATAAAAAGCTTCCGGTATAGAAAAAAACAATGACTTGACCTAGTCTATATTTTTCCATAAACTCTAAACTTCTTCTAGTCTTCTATTGAATACAGCGAAATCTTTGGGCTATATATATATTTACAGGAAATCAAATATTGCGGCAGTTTATGATCGATTTGGCACAGTGAAGTTAACTTCCTTGAATTTCATGAAATTTTCTTCCCAAGCAGTTCTCTCCTCGATTCGTTTTCTTCGTAGTCTTCCTTGAGTCGCTTTCATCTTTAGAGCATCACATTTGAACTTTTCGGAGTTGAGCTCAGCAAAAGCAGATCGCATGAAATCACTGTCAATGACTTTGTGGGTGATGGTCAGGCCCCGGGTCGCGCAGGTGTCGTGGACGGAGAACTGCTCCTGAAGTCCCATGCAAATTGTTTCCGATCGAACCATGTTCTCAGTTTTGCCGATCTTCTCAATCAGCGTCCCAGTAAAAGTATCATCAAATGGCATCACTTTTTCTTCTTCCCTCGCCACTTTCGCCAGGGCTCTCGTGAATTCACCAGTAGTCAAAAATCCGCCTCCCGACATGTAGCGCGGATAAGTCGACTTTGGGTAGATTTGATCTGGAATGAAGTATTTGTCCTTTGGATTTCTGACGGCTGGTGCACCCTCTCCGTGTTTGCAGCCGACTGCCTCGATTGAAGGAGAGAATTTGATTTTGGAGATTTCGTTGATGAGATTTTGGGGCACTACTAGGGTATCGTCATCACCCTGGAAGATGAAATCAGCATTAGAGCATTTTTCCTCCATAAAAGCCCAGAATGCCTTGAATTTGTAGGGCATGACAAATTGATTCTCCACAAAGTCAGCGACCAGCAAGTCGTCATGTTCTTTCATCTCTTCCTCCAGATCTTCGTCACCTTTCAGGCCGATGATGAAGACGACTTTGATCTGGAATCCAAGTTGCTTCCAAAGATCAGGATTGAGCCAAGTGTCGCGAATGGATTGTCGAAAATCGGCGGCGCCAGGCATTGACTTGATTCCAAAAAGAATGGTTTCTCCTGATTCGCTGGAATTGTCGAAGTTGCAAGTTGATGGAGAGTGTAGCGTCGAAAAATTGAGCGAAGGGTTGAATTCCAGTAGCTTGTTGATGTGCGAAAATTGAGCATTGTAAATGCATCTTCCATCCGGTCGGCGAAACCGCTGTCCTCTCAATTCTTTATAATTTCGTTCCAGAAGGTCGATGTTAATCATGAACTCTTCTTTCAACGGATCATCGCATTCTTCCAAGCTCATCATCCAGGAATGCTGGTCACTTGTACTTGCGCCTGTTTTGGGACCGACTCGAAGCTCAAATCCTCCATTTTCTCGCGTTATTCCGATGCATTCATCGGTTATTTTGCACTGTTCTTTTGCTTCCTCGAGACTTTTTACGCGGTCAATTGTACGACCAAAGATTTTGGTATTCGGAATAAGCTTCCAATCGGTATCGTTGCTCATCTGGTCTATTCGACTTGTAAGCTCATTCGCAGAAGAGTGTAGATTTTCCACTTTCTCGGCCACTTCATCGTAAGTTGCTGCTTCATAAAAGACTGCTTTCTTGAAGTATCGAGCGTCAAAACATCTTGATTTGCCAGAAATAGTGAGCAACTTATTTAAAAATTTTAATGAATATCAAGGTCTTCATAAACTTACAAAAGGCAGGCAGCAGATAATTCCAAGAAGGCAAATCTTCATCGTTGTCTCTTTTCTCAGATTCCAAGTCATTGTTTTTTATCAATTTTGGCGTTGTACAATTTTTTAGGTCGAAGGAAGCTCCTTTATAGGCAGCAAAGGTCAACCAGGTGTTCCAAAGGCGGTAAATTGATCTTGATTGCAACAGTCAGATAATCAGGTGCATAACTCTTATCAAATCTGTGCGAGGTAGATAATACGGGTAGATTTCGTTGCTATAGTTAGCGCCTTTGGAACATCTGGTTGACTCGGACTCCCTATATAAGAGCAAAACGCTTCATTCCAACATAAAAACTCAATAATACTTTCCTTCACCAAAAAAATATAAAACAAAAATAGCTAAAAAGAATGATTTGGAATCTGGGAAAAGAGACAACGATGAAGATAGGCCTTCTTGGAATCATCTGCTGCTTGCCTATTGTAAGTATTTGAAGACTCAATTTTCTCGAAATTTTAAATTCAGTTAGTCGTTATTTCCGGCAAATCGATTTCGCCTGATGTTCGATACTTGGCTTTCAAAGAAGAAGTTTTTTATGAAGGAGAAAAAGACGATGAAGAATATGTGCTCAAAGAAGTGGAAAGTCTTCAATCTTCCCTCGATGAGCTAACAAGTCGAATTGACCACTTTCTGCTTGAAACAATGAACAACGATCCTGATTGGAAATTTTTTCCGAATACTTACATTTCTGGTCGTAAAATAAACCACACGAAAAGTCTCGAAGAAGCAAAGAAACAGTGCAAAAAAACCGATGACTGCGTTGGAATAACGCGAGAAAATGGAGACTTCGAGCTTCGTGTCGGTCCCAAAACAGATGCCGGTACTAGTGGGCAACATTCGTGGATACTAAACTTGGAGAAATGCAATGATCCGCTGAAAGAAGAGTTCATGATTAACATTGACATTCTAGAGCGGAATTATAAAGACTTGAGAGGTCAGCGATTTCGGCGACCGGATGGAAGATGCATTTACAATGGCCAATTTTCACATGTCAACAAGCTACTGGAATACAACCCTTCACTGAAATTTACGACGCTTCACTCTCCATCAACTTGCAATTTCGACAATTCCAGCGAATCAGGAGAATCCATCCTCTTCGGAATCAAGTCAATGCCTGGCGCCGCCGATTTCCGACAATCCATTCGCGACACTTGGCTCAATCCAGATCTTTGGAAGCAACTTGGATTCCAGATCAAAGTCGTCTTCATCATTGGCCTGAAAAGTGACGAAGATCTGACAGAAGAAATGAGAGAACATGATGATCTCTTGATTTCGGACTTTGTGGAGAATCAATATGTTATGCCTTACAAATTCTTGGCTTTGTGGCGTTTCATGGAAGATAAATGCTTTACCGCTGATTTCGTTTTTATGGGCGATGACGATACCTTGGTAGTGCCTCAAAATCTCATCAACGAAATCTCCAAAATCAAATCCTCCCCTTCAATCGAAGCAATTGGATGCAAAAAAGAGGCTGAGCCAGTTTGCAGAAATCCGAAGATAAAGTACTTCATTCCAAAACAAGTCTATGGAAAGCCAAAATGGCCGCGCTACATGTCCGGTGGTGGATTTTTAACGACTGGTGAGTTTACAAGAGCTGTGGCGAAAGCGGCGAGAGAGGAGAAGCTGGTGATACCGCTTGATGATACCTGGACTGGGATGCTGATTGAGAAGATCGGCAAAGGTCAGAACATGGCGCGATCGGAAGGAATTTGCATGGGACTCATGGAGAACTTTTCCGTCCACGACACCTGCGCGACCCGGGGCTTGGCCATCACCCACAAAGTCATCGACAGCGATTTCATGCGATCTGCTTTTGCCGACCTCATTTCCGAAAATTTCAAATGCGATGCTCAAAATATGAAAACCATTCAAACAAAAGTTCGAAAAATGCGAAATGAGAAGCAAACTGTTTGGAAAGAAAACTTCCTGAATTTCAAAACACTCAATTTCACTGTGCCCAATTTATCATGAACTGCCTTTCTCCATTACAGTGTTTTATTGTATATAATCCATTCTTCTTCTCCCTGCAAATATATTTATTGCTTTGAAACAAAACAAATTAATTTTCGGAAAAAGGGTCGGTTTTTTATTCTCTGCGTTTTCAATTATTGGAACTAGTAGAAAAGAAGATTCAAAAGAGCTAGTCAGAATCTGAAGAATCTGAAGAATCAGGCAGTTGAGCGATGAAATTGAAGCATTGTGACTTGTAAAGGGAGTGACGATTTTTGCCCTTGAGAAATTCCACTTCTCCGTTTACATCGAGAGTGAGACAGTTGAAGCCGCGAGCAGGGTGGTTCAACGGCAGGGTTTCTTCTGCAGCGCCTGGTGGGCTCGTGAAGAATCGACGGTAGAGCTGGTTGAAGCCGGATACGAACATTTCGGGTCCGACGATGTCGTACAGGCCGATTTGACTGATGAGGAAGGCGACGGCGATGGATCCGAAGGGCTCAAGCTTGGCAAGGGATAAATCCGCGGGGGAGCTAAATTACTTTTTAAAACTTAAAAGCAAAGATGAAGCGTACTTGAATTTGTAAAGAACATGTTTGAGTCCGTGAACTTGCAATTGTTTCACAACCCAGGGAGGTAGTTTCTTGAAGAAGTGATTTTCCGTGCAGTGATTTGTCCCAGGTGACTCTTTCTTCGTCAAAAGCCCCTTGTAACTGGCAGGGGTTTTGTTGTCAAAATGGTTTTCAATCACGTGATCATCTTTAGCCATTTCGAGCTTAATTTCTAAGTCGATTGTTGCTTTTCCCGCCAGTCGGACTGTATCTTTGCATTCTGATGGATTTTGAAAGAAGAAGAAATTGACAAAAGTTACCTTGAAATATAGTCTTGGATCGGCAGCCCAGCTCTGAGCGAATCAACTCTACCATTTTTTCTTTCTCTGTTTCTCCAAGAAGTTGTTCAGGATTCTTGTTCGCCACGTGGAATTGGTCTTCATCGTCATCCTCCTCTTCGCTGTCCTTTTCCATTTTGACGACGAAAGGTTCATCCTTTGCTTCAAGAAGATTGGCAAAATTCATCTGAAATTCACAGTTATTTTGACTTAGAATAAATAAAACTATAATTCTGAAAAGAAAGACTTGAAGCAAAAACGCAATTTTGAAAGTGAAAGGGTTGAAGAAGTAAGAAAAGAAAAAAGGCAAAACGGAAAAAGGATTTTTTATCTGCAAAATGTCAAACAGTTTGATTTTTGGTTGGCTCTTAAATTCACCCACTGGTTTTTATCAAGCCCGTATTTTCGCACTCTCTCTTCGAGCTCCTGATCCAACGGCGCTACGATCGCGTGTGAGCCTATAAAAATAGCTTATCAAATAAGCTGCTTGATTAAAAAAGACATTTACCGGCGTGGTCGGGAATCCCAGGGTCAGAAAGAATTCTGCAAACGATGAAAATGCGCAGAAACGGGAGGGAAGTTCCAAGGCGGTCAACGATTTCCTCGTCGAGCTCTTCTCTGTCGCGGATTGCATCGTGGATGCCCATCACGTGATCTGACAAAGCTTTTGCCCCTTGCAAGGAGTACCTGAATCGGTCAGGATTTCTAGAGACAGGGAAATTACCTGTAGTCAGTTTTGATCATGTGGCTCATGAGAGTTTCAATAACACCATTTGCAAGAATATGCATTGCATCCAATTGCAAATCGCCTGAAAAATAGCTGTTTCTTTGAAAGAAGACTGATTCTTACTGGAATAGTTTTTGCAACTTCTAACAACCAAACAGGAAATTTGCTCGTTGACTTCAACAAACCACTCTGAATGCTGCGGCTTCGCGCTTTTCCAATACTTTGCTTTTGGAAAATGCTCGTCAAGCAGCTCTTGCATCGTATCTGTCACCCAGGAGGAGTATTTTCGAATATTTTCCTGCTTCTCGCTTGCCAGAGTCTTTTGAAGCTCGGCGTATTTTTTCAAAACTGTCGAGGCATAGAGAAGTTCTCCAGGGCGCTCTTTTCGTTCTTTCTCAGCTTTGTCATGAGCCAGTTCGATCCATTTCCAGCAACTGTCCAGTTCTCTTGAGATTCTTTTGATTTCGACGAAAAGAATTCGGAAAAAGCGCTCCAAATCTCCGTTTTCAAACGCGATCGACATTTTATCACAAATCAACGAAGCCAAGTCCAGAACCGACTCGGTCATCATCAATCCTTGCGAAGGATCTCGCTCGAGGATGAATTCTAGCGTCTTTACCAGCTCGATGAAGCTCGTAACGAAAGTTGAGCTTGGCGCGAAGGACTCTCGATCGAGCGAACTGAATAATTCCGCGCGTTTTCGATGAAAAAGCGACATTTTCTGATCGTATTCGTTTCGCTCTTGAATCGCAGCGAGCAAGTCGACAATTTCCATGGGCAAATTCGTCTTTTGTCTGAAAACAGGGACTTCCAAGTTGATGTCTTCAAGCCCCTTCTTCACTTTTTCCAAGAGAACATCGATGAATCGGCCGCTTTGGCCGCGAACTTCGAGGGATATTCTCTGCTTTCTCGGCTCTTCGCCTGGAACAGACTTCGCAGCAACATTTTCGTTCGAATAAAAAATGACGATTGCCAGGTCACGAGCGTGAACGAGCGATTCTAGCACGGGCTCCCAGTTTTTCTCCGCCGTTTCGCTTTCGAGCACTTCGACGAGTTGCTCCATCAGAGTCACATGGAGATTCTCTGCGAGAACTTCCGAAATTCTACTCGAGTCCCAAGGACTCAAGTTTCCATTATCATCTTTCAGTTCCACTTCGGTTGCTTGATTCCGCTCAAAGATCAACTTGCTCAAGTTCTTCAAACAATCTTTGTCCAGATCTTCTACTTCCTCGACTTTCGTCGTTCTTGTCAATCGGAGAGTAATAAATTCGTCCACTGTTTTAAAGAAGATTTTCCAAAGCGGAGCTGCTGCTTTTTCCAGCCGCGCAAGATCATTTGGCGACTCCAGGGATTGAATCGAATTCAGCCAGCTCGTGACCAGTTTTCTGACTTCTGAGCTCTAAGATGAAAAATGAGGATTCATGATAACATTCCCTCGTTCATAAGAAATCAGATTTCACCCTGCCTGTGTATTTCTGACCGACTTTTGCGCCCTGCTCATTTTTGTCAAGCTCAACGAGTTGTTGAAATGCCCGGATTCCTCTCGACAGGTCTTTCAAAACTTCAAATTTCGACATCTACAAGGATTTTTCACGGTTTATTACTGAAAAATGAGCGTGATTGAGAAAGAAATGAACTTGCAAACATAAGTTTAACAGAAAACGAAATGGAAACTGTTCCCGGGACGGACTCAATTAGCATCAGTTGTGTAGTCAAAACTCTTCAGCTTCTCGATAAACGGAGTAGTGTCGATTTCTTCGCCACGGAGATTCTTGACAACGATTTCTTGTGCTTCGTTTATCACCTCGACTTGTTCTTTCTGGAGTAACGCAGCCATTTGTTCAGTGATGAGAGGAACGAACTTGCCGGAGAAATGAATGAGGAAAGCTGACGATTGAGCGTGCATCAACGATACGGCCAGATGAAGAGTAGTCGGTAGGTCTAAATAAATAAGAAACTTGACTTTGGTAACTTCAAACCTGGAGCTGTCTCAAGAGCCTTTCTCATGTCTTCGACATGCGCCTTCTTCACCGTTTCCTGTCGCTTATTGCCTGCCTTGATCATCATTCCCGCTCCGTAGTCACATGCATCTGCGACTTTAGCTAGAGACGTTTTAGATGAGTTTAATTTTATCGGAAATTACCAAAAATTTCTTGGACAGTTTTAGCATCATTAAGTGCCTTGAGCGATTCAAACGCAGCTGGGTCGACTCTATCTGCATCTTCTACGCTTTTCAGGATCTTTTGTCGCATAGCAGGAGTCAGGGTGGTCTCCTGGCTATCGGAAGATAACGCAAAGACGGCATTGACCAGGTCCATACCGACTGTCTTGAAGAGATATTTCGAGAGCTGAGTTGGCCCGGTTTGATCAGTTGCACCTTCGTCGACTTCTTTGAAGAGATGAACCAGGCCTTTTTCGAAGAGCTGTAGTTTGCAGAAGCAATTGTTGATGTATTCTTCTTGCTCTTTTCGAGTCTTTTTTCGCTGGCCTTTCGCGTCATTCTGCGCTTGCTGCTTGGAAGTGAAGATGTTTGCAGCCTGGGTTTGGTATCGCTCGGCGAGTTTGGGGGAAATGATGTCGATTAGATCTTGAAGCGCTTCTTCTTCCATGATTTCGTACTTTTCTTCCTTTTGAAGGAACTCTTTGATCTCATCCTCCGTCAGTGCTCCCGTATCACCCTCTTTCTAGGAAAAAATGAAAACTGAGAAGATCTCGATCAGTTTACCTTTTGGACGATGCTTTCCTGGGCTTCCTTTTTCTTCTGTTTCTTATTCTTCCCTTTGGTCTTCACTTCTCTTGCGCCTCGGCCGCCTGCAGCTCCGCCTTTTTCTTTTCCCGAAGAAACTTCTGCCTTCGCTATCGATGGGGATTTCTTGTCGACTTTGACAAAATCATCTTCAGTGATGATCGTGACGATCTTTTTGGAAGCAGCTTTTTCCGCCCGTTCGTCTACAGCCGGATAGAACATCGCCGCGCATTCTTCTAGCGCCTGATCGTCCATCATCCACGTTGAGCCGAAAATCTTCGCATCGTTGATGAGAGAAGAGGAGCTGGAAGCACTTCGAAGGACGTACTCAACATCTTTTTCGCTAAAAGCTTCTGGAAAGATGCTGAAAAGATCGACCAAATGCGTTTGTTGAATATTCTGCTCAAGCTCGGTCTTGGTTCTTTCGATAAAACCAAGAGACATGAAATGAGTGTCTGTTTTAATGAAGTCTGGAAAGTTCTCCTTCATCCAACGATTTGCTTCTTTGTCACTGGTAGTGTCTATTCCGTGTTTTAGCTCATCGAGTTTGATGTAGCCGTAGGACTCTATCTTCATCTTGATGGCTTTGGTTTGTTCTTCGAGATAAATCGATGGGAAGAAGCAAGCGATGTGGCCTCGGTTCAGATATTTTCCTGAAAAATTTGTTCGGATGTTCGGAAGCTTTTGTTTACCTTTTATACGCTTAGTTTTGATCAAGTCATCGACGATTTTGTCAACAATAGTTTCGTCAATGAACTTGTACTTCGCATAAAAATGCTTCATGTGCAACGGCTTCGTTGCAGCAGACAAGTACGCTCTAACAGTAACTGATGTTCGCCGAATATAAGCTTCCGTGTAGAATCCTGTTTTCTGGTTATTGATCATGGCTGCGCATCGACTGGGAACATGCTCAATCAAGAACTCGCCAGAAAGATCGAATTCCTGGCTCACTTTCGCGATGGAAACGAAGCCAGAAACGTTCGTCATTGCGAAGACCTCACCAGCAATAAAGTCGAGATATTCTTGAGTGATGAAGTTTCCAAGATAGAAAATGAGCTTTTTCTCTTCCTTGATTGCAGCGAGCGCCTCTTCCACGTGATCGTAGTTGACACCTACTTCGTCCGCCAGATCGCCGATCGTACTTCGCCCGCCCGCGTTAACCAGGGCATCGAACACTTCCGATCGCAGTTTCTGATGTGTCAAATAAAACTTTCCGTTGGATGAGTGGATCAGCTCAACGAGATTCATTTCCTTCAGCTTCATGATGATTTCGATGCAGTTTCGATCGCTAAGGCGCTGGGAAGTATCTTCTTCCTTTCAGCGGTTCAAATACGGTCCAAAAAACCTTTTTTATCTATTCCAAGCCGATTAATAACAGTACGAACCGAGCCTGAGCCGCCGCCAGCTGCTTCTGAAGCGCCTCAATTTCTGCCCACATTGCATCCATTCTAAAAGGAAAAGTTCAGAAGCTTCTCTTCTTTTTTCGTGAATTCAGAATTCACTCGATGGGCAATCGAGGTGTAGAATTAGGCTTGTCAAATTCAGAAAACATTTTCCCATTCCACCGTTCATTCGTTTTGTAATTCCTTCTCAGCGGCGCTCTTCGTTCTTCTAGGGCCAGTTCTTTTTCTTGTTTTCTGTTTTCAAAGAACGTCTTGATTTTGCTCCACTCTTTTGGATTCTTTGCCTCGTAGATGTCCTGTTCTAACTCAAGGTCGGATACGGCGACGATGAAATATTCATTCTACGGTTGCATTTTTAATCAAATGCGTTAGAATTAATCCAATCTACCTCCATGTAAGGCGGGTAGAGTTTCGGCATTCGCTCACTTCCGCGCTGCTCCATGGCTTGTCTTTGGTTAAAAAGCCCAGTCTGAAGGACAAGCGTTATTGTTGGTAAAACGAGACGCACTTGAATTGAGAGGCCCTTTTAAATCAGAGTAGTTATGCAAGGTTAACCTTTTAATTATTCCCAAATTAATAAAATCTTGCAACATCAGGAAGACCAAGCTCTTATAGTAACAACAAAAATCAATACGACGTTCAGTTTTTTCTTCCATTTGCCGGAGCTACAGGTTATCGATTTTCATATCATCTTCATTATATATTTTGAAGCAGATAACGAATTCTGTCTCATCGAAAATGGGCTACAACGTAACAATATTCTTCGAAATTAACAGAGAAGTATGATTGCTCAAAAAATCCATCAAAGATGAATTGGTAGAGGGGCGCTCGAGCTCCGGACACGTCGTCGGGGCGTGGAGAGTTCTTTACTGACTACCTTCTTACTGTCTGTTTAGGAGAAATCGTTTGGATTGAGGATGAGCGATAAAGAGATAATTTTCATCGCCGCACCGCTTGGTTTACTCACAGTAGCGCTGATAATTGCAACGTACTGTATCACAAAGAGAAAAGTAGGAGAATCAAGAATTGGAGAAAAATGGAGCGATGAGGACCCTTTGGTTTTGGGGAAAATGAGCAAGAGTCAAAGCATGAAGTAAGAAATAATGGAATTGCAAAATAAAATGTATTCTGAACCGTCCCAAAAGGCGTTATCGGTTTTGATTAATATTGAGTTTATTTGAGATTGTTTTTATTAAAGATTCACCGCGCCGAAATCACGGAGCTATTACGATCAGTTTCTCACGAGCGAGGAAGTAGAGGCTTTCAAGCAAAAGATGAAGGAGAAAGAAGCAGCAGACGCGTCTGACAAATGTGATTCTAGCGACAACACGGAGATCGATGAGAGCTGTGTCACAGAAAAGTCCACACTTCTGCCTACTTCAGCGAGCATTCACGATCCTATATCAACAATGCTCGGCAATTCGGAGGTGAATTTTAATTGAAAACCTGCTCGACCGTGAAATAATTAAAATAAAAATATAATTCTAGCCCTTTCAAGCTGACCACACAATGAATTGGAACCTACGAAGGGAACTTTCCATTCTTCAGTCGGAGCTTGAAGACACGGAAGAGAACAGTAGTGTAAGCAACAGTACATCCCCCGCTGAGTTATTTAAACCCAAATCAAAAAGCCGCGCAAATTGAATTGGAACGGGCAATAAAATCGCAACTCGCGATTTTCGCAGGCTCCTGTCGCCTTGAATTCCAAATGAATGGGCACTAAGTGTCACTCGAGAAAGTGACAGTAATTGGTCTTTACTGACATTCGCCTGCTTTTAGGAAGAACACCCGGCAAAGCCAAAGGGGTTAATAAAACAGACGCAGGGGCCATATGAAAGACTTTGACAATCACAACCGCCAAAACCGCGAAAAACGGACGCAACAGGTTTGCATACAGATCTCTCTGTTAATTATTAAATATCCTTAAAGAATCGGCAGACCGAGAAACCGCCGTGATTATTGCCGATGAAAGGATTAAAATCGACATCAGCGCAAATGGTGCAAATTATTGAAAATTGCCTTGATCCCAAATAAACCTATATCTATCGAAATCAAGGAAGCATCATTAATATTTTAAGACTCAAAACAAGCTTTAGCATCTGAACTTATTGAATAATTATAAACAATTCCTTGCAAGCACTGGCAAGCCGCCAGATTGCAACTCTCATTAGGCGGTGTGATAAGTTACCCTCGCTGCTTCTTGTTTAATTAAAGGCGTAATAAAGTTAGCGAGATTACCTGAGATAATGCATATTGGACGCCAGCCTTGAACTCTTTTTCCAACTGTTGGTATCGCGCTGCCCAGTCTTTTCTGTCAGAAACGAGGGTTTCTAGAGCTTGGTGGAGATCTGTTGCTTCTGCATTCCATTGCTAAAAGAGGGATTGAGACACTAGCTCCTGAAAAAACATTACCTTAAAAGTTTCACTAGCATCGTTAAAAAGTCCATTAATCTCGCCCTCCAAGCTTCCAAATTCTAAATCCAGCGATTTCAATTGCTCGATAAACTCTTCAAACTCAATCTGCGGATTGCTACAGAGCTCTTCATAATTAACATAAGGGTCGATATAAAAATGATCATCTTTTGTCACTTCTTCTTCAGAAATTGTCTTGGCGATTCCACAAGCGCCAAGATCTTTGAGCTTTTCATTCTCGAGGATATTTCCAATGATTCTGACAGACGCGTAAACTTGCTTTGCTTCGCATGATTGAAGATTTTCTTATGAAAGATGAATGATTTGTCAAGAAGGAAGGATTTACCGATGTTATGGATAAAAATATTCAAGCAGAGTTTTGCCAAAGTCGAACTGGAGCACAAATCTTTTATCAATAAATCCACGCACGCTTCGACCGCCAGTTGATTTTCTCCATTTTCAACGAGATTTAACAATAAATAAGAGAGACTAGCAGCATCTGGGAAGCAACCATACGTTTCCGACTTCAACAAGAGCTCAATCAATGCTTCAAATGCACCCAGGCGGACTCCTAGGAGAGATTTGAGGTTTGGAAGTAGGGTGGGTCACTTTTTAAACATTTTTCGAGCCGCACTTTCTTTTTGTGCTCATTTGAAAGCTCTCGTCGTGCTGATCATTTTGAGCACCCGAACACCCCTGTGCACTCCCGGGAAAGTACTTTTACAGACTCTAGAAAATCGCGAAAATCGCGAAATTTGGGCCAAATTTGGCTCAATTTTGCTGTATTCGGGCATTCAAAATCTCTGCAGTTTTTTTTCCTGTCATTTCCCGGGGAAGTTTCGGGTACCAAAATGACCGGCTTAACGAGGTCTTTATGATGATACAGTAAAATCACGTGTACAGTAAGGGGCTTCCGGTGTTATTCTAGAAAAACCGGTTTTTCGACAAAATTTTTTTCAAAAATGAGGGATGAAAAAATTTTTTTGGTCAGTTTTCTGTGGAAAGTTCTTTATTGGGGTTAGAACAATCATCTTACAAACAAAAAGCGAAATCGAAAGACCAACCCTGAAAGTGACCCACCCTATTTGGAAGGGATGAATTTGAAACCTTTTGTGATGAGAAAATAGTTCGTCCAGGGCCTCATTTTGTAGCTAAACGGCGAGTGCCTAAAGCGCCACAAGTGGTACGAAATATCGATGAACTGCTTCTTAGTTTCAACTGTTTGAATCAGCTGATCAAGGAGGATCGAGGGAACGGGCTCGCCTTTATTCAGATTTTGATCAATGAAGTCTCCCGTCGTCTGGACTGGATAATCCAATCGAAGCTGAATTTTAATTTCTTTCAACCCCTTTTCTTGCCCTGCTAAAACCTGAAAGGACTTGGAGAAATCTTCGAATGCTGCGAGGGCACTTGCTCGAGGCATTTTAAGGGCCATGCATCGCCTTGAGGCGCGAATGAGATTTGTCATTTTCCGATTTCTGAAATCAAGAAAGAGTTTTTTAGGTTTTCTGATTTTTATTGAGTTTTTTTTTTATTGGACGGAAGTGCTCAATCGCAGGATTTAACTGAAGGGATAATAGTATTACTGACAAGTGAAAGTAAATTTTCGCCTAAGAGTTGCTTTTGAACACGGATTAGGATTTTGGTACAGGCAGGTCCAGTTGTTGTTGTTTGGTGATTTGTTGATTTTTGTCTCTCGCCCGAGGGCAGGAGGCGACCAGCCTCGGGCGAGAGAGAACTTTTAGGAAATTAGAGAATACTATATTTGCTTGCTAGAATTGAATTTCTGTGATAGAAAATGAAGTAAGCAAAAGTGTAGGTTACATCAAATCTTCCATGTCATCGTATCCGTCGTATGCTCTCGTGTCCATGCCACCTTTTCCACCGCCAGCGTTCAATGACCCTTTACCTGCCTTTTTCTGAATGAAAACTGGGTTATGAAAAGTTTATAAATTTGAATTTTAAAAGTTCGATTTGAAAAAGGTTCAATCTTCATCAGATAGCCTCGAAAAGACGAGGATTGATCCTTATCTTTTTGGATAAAAGTGGAAAGTTTGAATCGATGTTAGAATTTACTTCTCCGAGCCTTCCAAAATGTTTCAAAAGCAATTTGTGATTTATCTACTGTGACTGTTGTTATGACCATCTTCGACGAATAAATGTTTTACATTATTTTTGAATTCTTCTCGATTTTATTAATACCTTTCCCTTTTTGCCAGAGCTTTCTTTGACGAGTTTGTTGATTTGCACCTTGAGCATGGTTTCGACTTTCCTCGTATCGTCGAGTTTCATTCCCTGGATGAGCACTCGCGTCAGGTCGACCACGGAATCGACGTAAAACGGACTCGACGAATACTGGCTGATTGTTTTTCCAAGCTTTTCAGAGTACAGCGAGAAATCGTGCTTGCTCTTTGGCGCGAACTTTGAAATGTCGATACTGAAGGAGTTAAATTCATTACAATCATTTTTCGATGATTCTCACTCTTCTGGGTCCTTGACGTCGACGAATTCCATGGCTCCGAGGAGTTCCGATTCGTCCTGTTCTTTCTTGAGCTGCGCGCGGCGTTGCTCGGGCGTCAATTCGCGAATCTCCATTTCTCGTTTTTCGCGTTCTTCTCGCTCCTTGATTTTTTGCTGCAGCGTCTTTTTTGCTCCTTTCTTCGTCTCTGAAATGGACATTTACGGATATTCTAAGGCGTTCTTGGGCTTAGCCCGGGAACCTGTGTATTTAACCTGAGTCAGGCCGCTTTCAGAACCTGACTCAGGTTTTATCACCAGGTTGCCGAAGCGAGAAAAAGTAATTCTGGTAACTTATTTTTAGACTTACTGGCCTCTTCTTGTGCTTTGGCCTTGGCAGCTTCCTGCTCCTTCTTCTCGACGGCCTCGTCGCCGGAGGAGTCCCAGTCTTCCGAAACGTCGGACAAGTCTTCGTCACTAAAGTTTGGCGGCATTCTGAAGAACAGTTTCTTTCGAAACTTTGGAAATTTGTTGGAAAAAATTAGCTGATAAGAGCTCCAGATAAGCTTCGTGGCGGATAGACACTTTATCGGGGCTCTATCAGCGAGTAACTGCAGTAACTTTAGTTTGAATAAAATAAACCGGTCAAGCAGAATTTTCAGTTCATGCAAAAAAAATGAGTTTTATAAACGAGTAATTTTTGAAATCTGATTCGCCGAGGCACATTTTAACAAGCGGATACCCTTAATTTTAACCAGGAAATCTTGACTCAAACGCGATGTTCTCTTGAATTCTCAAAATATAATTCACTTGATGAGTGAAAACTTACAGTTCACGCGAAAAATCGACATGCTGTCATCATGTTAACAGCAAGAAATTAACATGTTCACAACCTAAACGTTCTATTTCGCGTTTTTTGACTCGAAATCAACCTTTTTCCTCAAATTTCTCTCAGTTCAAAATTCGGCTTTCTTTCTTCATAATGAAATTTTTTCATCAACTCTTTTGGGCCAAAAATATGCTAGAAATCGAAGGAAAAGGGAAAAATAGAGCTGGTAAAGGAATTTCTTCTTTCAATTCGGCCTACGCTAAATCTAAAAAAGGAGCCAATGGAGCGCGCCTGGCAAATTCGAAGCGCGCTCTTCACAAAATTCAACTTTCACGAGAAAAAAAGAACGGAACGGAAAATCGAGAAAAGAAAAGATTCTAGCGCTGTAGAGAGCTTTCTTCTGGAGAACTCCGAACTGCGAAAATCGTGAGATGAGCAGCAATTTGAAGAGACAAAGACCCGAAGCTTCTGAGCCAGATTCTCAAGGTAATTTCATTTGCGAAATAGATAATTTGAATTTGGTGAATTTTATTGACTAATTGTTAAATTAAATTACGATTCTAAAATCCATTTCGAGAGTGCCGTGTTCAAGAGTTTTATTTTGAAGATTACGGGCTTCAATTTTCACCTTTTGTCTATTTTATTGTAATAAAGTTGGCTAGCATACATTGTCTGGCAGACAAAATTTCATAGTACACTTCCTATTTTCATCGAGAAAGAACAGCGCACTGTTTAGTACGGAAAATAAGTGAATGTCTGCTAGACAGTTTGTCTCTTAGGCAATTTTTTCGACAATTTTACGACAATTTTAGTTCTTATTAATTAATACTATTATCTTATCTTATTAATATAATACTATACCTTAAAGGCGTTTTAGTTTCATCTATTTTTCAAAAGAAAATTTTTGTGTCTAGTAGTTTTTGTTTTCTAGTACCGTAAGAATTTTTACGTCAGAATCAAAGGAGATCGAATATCGATTTTCGCTTATATAATTTTTGATTTTTTCGTTCAGAGCTTCCTTCAAAAAAGAGCGAATTAGATGGCGACGGGCCACAGCTTCTTCGGCCAGCTGCGCCGCTTCCTCCGTCTCGACCGTCGTCTGGGCTTTTCAGACGATCCTTTTTGCCCAGCGTCGATTTGTCACAGGTAGGAGCTTCCTTCAAGCTCTCCATTTAATCATTTCTTCTAAGAGCGAGGCGCTGCAAAAGCTAAAAGCGCAGCAAGAAGAGGAAAAAGCAAAAACGCCGCTAGTCCTTCTCGATCCAAAAAGCCAGTTTCAACCAAAAGACGCCGAAAAATTCACTGTCGATGCGAATACTGCTGCTGCTAATGGAAGTGCGAAGCCAGGGGAAACTGCCGCTACTTTCGGTAAATTCGAAAAAGAGGAGAAAGAAGAAGTAAAGGAAGAAGCTCCGAAGAAAGAGGAAAGTGAAAAGACGGAAGAAGTCGAAAAAGAGGAAAATGGAAATTCTGAAAGTTCAGAGAAATCATTATTGAAAGAAAAGGTGAACTCAAATGACCTCAAATGACCCCAAATGAACTTAATCATTCCATAATCCTGCTCCTCTGTTCCCAGTAAGCCGAAAATGACCCCAGATAACCTCAGGTTCAACTCCAATGACCCCGAATGACCTTTTTTTCAATAGGAAACTGTTGACGAGCCAAAAGAAAAAGTAGAGCCAACGGCGCGAAAACTCAATCCTTTCCAAAAAGTCGCCAGTGAAACAGCGAAATCCGGCGGTTTTGGTTCTCTGAGCATCACTAAAAGTTCCACCGGTACAGGAATATACCGATCAGATCTGGAAAATTAGGCGGTGAGGATGACGTGGCCTTCGATTTAACCAATGAGAGCCAGCCCTCGCTCTCTCGGTCTGAGAGGGCTTCAGACCCAGATTTTTGGCCGCCTAAGCTACCAAATCTGATCGGTAAAGAAGATATTTTAAATATTGATATTTGTAAGAATCAAAGGGGCTGAATCCCTTTCAACGTCTGGCGGCATCAGGCGGCGGCGGCGGTTTCGGATTCAAAAGTTTTAAACCTAAAGAAGAAACGACAGAAATCAAGAAAGAGGAAAATAAAGATGAATCTTCCATTGTTTCCAATTCGCCAGAAAAGGTCGCGAATCAGAAGGAACCAGTGGCGAACGAGAAAATTGTGACGGGCGAAGAGGAAGAGAAAAATGTTTTACAAGTTCCGTGCAAACTTTTCCAGGTACTAGCGAAATTTTATCAGCTGATTTGGAGGTTAATTTTTCAGTTTGATAAGAAAGAATCGACTTATTCTCAAAGAGGAAGAGGGACGCTCAGGGTCAATGATTGTGGAGAAGGATCTGGTAAGTTTTGAAAGCCTCCTTCTATAATTAAGATTGTGACACCCTTAATTTATTTAATCTTCGGAAAGTTGGAACCCTGAGCATGTTTATTGATGCCAACAGTTTATGATTTTCTAATAAATTTTTACCCAGAAAATTAAGATTTCAAATCGCGACTGGTTTTCCGAACATCTGGAACACAAAAAGTCGCCATGAATAGTAAAATTTGGGCGAATATGAGCGTTGAACAAGTTGGACCAAAGGTAAATCTTTAATCCAACCGCGGTTAGGCAGTAGTGTTTTCAGAGCATAAGGATATCCGCCCAAGATACGACGAATCCAGAAGGCGGAGTCGGCATTTTTCTTGTTCAAACGGCGCTGCATGATTCAAAAGAACTCTTCAAAGCCATTGATTCTAGGATTATTAAGGTACCTACTCGATAACTGACGAAAATTAACTTCCCTTTTTCAGATGAAAACTGCAGAATCGTCAAATTTGAAATAGACTTTTTTCCTTCACTTTTTTGAGTCACTTTTTACTAGTCACATTTTTGTTCATCTGATATTATCTCAATATTTCTCTGCCAACTGATTCCTGTCAATTTTATGACCCGTAAATTCCTCTTAAAATTGTCTAGCAGACAAGAGTTCAAGAGTCTTAGATTTCATTCTACAGCTGCTAATTTTGTTTGTTTCTCTATTTTTACTACCGATGAAAGCAGACTCAAATCCGGGGTTACGCCGCCACTACAAGTCTCGAAACTTGTGATTGGCTAGTGGCAAAAGATTGTCGCCAGGGGGTGGCGACAATCTTTTTATCCAGGGTAAAGGCCTGCTTTCACCGGTATTTTTGGAAAAGCCAGCCTCAAATAATCTGACAGTAATTACAGCCAGGAAACAGTAACGACAGTAAAGACTAGGATTATTTCTTTCTATTTTGTTCACCCTTTCTTTCTTTTTATGATATTATCTGTACATGTAGACCTGGAGCTACTGAATGCCACCTCTAAAAGCATCTCCTATTCAATCCTTGTTTAAGAATTTCGAACTCTGTCAGACTGTATTCGCCGATGGCAGTCCAGTCGGGCTGGAGCCCACAGGTAAGGACTCCTTGTTGATTTCAGTTTTCCCAGTTTTTCAACTATTTTTCTTTACATTTTTAGTTTCAGAGCTACTCTGGGCTCCAACAGGCGCATCAATTCGACATAATCGAGCAGCTGATTCACAATAGACTGAACCCGCTGAGCTACAGCAATATCGACAATCAATTCAGTCGTGAATTTTTGATAAAAATTCATGAGCAGGTCGGATTGAACTCCTTCTGGGCGATGTTATGCAACGGCAATCAGCAGCAATGCTGCGTTATCGACAGGCTATCCATTTCGGGAGGACAGCCGGAGAGGTAAGAAATGCCATGAAATGTCTATTTCCAAAGGGACATGTTTGGACTCAATTGAGGTCACGTGACCTTTAAAAGATCAGTTTGTTGATCTGAGATTTTCGCTGAAAACTTTTCCTCACAAGGATAAACAAACCTCCTTGATGTACTCCGAAAATCGACCATATTTGAAACCCATTCGCTTTTCAGCATTCTTACGAAATTTCTTCATGCCGGGGTCGAATACGTCTTCGCAAAACTATACTCACCCGAGGCGTCGCAAACCCAAAGCCCCCACGAAATCCTCAAGTCCAGCGAGTGCCCTTACTCGACCCGCCAGGGCAACAAAGTCTGTATCAATCCTTCACATTTTTGTCGAGGTACCAATCATTCTTTATTATCGAATCCTTCATCATTTATCCCACTTATCAAAAAACCTTTATCACCTTCAAGCTTTCCAAACTTCTACATTCAACCCGCGAAATCAGAACACGACGAATTTGAGCGACATGATCCTCAACCGTAACGAATCTGCTGACGTGGACCTTTTCCAGCTCAACCTCATGCTCGGTAAGCATCACTCGTCGACCATCGTTCATCCATTTTCTTCTAGAGCCGACGGATTCCGAGCTCCAAATCGACGAGACAATGTCCAACGCTCCTAGCGAATATGCATTCCGAAACCAGCTCAACTCCGCGTCTAGCAATCCCGGGCCAGTCCTCTCTCCGACCTCTCCACACAGTTCTTTCGTCAAGGGTTTCTTCAGTCTCTCGTTAACTTAAGAGCCTAACAAATACCGTTCCATAAAAAAGGCGCGGAGATACTTTTTTTGTTTAAACTCCGTATTTTCCTCCTTGATTTCAACGTCGTAAGCGTATTCTGAAGACCAAAGACATCTCCGATGAGGTCATATTTGATATTTGTTTTTCCGAGTCTGGCAGACCTTGAAGATCGCGTTCTTAACGCCTCAGCAGAATGCTGAATCCCGGCCAGCTCTGCTTCCTTTTTGTCAAATCTAACAAGAGAATAAAAAAAGTAAGAAACCCTTATGTTCGTGGCGAACACGCCCTCGGCGATCAACTACAACGACGTGAGTAGCCCGCAGAGCAGCAGCATGGACGCGTCTGTGGCCGCCGTGACGAGCGAGCCAGAGACTCGAGTGATTTCTAGCGCTGATCACACGGCGCAGCAAGAAAATTTGTTGAAAATCCTAAAATCGAAGGCGAACGATCAAGAATTCTGGTGCTCCATCAGTTACTACGAATTCAACGAGCGGGTCGGAGAAGTTTGGCACGCGCCAAAAGATATGCACTCGGTCTTTATCGACGGATTCACACAGCCGAGTGACGGAAGCGCCAATGGAAACAGATTTAGTCTTGGATTGTTGACGAATATTAACAGAAAGGCAGAGTCCGATTCTGCGAGGAGATATATTGGAAGAGGATGCACCGTGTATACCGATAATAACGACAGCGTGTTTTTGTACAACATGTCCGAATCGTCCATTTTTGTCCAGGTACAACCGAACCAAAAAAAGACCAGCCTTTTAATCGTTATTCAGAGCCCGATCTGCAACCTTCAGCACAGCTGGCATCCAGCCACCGTCGTCAAGATCCCTCCCCAAGGCTGCATTGAGATCTTTTCAAACACAAAATACGAGGAAACGCTTTGTTCAAAAATCAACTCGGGCTACGAAGAGACGTTTTTCTACACTTATGTTTGCAAAATCAGAATTTCCTTTGTCAAGGGCTGGGGCGCTCAGTACCGCCGCCAGGTAATCAACGATAAGAAACTTGCTCTAAAATGACCGATAAGACGGTGACAGCCTGTCCCTGCTGGGTCGAATTGAGGCTCAACAAACCGCTAGGAATCCTCGACGCGGCGTTGAAGACGATCCTGAAGAATCCTTCGAGTGAGCCGCCTGGAAGCTCCTTATCCTGATAATTGATTGTAGCTCCTTAAAAGTTTACCACTGACACTGCTTCATAATCTATTTTAGTCCTGGCTTACCTTCTTATGAGTAACATATTCTAATTTACGTTCTATATGTTCAAGTTACAAAGAAAATCTAAATTTTAATTAAAAACAAACATTGATAAAAATCGGCCTTGTATCATTATTGTACCTTGCTTCTTCTACTCTTTTTTCCTATTTTTTTCTACTCAACTGCTACTAAATGATCCATCTTCCCAAAAAAAGAACAATAAAAAAGTGACACTTTTTTCTTCAGAAAGAATTGAAATTGGAAAAGGAACTTTGTGTTTTTCTGATTTTTTGCTTTTTCGTTGTTGAAGATTTTTTCTCTTGTTGATGAACAGATGGGGGACTCCGGCGCCTGTGAGGAAGATGCTGGAAATGCGTCGCCTCGCGGGAAATTTGACCGATGAGCAGGACAAGCTTTGTGAGAAGGTTTTCAAACATCTTGCGAAGAAACTCGGGAAGAAAATTAACGAGCTTCTGCAAGTGGTAAAAAAAGCTAGCAGTCGAAATATGTAAAAATATTTCTAAAGCTAAATGACGATGCAGGAAGCTGTGCATGCGTGCTGATCTCCACTTCCGATCTGAACTCGTACAGCATCCCGAGCTCATCTTCGACTAATGATGAATATTTTCGGTTGGCCAGTCAAACGGAGCGTGTATTTTTTCATGCTTTGAGTTTAGCCTAGCCCGTCGCGGCCTGCCCTTCCTGCTCGCCAAGCTCTTTGCATTTACGACGATCCGAGAGAGTTCAGAAGTCTCCATCCGCCAAAACTGCACCCACAATATCCTAAGGTACGATTTTTTGCAACAGAGAGTCGTAAACTCATCGCAAATAGCATCTTTATAGAGAAATTTCAAGTCCGATTTTTGGTAAGATCAATTATTCAACAGCTCATTTATCTCCATTTGCTACAAAAAAGACCAAAACATCATTAGTAACATTTTATTTTCTAAGAAATTCCGATCCTGTCTGCCTTCATCCCCATCACTTCACTCTTAGTAAGGCTAAACCCATTCAATTCAAGCCCTTTTCAATCCTGTTCTCTAGCTCAATTTCGCCAGCCTGCGCCAGTACTCCAGAACCCGAATCCCACTCTGGATCAGCTGACCGGCTCCCCTCAAGAAATCACCTTTCCAAATCAATTCTCTCCCACGTCGCAAAACGTCTTTCCCGGCTCTAGCCAACAGCAGGACGTCTTTCACCAGAACAGTCCCTTTTCTTCCTCCGGCTCTTCCTTCGCCTCTTCCCCGAATCATGCTCAATATGGCCAAAACAGTCCGATTCACAGAACAATGCCACAGCAGCATATCAGCAGGGAAATGTCCGCTTGGGCTTCGGTCTTGTACTTTGAATACAATCACGTAAGAGTCCCAAATCCATCGAAAATCCCCCAATTATCCATTTTTTCAAGCGACTCGGGCCACAATTCAGCGCCACTAGATCAGACCCGAGCAAAAATCTCGACGTAGCTCACGTGGACGGCTTTACGGCTCCGCCAGTGACGAATTCAGACGAGCCAAGATTCAGCCTCGGCCACATATCAAACATCAACAGAAAACAGGACTCAGAGCTTGCCAGGAGAAGTATAGGCAACGGAATCACGCTAGAAAGAAAGACAAATGGAATGTACTCAGAAATATGGATCAAAAACAATTCCGAATCGTCGATATTCGTCCAGTCTGCGACGTGCTCGTTAAGGTAACCCGTCCCCTAAAAATCAATCAAAAATTTACGTTCATCTGTTCAGTAATAATCTTCACCGCGCCACCGTTTTTAAAATTCCTTCTCGTTATGAAGCCGTGAAAATATTTTGCGAGCAGTATTTTGTCAATTATCTCGCCAGCCAAAAACCGCTCGGTCATCGAAGAGTCGAGTCCGTTTCAGCTCTCTGTTCTTTCAGGTAACCATCTTTCTCCATCCCTTCTTAGATTTATTTTTTCTATAGAATTTCATTCGTCAAAGGATGGGGCGAGCGCTACAGACGTCAAACTGTAACCGCTTGCCCGTGCTGGATTGAAATTCACCTCCATGATCCGTGGGTGCAGCTGGACAAGGTTCTCCAGGAGCTCAATCCAAGCGAGGCTGGCCGTTCCGACACGTGATTCCGCCAGTTTCGTCCTCACTTTCCCCCGCTTCGTCATTCTTCAGCATAATTCAATTTCAAGAATGGCCATATATTGTTCCTGTCTTTAAAAAAGAATATTCCAGAATTAAAGATTCAACAGAAAGAGAAGTTCAAAAAGAAACATACATGTCACATGTGCGTTGTTTTATTTCATCGTCATTTTCGACCAAAGAAACAAGAAAAACAAGTGTTGATGGCAGAAAATAGTCGCATCTTGATAGTTCACTACTTTGTATTATTACATACTTCAAAAGTCCACCTGTCCACCTTTAATCACTTCTTAGGTGTCCGTTTTCGATCTATTAATAAATATTTCACGCAGCAATTAACCTTCCACCTTCCTCTTAGACTGTAGACATCATGTCGTCAATCGGATCCAGATTGGCGGGAGCGTCACCAAACTTCGGCGCTGGCTACCCTCAGAACAGTGGTTTTCAGAATCAGCACACCTCAAGCCCCTACCATGGACAACAAACGCAGCAGGCTCCCTTTAGCTCTCCCCATCATCAAAGCGTTCCTCAAGTCGTTCACAACGGAGCTGGGTACAATACACCAAACAACACTGGTATCATCCCTCCAAGGTTGATTTCTCGTTCCCTCCCTTCCTCCCATAATCGTTTCTTCAGCCAAATAACACCTAATCGAGCCAGTCCTGCTTCGTATGCCAGTACACCGTCCCACTCTTACAACCCTCCAACGCAGTCTTCTGTCAACTCTCCGTACGGATACGGAAACGGTTCAACATCGACCTACAACTCCCCTCACCAAAGTCCGTACGCTCAGCAACAGCAGCAACATCACCAAGCTCCTAGACCTGGTTACGGAAGCCCAGGTTATGGCCAAGGATATTCAGCTGTTCCAAATCAGTACGGCAGCCAATCCGTTTCAGGTAAGAATCATGTGACCACTACCCCTCATTCGCATTTTAGGTGGTGGTTATGGCCGATCACCGCTCACACAAGGCCTGGTGGGTCAGATAACAAACGCTGTTGCTGGAAAAGTGAGCACAGAATACGCCGAAAAAGCGATCCAAAAGTCAATCGACTTGAAAGACTGGGGTCTCAAAACGTACCGCTGCACGAAGCAAATGTACAACGAGCGTACCGGCAAAGGCACGCGCACTGTCGACTTCCAGTTAGATGAGAAGATCCAAAAGATTAAAAACACCAAGGCTCGTTACACCAGGTTGCTGGAACTGACAAGTAGCTTGGCAGCGCAGTTGACAGCGATTAAAGGAACGCACAAGGCAATGTCGGAGGTGTTCAACGATTTGACTAGGCAGCAGCCGGAGCTGATGGGAGAATTGAGCGTAAATGGGTCTGTTTATCATCACATCACAGACCAGGGCGATACCCTTATCAAAGTCCTTTCTTCCTTCGCAGATTCGTTGAAGACTCTTGTTACTCAGACAATCCAGGTTCTTTCAAGCATTTTTCAGCTCTAGAACTCCTTCAGGACTCGTTGGACACAATCACCAATTATGAAAAGTGTCGGATCGAGTACGACGCGTACAGAAACCAGCTTGAAGAACTCCAGATGACGCAGAGGAACGCGATGAGCGGTAAAGTTCGAGAGACGCAGTTTAAAATGGACCAGGCGAGGGCGGCATATGAGCAGAAAAGGAGCGATGTTGGTGTGAAGCTGGAGTTATTGGATGAGAATAGAATCAAAGTCATGAGACAACAGTGTCTCTTGCTCCACTCGGCTACAGGTAGAGTTTCTGCGAGACCCTGTATTGATCCTTTTTAGTCGCGTATTTCAACGGTTCCTACGAAAAAGTGGCAGAAACAGTGAAGGTACTTGAGCGATACCAGCAAGAGCGGCAAGAGGAAATTCCAAGCTTCTTGGAAACGGAAAACTACGTAAATGGTAAAATATCAGTCCATCAACTCATTTGTTTCGTTTCACTTTTTCATTGTTTGATGTAACTGTATGTCATTATTGCATGTCTTATTAGATACTAACAGGCCTAAAATGCCGCGGCCAAAGACTGGCCTCCGTCTCGCTGGACAACTTGACAGTAAGTCGCTTGAAAAAAAAACGATGGTGCGCTTGATTCTCTTTTCATGGTGTTGTTTGATCCTCATCCCTGCTAAAAATCACCGTTTAAACTTCTCATTATCTCTCCATTTAGGATCTGGAACGCCCCCTTGTGGCCGAACACCAGTCGATGATGCTCCACCGCAGATGTTTGACATGTTAGGAGAGCCGATCGTACCCCAGGAGCAGCGAGTTGCGACTCCCCCAATTCATGGAGTAAATATCGTCGGAACAATGAACTCTGCACCCGTTGCTGATTTGATCTCGACTCAGAATTCAAAGCCTGCTACTGTAAGCTTCACTCCTTTTTATAAACTTAAAAAAAAATTGAAGCCCGAGCCGACTAATGGAGTGCACATTGTTGGAGTGATAAGCCACGATGAGAAAGAAAACCAAGAACAGCCCCCAGGTAAGAACCCGGCATTAATCGCGTTCTAAACCCAATTCTAGCGCAAGAGGCGCAACTGATAAGTACAGAAGAAACCGCTGAAAAAGACGACCTCAGTCTGCAGTTCAAAGAAGCGTCCATTTAAAATTCTTGTCCCTTACTGTATTTTAATTTCTAATTTCAAAATGTTCTCTTTACGCAATTTCTCATATTATTTCTTTCAAGTGTTTTAAAATATTTTCCGCGCTGTTTTTGCTAAATTCTTTACTATTTTTTCATACACTTCTACGAATTCAGTATCTTACCCTTTTTGACAAAAGACTTCTTTACATATTTTGCCTACAAGCTCCGAATGGTACACTTTCACCTGAAAGTTTCAATATTGATCTATTCTTTACTCTCCCAAACAATCATATTCTGGTGACGCCTGATTATTTATGGCTTTCTAGTTCTAATTGTTCTTTTTTAAAACCCTTTTATCTGCTGTGACTCCTTCTTTTTGACTTACATGCCTCGTTCAAATATTCAGTTATTGATACCTAAATGATCCTTTTTTCCTGGCCCTCTTTTCTCTCTCTCTATTATCTTCTTATTTTCATATATGTAGTAGCTTATTATTTTAACTGCAAATTTAACATGTTTACCCCAAGATGCAATAACTCCAAGAAAAAACTTATTTATGTATTTTTTCTAACAACTCTGATACTTCTACCATTAGCCATTCTGCAATTTCATTCACAAATCAAAACATGATCCAATTCAAACAAAATAAGACTCAATTCTCATCAATCTTCTATTACAGTAATGGCTGACGAAGTCGATCTGTACAAAGATGTGGATAAAATCCCCAAGTACGAAGCCTTCGAGCCATTGAGTTCGACGTTTAAGGACGCGCAGATAAAGACTTCCAGCGTGTCAATTTATGTTGGAAACTTGACTTGGTGGACGAGTGATTTTGACTTGGAAATGGCGATTAGGCGACTGGGAGTGTACGACATCTTGGACGTGTACATCCACGAGAGCAGCATAAACGGTCAGAGCAAGGGCTTTGCTCGCGTTGACGTTAAAAGCGAAGCGAGCGCGAAACAGGTGATGGAGAAGCTCCCCCGCGGCGACCTCAACGGAGTCAGGCCAGTTGTAACGCCTGCCAATGCCGTCACCCTAAAGGAATTCAACGAAGCTTTCAACGACAAACTCTGCGATAGAAATCAAGAAAAGGTCAAAGAAAACGGAAAGAAACCGACCAACGGAGTTGTTCCCCGCCTATGCCATTCCCGATGGCAAACGGTAAACGTAAATGTCGTAATCCTTTTGATCCTTTCATGGTAGTCTTCGATGATTTCAACATATTCTCTTTAGTGATGCCACCAATGCCTCCACCGGGAATGCCACCAATGACGCCTCCCGGAATGCCTCCAGTTTCCATGCCAGGAATGCCCCCTCCTGGATTTCCATCTTCTTTCCCTCCTGGAGTCCCCCCACCCGGATTCCCTCCCGTCGGCGCCCGACCTCCAGGAATGCCACCGTTACGGATTTAAAACTCGAAAAATCCGATCTTGGGGCAATATTCGAATATATCGATAGTGAGTGTTTTAAATCCCGATAAAAGATGATGATGCCGCCAATGGGCGCCATGCCCGGAGTTCCACCAGGCCCACCCGCTGCTTGGGGTGTATCTGGCGGATTCTCAAAGCCGGATGAAAAGTCAGAAGAAGATGTCATTAACGAAAACCAGAAAATAACAACGTATGTCTCTTTCTAGTTACTCTATCAGCTTAGTTCTTTCAATAGGAATGCGATCAAGGAGGCAGTAGAATTGGCGACAAAGTCGGACTATGGTGAATCCATTTCAGTTCTACTCAATGCCATCGCGAAAGTCAAGAACTCAAAGGTACTGTGAAAGAAAGAGTTGATTTTTAACGCGGGTTTAGGTTGGAAAACATGAAAGAACGAAAGTTATGCTCTCATCGCTGAATGATTGTCTTCACGGAATCGAGGAAAAATCCTTCGGCGCTCCAAGACGCGACAGTCACGATAGAGGGTCAAAGAGTAGGAGAAGAGATCGATCTCGCGAAAGAGATAGAAGGGACAGAAGCTCAAGCCGGTAATGAGCGCTAGAATTGCTGCATTTCAGCTTTGTTTCAGTGATAGGGAGCGAGAACGAAAGCGGGCACGAAGCAGAAGCCGGGAAAGACGCCGCTCAGAATACGACGATCGCGAGCGAGATCGTCGCTAATCCACGCTAGTTGAACATAATCGCCAACACCGCCACCATCCTTTCAATTGTTGAAAATTTTAACAAAAAAATCAACAAATCTCAAAAATAAATAAAATTTTTAAAACGTCAGAAAAAAATTGAGAAAAACGGATATTCAGTTGATTGTCGAGTCTTTTTCTTATTTTACTGTTAGTACTCTCACGACTTACTTGTATCACTGTCTTTCGCTAGAATAAATTACATCGAGACTCAAGCACAAAGTATGAGTGTGGGCCTAGCTGCCAGTATGTACCAGAGATGACTGTTTCTGAAAAGATTGATTGATTAGACTGATGGATAATACTGGCGGAACAATGTGGCTGGAGAATAAGCTTGGTGAGGAGAACTGGGTTCCTCCGCAGATTAATAAAATTTTACGGTTCGTCAGTGTTTCTTTTCCGATTTTATTGGTTCCGTAGAGTTGAGAATATTGAATCAGTTGTGGCTTCCTTTGAAACTTTGAATGCAGGAATACAAATACAAATTCTTCTGTCGATGCTTCACTTAGGTACTGAGGTTTGATAGTAGAAAATAAGCATCATCATATATTGAAAGATCGATCGAAAATGGACGAGATGGATACGCATTTCGAGAAAATCATTAACATGGCTTTGAAAAACGCAGATCATTGGGTCCGCATCATCGCAGAAATCCTAAAATTCTACCCGCGCAAATTCCAGTTTCACAAGTACATCAGTTCCGTTGACAGTAGGCTCAGGTAGACATTCGTTTTAGCCCTTGTTCTTATCAGCTTTATATCAGCTCGATCATCAATGACCTGGTAGAAGCGGCGAATGAATCTCCTGACTCGCGCATGCTCCCACTAGAATGCAGAATTGTTTCAAAAGAACTTCTCAAGTTGATTTCCGACGCGCCTGAAAGAAAAGTCGAAAAGCATTTTACGCTCAAGCGAAAACCGAAATCCGCCGCTCTCCGACAAGAATTGCTCCAACGAAGCCAGGACTACGCATCACAGATTCAGAAACAAAGCTCTAGATCGCGCATCACTTCTAGTTCGAGCAAATACATGGACAAAGAAGATGGCGCGCATCAGTTCGTGTCAATTAGCAGCGGAAAGCGACAGAACTCGATGAGAAGCACGAATCAGAAAACTTCGCGTTCTGGAGGGACGAAAATGCTCGACATTGGCGAAGCGCCTCCTACCATCAAGCAGAAAAAAACGAAGAAGGCCAAGAAAGAAAAATCATCTGCGGACGGCGAAGGAGCATCGACCGATTCCGATTCAGAGGCGAAGAATGCCGTGTTTCTCGAACGTCGAGATTCCCAAAGCTCCATTTCCAGCGGCCCGTTTTCTCCGACTCACTCTACTCCGGGAGGAACTCCTGGTGTCGGCCCAATCTTCCAGGTTTCGGAAGAAAATCGATTGAAAAAGCGCCGTCGGGATTCTGGCCGGCTCAATTCTACCAACTCCGAGTCATCGTCTGTCTCACCTTATGCACAGCGGCGAACACCAGGGCAGATATCCACTCCACCTCAGCAGCCTTTCACCAGCCCTCAAACGATGCAGCAGCTTGTTCCTGCAGCTACCCAGGGATTCATGCCACAGGGAGGTATTTACGGCGACGGGCAAATTTACCAAGAAGACCTTCCCCATCCTCAAAGCCAACAGCATCAGCAACATCAAATGCAGCAAGCTCAAGCGCAGCAAGCGGGTTATGCTGCAGGAGAGACAATGACACTTACGATGGAAACGACTCAGCAACAGCCATACGGTCAAACTATCTATGGTGAGCAACAACCCGAGCTAATTTGAAACGAATTCTACCATAAAATTAAGGTGATCAACAGCAGCAAGAGTTTACTCCAAGTGCGCCGCAAGCAACGGCCCAAACTCTTCAATTAAACCAAGAACAAATGGCCGAGCTCCAAGATATTTTCAAGTGAGCTATTTGTTCATTACTCTTTTCCACTCATACTCTTATTTCAGCTCCGCTCAAAACATAAGCCAAGATGACAAGTTTCTGATCATCCGATTCATGTCTGGCAACTTTGAGCGTCCAGAAAACATCCCATCAGTCCATCGAATACCGCTATATTCTGAGTTACACCAGCAAGCTCAACAATTCGGCGACCAACAACAAGTCACTCAGTTTCAAGTTGATGTTTATTATGAGCTGAATTATGAAACGGGCGAAAGCAAAAAATTCTTTCATCGAAGTAACTGAAAATTTTCTACTGCCACGAGAACGAATTCGAAACAAGTCCTTGTAAATTTCTATTTTCAGATGGCCCTTGTTGGGAGCAAGCGTTATGAAAGAATAAATTTTCTCGGCGAAGGTACTTTTGCGACGGTTTATAAAGCAAAGGATCTTCTTGACCCGCATGGACGAATCGTCGCTATCAAGAAAATCAAGGTTCAGTGCAAGAACTCCTGAATGATTAACTGTTCTTTCTAGCTCGGTGATCGAAGAGAGGCAAGGGATGGAATAAACAGAACTGCGTTGCGAGAAATCAAGCTGCTTCAAGAGCTGAAGCACGAGAATATCATTGAGCTCGTTGATGTATTTGGACAGAAATCGAACATTTCCCTGGTCCTCGATTTCATGGAGACAGACCTTGCTGGTGATTGAAAATCTCCTTTCCTCCTTTCTTATAACTCTCTTTGAAGATCTTATTCGAGACCAGAATATTATGATCACTCCTGCGCATACGAAAGCATTTCTGATAGCAACTCTTCGAGGCCTCGAATATCTGCACAAGAATTTCGTGCTCCATCGAGATTTGAAACCAGATAACTTGCTCATCGATATCCGAGGAGTCGTCAAACTCGGTGATTTTGGTCTAGCAAAAGCATTTGGCTCGCCAAGTCGAGAACTAACGCATCAAGTCGTTACCAGGTGGTATCGATCGCCGGAATTGATGTTTGGCGCCCGACAGTACAGTACAGGTAATTGGTCTGCCTTAGAAATCGAGTGTAAAAACTGTTCAGGGGTTGATATCTGGTCAGTTGGTTGCATCGCAGCAGAACTTCTTCGTCGAAGCGCTCTTCTTCCAGGGGCTTCCGATCTTGATCAACTGTCTAAGATCTTCGATGTCTTTGGCACCCCTACTCAAGAAAATTGGCCCAACCATCACCTTCTTCCGGACTACTGCGAGTTCCGTTTCTGCCCAGGCATTCCCCTTAGAGACATCTTCACAGCAGCAGGAAACGATCTCATAGAGCTGCTGCAAGGAATGTTTCATTTGTGCCCTTCCAGGAGATTAGATGCTGCCCAGTGCCTTCGTAAGATTCTTTACCATGTCTTTTTCGTTACCGAAACCGCTAGAATTGCCGTATTTCTCCAACGATCCCCCACCAACACCTCCCCTGGAACTGCCACTTCCACAAAAGTGCAAAGTCGAACAAGAAAAAGCGCTGAAATCGGGACTCATTGGCAAAAGAAAAGGGCTCGGAGCAGGTGGCCCCATCGACTCAAAGATCGCCAAGCGTCTGTTTTTCTGAAGCTCCTATTTATAGAAAGAATCTCGCTATTTCACTGCGCAACGTTACCATTATGTTCAAATATCGAAGCGCTCTCTTAACTTTCGGTGATTTCAGAGAGATAAAAGTCATGGTCGAAGACGGTGAAATCGAGGATGGAGAGGTATCCGATAGTCCCAGGTAGTTTCCGGGAGAGAGAATACGGAAAGAACTAGAGATCCGAGAGATTAACAGAGAGAGAATTAAGAGATCACTGTATGAAGAAATATTTCAGTTAGAGAGATTTATCGCGAGAGAGACCCAAAAACACTCGAATGCATATTTTATTCACATCGTTTAAATTTTTTCATGAAATTAGAGAAAGAGAGAGTTGAAATCAAGGAAGAGAGCTTCTTGTACACAAATTTATTTATCAAACACTTTTTCAATCAAAAACTAACAATAACAAAAATTTTCCAAGACGTGAAGAAAATGGAGAGAGCGAGAAGCGGAAGGCAACGAGTCCGCCCCAAACTGATAACAACGTAAAGAAGCCGAAAATCGAGGACGACGATGTAAATATTTTGACGTTTCATTGAACTGTGGATTAACAAGACTGATTTAGATGGAAGAGGGGGAGTATGAGAGCGAAGACGAGGGAGAGATCATTTCAGATAATGAAAATGGAATGGATGTTGACTCGGTAATGCTTTGACCACGAATACCCACGTGCTCAACCGCGGTTCACGTTCATTTATTCTTTTTTTTCAGCGCGACCTACCAATTGATGACTTGTGTCTGCAAGATGTGGAGCTCTTGCAAGATAGAAGCATGCGCAAAATCGACTGGTCCCTCCTCATTCCTGAGAAACCACCCAAGAAAGAAAGGAAAGAACGCGATGAATACACGACAGCTTCAATTTTAAGAGCAGCGAGAGTGCATAAAAACTCAAAGTATTTAATCAGAGATCCGGAACTTTTAAAATCTCTTGGTAAGATCATCCATTTCTGCGCCAAAAGAATTTGTTTTTCAGAAGATGCGCTAGCAGCTGAACCAGAAATTGAAGAAGAGAAAGAATCACGTGGACCTATTCACAGTAATCTTCGCGAAATCATCGTCCAGAATCGCCAACGCATCGGAATGCCAGCCGGTCTTCCTCTTCGTCCATTTAAGACTCCGACAGTTCTAAACGGAGCCCTTGCCCACGAAGTTACACAGCTCATTCTCGACTCCTAAGAACCTAACAAACAATTGCGTGTTTTTCTAGCTTCAATTCTATTCAATTAAAAAATGCCCCTATCAGATCAATTTTATTTTTACCGCTAAATCTCCCTTTTCCTCCTGATCATTGCCACTAAGAAAATTTCTCTGATGAAAATAGACTTTACTTTGTACATTTATCCATCATTTTTTTGAGACTCAGAATGTCTCGCAGACAGTCTGCCAGACAAAGTTTATTAAAAATAGTTTATGATATTCCTTCAATATTAAATTTTCTTCCGGTGTATATTTGTTGGTATTTTTTTTTCAGACAAGAAATCGTGCTTTAGAAAAATATTTAAAATGGACTAGAATTTTTGAATTGCCAAGATGACATCGATGATCCGCCCAACTCGGCAGCTCAGAAGGCGGCCTCATCGGGCGGAGTCAAAAGCTTTGACAAAGGTAATCTTTTGAAATCAACGAAGACTCTCTTTGTTTTGTGTATCTTTCGCAAGAATAGTATGCTTGCATTCTGAAAGAAAAAATATCTTGGCCGACTATCAGAATCGCCTTCTGACCCTGTGTCAACTTTTTGTTCAAATACACAGCAAAAATGGCCTGCGCCAAAATTAACAAAAATCGCTCCTGAAGGGCAAATTGCCAAAGAATCAGAACTTTTCTCAGCAGACTTTGACTTGAGTAAAGAGAGAAGCTTGAATTTTTAATCAGAGACGGAATATTCAATCCGCGTCAAAAAAGGGGATGGCGGATGATTTTGAGTTGTCTCACTTGCCTAAATTCGCGCACAGGATGTTTAGGCGCAGAATTAGGACCATTTCGGCGAGATCTGTCAGCAAGGAAAAACGCTCAGAGAATAACTCACTCCCTAAACCAATTTTCAGGGGGATTTGGAGCTCCGGAACGGGACGCCAGAAGAAAATCTCTTGCACCACCTTAGGCAAACGACGATTTCTCTCAGAAAAAGACTTTCAACGCAAGAAGCAGCTCTTAGTTTGGATGAGAAAAAGGAGTTTTTGGCGCACTTTAATCAGGCCTGTGAAAAGTATATTCGAATCAGAGGAAAATGGCCTAGGAACGGGGTCTCAGAATTCTAACTTGTTCAATTCTCCATGAATCTTGAACAGTTAGACCCCTTATGACAGTAAGGTGGAATTTGGGGATGTTTTATGGCTATTACGTGCGCCCCTACTATCAAGGCAGCGTTGTGCAAATACAAACAGTGACGTAAAGATTCAGATTTAGCTTCTATTTATGTTGATTTAATTTCGATTTGGATTGAAATTTCCAACGGTTATCAGGGAGAAAGAAATCCGCGCTTCCGCCATCCGTCTTTTGCGCTATTTCCTGAATACGCCTGGCGATGTCGACGTATTCATTCAACGCGGAATGGCTGCTCTTATCGTCAGGTAAAACATTTTTCAAACGAGCACCAATCAAGCGTTCCCAGAATTCTTGACAACAACAACGACGATCCAGCATATGAAGATCGAGTTCAAGCGCTAAAACTAATTCGCAAACTCCTCAAGATCGTACCCAAACACCTTCCACGCGCACTTGTTATCACCTTAGTCACAATTATCAACAATTCCTTACGCAACGATACGCATGATACCGCTGAGAAACGCACGCTACCTGTCCGAGATAAGCTTTATCGCCCTTGTATAGGAATCGGCTCTTATAAACCTTAGCATACTGTCGTTCAAATTTTCCACCATCGCTCAATTATGGGCATCCGGGGCGGGGTCCCAGAATTGTTTTGTGTCATCCACAAACATTTTTAAAAAGAACCGAACAAAAGAAATCCTATGCGAAATCAGCTTTGCTGCACCCACTTCCGTTATCGAAGTCGGTGGTTTCAGAGTGTTGTTGGATGCTGTGCTGGATAAAACCATCACAGGGACAAGTCCAAACATATCAGAATCGATGGTCATCACAATTTTACACCTCATCCAGTTTATGCCCAACGTCAGCGCCGATTACCACCTCAGGTTGGGAAGACGCAAATTTCATGGAAATTTAATTTTCAGTTATTTGATCTCGCCTCACTTCGAAAAAGGCAAGCATTCCGATTGCGCAGTTCTCCAAGCTCCAACATGCTCAGGTGTCCAATACAACGCGTCTCGCCTGGCTCTGACCTCTCTTCTCCGCAACTGGCGTGGCTTGGCGAATCTTTGCCACGGCCGCTTTAACAATTCCATTTCCGAGCTTTTGGCGATATTTTGCTGCAACTTGGAAGACACGATTTTGCTCGACTCACTTTTAACACTCCTCTTTGACGTCTTCAACATCCGCAGCTGTCAGGAACAGGAGCTGGAAGAAATTGAAGAAAAATCGGAAGAGTGCTCGACGATCTTTGACGATTTAGTCGCAGCAAGCCAAAAATTAGATTACGACGACGAGCAAGAATTTAGTCTCGCCCAGAACTTCCTCGTCGCTGAAAGTCGATATAAAGAGAGCATCTACGAAACGGACGGAACGTACTTTGACCTGTCACAATCCTTCAAAATCCTCATCCTAGCAATTTTTCTCGAAGCGCGCTTGGTCGAACACCTGATCGAACTCATCACAAACGCTCAGTCAGAAGTGGTAGCGGCCAAAGGAGGCTTGTTACTAGCAGAAATCGATGTGCTTACGTCACTTTATCTTCCTGCGCATTGCGTTTCAAATTCTGTTCTTTCCGGTAAGCGGGTTCAAATAATCAGTTAATCCCTAAAGAATCGTCCCTAGAGACCAAATTATCAGATAAAGCAATGCTCGTTCTCGGTAAGAGTCAAGTCCACTTTCAAGTCATTTGCATTTATTACAATAATAACAACTTCGTTTTTTCATTCCAATTAACCTCACTTATCCCAGCTCATTCCCTTTTTTCTCTATTTACATTCTTTTCTAGCAACGAGCGAGATAATCACCTCCCGCCTGACTCACATAGTAAACGAGGAAGGTTCCACGGACCGGGGTCAACGACGCGCTCATCAGGCAATCATGTGGCTTAAAAATTACCGCCGACTGCGGAAGGCCTCCTTTCAGCAATCCATTTACCTGCAGCATCAAATCAAACTTCGTACACAAAAACCAAAGCCAATTTTCTCTGGTACGTATTTTTACGTCACTAAATTACGGCCTCTATACATGATTATCTATGGTACTTGTCGCTACAGATGGCTTTGAGCGTTAGAAGCCTCCTAGATCAAAAGATATTACGACAGTTGTCAGAAAGTGTAGAAGCGCTAGAACTGTAGATCAAAAAGTAATCAAATTTCGCTCAACCAGAATCGAGACTTACAAGTGTCAAAACACGCAACATTCCGCTTTGATTACTGCCACGCAATTTTTTCTTGAAAAAACTCACTTAAATTCAGTTCCCGTTCCCACACCTGCACCAACCTCATCAAACACCAGTTCACGGCGCTCATCACTTGGCATTTTCAACATCACCAAATCAAAAACCACTGCTAACATCTTCGACAACACCGCTTCTTCCAGGAAGTCTTTTGGAAAGCGATCACTTATCAAATGGTCGAAAAAAGCTGCGTCAGTAGGGAGCACGCCGAAAAGCCCAACGAAGGGAAGTCTCGAAAGACAGCCCAGTGAAGACTCAGAAAATGCGTTTCTGATTAGTCTTGAAGATCTTCAGTTGGACACGAGCGAGTACACGCCAGATTGGCTTGTACTGAGTCGCAAATTGAAAGAATTCATGGACGAGAAAATGAGCGAAATATTCCCGCATGGGGATGAAACGTTAGAAACAACCAACGGCATTAAGGTTCAAGACATCGTTGACAGCATCAGAGGACATTTGATCAATCCTCATTGGGCGGATGAAAACGTTGAGTGGGGACCGCTCTGGACCGAAAAAGAGGAAGTTGGGAAAAAGATCGAATGTGCGGAGTGTTTCATTTCGTTCTTAGGGACATTGTGTCTCTATTTTCAAGCGAGAAGAACCACCTGTAGCAGGCTATTCGAGTGGTCAATTGAAATCATCGATGAGATCCTGAATCATTACTACGAAAAGCTCGTGGAAATGACCCGCGAATCTCCGTTCATCCTTCGCCAACAATTGACGAGTCAGAACTGCTTATTCATCCGTTATTTTCCCCTGTTGTATTCGTATATCGTATGCGATTCAAATATCAAAGCCATTGGGGCGATAAGGCCCGGAATGAAGAGGATGATGGAAACGATCAAATTTCAAATAAACGACCTTGGAAAATGTTTCAAACGAAGAAACTCTTCCTCTAGCTCGGATTCTGTCATGCTCGACGATGATAACTGTCCTCTAGAAAAGCTCATTTTGTCGGCTTTTGATTTTTCACAGCCGCATTGCAGGCCGCTTTTTGAAGACATCGCGGATTCCGCTTCTGATCATTTGAAGAATTACCTGTCAGAGTTGGTCCTTTTCTGGGTAGAAGCAAAAGCCGAATGGATCGTAAAAGACAAGTGGCTGTACTTGCAAACTCTCAGCTTGGTCCGCCAATCACCCCAGCAATCTGACACGGCCCTCGTTGCCTTTCAGCAATTCATCCGAATCCCAAAAATTGCTAATTACGCTCTCCAAGAGCTCGGAATGATCATGGAATTCGACCTCTCTCTGAGACAGAAGGTTCTATGCGTCCTGGTTGAGAACGAATTCATTGCGCAAAAAGTAGAAGAGTTCGGCGGAGTTACTGATCTTGACTCTATGCTTGATAACTGGATGACAACTGGGCAATATGAGTTTAGTAAAGAAATCATAGGAAGGCTTAAGGTTTCGTTCTCGACATCCGATGTCAAGGATTATGAGAAAGAGTCAGTTCCGAGGCGCAGCGTTCTCAGGGACTCGGGTTTCTAACATTTCCTACATGGGAAGTACAGTTTTCTGAGAACGTGCGTTGAAATTTCAGTCTGTTATTGAATCCAATTATAACCCGAAATTAGTCGAAATATCGTCCGCCCGGTTCACCTACCGCACAATCTTCTCCACTCCCTTGCATCGCACACCTTTGGGGTGGAGCGACTAAAGGACTACGTCAAAGAACTGGTAATTCAACTCAATCAACCAGTCGCCTCCGATTTGCCGGAAAGCGAGCTCGATCGGTTATCCGCTTTGTGGAGCGCAGGTGCAATCCTAAGCACTAATTTCGGATGCAATGTGTTCTCTTCGCATCTCTGGCCGCTCGTTATCAAGAACCTAAAACACGATTGGCTGCCTATTAGAGCAACAGGTCGAGGTTCACGTTGTTTAGTAAACTTTTTGGGCCCTTCAGATGAAGGAGATAGGGCGGACTTGCGGTGGAAACGAAGGAACGTGACAAGATGTCATGTTAAACCAGGGAATTTTTGTTGGAGCGCCAAAATCTGCTAATCCTCAGCTTATGTTATGCTCCTCGTTCTTTGAAAAATCTAGGCTAATAAGTAAACAAGACATTTTTGTTTTAAAAAATCTGTGCTTAGAGCATAACTATGTGTTACCTCAAAACTAAAAATAATTAGCCAATTTTGACGAATATTTTTGACGGATTTGACGTCAACCTTGCGAAAAGCATTTTATGTGGTCAACTGGATCAGCAGGTCACCGTATGGCGCTGATCTCATTGAATACGAAACAAATCTTTCATGGAAGGTGAAAAAACGGCTCGTTGGAGACATTGGCCGCCGTCAGCGCAACTCAACAGTCGACTCCTGGTCAAGGTCAGTGAAAATGCCGCCGCGTTGGCTCCTGTCGCCAATGCTATTTTCCACGATTTCATGCGGCCGCATTTATCCGAGTTGCCTTTTTAGTCCTTTTTTAGGAGTCAAGCATGGTTTTTCCGTGTGGGATTGAGATTTAGTTTACGCTTCGTTATTAAGGGGTTGCGCAGTTAATCCTCTTTCACGGATGGATTTACGCGGCGAGAATTATGCGTTTAGAGAGCCACAAGCTGACCTACTTCTCTATTACGACTCCGTTTTAACAGACCATTTTAGTAGCACGTTTCCTGATGATTCTTTCAAAGATCTGTACATCGACAGTTCCAACGCTTCATTGAACGATCCGTTTCAATCTACAGATGGGATCAACCGCTCAAACGAGCATTTGGTCCATTCGATAAGCCGCTTGTTAGATCAGAACCGGCCACTGATAGTGTCTATCTCCCGCCAGTGGTCGATGAACGACGAACTCGAATCAGGAAAAACACCACTTTACCGGGAACAACGGAGCATTTCTGATACAACGGCCATGGAATTGACTATCTCCAGGCACCAGAGTTTCGACAGCTCGAGTCCAATGGTGAGGAATTAGAATTCAGAATTTCGAGTTGAAATATTTCTAACATTATCTTTCTTGACATGAGCCTTCAAACCGAAGGCGTCGGCCAGACGCTTAGATAATAATAAACAAATTTCGTCTTGATTCGCAAGTTGCATGTTGAAGATCTTCTTTTTGAAGTTCATTCGAAAAATAATATCGATAATCTCTTTACGTTCATTATTACGGTAGATGACTTGGAAAATTACGTCGAAGAATCGATTAAATTTTCCTTGAACGTAATGCGCCTTGACCCGGATTATTCAGTCGCCCATGAAAAGCCGTTTGCTGAGGCCCGTAACGAGAACCCATCGAGTGCTGTCCAGTGCTTCGTCTGGCGCGGAAATGCCCTCCGTTCCTGAAGGAAAGCCCCTCGAGGAGCCCCTCGTCTCACAGAGCCTCAACGAGACCAAACTCCAGCGAAACCTCCCGTTTTTCAACCGCTTCACAACGGATGCCGAGACCTTTGCCGCAACGAACGGACACATAACAAGGAACGGGATTGATCATAATTTTTTTTTTGAAAAGGTCGTTTTCATGGTACAATGTTAACGTAATGTCATCAACGTCACTTATTTTGAATAATCCTTTGTCAAGGCCATCTCACTTTGCGTCTGAAATGCGCAAAAGTCGGACAGAACCGAGTCTTGGAAGCTTCGCAACATACCAGTCCTCTGAAGGCCATTCCACCGCTCCTGATCCAGGGGAACAGGCGATAGAGACGTTTGACAATGAGATCTACCGAGTAACGCCGCCGGAATACCCTGGCATTGCCTTGCCAAACGACTTGATGAGCTTTCTCGACATTCCGGAGATGAATTCAGCTGTTGATACCAGTTTTATAGAAGTCGAAAAAATGCCTCAACAAGAAACAATTCTCCTCAACTCTGTGGAAAATTCAACGGAGGTGAGTTTTAGTGGCCATTTGTGGTTGAATATATTCTTGCTTTGTGATTTAGCTAGTGCAATTTTTTCTCGAAAATTTCTATTTTGACCTACCCTAGTGAAGTTCTCTTTATTTCATTCCTTTGACATTTGGAATTGTGACAAATTCGATTTAGCGAAAATATTAGCGTGGCATGTCGGCAACCGCAATTGTGATAACGCTATTTTTACAGGCCGTGTGTGACGAAAGCGTCGAAATCTTCTCCGAAGTGCTTCAACTCGTTCGGGAAGCGTCACGTGGAAAGGGCGAAATTCCAAAGCGAATTTTTCACCTGCGGACTAAGCACGTGGAGAGCTTCAGAAACCTGCGCCTGTATGAACAAGTGATTAACAGATTAGTCGAGACCTCGGCGATCGGCGTTACCAACTTCAGGAAGCACGTTCATGAGCTCTTTGATTGGCGGTCCGTTGACCAAACATCCACCAAAAATCTCTTCTTTCATGAAATAGAAGGTTTGGGTTTCGGATCATATCATAATCTAATCGCGTAAAACAACGTAAAACACGCATAAAATCAACATCTATCAACATCAAACCCGAAAAAAGAACAAATGAGCGAGATCGATAAAAAGTGGACTGCCGCGTATCCCGCTCTGATTTCTTAGCGAAAATTACAATTCTGGCTTTTTATAATTCAGCAAAATTCATGATCCCTTAAAATTAATATCACCCAAAAACAAACAAACAAAATGCCATGTTCTTCACCTCTCCTTTTCGTTCAAGTTGCTCACCCGCTTATTTACCTCACTAAATGATCCTCACAGATTGATTTCAAGAGTTATTCTGTATGTCTATGTTACTACTATTAAATAATTAATAAAATCAACAAGTTATGCTCCTATCCTTTCAAATCATTTCTGATGCTCTTTCTTTTTAGATTGTAAAAAGAAGAACATGAGATGACTGTTTGAGTAAAATCGAAATAGCAAGTCAAAAAAGCAAGGAAAATCAGTGACAGTAAAGAATGGAAAGCATCTCTAGCAACGCAAGACCGCAGAACAGCCGGGAAGATGCCACAAAGCGTCTTTTCAAGTCGATCTATGAACAAGTAACTGCGTTATTTTTTCGCTTTTTTCCAAATGGCAGCGGCTTTTTCTCCCGTTTCTGGCGGTTTTACTTTAGAAATTGGGCTCTAGAACATTTTTCCACTATTTTTTGGTTATTTTTCTTTTAGTGCGATCTTTTCGTTCCATCAATATTATATCACCCAATTTTCTCAAGTTCAAATTTTACAATTGAGAAAGTAAATTTCCGCAATTGATTCTTGAGCTCGGAGATAATCGCCTGAATCTGACCGAGCGGCGGTTATACGAAGTTTGGATAGTGATACCGCTTCAATTTTCATTGCGCAGGTCTTTATTTTATCCGTTCAGTTTCTAAAAGACGGCCTTGCGCCAGACGCAGCCTGCGCCAAGGCGATCCAGGAGCTGAAGAACAGGACTAAAGATGTCAATCGAAATCCTTCGAAGGCTGGCCCATCTGGAGGGGAACATGTTCCAATGGTGTGTAGCGCGAATTTCGCGGTAATTCTGACACATTTTCATTTTAGGAAAGTGATTCCGCAGGAACTGTCAGCGGCGAAAATCGTGTTCAAAAAGAGTGGCCAAAAATAGAATTGCCATTGCCGATTTTCTATGCGAGCGAATTGATAAATCGCCTTCCCGAGGCTAAATACTATAAGACTCACGTGACTTACTCGTTTCTTCAAGAGCCCAAAAGCTCATCAGGTGCTTCCGATTGGAAAGCGACGAGAAAGAGGTGGATTGGGACGGGCTTAGGCGATTCTACGATGCAGTAGAGGAGCAAGGAGGAGCAGCGGAAAGGGCTGTTGTTAGAGCTATAAGAGTAAGAGGGGGGAAAATGAGGAGGAAATTTATCGACCTTGAATCAAGGAATTTCGCTGGAAAATGTTCGCGAAAGACAATAGAAGTCTCGAAAACTACGAAAGTGTGGTAATGACTTTTGTCAATCCGCACATTGCATCTCCCGCGTACTTGGAAAACGCTCTGCCGGAACTTTGTGAAACTCTTACTGATAACATCCCAGTCGTGAGTCCTCTTCTTTTGAATTCAAGCGCCTAAAATAACGACTAGGCACTTGAGAGCGAGGAGAACTGTGAAGAGTCAAAACTAGTAAAAGCGTTCGCGAAATTAAATAGCCAAGACCTTCTTCAAATTGTTCAAAATCTTCAACAAGCGATCACCATCAGGTACCGTAAATTACAGAAATCAGTGTCGCGCAATTTGGTTAAGGGGGTAGAACTAGGATTTTCAAAGTCGGATTTTCAAATTTTTCTTTTCAGATTCTTAAAGCTTAGCTCATGCAAAATAAAACTTATCATTACAACTTTTTCCATCCGCCAATCAAAATCGAGAAAAAAACGATTTTAGTTTAATCGATTCCTGCGTTGAGCGTTGATCCCTGCCATAATAGTTTTGATCTTTTTTCATGATTTTTACAGTAAACACGTGCTTAGAAATCAAAATTATTCATAGAGAATATACTAAAATATTTTTACTATTATTTATATATTCTAATTTATGGAAAAAATAAGGAAAGATAAGCAAAGACTAATTTTCTTTTTCAGAGTTTTCTTTATTTTCGACTTCTTTCTTCTTTCGTTTTTCTTCTCGATCAGCAATTTCCTTCTCAGCTTTTCGCTCTTTCTCCAGCTTCGTTCGATAAACACTTGTCTTGTTATAAGTTCCAAGAGTCGCCCTTCTTTTGAACTTATTTTCAATTTTCGTCAACTTTTGTGATCGACGATTAGCATCAGCAGCTTTCTTCAATGACTGCAATTTTTCGATAACAGGATCATTGAGCGTAAATCCAAGTTTTGTTGAAATCAAGGAAAAAGCATTAGCCTCTCCTTCGTTCCAAATTATTGTACCAACAGACACTGATGCTTCAGCGAGAAGAGACGGAACCAGAGTTTGAAAAAATGGTCAAGCCATTTGTGAATTCTAGCCTTGAGCGTCATTTCTGGTAAAGAAGCGTCCTTTCGAGCTTGTTCCTTGATCCAAGTCAGCCTGAAAAGGATGAAATGAAAAGAGCATAAAATGACCCTTGCTCATACTCTGTCGCTCATAACAAAAATTAGACTGTGGCCTCTCGAGCTAACATATTTATGCATGATTTTAGCATTTTTTCAAACTCTGGTCGAGACGGTCACTATCTTTGATTTGTCGATGAGGGATCGAGAGGTGAGCAGGGCATGAAATGCTTCTACGAAGCTTGTCGAGGCGGATTTTCTCATGATTTTAAAAAAATCGGTATTTTCAAAATACGCAATTTTCATTTCATCAAGGAATGAAGCCAGTTGTGCATCAGGGTTCTTCTTCGCGCTTTCTCGATCAAAAATCGGGATTTTTCTGCTGCATTTTTCTGGATCCAAACAGTTGTCATGCTGGTTGTTGCAGTGTTGAATGAAATATCGAAAACGAGCTCGAATCGTCTCATCTTCATAAAAATCTTCATCTTCTCCAATTTCCTTGATCAACCGAGCAATAAGAGTTTGAAGGCTAAAAATATAAATTGAGTTCATTTTCAATAGTTACTCTAAAAACCAAGCGTGAAATACAAAACCGTTTTATTTTGACTTATCTGAAGGTCAAAAGTCAACCCGTTTTTCGCTTTTCATGATGATGTCTTTCCCAACTTCGCTAAAAACGCTGTGTGTTCGCACTTTTCATCAGACACTGATGAAAACAAGAGTATTTATCGATCAAAATGAATTGTGAGAATTGTAATTTGAAAGAAAAATGTTTTCGTAGAACTCACCCTTGAATGAATCGTCGTTTACAGTTTCCACCAAAGCAATTTGGATAAAACAGCTTTACTGTTTTATCAATGGTCTCCACACGATTACTGACGTTTTTCAAAACGTGCGCTGTAATTTGATAGTAAAATAAATCCAAAGATTATAAGTACCTTTGTCGCGCAAAAAAATAATTGCTTCTTCAGAAAGAATAACATCTCCAGCCTTTTTTGAGTCAGGAGAATAATGCTTCGTGTAAAGCAAAGGATGCTTGTACTTGATGTCTCCATCCGTCGCGAATCGGAGCGGCTTAGAAGTGGTTTCATGGAGTGGGAGAAGAACATCAGTCGCCATTTTTGTGAAAGAAAGATATTCCATTTCATCTAATATTACTGTCATATAACGCAAAAAAGCCCCCTAGGTGGCAGGAGAATAAATTTATTCTCCTGCCACCTAGGGGGCTGAGGTATAAAGAACTTACTGGCTTTACAATGTGCGATTTGACCAGGTCCATCACAGTTCGAAGTGTCTGATCTTTTCTGGACATAATTACTGATAATCTTTGGTCTATCATCGTCGGTCACGTTCTGCGGAACCATCATCGTTGTATAGCTACAGGCGTAACTTTTGAATCCCGTTGTCAACTTTATGAAAGTTTGGAAAAAAGTAAAATGCTAATAGTGATTTTTTATCATTTTCATTTCAAACTCTTGCCTTATCATTTGGTTCAATATACATTGTCATGGATTATGGGAAAAAAGGAGACCTGGTTAGGTACATCCAGAAAAATAATGCATTAGATGAAAGTGTAGCGCAAAAATGCTCTTTGACAACTTTATCGAATAAATAAGAACCGTTCATATTGTCCGTCTCCAGCAAAATAGATTCCCGAATTAGGATCGTCAAGCTGAAGTCGGCGCTCTGCTTTCGCTTTGTAAGAACTCATATTTTCGTCAGAAATTTTCATCAGAGAAACATGAACATCTTTTCTCACTTTACCAAAAGCAGAATCGGATCGAGTCAAATTGACGCTATTTGATTGACCATTTTTCAAAACCGCTCCAAAATTGAGAAACAGGAGTAGTCTTTGAGCATTGACTGTTCGAATTCCGGAAACAGTGCAGCCAGCTGCAAACTGTCTATTGAAATTTTCAGAAACAGTTTTGAACTGTATCTTCTCGCCGCATTGGCAAGCGAACTGAATGCTGAAACCGACGCCAATCAAACTGGTCAAACTTTTTTAGGGTTATACAAGACCGGCAAGAACAAGTGGTTATTCCAGAAGCTCCGATTCTAAATTTTTAGAAATCCCATTCCTTGGTAGAAAATACGCATTTCTACAATTCTGAGAATGGGTGACAACATCGTTGACAAGCTGGCACAATTTGAAGTAATTGACAAACATGTTTGTAAACTAAATTTAGTGATCGTAATGTATTAGAAAAAATATGTGTTCGGGTCTAAGTTTGTTATCAAAATCTAAAAATGCAAATCTATAATAATCTTACTTCATTTTTTTCAAAAGATGTGCTCGAGCTGGAAGATGATGATGACCTTGCACTAGAAGAAGGAGGAAACGAAGGTCTAAAGCCTTTTTATTTCTCTTATCTGCTGGACTCATTTCAAAATTTGAATTTGATTTTATAAAGTGCGAGATTTTGATGCTTTTCCTGCCCTGCTTCAGTATTTTCGACCCGCGACGGCGCGAGCTATCCTAATCAAAAAGTCATCGTCAAAAATGATATTTTTCGATCATATTTTTGATAAGAAAGAATATTTAATTTATTGACAACAAAAAACGAGTAAAAAGAAGACGATAACAGTCAGTATATTCATCACATTTCGAATTTTTCTTCCTTGATTTTGGCCGATCCGCGATTTTCGACTTCCAGTTTTCGAGCGCTTCGATTACGTTATCATTTTTTATGATTGGACAATTTCCTTTAAAATGTTGTTAGAAAAAGGGTTAAACTGTCTTAAAATGAAATTTAAAAAATTTGGCTAGTCACGTGACTCGAGAAATTTGAGGACGCGAATGGGCTAAAATCGCGATTTTTGAAGGGATGGGTGGACGTTTGGCTCTCTACCGCGGAAATCTGTTGACGAAAAAAATTTTTAAGAAAAATGTTGTTAGATCTAGGTTTGCTTTATCTTCAGCCGAAGAGAGAATAAGAATATCTAAGCTTGTTTAGCTTTGAGCGCCGGTCTAGAATTGCCTATTTTCAAAAATCCTAGTTCTACCCCCTTAATGACAGAGACGCAGAGGTTTCAAATTAGATTACGATGACCTACCAGCAGCTAGTGGTCGTAATTACGCTTTTCAGATGCGTCGAGATTGACACGGATCGAGACGTGCACAAGGACGCCAAGATCATTAGCTACGTGCGTACCATGAGGTACCTATTTCTAGCAGCGCTAGGAACGGTTTTGTTCTGTTCTGAAGATCCACATATTCATAAATTATGTCGAAAGGGAGAAGCTTCATTAATTAAATAAAGTTATGTTTCCACCACAGCCACATAGACTGAAAGCTTTGGAGTAACAACATTTTAATTGATTAGATTAAAATTCCTCGAGTAAGATTATTCAAATCACTTCTTTCCAAAACATGACTTTTTCCAACCACTGGGCGTCATCCCGGATTGGAGTTGCGCCATATATTTTAATACCGAATTACGCGGATTTCTTATTCGATATAATCAAAACCGCGTCAGTGGACCCGGAGCCAATGCTTGACTGGAAAGCAAATCTCCAATCCAACCTCGACATCGTCAATTCATCGTCAAGTCAGGAGCAAACTGAAAATAATGAGATGGATGTGGATGCTCCTGCAGCAGAAGCAGCTGAAAACAGAAACAACGGAGGTCTAAATGAGCAAACAGAGGATGAACGCGTTATTGACGAACTTCTGCGGAGCAACTTGCTGAATCAAGTCGCTTCTGGCGGGACAATGACCGATCCGCTGTGCAAGAAACTCGGCGTAAATTGGATCAGCGTGAATCGCCCGAAAATACCTTACTCTGAGTTTGTCAATGAAGTCATCAATAATGGTACGAACAAATTCACCTTCTCACTTCTTAGCCAGGATGGCATCTTGCTTGCTGAATTCTCCCGCACACGGAATTTCCGAAAAGTGCAAATTTTCAAAGTGAATTTACATGTCGCGCGTTCTAATCCAGTATTCTAGCGCTGCGAGTCGAAAGGGATTTCATCAATCTGAGGTATCCAGACGGACTTTTCGACGAAGCAGAAGAGGACGACACTCGTTTTTCATTCTTCCATCATCCCTTTATGCTGAATACGGAGCGAAAGACGAGCTTTTTGTTTTACGACTCGAGGGAGAAACAAGTCATGATCAGGAGAAACGTCGAATTTCTTGGAGCGATGAGAGAGCTGCCTTTTTTGATCATAAACGTCTCCCGAAACAATATCATCCAAGACACACTTTTGCAGCTGGAAATGGTGATTCAAGATGACCCAGCAGCGCTGCAGAAGCAGTTTGTGGTCCAGTTCGATGGCGAACAAGGAATCGACGAAGGAGGAGTCAGCAAAGGTTCGACTGAAAACATTAACCATCTAGTTTTACTAATTTGATTTGTCAAGAGTTCTTCACGTTGTTGTTGGGCGAAATACTCAAACCGGATTATGGCATGTTCCAGTACAACGAGGACACGGGCTACCACCAGTTCAATCCTGTGCAATTTCAGGACACGGAGAAAGAATATCTTCTTCTTGGCATGCTCTTAGGTAGGTCAAAAAATGATTTAGCCCGATTTAATAATTGACCCCGGCGTTGTCTAAAAAAGCGGTTTCAGGCTTGGCAATTTACAACAGCATCAATTTGGACATCAACCTTTCAACGTGCATTTTCAAAAAGCTCCTTGGCGGCAAGGGCGAGTTCCAAGATTTGGAATTTGCCCACCCCGATGTGTACCGAAATTTAACTCAACTGCTCGAAGCTGATAAGGTAGGGACTGAGGGTTTAGACGATAAACACTGTTGGTTTTAGGATACAGTGGAAAGTATGTGTTTGACATTTTCTGTCACGTTGAAAGATATGTTCGGCGAGCCAGTCGAGTTTGATTTGTGCAAAAATGGACGGGAACGAGACGTGGATGGATTGAACAAGTTTGAGTTTGTTGAACTCTACGCGGACTTTTTACTGAACAAGAGCATCGATAAATCTGTAAGCGCCCTCGTTTCACTCATGGAAATGAAGTTTACTTAGTTCAATGCGTTCCGAAAAGGGTTTTTCCTCGTGACTCAGCGTTCGCCCCTACGTGCGCTTTTCCGTCCAGAAGAGTTGGAAGCGATTGTCATTGGCCAACGGGATTACGATTGGGATGAGCTTAAACGAACATGCACTTATGATGGAGGATTTTCAGCGGCTCACGAGAGCATTAAAGCGGTAAATCGGGGTCTGATTGGAACGGCTGTTGAATCGCTTTTAGTTCTGGTCGGTGTTTGACGAAATGGACGAGGGAGAGCGACGCAAGCTATTGGAATTTTATACCGGATCAGACAAAGTGCCAGTTGGCGGTCTGGCCAGATTGAAAACGAAAATTCAACGGTCAGGGCCGGATTCTGATCGACTACCCACAGGTATCACTTAACATTCCGCAAATCAAAGAAAGGGCAGAGCAGTTCAAAATTTTCAAAAATTCATTCTCCTGATTGACCATGTTAAACATGCTAAATCGCGCTAAATACAAGATCGACTAAATAGTTAGCTCTTGAATTTTGAGTAGTTTGCTACCCCCTCTTTTTAACCGCGTTTGTGGTTTGTTTGATTTATGCGCTGTAGATATTCTGTTTTAAACATTTCTAACTTGCTTTTGTTTTCAGCCCATACATGTTTCAATATTCTTCTGCTTCCTGCCTACTCGGACCGAGAAAAGTTAAAAACCAAACTCTTCAAAGCGATGGAAAACGCCAAAGGCTTCGGGATGATCTGAGATTTGCCAAGCCCTTTTTCACTGTTTCTTTTTGACCTCACTTCAAACACACTTCGGACCAAAATAAAAACACGACGGATACGTACTTTTTTGCTCGCTCGAAGCATCTAAGATTGGATTAACAATCTTTCAGCTGCTCTGAAATTAACTCGATTTTGCATTTAAAAACCATGAGAAATTTCAAATGGCAGAAAAGGGCCTTAATTATATCATGAAGCGTCGTTAACATCAGCTTGTGGGTTGTGAGCAATGCGCAGGTTGAGCAAGTTTAATTTCGCAGCTCTTTTTTCTAGCGAGAAGAGGATTCTAAGATCCGGCACGAGTGCAGCTGAGAGGCCCCGGAGAGTTTTCGCAGAGCTAAACCTCTTAAGCTTCACGAATCGGTTCGAGGAAGAGGGCGAAAGAAAAATAAAGAGTTCGGAGTGTGTTTACTGATTTTCTCAAATTTCGTTCTAGTGCACTTTTGGGAGTAATTATACCTCAGAAATGGGAGTAAGAATGCGGGGAAGATAAGACAAGTTTCCTTTCAACGTATCTCCGGGGGAGAAGATAAGATTCATCAAATCTAAGAGTTGAAAATTTGAATGAAAATCGAAATGTCAAAACGGAATATTCAAGGGCATTTTTAACTGAAGCTTAAATTGATCGATCTATCAAAAAAGCTCTTTAGAAACATTAAATTCTAGCTCCGAAATTCTAGCTCGTGAAAAGTCCCAGTCGCAGCTCACTAGCGCCAAAGCACCGCGCGCTGAGCGCCGTTTTTGCGCTCGGAACTCTCGTTTTCTACTCTTTTTTGAAAGATCTGAATGGAATATTTAGAGATATGAAATTACCATTATTTTTTGCGTTGGCTCTTTCCGGGGCCGATGGGGACTCGAGAGATAATTTGAAGAATGCTGTCAGAAGAACTGTTGAAAATATTGCTTTATGGTCAATTGCACAGGATTTTAACGAGGACAAGCAAACGACGATAAGGTAAAGTTCAAAGAGAAACAAAGTTGAATCGATGAGTAAATTTTTCGACAGTTTTCGGAGCATTGGTTTTAGATAGACCCGTTATTTTGAAGTTATTTTGAAAGGTTTATTCAATTAATTATAATTTTACATCAGAGCGGCAATTCTACCGTCTATAGTTTTGATAGCAAAAAACGTATATTATGGAATTCCGTCGAAATAGTATTTTTTTGGAAAAGACTTGGGAAACTTTTTTTAATTTCGATGAACTGCAGTAAATTACAAGAGCACGATCAATTATCGATTTTAGTCGAACATGTTATCACCACAACTTCTCTCTCCTCGAATTTATTTTGGGAGCGACAATTGTTCGTTTATGAGCAAAATATTCCCGCCATTCTATTTTTTAACTTTTCATAAGTAACTGTTTTTTTGCTCAGTCTCTGCCTCGACGACGTGGAGGGCACCGTGGACAGAAAAATTAGATTCGACAAGAAGAAAGAAGACGACCTTAGCTGCAGCATCGAGGAAATTCGCGCAATGGGCGGTAGCCTGGAGTACAGCACTCAATCCCCCTGTGGATCTATCGTCAATTACATCCAGTCAATCTCAGATGATTGCTTGATTACGTGCCTTATTGCTGCCGGCGAAATTTGATTTCAAAAGCTGCTTCTTGTTCAGATCTGTAAATAAAAAACTCACTTCATTTTTTTGTTCTATATTTAACTTCGAGATCAGAGATGTGCATAGATCTGGACGTGAAATAATGTTTTTAGCAAGCAGGAGTGTTAGAAGAGAAAGAACAGGCCCAGTCCCAAAAGCGTTTCGCAGCTTTCGCAACTTCTTTTATGACAATTTTCATCGAATCTAGGACAAAGGGATTAGCAGCCCGCTAGAAATAGAACGCGGCAGGAGAGCCTAGTAACCAATGGCAGGGACTCCCAGGACGCAGCAAAAGGTGACAAAGGCGCCCGAGAGCACCTGGTTTCGAGCGGGTGCACCGGAATCACGCAGGTTCACTCTAAAGGTTCTTAGCCTGCAGCTAAAACCTAAATCGAGAAATTTAAAATAGAGGCTTTTTCTCAGCAGAAGCATTACCAATAAGACTCCTAGCTGAATCAAAAGACTCTAGGTAGACCATCAATCGATGCTACCGCTTATTTCACCAGTCCCAGGACTATAAACCTCTTCAGCCTCACGCAGTGCGTCTAAGGCTCAAGCTTCCTCCATTAGCGGCCACACCGGTGCGCCAAGCCGAGCCAATCAGCTCTCAGGCTACTCTGAAGGAATCAAAAAAAAAAAGAGAAAGAAAAAGAGAATCTTTCCTTAAAGAAGTTCGGAATTCTTCTTCCCCAGTTCAGCGGGACTCACTATTTACTCCTCTTCTTCAGACATGATCGAAGAAGCCTTCGTTAAGGCAGCGGAGGAATTCGGCCCCAAATGGGGAGTGGCTTTGGACTCAGATCCTACACGCCCAATTGAAAACTCTCAAAGAAGAATCCAAACCCTCGACGAGGATATTTCCAGGAAAGGATCTCAAAAGAAAAACCTCAGAATCCCTCGGCTAGCCCAGAAGGAAGAATCTTTTCCCCATTCTTAGAATTTTTTTTTTTTGATCCTCTCAAAGAAACACCCTTCTGCTCATGAGCCAGATAAACTGGAAAAGACTCTCCCGTACGGCAATGGCGACTCCGAAAATAGCACCTAGGCTCTTAAGACTCTACGTCCCTGCGGATGCGAACGAGCCTCTATCCAATCACAGATTGGTTTTCGATCGCCAAACTCCTTCAAAGGCGAGATTCAACTTCTCAGAACTCTCCTCTTGGGCCCAAATCATATTTACGGCACCATCAGGGAAAGAGTCACTCTGGATAGCCCACCAAAGCAACGAACCCGCCTTCATCCTCTCCATTATAATGGAAGAAATTGCAGAAGCGGAGAATGACCGCCCAGACTCTTGGCTACTGGAATCCAAGCCATACCCGTTCAAGCCATCGGAGAGTCCCACGAAGTTGTTGAAGCAAGAATCGTTGGGAACAAACGACGCTCCTAGCGTCAAACTGGACGACCACGAAACCATCTTCAGCCTTTTAGAAGCGCTAAAGACAGGAAGCACTAAAGGCCCGCTCAGAATCGTGGCCCGAAATTCAGACTCCCACCCGGCTCCGAACCTTCAAAAATCAGAAGAAAAGGGCAGACTCTTTCCGTTCAGTATCCTGGAAGAACTAAAGAACTGGGAAAAAATCAACGGCCAAGACTGGTTTTGCGAATGGGAAGGCTCCGAGAATCAAGACATTCTAGATGAAGGTTTCTGGCACCACGTCTGCCTCCGAGTGATCAGGGAAAGTAAAGTCAGGACTCAAGCGAACTACGAAAGACCAAGCTTCACTGACGAAAACTGGCTCCGAAGACTCATAAAAAAGGGCCTCGAAACGATCTTCGACTCGATGCCAAGACCAGACGCTTTCATGAAGCCGCAGGAGCTCCTGGACTCACTCAAAATGCTGAAATCGATTCACAGTGACTGGCACGAAATTTGCCACCAGAGAAACGCCTGGCTGGAGCTCAAAGAAGACAGAGACACCCAGTGGGCAAGGAAGGGACCAACAAATGCAAATGCATGGATCATCGATGTGATCGGTGAATATGCCTCAGTAGACTCTGCGACGCCGAACCCGACGCCGCTGACTAAGATTCTTACGCCATTGCTGCTTCATTTGGTGCACAAGCAACTCGCCCAAGACTCCGTCATCGGACAAGACGGAAGCTGCAAAGAAATGCCCACACAGTGGCACACGGACTGGAAAGAACTGAAAGACTCCAATTCGCTGAAAAAGTGGCTAGAATTAGCAGCAAAGAAGGTTAATCCAATTAACACGACGGTCAGAATCAAAGAAGTCGGCAAAGGAAACTCCAACTGGATTCTCTGGATCCCCTACAAAGTGGTCCCCCAATTATGGGTCTTTAATTACGGCGAGGACTCTGAGCATCTCAGAGAAAGATCCCTACTCTCAGTGGCAGCCCACCCAGCACTGGTACCACTAGAATCTGAAGCGCTTGAGAAGCTGGCCTCGGAGCCGTGGACGACTCAAAACGTCAAAAATGCATCGCGGCGTTCCAGAAACCAACCAGAAATTATTACGCCTCCGGAGCCTGCATAGTCGGAATCAACCGACCCTTCCGAACTCAGAAAATCATCCTCGAAATCATCGCCAAAGTCGTCAAAGACTCCAAAGCCCACTCCCATTTACGATCAGTCGAACACAATTTGGGAATCTTAACAACCGGCTGGAATTGGGCAAACGGGAAAAGATTCAGCCCGGACAAAACCCTCGACAGCTTCATCAGCACTTGGATGCGAAAAAGAGAAGAAGTCACAGGAGTCACGAGACTCAGATTCCTCCATTCACGCCCCGAGAAGCGCGAAAGATCTTGCGAATGGCCAATGTGCGGAGAAGCCGAGGCAGATTCAACTTGGTGCAAAACACACCAAGGATTCCGAGAACTGAAAGAAGCCCGACAGCAAAACTGCTCACCAAATTGCCAAGAAAGAAACGGCTTTGGCCTAATCAAGCCCACCCAAGAACACACCAGAATGGCTATCGACAGCGAAGAATGGCAGCAAACCTTTCTGAAGCTCTCAGAAACATTCAAGACAACAACGCTGAAAGACGCCGACGAAGAACTCATCGGGAGAATCCAAAACACAGCGGTGGAAGGTTTTGACTCGATTCTTGAGGCCTGGAAATCTACGGCAGTCCTTTTCCAGGGAGAAAACGACACAACGTCGAACATTGCCAAAGGACTCAAAAAACTCGGCGGAGTCATAGAAAGACCAAGATTCGAAAGACCAGAAGCAGCGGGAATTGTCATCTATCACGCGGGTCTGGAAAGATGCGGAGGCAAATTCGATGCTTTCGTAGTTGGAAACACCACGGCCCCGAAGAATCTACACCTCCAAGAACTCGCTAAATCCATCGCAAGCGAATCTGGAGACAGCTGGTCGGAAGTGGCGAGACTCATCAAGGAACAGACATTCCAAAAGGACACTGTTCTGGTCCTCCCAGCCCAAGAAGATGCCAAAGCCCTAGAAAGAGCCCTCAGCACTTGGTCCGCCCCGTACGTCAAATTCGTCACCCAAGGCCTGATGAAGGATTTTCACCAAAAGCTTCGAGGAGACAAAAACCCAAGATTTTCGGGCCTTTGGGAAGTTTTTCAAATCGCTTGCGATTGCGGCTATGAATCCAGATTCACCCCATGCTGGGCACACCCTAGGGTGGCGGAAATGATGGCCAGATGCTGCAACGGCCTCGACTCTAGAAATCGAGCTGTCTCAAAAATAGACAAGCTCAGACTCAGGGCTAACAGAACAACCTGGGAAAACGTCACAGACAAGTCCCACGATTTGTCCCAGAATGCTCCATTCACGACTCACTTCAGAGACATCCTCTTAGACGGAATCAAAGCGGCGGAGAATCTAAACATGGACGAGGGAGCAACTGCCGGAGCCGAGAATCTCTTCCCAAACACTTGGACTCAGAACCTCCAGACCATCGAGGAAAGATTCGCACGAATGAATATGACCAAAACCCGAGAGAATAACTAGGAGAAATAGAAATCTGAATCCGCTTCTAGACTCTATTAGGAAAAGGCTCGAACGTAGGCCGTAAAAACGGACCGAACTTGAAATCCCCGAGCCTGGAAAAGACTCAAAACTCATCTCAAAATTCTCACACTGCTGTCAACTGTTCAAAAACCTTCAAAACAGGAAAAGACTCGTCAAATATGAAGATTCTCAGCCAGAAATGAATCCCATAACACATAATACAGGATAATTAGAATCAAAAAGAGAGTCTTGTAAAAGAAATCCACTTCTTCCCAAAACGCGCAAAACTTCACAGCGATACCCATCAAAAGAGAATCAGAAAGCTTCAGAATCAGGAAACGGACTCAAAATGTTAAAGAAATCCAAGCCAAAAACCAAAAGAATCCAATTTTGAGACCGTGGGAAAGTGAAAATTGACTCACGAGACGCAGCGCGCTGATTGGCGGAGAACCTGGAAAGCCAAGGATAATCCAGCACTCATAACAGAGACGGCCAAATTGAATCAAATTTTTCTAAAAAAAGAGAGAATCACCCTGGAATCCTTCTAAAGAGAAACATCTTCGACACAGAAGCTTCAAACGCCCAGGACGCACAAAATTCTAGAGTCAATCTGTGTTTTTTCCGATTCTGAAAAACAGATTCCTTTTTTAATTTTATTCTTTCTCTCAAATAAGGGAAAATCTTTTCCTTTCAAAAAAAAAGAATTTTTCCTTTGCGCTCTCTCAAAAACCCAGCCAAATCTTAAAATTAAAATATTCGTGGCTAACAAGAATCAAAATTCAGACTCAAAATGACTAAAGACGCAATAAACGCCCAGAATCCCGATGCCAAAGAGCTCGAAAGACTCAGAGAAGAAGCTGGAATCATCAGAGACCCGATCGACCAGCCAGACTTCTGGAGAGAGAGGAAATCGGCGATCAAGAAAGACCCAGTGACTCAATACCCTCAGGAATCAAAAGGACGAATGCTCATCCGACTCCGTCTCAGGATTGGCGACAGATTCAAAGACCTGCTTGAGCAGATGGTCCAAGGAATGGGTCTTATTTAATATAAAAAGTAAAAACTCTTCAAAACAAAAAGAATCAAATAGAAAAACCTAGCCATAACGACCCACACATAAGATTTCACGAATCCCAACGTCCAAATGTCGCTCGACAGCTGGCAAGGCTCAATCAACACGGTCTCCCGAGTCCTCTCCGAGCTTGTGCGCGAAGAAAATGCGAAAATCGCCGAAGACGACCGAGCCCAGTCGAACCAGAGCCTGTTCTATGGATGCCTCAACGCAGCGAAAGCTGCCATCGATGTCCATCCGCTCCTCAACATCGTCTACATCGATGAGTCTCTCGAGATTCCAGAAGCAAGACTCCCAGCATATCAAGAACGAGTCTCAGCTCTCAAGGAAAAGGGTCAAAATCGAGAATCTTACATTCAAAAAAAAATGAGTAGAAAAAACCCTTCCAAAAGTCAAGAGCGGACTTTCTGTTCCGAGAAGATCGACTCCCCAAGGAGGAACTTCGCGATTGGAAGAGGACTCGACGAAGCGAATACGTCAAAGATGGAGTCCCCAAAGACATCGCAGCCACGCTGGCAAGACGCGACTCAAGAACCATCGGCTGGACTTCTCGTCGAGACGGAACAACACAGACTCACCCGGTCGAAGCTCAACGAGCCAAATGCCAGGAAACTCAAACCTATCAAGGAACGGGCTGAAAAGAATCTCGAATTGAGTCCTTAGTAATTTTAGATATTCAAAACTAAAAACTCTCAAAAAAAAAGAACGCCATAAAACTAAACCACGCAAGCTAGCGTGGGAAAATCTCTGAGCCAAGAAAACTGACTCACACTAACTAATTCAAAAGATAGAATCAGTCCTGATCTCAAAAATCCAGGATAAATAAGGGCTAAAAGAAAACCTTAATTTTAGACACCTTTTCAGTCTCAATTCAGAATCAACAGATTCCTCGATGCAGACAGAGACTCAAACCTCAACCAACTCGACTCAAACTCAACTGCCACTGCCATCAGACGACTCGAACAACAACGAGCGAGCAAGCATTGACTCCGGCCCAGACTTCTTTGAAGACTCATACAACGCACGCTCAGGAAAGAGTCTTAGAGAAATCTAAAAAAAAAAGGAATCTAATTAGTAACGGGACAAATCGAGACTCCACTAAAAGACCCATCCCAGCTGATGCCTTCGGCGAGCCACGGCCATCCAGCGGACTCCCCTGAAGACGGCTTTTCCTCAGACGAAGAAGTCCTGGAAGACTCAGAAGACGAAGGAGCCGAAGCCACCGCGGGATTCCCAGAGCCACAAAGCCAGGACAACCAGCAAGACTGGAGCCGAAGAACGGATACACTCTTCGAGTCAGCGGAGGAAGAAAAAGCAGCGGAAGAAAGACGACTCAGAATCGCCGCACGATGGAAAGAGCCGCTGGAAAACATAGAAGAAGAATCCGAATCAAACGCGTCGGCCAGAATGCACCAAAAAGAAGAGGCGGAAGAACAAAGGCGACTCCAAAAAGAAGAAGTCGACAGGCTCAAGAAGCTCAAGGAAGATCAGGAAGACAGAGAAAGAGTCAAAGAAGCCATCAGAGCCCGCATGAGACGCCAAGTGGAGGAGAACACGAGAATCCGCCGTGAATACTTCGAGGAAATCCAGCGGAAAAAGGAAGAACAAGAAGCTCAAGAAAGACGCCTGGCTCGAGACAGAGAAGCGGAAGAAAAGCGCCAAGCAGCCATCAAAGCGGAAGAAGATAAGGTGCTCACGAAGCCACAGGTGGGAATCTTGCTCGTCGCGGAAACCGGCAGAAGAGGAAACCATTACTACCTGTCGAAGAAAGAATCAAAGCTGATGAGCAGAATCTCAGGAATGGTTACACAGAAATCTAACTAATTAAAATCACAAACATAAGTAAAAAAAGAAATCACTGTGTAACCAAAAACGAGTCCGAGCGATGCTTGACAACCGCCGAATCGAAAACTTCGAAGAAATCAGACAAGCCTGGTTCAGCAGCGAGGGACTCCTCAAATACAAAGACTCCCAGAGCCCCGGCCATCGCCAGTTCAAGTACAACACCAGAGCCGGCTGGACCATCAAAGAAGGAACCGAAAACTGGAGATTGGACCCAGTTGCTGCACTCACCGCCGAGGAACGACGAATCGTCCATTACCTGGTGGAGTTCCTCAACTACCAGGGAATCAAGCGAAGATTCAAGGAAGCACTGGGTAAGTCAACTCCCGTTAAAAAAAAAAGAGAATCTAACTTATGATTTAGACCACGGACTCCTCGACCCCGCCAAGATGGACGCGATCCTCGTCTTCGCCTACAAAGTCTGCGGTGGTAACCTGGTCCACTACATCCGTTTCGTCTTCGTCCGCCTCTACAGACTCAACGACATCCCCATCCCTCCAGTCCACCTAGACGCCACACCAAAGCCACGACGCTTCCACTAGAAGAAGCCAAATCCAGACTCTTAGACTCAAACTGCCTTTTTATGCCTCAAATCACTGAAACAGAATCTTACCCTTTCTTCATTTTTCCAAATTTACAGAAAAGCTGTTCATAATAAATAATTTCGATCTCATCAGAAGATCCTCGCCTCTTCCTTTAGAAAGCATTAAAAAAAAGAATAAGAAACTCTTAAAAACCAAAGCTGGAAAAGAAAATCAAAAACCAAGAAACACCAAAAATAGAATCAAAGTTCAGAATGGAGAGTCAAAGTTCAGATTCGGATTTGGAAGGCTTTAAACTCCCGTCAGAATCAGGCTCGGGCCCGTAAGAAAATAAAAGAGTCACTCAAAATAAATAAACTTCTCAAAACATAAAAAAAAAAGACTCTAAATAGAAGCCCCAAAAAACAGAGGATTCCGATGCAGAAGCCCCCACAACAGATCACCCAAAAAGCCCAATAGCGGCTAAACAAGCCACGCCGGAAACTCCCCCTCAAACGCGAAACTCTAGCGTGAATCTGGAGAGGCTCAAAGGCCTTGTTTGGGACATCCAAAATAGCCTTAATACGAATGCGTCAATCCCGCCAAAAAGAATCTTATGCTATGGAGAAACGCTAGAAGATCGAATTAAAAACCTAGCAGCGGAAGCCGCGAGAATCATCTCCGAATCTCAAGAATCCTCGAAAATCATGAAAGCGATCCTTCAAGAGGCTGAGCATGAAGGCCTCCAGGGAATCCAACTAATAGATGCCTTCCAAACAATCGCCACAATCGCACATAGCCCATCCATCGGAATCAACCGTAGACTCGCATCCACAAATAAGGTGGAGCTCGAAATGATTCAAGGCAAACTAGAACACTCGGTTAGACCAGTAGTCGAGAGACTCATGAAACAGGTGCACGAATCAAACGTCTATAACTCAGCGGAAATAGTTTTTTGGGCAAAAATGATGGAACCATTGGAAAGAGACTCTGTCTCAAAAGCTGACCTTCTGAAGCTGGAAGAAGCAGTTTCCTGGATATTGGGCAGACTCTGGAATGACTCAGCAGAAGCCATCTTCAGAATGATTCTGGCGCGCTGCAAACCTCCAGAAAACCTCAATTCACGTGCCTCTCCGCGAATGACGCTCATCGCCCACATTTGGAACATTAGGTTCAAAAATATACTAATCCTGAGCCCGGAAAAGCGTCGGGCATCCTTCGCGAACGAGAGGCAACTCTGCTCCTCCATCACCAACGCGATATTCGGGGAGATTCTTTTTCAACTTACTAACACCAGATGCATCTTTCCGAGACTCTTATCAAGTGCAGCAAGATCAGCCTGGACTCACCTAAACACAATCTTCGGAGTCTCAAATCCAATTAGCATGACGCTCAGAGAGTTTTTAACAAACATCGACGCAAATCAAGATTTCACCGCCTGGGATGCTATCAGGACGCTTCGGGCAATCTGGCCACCAAGAGATCGCATCGCAGCCGCAGAATACAGAGTCCTTAATCTCAACGACATCGACAACCGACTTGAAAGAGGACTCGAAGACCCATCCTCGCTTCTCGGCACCACATACGAGAAACTCTTCTGGAAGATTCCGATCCCAAGAAGCTATGAATCCGCCCGCGCAGCCGCAGGATTCAAAAGAAAGAGAACAAGCCAAGAAGCCGAAGAGCTGGAAGTCCATCGAGGTGGAAATGCGAGCACTAGCGGACAAGGGAGTCTTCAATAGACCAAAATTCCCAATCATAAACCCTGTCAACATTTATAACGAACCCATCACAGGCCCAAAATCACTACCCGAATGGAAAATCTATGAGACAGACCTTCTTCACAGAGTCATAAGAGTTCTAAACAACGAGGCCAAACCCGACTGGGAAACCCTTGCGCTGAGAAAAGAATCTGACTTCATCGCGGGCCAATGGACTCATAACAAAGATAACTGGAGAGTCCTCATCCATCAGATGCCTGAAAAAGTGAAGCCGCTGATCTACCATTTCGTCCATGGAGGAGCAGACCTGTTCTTGAATCTCAAAAGAATACCCCCCCAAGAAACCTGCCGAATTCAAGCGGAAGGAGTTAGTGACAATATGGAAGCGAAATTCGGCCAACTCAGACACTTTGAGAAAACTAGGCGGAAATTTCAAAACCTGGTACAACCACAGACTCAGACTCTCAAAATTCGTCCCCCGGCCATATGAGAAGATCGGCAAACGCTACAAATCCCTCACGATTCCGAGCCAAGAAGCTGTAAGAGAAAGAAGCGACGAAATTGTCCAACAAATCACCGACTGGTGCGAAATGGGCTCGGTAACAAGAGTCACAGATTCAAAAGGATGCTGGATCCGAGCGGGATTCGTTCTCGTCGACAAACCAGGAAGAGAAACCAGAGTCTGTTGGAACGGTGGAGTCCTCAAGCCTCTGCAGCTGTACACATTTCCATGCAAATTAGAAAGCGTCGGTGCTGCAATCCAAATGCTCAAAAAGGGAGACCTGCTGTACAAATTCGACGATAAAAAGGGTATCTAACTTAACAGCAAAAAAAAAAGAAACCTAACTTAAAATCTAGGATTCCACCAGCTGCCTCTCAGCGAAGAGAGCAAGAAACTCGCTTGCTTCGATTGGGGCGGCCAGTACTTCAGAAACAATATACTCGCATTCGGAATCCCAGCCGCGCCTGGAATCTACCAGCTGATGAATCTATGTGGAGTCAATTTTCTGAGGAAAAACGGAATCAAAATAACACTCTACCTCGATGATAGACTCCTAGCCGTCACTCCAGAATCTGAAGAAGATCGACGCCAGCTTCTAGCGGGAGAGAAAGTCGGCAAAGAAGTCTGGGCAACAGTAGCGACGCTGGTGGCACTCGGCGGCTATGTGAACATCACCAAAAGCACCTTCAAACCCACCCAAAGAATCGAATTCCTTGGATTCATTTTGGACACGGAAAGCGAAACAGTGGAGATTCCGATGCAAAGATGGGCAGCCCTCAAAAACCTTATGAAAGAAGCCGAAGCGAAAACTGAAGTTCCGTCCCAGATGCTCGAAAGAATCAGAGGCACAATGGCAAGTATGGCCGAAGTCCTTCCGAACATGAGAATGCTCATCCGCCAAACGACAATCCTCATCAGCCAAGCGCTCAGAGAAGAAAAAGAATCCTGCTTGCTGACAAAGGAAGTCCGCGAGGAATGGAGACTCTGGACTCTTCTGGAAGAAAAAGGACTCAAAAGACATTGGACAAAGCTGAACCGCCAAGAAACAGGACTCATAATCTTCACGGATGCTTCTTCACACGCAGGAGCCATCGTCATCGAGCAATGGAAGCTGGAGGAGAGATTTGCTTGGGAAGCAGAAATGGCTGATAAACACATAGGAATCAAAGAAGCCCTTGCGATTCAATTCACCCTCGAGTGGTACGGCCAAAAACTAAAGAACCAAAGGGCGCTGTTCCTCTGCGACAACGACAGTGTAGTCCAAGGAGCCATAGCGGGGAGCAAAGATCCCGAAATGAACACGATTCTAGTCAGAATCTGGACTCTCGCTCAGAGATTCAACATAGATATGAAAGTCGACTGGGTCAGCACAAAAAAGCAACTGGCTGACGCTCCCTCCAGGGATTTGGACTCCAGAGAACAAAAACTAACGGCAAATGGATTCGCTTATCTGCAATCTCACCTTTCGGACCCGCTCGACATTGACGTGGCAGCAACGGTAAGATTCGAAGAGAGTCGCCTTCCAAATCCAAAATTCCTTTTTTAGCCACTCAACAATAAATGCAGAGACTTCATCGCGCGCCGAGAGACAAAAGGAGCCTTTGGAAGAGACTTCCTAAGCTTCCCAATCCATGAACTAATCGGAAGAAAGCTGTACGCGTTCCCACCTCCGAAAATCGCCCACAAATACTACAATAGACTCACCGAAATAGCGACGCCATGGGCTTTAGTGGTGCCGTGTTTCGAAGCCGAGCCTTTAGTCGTGACTCAAGCTAAACTCAAAGGCTACAGAGTCTTTGACATCCCAGCGGATTCCATTTTAACACCAGCGAAGGTGAAAACCATCGAAGGCTACTGGAAAGTGGCGACCAACGTCTCAACAATCAAAATTATCGCAAATAGACTCTAATCAAGACTCTTTATACTGTTTTTCTCCTCTCTCTCTCAGATTCCCCATTCGGCCAAATCACACAAAGAAACAGAAATTTTGACTCTCAAATTCCATTTTAGACTCGGAATCACTGAAAAAATGACGGAGCAGTCCAAAGCCCTCTCCAAGCTTCTCTCGGATCACACGAAGCTCACGGAACAAGAAGCGAAGACGCGGGCGGTCAGAGTCCAGATCACCAAGGCAGCATTCTACGAGCACACAAAGACTCAAGCCCAGACGGAAGAAGCCGATCGACTGGTCGTCGAAATCGAAGATATCAGGAAAGATATGGCGACTCACGACAAACTCACCGATAGCCTTATCGTAAGTAAAACCCAAAAGAAAAAAAAAAAACTATTTCCTATCATAGAAGGAAATCGCGGAACTCGAAGCCAACCGCGACAAGAGTCTCGAGATCAAAATGCGCGAACCCAACGCCAAAAAACGCTCGGAGGAGGAGAATAAATTCTACGACCGTTGGAATCCGTCGGAAATAGAATCAAAACTCCGCCGCCTGATCGCGGACAAAATGGAGCGCTACAGCCTCAAAGGAGCCATGTTCGCTCAAATTAAGACGAGAGAGACAAAAATCACTGAACTCTCTCAAAATACGGCCGAATCCGCAGCTGTATTCAAGGAAAAAGACCCTCTTACAGGCGTCGAATCCTACTACATGGTAAGTTAAAAACACCAAGGAATCATCCTGGCCCTCCAACCTTTCTTAGACTCAAGTCGGCTCCACAAACTTGCCACAAGACGAAGGAGACTCTCTCCGCGACATGGGCAAGGAATTTCGGGCTTTCGTCACAGACGCCAAGACTCAACGGACCTTTAGACGGGAAAAACTCCTGAAGTTGCTCGGTAACTACAAAAGAGCCATGACTCCCGAGTACACCGAACGAGCCATCATCGAAAGCGTCGTCGACGAACTGATCCGGATGCCGGATATGACTCGGAAAGATGCACTGCTCTCTCTTACGGTACGCGTTTGACTCTAAAAAGGAAAACTCACGCACCAATTAAGCCTCTTATGCGCCCGAATGTGCGCCACCAATTCGACAGAGCCATGACGATGAACACGACTCACCCAACCTTCAAGAAAATGATCATCAACCCCTGCGACGGTTCAGAGGACTGGCGATCTGAGCGAGACTCTAAACCGGGCCGAGGACGTCGAGGAGGACACGGAAGCGGAAGCCAAAGCAAGAAGCAAAAGACGGACCACCAGAGCGAAAACGCGAATCCCACCCCGGAAGGCAGCGGAAGCTCCGGAGGTCGTGGCCGAGGCCGCGGGCGAGGCCGAGGCCGAGGCCGCGGGCGAGGCCGTGGCGGAGGAAACAATCAAGGAGGAGACGCCAAAAAATTCCAAGACCAAGGCGGAGTCGAATAAGAATCAAAAAAAAAAATAATCTAGAACCATCTTCGAAAATACTTCACTCCACGACGGGGATTAGCCCCTTATAGTGCGCGTTTCTTCATTTAGATTCTGTCTCAAAATACTAAAAAAAAAAAACCCCAGCCGCAATCCGGCCAAGAGCCCCTTTTTTAATAAAAAAAAAAAAACTAGGTTTTCCGAATCCAAACCCTAAAAAATCACCGTTTAGACTCATGACCTGGCTCGACTTTAAGAATCTTCTAGAGCACTGGGAGGTGGCAGAAGCAATGGCCACTTTCAACTACAATGAGGCGGAAATCGACGACGTGATCCAACACTTCCTCGACAGACTCCTCACAAGACCAACGCTCAAGGCTTATGCGTACGAAAAAGGAATCACAACGATTCAAGATGTAGTCGCATCCCAGATGAAGAAGACTCTCACAGCAAAACAAAAAAGGAAGATCAAGACCTGGTGCGAACACAGAGCCCGTGAATCAGCAGCAGAAACCCTCCAATACCCCAAGGTAAACTCGCCTTTCGCATCGTAGTTTCAAACCTTCTAGCAAGCGGAAGTTGTGGACGAACCAGAAGCAATCCGGCTGTGGGAGGAGCTCATGAGGACAAACAAGCCAAAGCCAAGAGAAGCAGCCATCGCCTTTTTCATCTGCTTCACCACGGGCGCTAGAATGAAGGAGGCACTCAACCTCAGAATCGAAGACCGCGAGATCGTCAAGGAAGAGGGGAAAGAGTTCTGGCGATTCCACATTCGAAGCAGCAAGACGGACCCATTTTGCAAGCGCATGGAGACTCTAACCATCCCCATGGAGATGAAACACGGCGTCCCGCTGGCGCTGGAACTCAGAGCGCAGTTAAGAGACCGAGATTCAGGTAAAAATGCTAGCGAAGCTTCTAAGAAATTATCTGACCATCTCCTTAAGGACTCGTCTTCAAGAATCTAGAAGGTCACACCAGAATCGCCTCGGACTACCTGGCCCGCTACGGAGCAAAAGCGGAACTCCCGAAAAAAGTACAAAGACTTTAGAATCCACACACTTAAAAGACTCCTGTTCAGGTCTCCGCGCATTCGGGCAGAGTCAGCTTCTACATCGAGGGACGCCGCTCAGGCCTTTCTCAGCAAACCCTCGCGCACACGCTCCGATGGGCTCCAGGAAGCTCAATGCCAGATTACTACGAAAGATGCTGGCTCGAATGCAGTAACTTGGGAGCGCCCGTCAGCGTCGCGAAATCAAGAGCCAGAAAGCGAAACGGAAGCGACAACGAGGATAACCATCTTCAGGTAAGAGTGGCAAAACAATTAGGGTTCAATCATAAAGGTTTCAGACACCACAAGAACCACAAGAAGCCAAGCAAGAGCAAAAGAAGCCGAAAACAACTGAGTCCTGAAAGAGCATAAAAGATTCCTGCATCACAAAGAAAAGATTCTCCCTTTTTCCTGCCAAAAAAATAAGAATCCCTTAGCAATCGATTGATGAGAATAACGAGAATGGTAGGGAGGGAATATTCCCATTACCATTGTTATTTATGCGTGATTACAATACGAATCTAGGACAAAGGGATTAGCAGCCCGCTAGAAATAGAACGCGGCAGGAGAGCCTAGTAACCAATGGCAGGGACTCCCAGGACGCAGCAAAAGGTGACAAAGGCGCCCGAGAGCACCTGGTTTCGAGCGGGTGCACCGGAATCACGCAGGTTCACTCTAAAGGTTCTTAGCCTGCAGCTAAAACCTAAATCGAGAAATTTAAAATAGAGGCTTTTTCTCAGCAGAAGCATTACCAATAAGACTCCTAGCTGAATCAAAAGACTCACCCGCCCACCATCCCTGAAATAAGCAGTAAAAGTAGGGTAAACGAGCACACGCCCTACATACTGCCCAGTCCTTATCCTTAGAAAGACATTTCTCTACCACAGTATTGTAATTGCGCGTGCTCGGGAATATTCCCATTACCATTGTTATTTATGCGTGATTACAATACAAGTGGAGTGTTGCGAGAACCAATTCTTTCACTGCATCGAAGACAGCATTAAGGGCTCCTTCCACTTTTGAAGGCCTTTCTTTCACAACTTGATTCTTTTTATACATTTGTAGTTCTTGTTTGTACTTTTCCACCTGCTCTTTCAATTCTTTATTCTCTGCGTCTTTTTCCGCCATAATTGAGTTAACATTTCTCAGTCGGCAATCGTTCGAGGAATTGTCTGCCGAATTGTCAACAGACTCACGCGGCGTGTAAAAAACGTAGCTTTCATTTGAACTTCCTGGCATTATTCTGGTGAAATATCTGATTTTATAAAAATCTCTCTCTGCCAAGCGGCGAAACCTCGACGACTGCTATGAACTTAATAGGGGCCCCTTTGCTACTCCATAAAACGCTGCCATTTTGAATTGTGACCCTTCATTTATGATGTTATTTCTGCTTACTATGCATCATTTTGAGTCGTAAAAAAGGGATAAATATCATTTTTCACTCGATTGCGCGGAGTGATAATTCAACGACGAGAATTTATTGTCACTGTTTGTAAAAAGATATTAAATATATTAAAATTGTATTCTATTACCATTTAATAAAAAAAGTATGGATTTTGTTGCTTTCGCAGACACTTTTAGAAACCATTTCTCATTTTACCATAACGGCGGATGTTTGACTCGAGTTTCAGTCATTTTAAGATCATTAGCGCTGCCAGACCAAAGCGAGAGTTCTAGCTCCCGCACGGCAATTTTCACGTCGTGTTTGGAAAATTCCATTTATGTAGCTGTTTTTGATCAAATTTGTTGCGAGGTATAATTTCACACACGCACCAAACCACGTTTTCATTTGAAGAGAAAATATTTAATTCAAACGATTGAAAATACTAAGGATCTGGTTTGAATAGTTGTTTGAAAGATTAACTTCTTGTATCTACTTGTTGAATTTTTGAGAAAGCGGTTGGATAAAATGAATGAAATGACGCGGAAAAGAACTAATTATCTTCCTTTTTTGCTTTCCCTAGAGAAATTTGCCGCTCTCCTGGCTTAACCTGAAGGTTTTTTGTATCTTGGTTTGTAGTCAATAATGATCTCTTTCTGCAAACTGTGTGGAATTGATCACATGAACCACATCTTCGATTCGAAGCGAGACGGTTAATTTTCCCAGGCGCTCTGCATCCCCACCACTGCATTTAAATAAGACAACTTTTCAGATCGAGAAATCCTACAGAAATGCGAGGCTTTTTTGTGCTTTTTAATTTGATTTATCTTGGCAACTGTTCGGCAATTTTCGACAGAGCTACGGTAATTAACTTGTAACCAAAAGGATCCCAAAAGATCATGATTACGTAGAGTGGTCATTTCGAACCGGCGCATCAGAAACGAAGAGCACTGACAGATCTGATCATGAATCCGTGGATGGAAGAGCATCTTCTTGAGACCAGTCATAATCACCAGTAAGACTTATGAAGGAAATTCGGAGCTTTTACCCGAGATAGTCTATTTTGACCGCTTTTCTTAGCCGCAAAATCGACAATCAAGGCCCAAAAACCTTAGTTTTATGAATAAAAATAGAACAAAATTCGTTACTGAGTTAAAAATTTAGCTCTTCTATTCGTCAACTGGAGGACTTTTTCAGCACGCTTTTCAGCTAAACAACTCTCCTGCAATAAGACAAAAACAACAAGCAGAAAAACCCCATTTTCAAGGAATTTTCTGAATAAAAATTTCACTCGCGGCTTGATTTATTCCAAATTCATTCGATTCTACTCTCGTGGTTTACAGTTAGAAGAAATACAGTCAGGAAAAGAGGAAGAGAGTGTGGCTAAACAATCACGGTATTTTAGCTACTCAGGGAAAAAAGATAGAGCAATTGATACTAGCAAAAAAGGCACGGAGGGTTGAAAGAACAAACAAAAATTATGGCAGTCAAGAGTCAAGTTTGTCAACTCTCATCACAAAAATCAAAGCCGGGGAAAAATTAACGGTCTGACGGGTTGTCTGATTTCGGAAAAAGGAACTAGTATGGACCCAGGATAGGCGCTCATTCCTCGTCGGAGGCTTCAACCTTCTTCTTTTTCTTCTTCTTCTTCTTCTTTTCGCCAGATTCCGCTTCCATCGACTCTTCCTCGGCGGGCTCCGTCTTTACATCTTCAGACTCGGATTTCTACAAAAAAATGACGTCAAAAATCTCTCATAAATGAACTAATTTCTAATTAGACCTTTTTTCGTCTTTTCTTACCGTTTTCTTCTTCTTCTTCTTTTTCTTCTTTTCGCCGTCATCAACATCCATTGACTCAACAGCCTCCCCGATGCTATCCACCTCTGACTTCACTTTCTACAACTCATTTTTACCCTCTGCGACGTCAACAGCTTCCTTACCTTAGCTGCTGGGGGCTCAAGATCGCCAACAATCTCCTTGTACTTGGCCAAAGCGGCGGCCATGGCGTCAATGTTGCCAGAAGCTCCTACAGCCTTGCCGAGTTTGCTTGTAACACCCTTAAATAATCTGTTAATTCATGGTCAAATTTGCAAGTCCTTACATCGACGTAGGAGTCTGGGGTCTTCTCGTTAGGCTTGCCGTACTCGTCGAGCATGCCAGACTTGATCATGGCTTTCTTGAGCGAAGCTCTTGGTCCGAGACCCCACTTCTTAGGGTAGACGTCGCGCTCCATGATAACTCGTTTGATCTTGGCAACGACGCTAGAAAGTGGCTTACAATGGGCCGAAAGAATAGAACTTACCCATGATCACAAGTGGCGATGACAGCAGTGGTCATCTGGGCAATGGCGATGCAGATGGCCTCACCCTTCGTGGTGACGCAGACGATTTCCTGGTCGATTTCAATTCCGTCTTCGTATCTGAGCACACCGGGAAGCATGATCTTCGCGCCATAGCAGACTGCGTTCACGGACGAATCCTAGACGAGGAGTTATCAGATGATAAAAGGAAAAACCCCTAACGTTACCTTGAGAATGATTCTTTTGTGCTTGACGAGGATGACTTCAAGTGGCATCACAATTTTCCTAAGGTAAGTCTCATCCCGCGTCGTTTCGTACACATGCTGAGCGTCGAGAATGTCGTGCATCGTGCAGCTCAATTCGTTTTCGTTCATGATTCCAGAACGAACTCGTCGGAGCTCTTGCATTTGTCCTCCACAGCCGAGGAGAAGACCTGAACGGAATGAAAACAGGAAGAGAATCAAGTTTCCTACCGAGATGGACACACATGGTTCGGATGTAAGTTCCAGCTTCGCAGGAAACCCAAAAGACACCGAGGCGTTTTTCGTTGTCGTATTCGATGAGCTTGGATTCGTAAATGGTTCGGATACGCAACTGACGCTTGACGGCAGAGATGAGTGGTGGTCGCTGGAACATGGCTCCAGTCAGGGTTTCGATCGCTTTGTAGATCTTCTGCTCATCCTTTTTCAGAAGATTAGACGAGTTGTTCATTGGAAGTCTTTACCTGGATATCCTCGTGGAGCTTGAAGATGCAGACGTACTCTTTACCAGCGCTCTGCTGCGACTTGACCAATCTGGTGGCTCTGCCGACGCAGACAATGAGGCAACCAGTGACCTTGGGATCGAGGGTGCCTGAGTGGCCAGTCTTCTCGACCTTGAGAATTCGCTTGATCCAAGCGACGACTTCGTGGGAGGAGGGATTCGACGGCTTATCGACGTTGAGCACACCGGTTTCGATGTAGTCCTTGATTTCTCGCTACAAAAAAGGGGTCAAAAAGAGCTTCAAGTGGAGATCTTTACCTTGAGAGGACTGCAACCCTGTGGGTAAGGCGTGAAGTGATTGGTCCTGACGTTGAGCTTGTCCCAGCCCTTCAAAAGAAGCGGCCAGTTGTCCGAGTTCTGCTTGACCTTCTCCTCGCTCGGCTGGAGGCTAAAATCGGCAGAGCGTTGGATCTCTCCGAGATTCGACATTTTCGACCGTCCGATGTTCTAGAAAAGAGTACTGAAAAACCTCTTTCCCGCGAAATCAGAAGTCAGGAAGGTTATTTTTTTCTTGAACGAAGAGGAATAACAAGGAAAGGTTTTGAAATAAGGGATAAGAAAGAGGATCTTTCGAAGTACAGAAATAGAAAGATGGAATAATGACGAGGGTCAGGTGGAAAAGCGGATCGTCAGCTTGATTGCTTCGCTCGAAGATCCAAAAGTATCTAAAAAAAAAGGTTGAAAAAAGGATAGGGCTGCTTCTTTCTTACCAATTTTTGACTTGAACTGGTCGGAATGATCCTCTTTGAGCCAGGAAACAACTGTTCTTTCGAGCTTTTTGATCTTGAAATTGTCGAATTCGAGATATCGCGGATCGCCGGCTAGTAACTTCACTACATTTAGCGGAGTATCGCCATTGATCAAAACATACGGGCGGGGGAGGGAATGAGACTTTCTATCGGAAGGTTTGAATCTAAAAGTTTGTCATGAATTCGGGACGAAAGAAGTGTTGGTATTACCTGATTAAGAATTTGGGAATCTTCTCGACTTCCATGAAGCTGTCTTTTTCTTCTTGAACCCTTCTCGCTAAATTAGGGATCAGTTCGCAAAGAATTTGGTCCAAAACTTCGTCGTAGACGAGGCATTTCTCAGGCTCAGTCGGGTGCGTTTCTACACCACATTCTGGACAATCCAGCTCGTCTTGAAAATGACGCAAAATGCACTAAAATTCACGAATCATCAATTTTCCTAGGAAATCCTCTTACCGTTCTGCAAAAAGTATGTGAACACTCTGGAATAACATTCGGCTCGACCAGATATCCCTCGCAAAGTCCACAAGCAATTACAGTATTCAAATCTCTCAGTAAAATCTTCTCATACGCCAATCGCGAAACCAATTCTACCATTTTTCCACGATGCTTTTTTTCTCAATAACTTTTCATGATAGTAAAAACGAAATTCTCTTTCTTCCGAAGCGAGGAGAGAAAAACTACGAGATTCTCATTGGCCGAGCGCTCTGACTCACTAATTCATATGACGACATGGGAAGAAAACCTAGCCAGGATTTTTCAACCTGCTTTTAAAATAATGCTCATTTGCGACGATTTGGCTGAAGAAGTTTTCATTTTTATCATTTTATTTGTGAGCTCGACGATAGAGGATCGGAGCAATTTGTGCAGTATTTGAAATTTCTATTTTGAGCTGGCAGTTTCTGCATGTAGTTCAGAAGAGTTTAATAACATCGTCATCAGTGAACCGTTTGTTGCATTTTGGACACTCTTTCTTTGGGAGCTTGGTGATACAGTCGAAGCAGAACTTGTGCTTGCAGGTGATGATGACTCCTTCCGGGTGATCCTCGTCGTAGAGTGCGAAGCAGATTCCGCATTGATGCATCTCATTCTCTTCCTCTTTCTTCTTCTTTGCTGGAGGTTCAGCATCAGTCTCACTCTCGGACCCGTCATCTGACGAAGAATCTGAAAATCTTTTCAATTATTCTCTGAAGAAAGTTTACCTAAATCACTGTTGTCCTCCTTGACTGCTAGTTTCGCCACGAGAGAAAGTCGTTTTTGGACTTCTTTGCGAAAGAGTCTTTTACACTCGAATTCTTTTTTTGCTGAATGCTCTTCTTGTCTTGCTTCCTCGAGAATTCTTGTCACTGTGTTGAGCCGCGCGAAGGGATCTTTTATTTTCTAGCTTCAGTGCTCAAATAGGAAGAAATACCTTCAATAAAAATCTTCTTCGAAGCTTCTTTACAGCAGTAGCCGATGATTTGCTCTCGAAAAGAGTTGTACTTATAGCCGCAAGAATACGCTGGACACTGGAAATCAGCATCCGAGTCGATGAATTCTACTTCTGTTACTTGAGGAAATTTTTCAGCCTTGCACTCTTCGCAAACACGAATGTCATTGATTCGGGCAGTCGAAGGAGGAAAGCTAGGAGAAGATTGATTTTTGAGAGATCAGAAACTTTTACCGTTTGCATGAGTCGCACAAACCATATAAACCAGCATCAGTAACTTCTCCCGAGTGGAGATGAATGAACTTTCTCGGCTTTGTCATCGTTCTCCCGTTTGAAAAATACGACTTCAAAAATTCTTCAAGCAAGATTTTTGACGTTCCTCTACGTAATCCCTATTGACCACTCAGGAGCCACTTCGGCAAGCTTTCTTCATGAGTCATGAGTCAGCGGACTATTCGTTCAACATGTCTTTATTCATCCCAAGTTGGGATTCCCAACGGCTTGGAATTCTAACCCTTCTTTGCTGATCTCTCGTCTTGCAAAGTGCTTTTGTGAGCAAAAAATAATGTGGGAACCGACTAAATTTATTGAAGACATCGGCGGAAGAGTCAAAAGTGGGAACGCCTAAGAAAGGATTAGCAACTCTGATAGTGGCGAAATATAAGCGGCGGTTGAAAATTGAAATCGAAAAGTTCTTAGCATCAGTTACAGAAAAAGAGAGCGAAATTTATAGACGAAGGACGATGGAGAAGAAAGGTAAAGAGTTGGGAGGATCTGTTTTGAAGTCTGGCCCTCAGACTTCTGGGAACAGAGATCGCACAGTCTGTAAACGTCATTTGATTTAATCTCTAGGCGCTCAAGCGTATTTTATTCATATAAAAGTATCAGGGAGAGTTGGAAGATAATTTCATTCCGAGGATAAAAGAATGAAAGGTTTTCATGCTGAATTTCAAGAGTAAAAGAAGATTGAAACAATGAACCAACAGAGCAACTTGACAAACCGTTTCGATAATTTGATAACTTGATTATAAAATAATATTTTAGAAAACCGAGATTCTCAGAAAGAGATCAAGATCGTGAAAGAGACCAACTACTCTTATCAAGTGAACCCAGTTGAGAAGATGATAACACAAGTAAGACATTTCAACTGATATTGCAGAAATAATTTGCGCTTTTAGAGAAAAGTAAAAAGCAGAAAAGGCGAGGGAAGAATTCAATTAGCCAAGCGGGTCAATCGGAAAACCAACAATGTCGAAATGAAATTCGAAGTTAGTGACAAACGAAAGAAACAGGTAAGAAGAAAATGGAATAAAAGCTCTCTCAAAAGCACTTAAAGATGCGGTAGGGACTTCAAGCTACAACGAAATCAACGAAGACTGCCAAGGGCTGAAAATACCCCTTTTCGAAATTCGATTATCTCATCCTGCCAAATTGCTCAAAGATAAAAATAAACTGAAACACTTTTATAATAAAACATGAACTATGAAAAGAAAACCGCTTTGTTCTCATAATTCTGAGCTTTTAAAAAGATGATTGTTTGGAGTCCAAACTTTGGACAACATGTTTTTCTACGTAATCTCCATCATCATCAACGGCTTCATTTTCATTATCCAATTTTGACTCCAAGGAAACTGTTTCGATGTCATCGACAAGACAACTTTAACGAACACTTTCAAGCTGCCAGCGTTGATCATCCCTTTCAACCTGGTTTTGATTGGGATAACATCAGTCATATTCTTGTAGACTTCAAGTTGAAGCACTTGAATTCGATTCTGAACACGGTAGCTTTAGTCAGGGAACTCTTCAGTGGAACTAAAGGAAGTGGCGCTGGTGCGTCATGTCTGGGTTGTGGCGCGGCCAATGAGCGCTCGGCTGTGTTACGCATTTGTATTCAGACTTGGCCGCCCTCTGGTGAAGTCGCCCATTATTTCGTGAAAGTTATGACTAAAAGGGTCAACCGAGCGTTCTCCCCATCACCCTAATTATCGCCTGGTTTCAAATAAAACAATGAAAACGCGAGTTTTGGAAAGCGCTTGGATTCGGCCTGGGCGTTGGCTGTTCAGTGCAACTCGAGAAGAAATAGATTTTTTGAGAATGTTTGCCCGTCACGGGATTGGTCCGTTCAAAGCGAAAGCTTTTAGTGTTTTTGTTGAAACTGGACGCCACTGATGATAGCCACAAGGCACAAGCTACAAACCAAGCATCAGAGTCTGGAAAAGAGTCAATTACCATTTTGAGACAAAGAGGCTGGAATTGATGAAGATGCAGAACTGATGATTGATGACTGAAAATTGAAGATAATGGACGGCGCTAGAATTTGAAGAAAATGACCCAGCGAAGATCTTATGTTACTCAGAGGATGGATTTGGATGATCCAGCGAATAGGAGTTTTTGGACGAGAAATAGAACGGAATGCTTGCTCAGATTGTTGACAGAACAGGCTCAATTGACTGGAGATGTAAGTGCCATACAGTACTTTTTGAGTGACAAGAGCTTTGATTGGCTTTTATGAAAAGATGACTGATGACAATTTTTGAGATTTTTTGAAGAAAATTCCGTAATTTATAATTTTGCTATTTATAATTCAACGACTCCCTTAATAAGGGTGTCACTATGATAACCCTACATAACAGTTAGAAATTGAAAATCTTCGTGTATTCGTTTCTATTGAATTCTATTGAATTCATAAATTCAGATCGACCACGAATCCGTCGCCCAAAAAATGACATCTCTCCTGTCTCTCCCAATTCCAATGAAAAAGCAAAACATCTCCGACCGTCTTGAAGCCATGTTCCACAAGTACCAGTGCGAGCAACTGCGCGTCGCGACAACTGGCTTCAAACCGAACTGGATCTGGAACGAGCAACTTCAACACATCATCGAACTTCTTCAGGAACGAGAAGACGCGAAAGAAATCAAAGGAATGCCAGGATTGTCGCAGAGGGAGATGAGGCCTCGAAATCAGAATCCAGCTTCTTCTTCTTCGGTTATTGTAATCAACGATGATTCTCCTGATCCGCCAAAACAAGAGATTCCTGTTCCAGTCGCTAAACCTCTCTTCCCAGGTATTTTTGACAGTCTAATTGAAAATTACTAAAGTTCATTTTTGAACCCTTTTTATTCCTTTCATCCCCTTAGGGCATCCCTTTTTTCTCTCTTTCATTTGAAAAGCTTTGATTCGGCTATTATAAAAAAGCGGGTGGTTTTTTAAAAGAATTCAAAGCCCTCAAGCAAAGTGTAAATCAATGAAAATCAAAACTTGTCAAATCGCAACAGCGCGTTTGAATAATTTTTAGCCAAGATCGTTTTCGCCAAGATCGTTGATAATCAACTCGTTTTTTTTCAGTGGGAGAAAGTTCAACGGCCAGCTCTTCGAAGCTCCCATCAATCGCAAATTCAGCTTCTGTCGCGAAAAAATCGCGGAGTGAGCCAGAGATACGACCCAAAGAAACGCTAAAAATTGGGATAAAGGGAACGCCACAGATTCTTCCTCATCCTTCGCTGATCAAAAATTCCTCGAGTAGCGGGGTTCAAAACATGGTTATTGCAGTCAAACAAGGATCGGAGCCGATTTTTCTCCTGGGTGATGGAAAAACTGTTAAAGGTACAGTGTGGTCATAACTTCTGTATAAAGAGAGGGTGGGTAGAAGAAGCTGTAGTTTCTATAAAAATTTCTTTGTTTAGTTTCTCCATCTGTCTCAATTTCCACCGATCTAAACATTCCATCAATATCCGTCGCCTCACAAAACGCAAACCGCGCCTCTGGTAAGATTTCATGTCTTCTGTTCTATGTCTCGTCACCCGTAGTTTATAGTCATCGTGAGCACTTCGCCAAAACCTCCAAAACCAATTATAGTCAGCGACAGTTCGCACGGAAAGATCACTATAGCGCCTAAGAAACCTGTTTCTTCTCTTCCCGCGCAGCAGGAAGATTCGAGTTCTGATGGAAGATCGAAGAGGACGATTAGACCGCCGCAGAGTCATTTGAATCTGCTTATCGGCGAAGAAAGTGAGTACAGAATCAACTGTAGAATTTTCATTAATGACTCATTCTAGCGCGAACGAGAATGCCGGATGCTCATGTCCACTTCATGCTCAAAATGTACAAACAGTACTTGAACGACCGAATGCTCACGTCTGGCCGACTCAGCAAGGTAGACTCCTTTTCTTTCAACCCGATTCCAAGCAAGCTATTTTCAGGGAACTTTCAACGAAATAGCCAACGATTTGAACAAAGAATTCGGAGTTTCATATTACGAGCGGGAGCAGGTAGGATTGTTTGTGAAATGATGAAGAAAGAGTTCCTTTTTTAGGTTGCGTCAAAGTTGCAAAATCTAAAAACTCAGTACCGCCAGAGAAGAGTAGGTGTCGCAGAAGGAAATATTGAAGAGCTCTCTTGGAAGGTACTTTTTTTCTGAAATCAAGGAAGAGAAAGACCGATTGTTTAGTGGTACAAAGAAATGCAAGACATTCTCTCCATCGAATCGAACGCGCGAAAAGACTCCAAGGACGGCGTAAGAAGAGTAGCAGCGATCGCAGCAATGGCGAACTCATCCGCGCCAGTGAGCAACTCCGACGAAAGTAGCCACGATTCCAGCTCGTTGAAAGTCGAAGCATTTTCCGAAACAGGAACTTCCGAAACGCCGCCAACGAAAAAACGCCGTGGACGGCCGAGAGGATCACTCAACGGCGGGAGCAAATACAACCGAGACCCGACTTTCTTTCCCGGAATAAAGCGAGAAAGAGAAGGGAGCGAAGAAGTTTCTTACACGCAGAAGATCCAGCCAAAGCCGGAAAAAGTGCTCATCGATCCGGAAGTGCTCAAAGACGCGGTTATAGATTTGGCTGAAAAGCGAAGAGAAAGGTGAGTTCTCAAATGAAAAAGCCTCCTTATCCTTTATATTGCGCATCGAATATTTACATTGACAGTGAGTAACTCAAAACCTAGCTCGCGCAATACCCCCGAAACGCCGCGAAAAGAGGATGAAGAAGCGAAAGAAGCGCGAAAGAAAGAGCGATTAAAAGAAGTAAAGGACGAACTCATGATGCTTCGATCAATGGCTTTCCATCTCTTTAAATCTTCGACAGAACTGTTGCGTACGATCGACGATTAACTTAACTCTACTTACCAAATTGTTGGACATTACTTTATTCTTCAATTTCTGTGGTTGAAAATGATTTCAATACTTAATTTCCAAGTCGGTTGAAACTGAAGCTCCATTGTCTCCGAAAAAACAAGCCCCAATTCCAATCTTTAAAAATGTCAAACTGCCAATTATACATTTAGTTTTTGTTTTTACCGTTTAACTTTTCTTACTGAAGCTTTCCTCTATTTGTTTTTACTTTGCAAGGCGCCTACTTCTCCTTTTTATTTATGAATATGTAATAATATCGTTAATGACTTGAAATTTCCGAAAAGCAAAATCTCTTTCATGCTATGAAAGAGAGAGCCCTCAAATATTATTAAAAATTGAACAAATCCCTGAAGTGTTATTTCATTCCAATTTGCGTAGCTGAAATCAGAGAAGGAGAGGGTATTTGAGTTTGACAGAGAGCATCTCTAGAAGCATCTTTATTTACAGTTTACTGTAGTTAGAAAAAGGCTAAAGGTAGTTGCTGTTATTGAAATAATGAGCCGCGTTCCACTTTCTAGTTATTCCTCCAGGTTTGCAAATCTTTCGATGAAAAAATTGACCAGAAAAGATTTTCGTAGTGATTCAATGCTCACTTTTAATCTTTGTACAGTTGCGTCAGCCAGTCGCCAAAAATTATATTGCCTCTCTGGGCTCTTAATCTGAGGGCCCGCAATTTCATTTTTTACGAGAGCAGGATACGCAAGAAAACAAGCTTGAATTAAAAAATAGCCCTTACGCATTTCGGAAAAGAAAGGTTTTAACAGCGCTTGTTTTTTAGACGGATGGCCGATGAGGAGCAGTTCGATGGCCTCGACGAGCTCCCATCGTCGCCGAGCCCGGACACTATCAAAGGTAAGAAGAAACAGTGACTGTTTCTGTCAGGCAAAAACGTTTTTTCTCAAAGTAAATAAAAACGAATTACGACAGATTCCAACTTCGTCATTGTTTTGACACATTTTCATCACAGATTTGAAATTTAACTTCAGTGGGATCCACAACGATGAGCCTCCCAACAAAGCTGAAAGGCAAGAAAATCAAGAAAAAGGGCCATCGAAGAGAAAACAATATCACCGGAGAAGTCACCTTTAAAAAATCATCTTCTGAAGGTAGATTTTCGCGTGTCTTTTTATGGTCTAATTTTTGAGTTCAGCAATTGCGGGAGCCCTGCAACTGGGAATCGCTCATTCAGTTGGGAAATTATCAGAAAGGCCAGAGAGAGATGTTCTTATGCAAGATTTTGAAGTCGTCGAACTTATCGACTTTCCGACGAAAGGGACGACGCTTACTCCGCCGCATGAATTTGGCGAATTCACATTTCAGGTAAAAACGGCTATTTGAATGAATAAATCTCTTAATTTCGATTTTAGAGCTACGCTCCCTTGGCGATGCGATACTTCCGGGATATTTTTGACATTTCCGTCGAGGGCTACATCCATTCAATAATTCATGAGCCTCTGAGTAAGACCCTACTTTTTAACCTCTATTCAATCCGATTTCAGCTGCCATTGGAAATCCAGGAGCTTCAGGATCGTTGTTTTGGATCACTCACGACGACGAATTCATCATCAAAACTGTGGACAACAAAGAAGCCGAGTTTCTGATGAATCTACTGCCAGGTTACTTTATGAATGTTCAGCAGAATCCCAGAACCCTCCTTCCCAAATTCTATGGTAAGCCCTTTCGTCCCTAATCTGTGTACAGAGTCTCCTCTCTAGGACTCTACTGCGTGAAAAAAGAAAGAAAACACATCCGCGTCGTGGTGATGAACAATCTGCTCCCACGCGACGTGGAAATGCACTACAAGTTCGACTTGAAAGGCTCCCGTTACAAGAGAAAAGCGAACAGCAAGGAGCAGCAAAAGAAGTCGCCGACGTGGAAGGATTTGGATTTTGAACGCATCTTCGATTCAAAACGAATTTCTCTCGTCAAAGAAAGCTACAACGCAATGATTGAAACGATAAAACGAGACTGTCTTGTTTTAAACTCTTTTAGCATAATGGATTACAGGTTCGTTTTTTCTTGAAATTCATCTCTACTGTGTGTGTGTGTAGTTTTCTGATGGGCGTCCACAAGTGCTCAGTCGGGGAGATTGCTAGTATGGAGTCGATGAGCTTGAGCGCGAGTAATTCCAGAGGCAACTCAGGGACGGGCTCTCTGGTCAAAAGAAAACGAAACAAGAAATCGTTTCACAAAGTAAGTCTATCCCCTTCAAATCATAACTTTATCCGCACAGTTTTTTTGACGAATACAAATGCTCAAAAAAGGCCTCCAGCCAATCAGAACCCTGGTTTTATTAAATTTATGCATTTCAAACTTCGGCGTGCCTTGGTGTTGAAATCAGGGTTTCTTATTGGTCGAGGGGCCCATTTGAGCATTTTTATTGGCTCATCCTCATTTTCGTTCTAGCGCTCTGCCTTATACTCGTCGCCAATGGAGCAGGTCTTCACTGGCTCGCAAGTGAATCTTCAACTCTCTCAGCACAAAGTCGACCAGAACTGGGGCGGCATTCCTGCACTACTTCCCGACGGCACACAAGTTCTTATTTATTGTGGAATTATCGACATCCTCCAGTGCTACAAAATTCTCAAGAAAACGGAACATTTCTTCAAAAGTCTTTACACAAATGGCGACGAGATTTCAGGTCTCCTCTTCATTCAAAAATCAATTTAAAAACGCCAATTTTAGTCGTGCGGCCTGGCTTCTACGCCGAGCGATTCCAAGATTTCCTGAAAAACAAAGTCTTCATTCCCCAGTCCAAATCATCGTTACCTAATCCGCGCCAAATTCTTGAGCAGGGGCTCGAAGAAGAACTTGAAGATAAGCCGTAAGTCCTCCCTCCCTAGTGAACACTATGAACTTGTATTTCAGACAGAATAGAGTTTTTACTCTTCATCTTTGAATTCTTGAATCACTAACTTGGAGGTTGTATACTTTAGAAAAACTAGCACTAGAATCATTGGTAGTAACTGTTGTTCAAAATCAATGTAGCAAGACAATCATCTGATTGAGGATTTCCTTATCAAGAAAAAAGAACCCCTCTTTTTCTCCATCAAATAACCACTTCGATTCAGGTCAAAAGAAGAAAAAACAGATGTCGACCATAATAAGGTAAAAACCATCAAAATCTCTTCCAGAACAGTTTACAGATCTTCCTTTTCTTTCTCTTCCTTCACTTCTTTCCTCTCTCGGAAATAACTCTCTTTCCTTTTCTTCTTTTCTTTCCATCTCTTTTCAAACTCTAACAGACCTTCTCCTTCAGAATGGAACCTATTTCTGATGCCGCGAAAACAAACCCTCCCCGTCAACCAACTTTAACTCTTTTCTCAAAAGTTCAGCTTTAAAAAAAATGTTCGTCGTTGGATAGACTATCGAGCTCGTACTCATCTCAACTTTTCCAGTCCTCAATTTTTCACAGTTACAACTTTCCGTTTCTATTCTTTTATACAGCCGTTGCAGCATTTAATCCTGTCATGTCTCTCTCATGTTCACGTGAATTGGTGATTTCTCCATCTTTTTATCATTTCAAAAAAAATTATTTTCCAAAAGAAAATATGCTAGAATCGTTACTAAATGTCCAATAATTAAGGCCCTCATTTCATCATTATTTCATTACTCTCCATTTTCTGTAAAACGAGCGGCAGTGACTTATAAAGTTCTTCATTTCTAGCCTCTTTCGATTAAAAACTAAATAATAAACTAAACTAAAACTTGCGCTAGAAGCAAAATATACAGTATCTATCAGTCTGTTTTTGTCTTTCTATCTTTAACTCTTTTTGTTCATTCTTTTTTTTTTGTACATTCAAAAAAATTCAATATTCATTCAAGAAACACAAGTGCACTCTTCCTTGATTTCAATATCGTATTTTATTTTTATAAATGAATAATAAGGGAATGTGTGTATAAGGGAAAGCAGAAAGGGTAGAAAAGAGATTAAACTTTTAATTGAGCGATTTTATCTGTTATTGATTCTTCATCATACTTTCTAAAAAAAAGAGTACAGTAATTTACAGAAGGCGTGGCAGTGATAAAGGCGATAAGATAGATAAAGGCTTGGATAAATGAAATAATTGAAGGATATAAATGAGACTTTGAATTTGAAAAGTTACTTGAAAAACTCGTGCTGGAGCGCTTTTTCCGCGGAGAATCTCTTTAGCGGATTTGCTTCCAGCAGATTGCTAAGAAGGTCGACGGCTTTTTCATAGTCAACATTGTCGGTATCGTCAGGGAGCTGTTTGTCGAAAGTGGCCTCGCCGTTTTCGTCCTTTTTCATCTCCCAAGAATTGATTCTAAATTTGAGAAGGTTAGGGTTTACCGCTAGAAAAGAGCCTTTACCTGAGTGCTTTTACAATATCTTTTAACTGGGACTTTACTGGTAGTCGTTGAAAGTTAAACACTCCCTTTTTCTTCAGCGCTTTGCAAGCTTTCTTCAAATTTTCACTGCCGACGACAGCTCCAATTTGAATGAGCGCATCGAGATCATCCGCTCGCGGAAAAAAGGGATAGCGACGCGCAAGAGTAGAAAGCAAGCAAACCCCCGCTGCCCAGACGTCGATCATTCCATCTTGTCGATGCGATTTGATGAGAATCTCGGGTGCTCGGAAACCAGGACTGCCAGATCTGCTCACTCGTTGGGTCGGTTTCCCGATGCAAAAGTTGCAAATACTATCCTTTTGATTTAAACAGTCGTGTTCGTAGCATTTGTCATCAAAATTCATCTTCGTTTCACTGAGGACTTCTTTCTTGTTGACAAATTCAGAAAGGCCAAAATCAGCTAGTTGGCCTCTAAGAGTCGATTGCTGGAAAAGATAGTTAGCCGGCTTGACATCTCGGTGGACGATTCCAAGGCGATTGAGGTGAGCTAGCGCGTCTAAGAGGCCGTAGATGTAGCACTTTATCTCGAACAGAGTCAGCTAAAGACGTGACATGTAAAGAGATTCGCTATTAGTTACAGTACCTTGTCGAAATAATGCGAAAAGTCGGTATGCTCAAAATACGGCATCACCAGCGCAGAAGTTCCTTGAAAAAAAAACTGCTCCAAAACGCTAGAAAATCTACAAGTTCCCCCACCTGTTTTTGGATCTCCCATGTCATAGAGCAATGGCATCACGCTATGCTTCCCATCAGCTTTGTACATGATGCCCGTTTCAGTTTCGATTCGTTTTGGGTTGACAATTGGGAGCATCACTTTTACCGCCAAGAGGTTTTCCGGGGATTTGCTTTTTTCCTTGAATTTACAGAGATAGACGGTAGCGAAGGTTCCACTGCCGATTGTTCCAATAAAGTCCATCATTTCCGCCAGCTCTTTTGAATAAATTTAATTGAAAAAAAATTATTGAAAACTAACCTGGAATTCGCTTTTCAATAGCAGGCAGATCGACTGACTTCAAGGTCGCTGTTACAGTCATTTTCCGTTCTTGTAAAAACCAGAAATCTCTTCTGACTTTGAAAATTCTCGAAATCAAAGCGCGCGCGCTCAGAATTACAACCAATCAGCGGCGCGAGAAATTCCTTCTCGAAATCGATGCTTTGACCGACTTGTTTTCGAGATTATTTTTCACAAATTGAAAGAGAGACTCTGATTGATCAAAATCGTAACACCCCGTGATAAAATTTAAAACTAAATTTTACGAAAAAGAGACAATAGTAAAAATCACTAGAATGTCGAACTACGGAAAGCGCGCTAAAACTTCAAATGCGAAGCCTGCTGTTGTCAAATTTGCCGATCGTAACAGGTAAAAATTCTTCACGTTTCTTCCTTTTCTTAACAAAAAATCTTAGACTCGGGCAGCCAGTGGGAAAAGAGCTTGCCGAGGTGAGCTTCGTCGATTTATTCAACAAAGGAAATGGAGCGATTATGGCCAAGTTTGAAAAGTCCTTTGGAGAATACAAAATGCCCATGGGCGTTGAATGCATGGCGGTAAGAATCTTGAATTCTAGCGGTTTCGGAGACTATCTATTCAAGGACGAAGTGATCATCTGCAACATGAACAACGGAACAGTCGAGTTTACCGATTTCGATGGAACTGTAAGCTTGACTCTTCCCAAGGAAGCCCAAGGCGGACCCAAGACTTTTGACGCGCCAGCTCTTGCCACACTCCTTCTCGGTTCGCCTCAAACCCTTCCCCTTCCCTTATCAGTTGTTCAGACGGCCGAATCATCTGCGGCGACAAGCGGGGCATCCACGTCTACGATTCCGACGGCGTCTTCATCAAAACAGTCAAGCCTGCCACTCAAGGACAAGTTTACGGCGTCATCCCGCTGCGAGAAAACAACGGAACCATGCTCGTCATCTGCGTCGAGGACAACGGAGAGACTACGAAATTCGTTCTTTACGACAAGGACTTTAACAACGTACGACTTTCTCGTTTTTAGGCCTTTTTGATAGGTGTTCTTAGGTCATCAAGACTAACAAAGTCGACTTTCCAGAAGCAGGACGAAAAACGATCCGATTCTCTGCCGGGCTTGGAAATACGATTGCGCTTTCTGATATGAACAGATTCACACAAGGTAGCCATCTTTTCCGAATTGACAATCGACAACCCTCTTTACAGGCATCTGGCTGTGCGATACAGAAGGAAACATTCGCCGAAAAGTCGGCGATACTCAGGGAGAAAACGACGGGCAATTCGTCCAGGCTGCTGGCGTCTGCTTCGATAAAGACGGTATGATTCCCTTCACCATGTTTTTCTGACCTCTCTTTTCAGGAAACTTTCTGGCAATCTGCTCGAAAAGCTCAAGGATCATGGCTTTCCGAGATGATGGAGAGTACTTGTGCTCGATTCAGTTTCCCGAAGGCGCCATTCAGCGACCCTCTGCGTTGGCGATTAATGACAACAACGATATGTCCGTTGTTTCATTGACTGGCCAGTGCTTCATGTTCAAGCTTCAGCCTGGCGATTCCACCAAAGATTACCCAACCAGAGGACCCAGACCAGAGCGTAAGTCTGATTGGCAAGCTTTGACGACATTTTCCGACAAGCAGATCGTCGTAATCATTTCTTTCTTTAGGAGGCTATCACGTTCTCGGACGAAACAACAGAGGAGGCAGTCGAGGACGGGGACGCGGACGAGAACGCGGCGGTCGAGGAGCTGGCCGAGGCGGCGGAAGAGGACGTGGCGGCGATCGAGGAGGCTTCCGACCACGATACTAAAACTGCGTCTGCAGTTTTTAGTTGTTCACTGCCCCTATTAGTTCTCTCGATATTGCTCCCTCTTTCTCTGTGGAAGAATAATGCAATACATATTTTTACCAGACTACTGCCTCTTAGGGCGATTTTCTTCCTTCTTTATAGTAAAATACTGTAAAAATAAAAAAAATAAAGCGCTTATACAAAACGATCTTTTCAGAAGTGACTTGAAATTGGAAATATAGATGGCGAAATATGAATAATGAAAAAGCATGATCGACTTCAATAAATTGAAGTATAAATTATAGTCTATATGATATAGTTACTGACGAAAATAAGATGAAACGTAAAACTCTTCACGGTTTATTTCTGATTGAATTTTTCTACAATAAAATGTCTCAACTCGATCGTTAATCCAGCTAAACTCTACGAAGTAAAATTATTAAATAAATGTATCCTTATGACTCGAATAAAATGATAAATCGATGAGTTTGAATCTTTCTGACCTCAAAAATCTCATTTTCTGGGAAATCAGCTGTCCGATTTCTGATTTTCCTCCCGCGCATGTTCACAAGCTCGCGTTGGCGCTCAGCCAAGACCCGTTTTTTCAACCCATGCTTGCTTCAGATTTATGCTTATAGCTGCGTCGGATGAATCAACAGAGATTTACTACTATCATGTAACAGACGCGTTTCTGGAGAATAAAGGGCGGCGAAATTATGAGAGCTTTGACGAGGCGAGCTGGGTGCAGCTTTATGCAGCACCGTTAATTTTGGGATTTTATGCCATTTGCGAAAGATCAGGCGAGCCAAGATGGGTGAGTGAATTTGAAACTGAAAGAGAATCAAACAAAACGGTCCTTGTTTTAACGGCTCTCCAACGCATAATTAATCCAATTGGGTGTTTCAGGATAATCCGGCCGAAGGTATCATTTTCTACCGAAAAAGCTCCGACCTCGGTAATTTCACGATTTTCCGCCTTTCAATGCGAATTCGAATCTTTCAGTTTTGCTGATTTTGCAACTTGAACCGGACGAGTTAGAAATCCAAAAGCTCCTGCATCTGCTAGATACTGTTGTTTCTCTTATCTCTGGCCCGCTGAGTTCGTTCTCATTATCAAACAAAAGCTCTTTTGGGCCTTATCTGAGGACGAGAATTAAAATGACAATGGATAGCATGCTTGAAGAAGGTTCTTATGCGCCTATTTTGCTTCCTGAACGAGTTTTTCTTTCAACGCAGGTTTCTTTAGACATATATTCATGATTTATTTTATTATCAAAGAGAACAATTTTTCAGCAGTCTAACACCAAACGAACAAAAATTATTTGTCAATCATTTTATTATTAATTTCGATTGAGGAGAATTATTGGTTTTCGTTTGAAAACAGCTACAGAGTGATTAATTTTTGATATAAATAGTAATTTGGTCACGTCAAAGGACTCATTAAATTTGCTCCAATTGTTCATCATTTAAAAATGGAAAAAAATATATAAATGATTTCGAAAAGTTTTCTCTCTTCCATCGTTGAATTGAACTAGTTCTCTTCCTTGATTTCATCCAAAAGCTTAACCAAAAATCATCATTATCTTATGATATTTCTAACATTTATTGCCAGGTGCACACATCGTCTAACTTGGCGCTGAACAAAGCTCTCTCCGGTTTGAGCGATACGGCGGCAGCGATCGTGTGCCACGCAAAGGTGAGTCGCCATTTTACCTTTACCCGCGGGCGTTGTTTCTTTTCTTTTATCGGCTCCGGCTGAATGTAATGTGGAACCGACTGACAGTCCACTTGATAGCTCAAGTGGCGAATTAAACCTGTTTCCAGAGGAGGCGAACCTGACACGTAGAGAAAACGCGATTTTATGAAGGCTATTTTCATGTTTTTCATGGATTCTTTTTCGGGTTAAATAGACTGGACTTCTTTACAGTATAAACACAAGTAAATAGACACATAACAATTGGTCCATAATTCATAGAGATTTATAGAGCGCATAAGTAAGAGAATCGGCCTTTTTCTATAGAGAAAAACTTGATAAAACTTCCGACAAAACGTTCCTGGCTGACATTTTGCTTGATATTTTCATCTTGTACAATCCGTCAAGGTCTTGTTTTCAAGAAGCCTTTATTTTGAATCAACCCGATTTGAGGCTTTTTTATTTTAATTTCCCCCTTCATTTTGCATTTTCATTTTTTTCAATGCGCGACTAGACCGCCCAAAATATCAAATAACCTTCAAGTCAACAAGTGGTTAATCCCACTCGCCTCTGATATTTCCTTCAAAACAAAACAAACTTCTCCCCTTTCAACATTTTTTACCGTTCAAATTTAGGTTGTTCGCAGCGCGAGAATTCGTGGAATTGTTCATCCCGCTGCGATTCGACTTCTCGGGCAAATAGTTAGCGAGCAAATAGTGAAAGAACCGCTTGCTGTGTTTATTCCACTCACCTCTGGTCGGACGAAACTGATGCTGTTACAGTCGACAGAGTTGCTCGATGATATTTATTTATTTACGCTCACTTCGCTGGAGGAAAGCAATTCTTTCATTCTCAACGGTAAGTTAAATTTTTGCACTTCAAATAGTACAGCGGACGTTTCTATGGACAGGGTGGCACAATTGGATTGGAATCCAATTTGGAACCTTGTCCAATTGGAATTGGATTGGAAATTGGTTGGACAGGGGTATGAGATTTCGGGTCTTTCCAATTGGAAAATCAAATCCAATTGGAAAATTGGAATCCAATTGTCCAATTGGATTTTTACTTTTTCAGGCCCCGAAATAGCGCTAAAAACGGGGTATTTTGGGAAAAAGAAATATTTTAAGGGTTTCATTAGTCAAGGAACACTTATTGTCGATCAAAAATGAGGGAAAAACAGCTAAGGCCGGTTAAAAATATGACTTTTACGTCTGAAAAATCGCCGTGACTTTAGCAGGAATGGCTTCGGATCCTATATTATTCGCTTGTTTTCCTCATGAAGCGGATTTTCGAGTCGGAAACGGGATGGCGAGGGGGAATTGGATGTCTAATTGGTTAAAAAGGGGTTCGATTTGACCGCAATTCCAATTGGAAGCCTATTTTCCAATTGGAAAGTCAATTTCCAATTGGAATTGGAATTGGATTGGGAATTGGTTGGATTGGACAAAAGGCGATTGGATTGGATTGTTAGTTGGTTGGATTGACCAAAATTTTTTTCCAATTGTGCCACCCTGCTATGGATATATAACTGATAACAACAATGACTATCTTTTCAGATCTCTACTCTTGGGAAACGTTGATGCTTCATCTTTCCCTGCACGCATCGCTTTCTGAGCTGCAAATGGACGAGATTCGAAATCTTTACGAAAAGCTCAAGATCCGCCTCCCGAAGAGCTATCAAGAGATGATCCACAAAATCTGGAGCAATCGGATCAACTCGACTTTGGACTTTCTCTCCAGCGGGGATCATACGAGAGCCGAGAAGAAATCCAAGTTCAATGCCCAATTCAGCGCTTTTGCCAAAATTTCCGAAGCGTTACTATCGCTTGTTTCTCGAAGCCTGGGGTCGGCGGTCCATCTTTCAAAGATGGGAAAGATGGGTAAGATGGGTGCTGGGAAAGATGGGAATGATGGGTAAACCCATCTTACCATAACCCATCTTTTGATTCTGAAAGATGGGAAAGATGGGTCTCCCAAAGATGGGTAAGATGGGTTCAAATGATGGGAAAGATGGGTTCAAATGATGGGTAAGATGGGTTTCACTCAGTTTGAAGACCGGATTTCTATCTTGTTATCTAAACCTGATGTACAGTTTTATTCCTCCATTGATAAATGATAAATTTAAGGGATCCGCTCCCGATTTGAAAAATGTCATCGAGAGCTTTTTTAAGCAACTTTTTATTATAATAAGGCGCTTCGACGATTAATTTTATCTCGCGTCTATGAAAGCTTATGTAATAAAAAATTAAATTTTGTTTGAAAGATGGGTCGCCGACCCCAGCTCGAAACATGGAGATAATTAGGGAAAAACATCCAAAAATACAGATTTTGGAGAATAACCCGCCATTTTCCCCGCGACCAGCGAGGTCGAGAAGCTCATCCCTCAATTCCATCACTTCCATTTTCGATACGAAAAAACAAAAGCTAGAGAGTCAGTCCCAGAACAGCCACAAACTCACCGCTTCAATCGCTAAAATCCTCAACCCGATCAGTTCATTCATCAATGTCAAATGCTCAAACACCCTTCCCCTCTCTGGAATCGGCCACCGAGCTTTGGGGATCATCGTTCATTGGGAATTCTCTGGTGAAATAATATACGCCCGGCCGTTGGAAGAAAAACATACTAAGTTCTTGAAAAGAATGTTTTGGGAACAAAAAACTGATTGCATCCGGGAAATGGAAACAGAGTTGTATTTCTTCAGAAAAACTATAAATGGAAAGGTTATTTTTGGAATCGCCAAAGGCTCGGACGTAAAGGACGTCTATGAGTACATCACTGGACAGATTCTATGGTCGCTGAAAGAGATTCTTTCATAATGTGTTTTCTTCAAGCTACTATTTTTATTCAATTAATTCTTCAACAATTCATTCCTTCTTCAATTTTCTTCTGTACCTTGTGACGGCTAATATTGATAATTACTCATTAACAAAATTTTGAGTTTGCAACTTCAGATAAAATTGAAATCGTGAATTAAAAAAATGAGAACAGTCCGAATCCGGACGGGTTCTGCGATTCGCCTCGTCGTCGTATTCCTTGTTGTTTCTTGTCTACTGTACACGTTCGCGTTCCCGCATTCTGATTCTGAACAAAAAGAGGTAATTAGTAGGATCATTTCATATCATATTTTTTCCCAGGCAAAGAAAGCGAAAAAACATGCAAAGCACCATTCCGAAGCCAAGGACAAAGAATATCCGGATTTCGGCGCAGTGAAAGAGGAAGTAAAAGACCCTCTTGATATTGACCGAAAAGTTCTCCCTGATCGACACGAGTCTGATCTCGAGTTTCCACACATTGGAGGCAATGAAGTTGATTTCAACGAGAGACGAAAAGCTCCAACTGTTGTTAAAAATTCTGGTCGCAAACCAGAAACGATGAAGACCTGGGATGGACGAACTGTGACTCTGGTTGGTCGAGGAATAGACGAAAATGTTCCAGAGCCATATTACCGACCTGACGGAAAAGATGGCAATTGGGAGCACAATCCTCCCATTGATGAGACTGGCCATGATGGTCCAGGAGAGCGAGGAGCATCTGTTCATACTCTGCCAGAAGAAGAAGAGCATGTCAAAGAAATCATCAAAGAATTCGGCTTCAACTTGGTCAATTCCGATAAAATTTCCATGGACCGATTGCCCAAAGATCTTCGTGACAAGGAATGCGTCTCAATCGACTACCCAGAAAAGCTTCCAATGGTGTCTGTCGTCGTTGTCTTCCACAATGAAGGATGGGGACCTCTCGTAAGAACCTTCCACTCAGTCGTTAATCGAACTCCTCCAGAACTTCTCGGTGAAATCGTCATCATTGACGACGGATCCATCATCAAAGACAAACCCCATCTTGGCCAGCCTCTAGAAGAGTACATCAAGCGATGGAACGGAAAAGTGAAGCTTTACAGAAACGCTCGACGAGAGGGCCTCATTCGAGCGCGCTCAATTGGCGCTCAGCATGCTACTTTTGAAGTCCTTGTCTTCCTCGATGCTCATTGTGAGGCTGGATACAATTGGCTGCCGCCACTTATTGCGCCCATTGCTAGAAACGATAGAATTTCAACAGTCCCACTTATCGACTCCATTGACGGCCAGCGTTACACTTTCAGTGGCCAAGCCGGTGGAGATAGCCACGGACGCGCCCAAGGAGGATGGGAATGGAACTTTTGTGGAAGAGATACCCACTTCCGAAGAAAGAGTCAGAGAAGCTCAAGCATGCTACCGAAATGTATCCATCGCCAGCCATGGCTGGAGGACTTTTCGCCATCAACAGAGAGCATTTTAACAATGTTGGAATGTACGACCCAGGACTGGAGATTTGGGGCGGGGAGCAGTATGAAATCTCTTATAAACTTTGGATGTGCGGCGGAGGCGTGTACTTTGTTCCATGCTCAAGAGTCGGTCACGTCTACAGACTTGAAGGATGGGGTGGAAATCCACCACCAGAATATGTTCCTTCAAATCCTTCTTTCAGAAATTACAGAAGAGTTATCGAAGTTTGGTGGGACGACTGGGCAAAGGTACAAAACGCTTCCTTTACCTCTATTGATAACACTTATTTCAGTACTTTTACTGGAACCGACCGGAGTTGCAAAAGCTCGACTACGGTGATGTTAGCGAACAAGTCAAGTTCCGACACGATCACTGTCCCCACAACTTCACCTGGCTGATGGAAGAAGTCGCTTATGGAATCACAGACATGTACGACGCTCCAAATGAGCTCCTTGCTTGGGGCGAAATCAGAGGCAAAGGGTCTAACATCTGCGTCGATTCTATGGGCCACAAAGGTGCAAAAGCTTTTTCATTAGATGTTGACAAGACATTTGTTAAGATAATGATGGCCCCGCAGAGTCCTGGTATTGTCACAAACAAGGAGGAAACCAACTCTTCAGAATCCACGCTGGTGGTTTTATTGCTCAAAATCTTCAATGTCTCTATCCAGCGAGGTATGCACTAGAAAGTTTGGTTTTGATAGTGGTGTTTTTGCTTATTAGTGGCTTGACAACGATTCAAATCATAAAGAATTTGAAAGTTGAGGAATGGTTTTCCTCAATAACTGGGTAAACGCAATTGTTGATAATTTACGCACGTTTCTATTTGAATAGAAGCTTTCCTAATCGGTCGTGTTGATTGTGATGATCTCGTAGAATTGATTCCTTAGTCCGCTCGATGTATTGATGCTTGCATAATCAAACTTTCTGCTTTCAGTGACAACTCAAAGATGAACATCCATGCATGCGAAAGAGTCAACAGCCCTTCGAACGCATGGAAATTCAATCTCGATACAGATGGAACATTCCGTTACAAAGGCAAATGTCTGACCAGAAGCAATGATGCAGATAAACCCACTGGACCCTTAACTATTGAAGGTAGACAATCAATTTAAAAACCCTTCCTTATGCTTGATTTATAGACTGCCGACCCGATGACATTTACCAGCAATGGGAAGTCAACGAAGAAGCCGTCTTATAAGCTCCTCATTCACCCGAATCGCCTTCAGCTCCACTTTCTTTTTACTCCGCGAAAGTACAAGTGCAATATCAGAACCAGAAAGTATCCATAGTTCCAAAAATATGTGTAAATAAGATGAGTTTTTTTCTATGACAAAAATGCACCAACACAATTCTGTCTTCACTTCTGCCATTATATTTTTAACACAAAAAGAGCAGCAACTCGCAAGCCAAGTTGCAAAAATTAAAAAATAAACCCGCTCGGTGCTCTTACTTTAGTCAGTTCTAGCTGTTCCTTTCTGTGACTATTTCAGAAAAACTTATTCTATTATTACGATTATTCACCATCCATTTTCGTCATTTTAGATGAGGCTGAGTCGTCGGCTCTCGGGCCTCTACAAGCCGATTCTGCTTATTGCGTCGGCTTTGGCATTCGCTTATTTATTACTCGCCGACGCGGACGATTCGGGATCGAGTTCGCATTCCAAGAAATCGCATAAACATCACAAGAAAGAACATGGAGATACAGATGACTATGAAATCGGAGCGCGGGAAGAGTTCCCTGGCTTTGAAGGAACAATCATGGGACGAGGGCTCGATGAAGACGTGCCTAAAGAAGTTTATAGAGATTATGGAAAGCTCGGAAATTATGAGCCAGATCAGGTAAGAACGCTTTTCATCCTGTTCTCTTAAATTGTCCCAGGCGACGATCAAAGGCATGGAAACCGGCCTCGGCGACTACGGAAAACAGGTCAGTTGGGGACCGGACGAAGAAGACGCCGTCAAAAAGTCCATCAAAGAATTCGGCTTCAACATGGTCATGTCCGACAAGATCTCCCTCGACCGAGTTCCAAAAGACATTCGAGATCCAAAGTGCAAATATGTTGACTATCCTGAAAAGCTGCCAGAAGTTTCTGTCGTCATTGTGTTTCATAATGAAGGATGGAGTACGTTGATGAGAACTGTTAATTCTGTCATCAAACAGACGCCGAAAGAGCTTCTTGGAGAGATCGTGATGGTCGATGATGCGTCAACAAAAGGCTCGGTTATCACCTTTTTATCCTAAAAAGCTAATTGCTTGATTCAAATTCAATAGCTAACCGATCAAAGAACATCTCAAGGCAAACCTGGACGAGTACATCAAGCGCTGGAATGGCCTTGTCCGCGTCCATCGCAACGCAAAACGCGAGGGTCTCATCCGGGCCCGTTCAATCGGTGCGGTTGAGTCGCGAAAAGAAGTTCTCGTTTTCCTCGACGCTCATTGCGAAGCGGAATTCAACTGGCTGCCACCTCTTCTAGCGCCAATCGCGCGAAATGATAGAATCTCTACCGTGCCAATGATTGACGGAATCGATGGAAATCACTATCATTTCACCAGCCAAGGTGGTGGTGATCGATGGGGCCGAGCTACAGGTTAATATGCTGGATATTGTAATGTGAATTTACCATTTCTAGGCGCATGGGACTGGAGCTTTTTGTGGAAAAGAATCGCTTTGCCTCCAGAGGAAGATAAGAAGCTTCCTTCAAAGATTCAACCGTTCCCCAGTCCAGCGATGGCCGGCGGACTCTTCGCCATCAATCGTCAGTATTTCAAAGATATCATGTACTACGATCCTGGTCTTGAAATTTGGGGAGGAGAGAACTTTGAGTTGAGTTATAAGCTTTGGATGTGCGGTGGTGGAATGTTGTTTGTCCCCTGCTCTAGAGTTGGACATATCTACCGACTAGAAGGTTTGAAAATACATGTATAGTGAGAAATTGATGCTAAAAATTCAGGATGGGAAGGCAACCCGCCACCAAAGGATGTTCCCTCAAATCCATCCATGCGAAATTACAGAAGAGTTATTGAAACTTGGTGGGATGACTGGAGTAAATACTTCTACGTCTCCCGTCCAGAAGCGAAAACACTTGACTACGGAGATATTGGACCTCAAGTTGAGTTCAGAAAGAATCACTGCCCCTATGATTTCAACTGGTTTATGAAAGGTAAAACTATTCTTTAATTTTCTCCCTATTTATTTTTTTTAGAAATCGGTTACGGAGTGGCGATAGAATACCCAATGCCTCCCTTGAACAAGTTCTGGGGCGAAATTCGCGCTCGTCAAGGCAACCAATGCCTCGATTCGATGGGTCACACTAACGGTGGCTCTGTGGAAACTTACTACTGTCACAAACAGGGTGGAAACCAGCTTTTCCGGCTCAACGATAACCTGCAGTTGATGCAATACGACCAGTGCTTGTTCATGTCTTCAGGAAATTTGAGGCTGTCGCACTGCTCAGCCGGGGATAAAGCTGGCTGGGATTACGACCCAAAAACCGGAATGATCTCTTACGGAGAGAAAAAGAAACGTAAAGCTAAAACTTTTTCAATTAAAAATTCTAGCTATCAATTTTCAGAGCGACAGTGCATCTCAGTGACGAACAAAACCTCGATTGGAAAGGTCAAGTTCGTTACATGCGACGTCAACGATGACAGTCAAAAGTTCGACTTCAACGAAATCCACAGCACATAAAACAATACTACAGTGCAAGAATCGCCAATTCAACTTTCCAGTTGTCCGCTTCTACGTGCTAAAAATTAACCCAAACAAAAAGTAGCCTGCAAGAGATGTTCTCCCGACCAGCAATCCAAGAATTCTACCAAAACAACGACTGACCGCCTTCTTTATTTCTAGTGCAATAATTCTTAATATATCTTATTACTGTAAGTTCGAGCAAATCGTCCTGATTCAATACACAGTTCCTTCAAGCAAAAATCATTGTTTCTTTTCATTTAAAATTTGTCCGATAAGTCAGTCGATGTGATTCTCGACTCATAAGAGCTGATAAGCAGGAATAGATAAAGTCAGAATGCGCTTGACGACTGTCGGACGAAGATTTGCATCTTTCCGGGGCCTTTCTTTATGTCATAATCTCAGAATGTCTAACGAGGTTGATCTTGCCAAGCTTGCTGGAGAAGCGCAAAAGGTAGCAAATAAAATACTCATGCAAAGGCTTATCTTATTTCAAGCGCTGCGAAGGAAACGAAGAAACGCTCTTTGACAAAATTATTCGCAAGGAAATCCCCTCCGACATCATCTACGAAGACGATGCTTGCCTTGCGTTCCGAGACATCAGCCCACAAGCCCCCGTGCACTTCCTCGTTATTCCAAAAGCTAGAATTCCCCAGCTCTCCAAGGCTACTGACGCTGATGCTGGCATCCTTGGGCATCTTCTGAATGTCGCGCGAAAATGCGCCGAGCAGGAAAAACTCGAAGAAGGTCAGATTTAAAATAGAATCCCTCCTCTTCAATCATTTCCTAAGGCTATCGAGTAGTGATCAACAACGGCGTCCACGGAGCCCAGTCAGTCTACCACATTCACATCCACGTTCTCGGTGGTCGACAGATGAACTGGCCACCAGGATAACGCTGTAATATAGTTCCTCATGAGTTCAATCTTTAATCTGGTGTGCTCTCCTGTTCAAATACTAAATTATTCTGACTTATGCACTGCGACATGTAGCCCAAATTTTAAGACTTTCTGTTTCGGAAACTACTAATTCAATAGTTTTACTAAAAAGTTTTACTTTTTTTTTCTTTCTTTTTTTCAGAAAAAGAATACCTCGTTTATCTTGTGGCTACTGGATGGAATTAAATCTCATGTTTCTGATTCATGACTTCCCTTTGACATTTGCAATCTGTTCAAATATACGAAAATCTGCACAGAAAACGCTTCAGTCAAATTCGAAGGCATTTTTTCAAAATGAATAACGGAGAAAAAAATCTAGATAAAAAGAGTATGGCAGAGGGATCGCTCGAAAAGGGATGGATGCTTGACCCGGATGGACGGTTTCAGAGGTAGATTTTATTCCATTTTATCAGGACCTAATTTCTTATAAGTCGAATTGACGAGCAAGCAGAGCTCATTTGTATCCTCAAGAAACGCACTGACACTCTCATTCTTGAAGCTGAAGACTACAAGGCCCAAATCCGCAAGCTCGAAAAAACTCAAGATCAACTCAAGTCGCAAATCGAAAATGAAAAGACCCAAAGCCGAATGATCGAGCAGCGTTTCGACGATTTAGCAGACAATCACCAGGAACTCATAAAATACAAAGACATGTACAAATCTTCCGCAGCTGAGCTTCAAGAAGAAAATGTTCGACTTCGGCTTGAAAACAGCTCTTTGATCAATCCTCAAATCGAAGCGAAAAACAAGGAGATCAAGAACTGGCAAGACAAGACAAACTCACTTCTCGAACGTCTTGAAAAATTAGAGAAAACGAACACTGAACTTTCTGGTAAGAAAGCTGGAGTTTTTGAGCATGAATAATTTTAGATGAAAAGTCTTTACTCGAAGATAAAACGCTCAAGCAATCAACGACGATTTCTGATCTCCAGGAGCGATTAAGAATTTCTGAAGAGCGAAATGATGAGCTTGAGTCTTCAAAAACAAGAGAGCTCGAAAAGGCAGAGAAGCTGCACAATTTGGAACTTCATTCTTTACGACAGGAGAATAAAAACTACATGGACAGTAAGCTCTTCTTCGATAATCCAAAAATAATCGATTCTAGTGGCATTTGAACGAGGAAAAGCAGTTCAAAGCAAAGAAAATTTAATCGCCTCGCTTCAAGCAGAGCTGAACGAGAAAAACAAGAAGCTAGAATCAATCGATTCGGAATGGGCAAATGCGAAGGGGAAGCTAACCAAAGATGCAACTGTCATAAGACTGATGCAGGAAAACGAAGAGTTCCGAGGTACTTTTGCTCAGAGAGGTCTTTTTTATCGCTTTTTAGGATGAAAATATAGGTTTTCCAGTATAATTTTATAATATACTGTGACCAGGTGACTGAAAATTAGCTACAGAGGCACTTCGAAATCAGTTAACTGTCACAATAGTTGTTTTCAATACAAATTCATGGCTTTATACGCCCTTTAGAAACGTACAACATGTTGCGCCTCGAGTACGAAGCCTTCAAAGAACACACTTCAAGTCTCATAAACCGGGAAAAGTCGCTCAATCGTCGACTAACAGCCTATTCCCCGATGCCCCCGTCCGATCCTCCGAGCAAATCCGAATCCTGAATCTTCTGCACTTGCATCGTTCCAAAGATTACACCTTTTTCTCTACTTTTCTATTCAATAAACAATATTTTCTTACAAAATAAACCACTTATCCATTCGTTTTCATCAGATTCATGGCATCGGCTTTATCCGAAGTCGGCATACCCGACGCAGAGCGCTTGAAAACCCTCTTTAATTCTACAAATGACCCCATGAAATTGATCATTAATTTTGAAGAGCAAAACAGGTAGACTTCCCAAAGGAAATTTTGTGTTAAAGAAAGGGTTCAGGATAAGCTTGGGATCCCTTGTACCAGCGTTGAACTTGTTGGACTTGCATGAAGTGACGCGCAATGAATTTTATCAGTCGGTTTTCGACCAGTTGAAGCTAGTGTTTGAAAGGAGGATTGAAGATTTTTCCAAAAAGACGCAAGAAGATCGCAATGAAGTAAGTCCTTACCAATCTTTCTTTCCTACCCTCTTCTCCACAGGCCCTTCTCAAAATCCTCGACAAAGCTTTCCCTCTTGCTGGCGATCCACTTTTACAGCCATTCGTCATGCGAATGCTCTCAAAGCTGGAAAGTATTCCTCAAGACAAGCTCGAAAAAATCATGTCCGATCCTGTTCTTTACCAAAATGCTCCAACAGACGTTCGCCGCCACATCTGGCTCTCCAAGCCTGATTTATTCCGAGAAGAGGTGCAAGGGTTAGTGAGACAATTTGTCGAAGAAACAGAGCTTCAAGTCATGAATTTTACTACCGATTGCCCTGTACTGAAGAATCCAAGGGAAAAGAGAGCCAAATGTGCTGTTTTGCAACAGATTGTTGGAATGACAAGTGGAAATAAAGATCTTTATGAAAATGCGGTTATTGCGATAAAGAGTGAGTTTACGAAAACACCGCTTCATGCCCAGGTAAAAAAACTTTCATTTGAGAGTCAGTTTATTTTTCGTAGCCATTTGTGGCGAGCTTGAGAAGTGGGCTGCTGATGGCTCTTCACGACTCGAAATTCAAAGACATTTTACAAAGGGATGAAATTTACAAATTCACGTGGTGCATGGACGCTTGCATTCGAGCCAATTCCATCGATGAAAAACAACGCAGAGAATTAACGTAGGATCTCTTTTTCGATCAGTTAGTTGACGATTTCTAGTACCGTCTTGAATGGAATAAAAAAATCAGGAGCAATTATTGACGCCGCGCTCATTGTCTTTGATCCTTCCTGCATAAATCTCATCCTGGTCGAGTTGGAAAAAGAGCTCAGGCAGATTCTCAAAGTTCAAGGATTTCCAAAAGGCTCGGAAAAGATCGACTTTCTCATCAGAATGTTGAAACTGGGAACAAGTGCTCCGGAAATGGCGGAAGAACTGTCGAAAAGTGAACCCAATTTGGACCGGAGCATAATTTCAAGACTTTTGAAAAGGGTTCAACTTTCATCTTAGAACTTTCTTTCTCTCATTCATTTTTGAACCTTCAAAAGACATCGATCGTAAATCAAATGGCACTAGAAGAAGAACGGACTCTAGATGCCCTCATCAGAAAAGTGTCAGAAGAACCAAAGAAAGAGCAAAACGATCTCGACGAAAATCAGAATTACAGCATCAGTACTGACGTCTGGGTGGAGCAAATGGGTATCCACGGACGATTTGCGGGACAGCTCTTTAGAGTTTTGCTCAGAGCTTGCGAAAACTTTCAAGTTATTCTTCCGCTGTTAGGGAGACATTGCCGCGACATGCTATCCGACCAAAGTAAGGTTAAGTTGAAGAGAGTATTTTTTGATAATTTTTAGTATTCCTGTTTGAAATTGCCCAGCACCTGATAAAAACAAAAAAGAATATGAATGAGGATTTATTTCAAAAAATATTTTTGAAGTTCTTCGTTTCCGGAAAACAGCCACGAGAGATTGCAGCGAAATTCGCGGAAAAAATTATAGGTAAACACAAGCTCAAGGCTTTCTGTAGAGGTTCTCAAAATCATTTTGCTGTCATTTTATCTGTATATTTTTTTGTGGAATGAGCGAATTATGAAAGCTCTCTAGATAGCGCCCTATTCACCTTCATAGCAGCTGTTAAAGATTTATATCTTTGGAGTTTGATGCAAGAAAAATCGAACCATGTTTCTGTTTTAGAAACCCTTGGAGAAGTCATCACGCCCGAATTCAAATCTCAGTACGAAGAAAAGCTCAAGAAATCCAAGGAAAAGGAGAAGAAGGACAAGGATAAAAAGAAGAAAAAAGACAAGAAAGAAGACGCTGACGATGCTGTTCCTCGCGACAAAAGTGGCAAAGTCTCCAAGAAAAAAGGAAAGAAGGGCAAAATCGACAAGACTTCGGACCCACTGAAACTGACCCTGAAAAACCTCGCTTGATTCGTTCTTGAAACCTCTGCCGCGATTGATCATAAAACGCACACACTGCCGTGTTTCAGATTCAATTCTAGTATTGATTTTTTCAATTTAGAAAGTATGGATTTGTGAAAAATCGGGAGCCTTATCGACTAATGACAGAGGCGAGAATCGAAAGTTTTAAGAAACGACTCCGGGCACTGACAGAATCGGCGAATTGCATCGAGACCTGTTCGCTATGGCTTCTTCATCACAGAAAGGTAAGGTTCTCTTCCTTGATTTCAGTTGAAAAATATCTTTAGTTCGCCAAACACGCGGCGCAAACCTGGTATGAAGAGCTCAAAAAGAGCAAGCCGCGGAAACAACTCACCTTGCTTTATCTGGCCAACGATGTTCTTCAAAATGGCCGTCGAAAGGGCAACGTGCCCGAGTACATTTCCTACTTCCGCGCCTCGCTGCCCAAAGCCCTTTCCATAATCGGCAAGGACCCCGCTATCAAACCTAAAGCCCTGCGCGTGATCAACATCTGGGAGCAGCGCTCAATCTTCAGTAAAGAAAATTGTCTAAGTTTTAAAAAGAATCTCAGTTCATCGTCAGCTTCATCTGATTCTTCATCGGTAATAAGCTTAAAAATCTCAAATCTTCGACTAACAAAAATATTGAAGTCATGGAGGGCTTTAACTCATTTTCAGACAATCAAACGACTCGCAATCGGATCACCGCCTAAATCTTCAGAAACGCCCGTTAAGAAAATAAAGAAAACACAGGAAATCGTTGATATGCCCATTTCTCCTGCAACCAGTAGTAAGTAACACCCGTTTCTCTTAACCAAACGGGCTCTAGAAACCCCTGAAGCTCCCACGCCTTCTCCAGTGAACAGCAAGCCCGCATCTCCAGTCGCTTCTAGCAAGACATCGAGCGTCGACGAGTCCAACGAAATGCTCTCATTCCTAAATTCTTCAAACGTCGTCTCCTCCGACGAAGAGGAAGACGCATCCGATGTTACTTCCGTCGTTTCAAACAGTGTCTCATTTCTGCCCTTCTTTTTCGACCAAAATAAACTCAAAGAACTGACAGATGAGGATTTCATCGCGCAAATCGAAAAGGTCGCGAAAGATCCTCCCTCAGCTGATGCTTCGCGGCGGAATCGAATTGCAAATGTAATTTACAGAAAAATATCTTATCCATTTAATGTTTCGTAGCTTCCACCAGAGGTACAAGAGCCAGGTTGTCTCGAAGCCCTCCGCCAAAACAACAAACTAGAGCCCTTGGTGAATATGATCGACTTTGGCTACATGGAACTGGCCGAATATACAAAATCGCTTGATGAAGAAATCGAAGATCGAAAGCAACTAAATCTTTATAATAAAACGCTCAGGGAGCGCGTTCAGAGTCTTCAAGATGGTAAGATCTCATTTTTCTCGATCCCCTGTACATTCCTTTTTCAGATTCAAGAGATCTTCTTCAAGAAACGCACAGAAAAGTTGACAAAGTGAAGAAAACTATTGCTGATCTTGATCTTAAAATTCAATCCCTGCCAGATTTGACTACTCTCAGGTTTGATTCCTTTTACCTTGGTGGCCACTGTTTCAACCAATTTTCAGTCAACTTTCGAAACCTCTGCCCAAACTCAACGATCTATTCACTTGAGTTTTCTTGCCTCAATTTCAGGGAAAACGCAGAAAGCTACAGTGAGCTGTCAGCACAAACAAAGTCCTTTATAAATGTTTCCTTTATCCATATTTGCTTATCGCTAACTTTCAATATTCTGATAAAAAATAATGAATCTTTTCCTTCGTTAGAATGTCGGATTCGGAAGATGACAACATCGCTTTCGGCAGAAATCAGCACGGGACAGCGCAACAGAGCATCGAAGCTGGAACTGAATACGGGTAAGAAGTTACCCGTCATTGAAGGTATAACTGTGATTTTGAAGAGTCGACGGAAAGACTCTTGATGAATATGCCTCAGCTGGAAATACGAATAGAAACGCTATTTCTGGTTGCCGAAAATGCGGGTATCCCGGACATTTGAGCTACGAGTGCCGAAATGGAATAAAAATCGGCGCTGGCAAAAGCCAAAACTTTGTTCTCGACATTTCTTCGACAAGCTCAGAGGACGAGGACGTGCGCCTTCTCAATGAATTGAAAGGTGCTTGTTTTGAAACCAATAAATTAGACGATTTATTTAGCGAGTTTGAAAGCTGCGAAGGAGAAGAAAAAACTCAAGAAAGCGAAGAAAAAAGCAAAGAAAGAGGAGCGTGAGAAACGAAGAAAAGAGCGGAAAAATCGAGACCGATCGTACTCGAGGTCACGCTCCCGCTCAAGATCTCGCGATCGTCGACGAAGATGATAGATGAAATTCCTTACTGCCAACATTTAGATTTACTGATCAGTTATCGACCCCTGCTTATCAATGCGTTTCAGAATGGCAGTCACAAAGTCGGACTCAAGCTCAAATCAGTCTCTGAGCAATGGCGTTGTTGTGGCAGAAGTCGAAGTTAAAATACCTCCAACAAAGAAAGCTAAAATGAACGATATTCTTTCCGAAAGAACCAACTGCAGCTGCTTGATTCCTCACACCACAGACTTTTCTTCAAAAACATGTTGCTCCATCGAAATCACCGACGATTCCATCAACATGTGTTCCAATCCAATTTCCAACTCAACAATCTCCTTTCGCCCAACAGAACACGCGTCTTTCTTCATCAAGCTCTGCGAAAGCTGCGAGGCTCAGCTGAAAAAGCATCAGTTCTGCCCGCAATGTGGAATGCGCTGTCAGTTGCTCGACTATCAAGAATGTACCGATGGCCATCGAACACATGCAGACTGCGTTCAGCTTCAAAAGGAGCATGATAAATGCCCTCATTGTGAGAAAAAATTCATGCGGGAACGAAGGACGCCAAAAACAAGACCTTCAGCTGCGATTAAAAGCTACAAGATCAAATACCAGCCGTTCAAATTTACGACGGTGGAAAACCAATACATGGCGGAAATCTTGACGCACTATATAAAAATAAGTCCTGTTACTAAAACTTCTACGGCTGAACAAGTCAGGCGAGCGATCGACTCTTCTTATGTTGAAAAAATTGCTGAAATCTTGAAGAGTCCGGTCGAATCCATCCTTCATTCCATTGCTGGGATTTCTATTTTTGATTATTGCATCAAGAAGAAGCGACTTGATCTGGCGGAAGTCTTTCATAAATTTGGAGTTTCGCCGAATAAGCGATTTGGCGAAGAAGGCAAGTTTTCAATCCTCATCGATGTTGTGCAAAGCAATGAGCTTCGTTCCGTCCAGTATTGCTTGAAATCTGGCGTCGATGTGAAACGAATGGATGACAATGGACGAACCGCGGCCCATCTATCAGCTCAAAATTGCTCTCGGCCGATAGTTAAATTGCTCGTGAACGCGGAAAACATCCCTGTTCAAGATTTAACAGGATTTACTTGCATTCACTGGGCGCTGGAAAATCCAGATATGGAAGTATTCAAATACTTCCTTGAAAGTTGCAATCCAAAAGATCTCTACATCCCAGATCGAGCGGGAAAGAACGTTCTTCATTGGGCAGCTCAATATGGATACGCAGAGCGCTGCAAAATTCTCCTGGAAAAAGACCGACAGCTTTTGTGCACGTGGGATCAAAATTCTGCGTCTCCGATTTATTATGCTGCTCAGTTGGAAGAAAACAAAGCCGTTCAAACTCTTGGAGTTCTCTTGCAATTTTACGATCGAAATTTACACGCGATGCAGAAGAAGAACCCGGTAGATATCGCAACTGGCCGCGCGAAGGTGCTTCTTCAGCAAATTGAAGAAAACTGCAATGTCGAGTCACGAAAATATCAAAGGCTTAATGGACTGATGGTGATACACGATGTTGCAAATGGAAAAGAAAGCTTCCCCGTCCACGTGATCAACGGAATCGATGATTTGAAGTTTCCATCATTTACGGTAGTCGAAATTATTTTGATGCTTGTTTATTTTGATTTCAGTACATGATGATAACAAGGACGAAACTGAGAGGTTTGAGATTCAAGAGAGATATTATTGATGCCGTGTCTTGCCAGTGTTCGGGAGACTGTAGTGGAATGGTAAGAGTACAGTTTCAAGCTTTGATTATTCAATTTTCTACTAGAACTGTGTTTGTCGGTCGAATTCTGACCGAGGCTTGTTCAAGAGCGATAGAACTTTGGATTTGGATGTTTATGCTCGATATCAAGGTAACTCGAGTCGAATTTATCTTATTTTCAAATTCTTGTAGGATCAACTACGGCTGTTTATGACTGCAACGAGCTTTGTTCTTGCGACTTTCGACTGTGCAAAAACTTGCATCTGAAAAATATCGACCCCAAGCAAGTTGAAATATTCCGAAACCAAGAGCTGCTCAAAGAATGGTCGCTCAGAACGACGACGGAAATAAAGGCAGGGGAATATGTGATGCCGATGATTGGCGAAGTTATTGCGCTAGAAAGCGGAACGACTGTGTTGAAGGAATTCATGATGAAAATATCGACTTTTGGAGGAAGAAGCTACTTTTTGGATCAGTCGCAGTTTGCGAACTCATCGAGGTAAAAAAGTAAATTTTCGCCTTATCTAGCGTTTTCAGATTCATCAACCACTCCTGCGAGCACAACCTGGTCCCTGTGCGAATCATCCGCACCCATGATGACTACAGGATTCCTTCCATCGCTCTTTTCGCGACGCGAAGAATTGAGAAAGGAGAAGAGCTCACGCTAAACTATGGCGATCAGTATTGGGCACGGCGAGGAGCAAAGCATGTTTGCCTCTGTAGAACGAAAAGCTGTAGATATGACACTCACGAAAAGTGTGAAAAGGTCGCGAAATCCTTGGAAAAAATCACTGTTGCTTGTAACCGAGCGACGATGCTCCAGCCAAGTTCTCAAGAAAAACCTGTTTCATAAGTTCAGCCAAACACTTGAAAAAACACTGCCAAAGTCCGTTTTATGATATACTTTAGATTTGAATTTTGTCTATCTAGAATGAAATATCTAGGATGGACGTTCTTTCCGAGTATATTGGGGTTATCAGTATCTCCAAAAAGCCAGATTGGTTTTGAAAAGCTGTATTTTGAGTCGACTCCTGCTCCTGGCAGTTGCTACCCAACATATGATTTGAATATGATTCTCAGTGATGCTCAGGTAGATCTTCAATTTTACTAACAAAACTTACTTTTCAAAGACGAACTTTGCCTCAACCGCAGTGATTGAAAATTTTGGCCAAGAAGTGCAAGTAACAGCTGAAAACTTAAAAGTAACATACACGCCTGATTCGACGAGTGCTCAAAAGACGATTTCGATCGAGCCAACTGCGGACCTGTCAGCGAATATCAACAACGGAAAAGTCTGGTGTTGGACAACAACGGAAAACTTCGAGTTCTTCTTCTCGTTCGCCAAGAAGACTGGTGATTCTTTTGGTGATTTATGCACGAATCCCTCCCGCTTGGACGACTACGAATTAGTCCGGCTTCTCTGCGAACAGCAAGAAAAATCGCTCCCTTGGTACATGGTCAAAGACAACTCTAACTTCAGAGGAATATCTTATGCAGAGCAACCCATCGATGCAAGCGTCCTTCCAACCTCAATTTCTTCGACTTCTTGCAGCTCGGCTGATGCATACTGCCCCGGCGATCAAATTTTAAAAAAGCTGGGAGACGACTCAATCGCAAAAGTAAACTTCATCCAGTCCTTCCTTGGAAACTGCCAGTTCTCCCCGCTTCCACTCAAGAAACTAATCATCAAAAAAGCATGTCAACAAATTTCCTCCAACGCCGCTGAAATAACCGGTCTCGCTGGAACTAACGTCTGTGCAACGAAAAAGTGCACGAATACCGTTTCCTTGAATGTTCAAAATGCTGCTGGAGAAACAGTTGATCTGGCGTCTCCGAGTGGAAGTTATGTTCAAACGATGGAACTGAAGATTGAGACGACAGCTGGAGCATCCGGATATACAGTAGTTATAGCTCTTTTAATGTTGTATGAATGCTTTGTTTTCAGATCAACGCAGCGACGCTGATAATCGATTACACAAATGAAACACCGAAAGCGTCTGTCATCTCGTTATTGGAAGGAAGTCTTACCGCGAATGCCGCGTTACAAACAAGGTTTGTTTATTAAAGTTTATCCCTTCTTATTTTACTTATTAGCATCTTACCGGGTAACGAGCTGAAAATAACTCCATCTCTCGACTTTACTTCCTGTGCTGATTCGAGTTACTCGATCAAATTTGGCGAGGATCATATCATGTCTTGCTCCTTGAGTGTCGCCATTGATGGAACTTGTGAAAATGATGCTTTAGCTATCAAAAATCAAGTCGCTCTTGAATTCGGAAAGAGCGCTACGGTCGGCCCTCAGAATGTCGCTGTTCTGGATAAATCAGATGAAATCCAAAACTGTCGTTACCCCTTTGCCTTTCAGGAAAGTTTTCAGTACGAGAATTTTCTTTGTAGAAAGTATCTGTTGTAAAACCTGTGACAGACAACCATTTTATTCGAAGAAGGAACGCCGAACTTTGAGTACAGCATTTTAGGCGCGCAAAATGAGTATTTTTACTACCCGAATTCGACAACTTTCGCAGCGGACACAACCTACGACAGTAAGACCTCGATCTTTTCTCGATGAATCACTAGAATTTAAGTCGAACACCGTGTTATCTTCATTCAATACACCCGCCAACCCTCGGATATTTTCACATCTGTAATGGGCACTTGCGAAGATTCAGAAGTCTGTTTACGGGATGCTCCCATCGCCACGATCTGTTTCGCCGTTGTTTTCATCATTTTCCTTCTTTGGATCTATGCCACAAGAGACGAAGAAAGTCATCGAAAAGTGAAAGTCCATTAGATTTTGCAATACTCATTCATTTTTATATTTTTTTACTGCCAACTTTATTTTCAAATAAAATCTCCTTTTTCATGATGAAATACTTTATTTTCCTGTAAGAATCGCCAATATCGATGATGTGAAGGTTGGTGTTAACTTGTGGCCCTCTCCGTCGTGTTTCAGATTTTCAAACTCGTCTTTGTACTTTTTCATGATTGAAAATGGGTGTTCAAAATTTTTTTACTCTTCCTTGTTTTCAATTTTTCCTTCGTTATAAAGACCTTCATGATTCGATCACACTCTCTTTCGACATTTTCTATCAACAAGTTTTCCATCCCTTTTCTGGAGAGCATCTTGATTCGGACCCTCATGCAGTCTTGAAAAAGACACTGCAAGTCGTTGATCGTGAAGGTTGTCGACGGTTGAAAATTGAAAAGAAACACCAGCCCTGCAAAAAGTCTCATTTTTGGTTGGTGTGTTAAATACTGTAAATTTTGAAGTGAGTGCCCGTTTTAAATACAAACCTTTTTAATAATTAAAATAGGGGTATCCTGGTAGTCATTCTTGACTCGGTGCATGTGTCCCCTTGTCCTTGCAGGATGCAGCATCCTCTCACTTCCTGCATCGCCTTGACGCCTTGATCATAATTGGGCCTCGAAGATGACCAAAACTAAAAAGCATAGTCCCTTTTCCCTGGTAGCTGGGCAAGGATACCCACTATTTTGGTGACAGTCGATAATGTTCTTGGCTGACGATGAATGAAATGATGTCTTTTCAGTCGAAAAGCATTCTATCATGCACTCTTGAACCCGTTTTCGCCATATCGACTGAAGATTCTATCTTTATCTCCTTTATTTCAAAATTAATGCTGCTGTGTGGGTGCCATGTCACATGGCCCATGTGGGTTGTTTTTGAAGCTTTACTTATTAGTTTTCAAAAAAATTTCGTTCACAGTATCGCATTCTTCTTGAATTTGTCCAAAATCTAATGCCTCCATATCGGCAGCAACGATCAAAGGGGGCCAAATAAGCAGAAAATGTTTTTTATTCATAAATTTATAAAGTTGTTTTCAAAGGATTTCTTAAAGGAACCACATTAATAACTTTTGTACAGTAGTTCTACCCAAAAGGGCTCAAATACTTCTGAACAAATTTCAGCTCTTCTTCGAGATTATGCTCAACTTGTTCGAATTCGTAACTGAACTTTTCAAGGAAGTAATGAATAACCATTTCGCATTCGTCTTGGGCTTGAAAGTAATCGAATGTGTAAATATCTTTCGTCAGAACTTGCATTCTTACTAAACAATGTTTTACTATATTGCTGAGGGTGAAAGTTTTCGGTACTTTTCATGCAATCAAACTGAAGTTTTTTGAAGGTCGTCGATTGTAAAAGCACTTGCTGCTAAGAAAAATATGAAAATGACTTTTGTTCGCATCATCTTGGAAGATGTTCATCTTAGGAGTCGACCAAGGATACGCTTCATTTTTATAGTAAAGATCTTCTGAATAATTGATGGCATAACTTCACGCACAATTCAATTTCATTTCCAATTTATTCACAGGTTTTTTCGGAACGAAGTTTTCAGAAAAACATTACTTTTTTTTTATTTTTGACAGATTTAATTACTGTGGCCGTGCGCAGCGTGGCTTATGCTTTCATTCTGTTCTTCGTACTTTTTTTTAAGGTCAAGAAATATCCTTCGATAATGTTTGTCAGAGATATGTTTTTCTTTAACTTTCCTTATATAAGAACAACTGTAACACTCCATCGCACTCCTTTTGAATGTCGTAAAAGTTCATTCCCGCCATATTCGATCTGCTCATATAAGCAAGTCGGACTAAAAATGACGTTCACAAGGGTACATTATTTTCCTTACTTTTCATGCACTCATTTCTCAATCTTTGCATGTCTTCGATCAGAAAAGCGTTTAACGAAAATATTTTTGATATGATGAGGAATTTCATTGTCTATAAAGTGACGTCTGGAGAAGGGTTTAAATACTCGATGATATTTTGAATTATAATATATTCATTTAGATAATGGGTTATGAATTATTTCCTATGGGCGCTGAGTCTTGAGATATTGGCAAAGAATGTTTCTTTAGTTGACCAAATGTTTAACAGTTACCCCTTGAACTATCTTACAAGCAGGCTCGTGATCTTCAGAGGTTGTTTGAGTCTACTTTCGTGAACCGCAGACTAATGCAGTAGTCACTCATTTCTAGCGTTTAGAATGACAGACACAAGTAAAATAACGCACTTCGAAATCTGCCGTTTCATCCGCGACATCTCGCTCAAGCTCGAGCTTCTGCCAAAAGTGACCTGCTCCGCACTGCAAATTTATCACCACGTCTACGATTTCTCCGACTTTGCAACTTTCGAAGAGATCAATCCATACAACGTAGCGACCTCTTGTGTTTGGCTCGCTACAAAAGGTCTGGACCAGGGTCTCGAAAAATTGGATGTGGGGCGGTTGTTAGGGCGCCCCCTCTCGCTCTCAACATTCACTTTTCACTTCTCACTTCGAAATCCCAGAGAAAACACGTTTTCAAAAAAAAATCCAGTTGCTATTTTGATAGCTGGAGTACAGTTAACGCCCTGGAAGTGGTACACAGAAGTCCAATCCTGCTTGCGGGGTTCGGGGTTGTTTTCTCATTTAATTTAATACCACTTAATTACCAATTTCTAAGAAATTAATCAAATTTTGCCCAAGGCACCACTGGAGTAACCAATCAGCGAGTGCTGACTAAGGCATATCAAGCATGACGCAGGCAGATGCCTGCGTCAAAAGCTGCAGCATCAGCTCAGCAATCGCTGAGTAATGACTAAAGAATGTATGCCCGAGGGCAAACAAAAACTGTGCGATGCTTCAGAGAAGCTGGGACAGAATGAGATCTTTCTCTGCAAGTACGTCCCGCAGGAAGTTGACAATAAGGACTTCGGAACTATTGTAGACTTTCTAAGCCAATCTGTTAATAAAACGTATGTTTTCAGTGTCGCAGCAGTCAACTCACACATTATTCCAAGCAGTGTTGATTCTTCAGACACAATTTTGCAAATTTTCCCGGCTCTGGGTAAGTTTATAGAATACGTGTCTGTTAATAAAACCTCGGTTTTCAGAATCATACTCGAGGATGGGAAAAATTACCGGCAAAATCAACAAAGAGAGAAAATACAAAATAAAAAGAAGCCGTCTAAAGAAAGAAGAGAATGCTCGTTGCAAAATGAAAATCTACCAAGAATATCCATTATCTGGGAAACTCGCTGTAACTTCTGCACTTATCGCCTGCCCAGCCAAACTTATCTCTCTCCTCTCCTCAGCCTATTAGACTTTGCGTTAAGAACATCATCATATAGGACTCAATCTGCTGTAAGAACAGCAGCGAGATCCGGAAAACATGTAATAATAAATACTCTGTTCAGCAAAGAAATCGGATCAAACATGCCGTCCCCGAAAAGGAACTACGAACGCGCCAACGAACGCCCTCGTGATTCCAGTCGGGAACGTAGCGAACAGCGGGGACAAACTGGCAATCGTAGAAACGGTGGCCGAGGTAACCGCTCACGAAATGGCAGAGGTAGAAGAGGTTGGGGCGGACGTAACTGGAGCAACAATAATCGCGGAAACTGGTCAGGGAGTTATAACGATCGCTATAACGACTGGTATGACGATCGACGAGGATATTCCCAAAACGATGATTACTACGACGAAGGCTACGACGATAGCTACTCCAACGGAAATAGCTTTAATAGTGGATCCGGCTATGGGGATGACTATCGTGTCTATAGGGGCAGAGCTAACACGCGCCAATTCAATCGTGGCCCGAGAAGGGGCTATCGTGGTGGTGGTCGTGGAAGAGGCCGCGGCAGATCGAATAGGAATCAGCGTGATGAAAACAATGAACGGTCCTCGAATCATAGAAATAACCAAGGCAATGCCAGAAACGCCACTAGAAATGATAATGACACCCCTAGTAAGAAAAGAGCAAGAGATGAAGAGAATCTGCCTCAAGAAGGCAGGCAGCTGCCTGCCGATCCGACATCTCAATCAAATAAAAAAGCCAAGAAAGACTCTGTTCCGCGACCGAAGAACGCCAAATTCGTTGATTTATCGGACGAGTTCAAGAAAATTGAAGCAGAAAAATCACCTGAAAAATGGGACAAATATCAAGATGATGGCCCACTAACTTCTCTGGAGGCAGTCCTTCATGAAGACTCGCAGGATAAGTTTGAACCTGATGATCTCACTCCAGACGAAACTCCACTTATCATGCACGAGGTCAAACCAACGCTGGAAAAGAAAAATCCGAATACAGAATACCTCACACAATCCAGAAAAGATTTGGATAAAAACCCAACCAGTAAATCGATCATATATGAGAAGCTCAAATTAAGAGAACCCTCGTCTGATCTTGATGATTGCTGGTGGAGAGCGATGGTGGACTTTCGGGAAGGGCTAGCGGCATCCACAAGACCTCTGGTCATGGACTTGGATCATTATCCGGAAAGATGGAGGTCTGTCGAATACGCTGGACACATTCTGTTAAACGCTACTGGGAAAGTCCTGATCGATATATTCACAAAGTGCAACATTCGACCGGCCGATATCCGCGACGCCATCGTTAATGACAAGCAAGGGAGAACTACCACGATGCATGGATTCCGCTACACAGATGAAACTAGAAATTTCACGGTCAAAGGCATCGTATTTAAAACCTTCAGAGCCTTCGCCATCTTCGTCCACTTTGGCGGCAACGCCATGGCCGCATCCGAGCCTCTGAAATACGCATATAAACTCCCATTCATGGCTACATGCTGGACACAAAAAGAAGAGGATGGAGAGTTCGTTCATGAATGCAATCTCACGCACTCCGGAGACTTCTACGATGTTGTCAGGAAGCTTGTCAGCCGCGGCTGGGAGTTTCAGAGAGGCAAATACCTAAAGCTGCTTACATTTCACCAGAACTCTTCTGTTCTTGGAGTGATTCCGTTTAAACGTATCTTTGACTTCGCAATCAAGAAGATGAAATTCGGAAGAGTAGACGCCGGCTTGGAAAGGCAACGAATGGGCTCCAATTTCACCTATCAATTCGTCCCAATAAGCTCTGAGCAAAGACGAGTGATAGGAAAGGGCATCATTCACCCAATGCTACAAACACTGACTGAGGCGGCTGAAGCTGTTGGTTTTCAGTGCTCCTTGAACCCACTATACTCTATTGCCACAGACAAGCTTATACAAAAGTTAATAAAGGAGCAGAATAAGCACGCAGACAGATGTGGACCGTCGATGACAGCTTCGGCGCTTGAAGGCTTCGGTGGTGACAAGGAGAAGCTCGCGAAGGCTAAAATGGTCACAAACGCAGTTTCGGTGGCATGTGAAATGCCAAAATTTCAATCTGCAATTGACACGACAATAGGGAAATGCAGGCGCTTCGTCAACCTGGACACAACTGTTCAAGATATGAAAAATAATCAGGAGGTTCACGAGGTCGAAATTGCGAACCTGGCGGAGCAGCAAAAAAGCCAACACGTGAATCAAACTGCTTTCAACATCGGGATCTTATCCCAACTCGGCGATATTAAAACTTGGGTTTGGGAGAATCTGAGCCAAGCTCAACGAGAAAAGTATTCCAAACATTCTGGAGTCCACGACTCGAATGGAGTGTACAAAGCTTTGGAGCAGGCAGCTACCTACGGATCTCAAGAATCAACGATGACAAAAGTAGCCAGGCTCGGAGGCTGCGAAACAGACCCAAATACAATTGACAGAATTGAGGTAAATGGAAAAGCGCACAAGATTGGTTCCATTTTTGCTCGAGATATGGGTGAAAGCCGCTCACAAATTCAAGACTCGATTTTGGGGCTTCTACCAGATGACAAGCGCCGCAAACGAAACCCATCTAACTCCCAGAACGAAAAGCAGATGATGGAACTTTCAATCCACGAAACTTTCGGACATGACATCGAAATGGCCGGTGAAAATACTCTGCTGACTGGCGAAATGAAAAGCTCATCGGAACAAAAGAAAAGGAACTCTTAAATGAAGAGGAGGAAACCTCCGAATCGGAAATGTCCGAATCAGAAGCTACGGAAGAATCCATTGATTCCCGAGTTTCAACCATTGAAGGCCAAAGGATGGAAGACAATAGTTCGCAAGCATCAAACCCCGAAGATATCTACAAGGACAGCATTCTGGGTATCGACCAAGACACCGTACAGGATTCGATGACGGAGTACGATGAGGCAGACCCAGAAAGAGGCAGGACCAAGATCTTCCAATATAAAGGAGCCGACAAGCTGAATAAAGGAGCGATAATCCTGCCGGGTCAGAATGGTCGTCTTAAACCCTTGGAGGCCATAGAACTATTACCTGAACTTGACAAAACAGTCACGTTGTACGAGAGTACAAAAGAGTTTATTCGGGTAGCGAAACCTGCTAGCATACAATCGGTGGAGATGCTTGCCGAAATGAATAACGAAGGAGACAAGCAATTCCATAAGATCCAGAGATACTTAGTCAGACACTCGCAGGTGTCTCAAGGCCAATCCAATTTGGCTACGAGACACTGGGTGGCGAGGATTGTCTCACACATCTCTCATATTGCCAAATACCTGGAGGAAGTGGCGGGAAACCGTGAAGAACAAGAAAAGTTTGGAATCGACGTTACCGACCAAGGATGGATCGACTTCCTGGCCGAAATAAGAATGTGCAATGTCAAGTTGAATGACCTGGAGTATGTAAGTGCTCTGTTTCTAACCGGCTCGGGGAAAGCAATCATCGCTTACATCCCTTGTCCAAGGAATGAGATGCACATCAATCTCATCACCAGCATCAAAGGCCTGAGCAGCGATGACTTCGGCAACTTCAACTGGCTATCATACATTCGTCTCATCAAACTCCAGATGGCTGTTCTCGCAACTTCCAACTATTTGAGATTATATCACATCCAAGCTTGGGACAAGTCAGCAATCCGATCCCCTCTCGCGAATGGAAAACCGCATTACGCTGTAGTCTGCCGAGTAAGTGACATGGAAGTAAATGCGAGAAAGAGCATGATTAGAGAGTTTATTAAAAATACTGCCATGGTTGATTTTGGTTTCGAATGGGATACTCCGCTAAATATAATTTATAGAGAATCAAATAATAATTCGACTCTAAAAACATTCCTAAATGAAGTAAATAATAAACTATTTAAAGAAGTAAGGGGAGCGGGCTTCGACGCATGGCTTGAGAACCCGAGATATATTATAACATGTGATTCTAGAGGCATTACAAATCGCGAGGAACCACTTACTCTGAACGATCCAACTAAGGCAGGCACCCCGCCTGCCTCTTCTGATGATGATGACAACCCCTCGATAACTTCACCAATGCCTCATTCTGATCACAGCAACGAAAAATTAAATCAGCGAAGAAAATACAGAGAGGAAAAGAAAAACTGGAGAGAGACTAAGAGAACTGAGAAGGTAACATCTTTAATGAAAAAAGGAATTGCTCCAAATTTTGCAATTGATGATAACATTATGGGCCCAAAGGAATTTTTAAAATACTGCGGAATCCCCGATGACCTAATAAATAAACTTAAACCTCCAGTAATTAGGGCTACTAGCCTTAACAAAACCAATAGAAGTAACAAAGAAGTAGTAAGTGAGCATAACTCCAAAATTAAGGGGCCAAGGAAGTTTAGAGCTATTCTCTCTAACCTTGGAGGAAGAATCCGAATGAAAGACATCATCAATCTCATTGAAGATAGTCCTAATGTGGAATGCTTCATAATTTCGGAAATCTATGCAAGTAAAGCCTATTTTGATGACAAAAAGTCGTGGCCCGATGGATGGAAAATAATCACTCCAAATGGGGTTCAGTCTGAGAATGAGGCACATAAAGACTTAATTTTTACTATGATAGTTATCAAATCAGACTTTAAAATCACAAACATTCAAACACTCACGCAAAACCTTGCAGCAACAGTTACCTATGATGATAATGAACTTAATCTCCTCGCAGTTTATAACTTTTGCAATAACTCTACTGACGCCTATAATAAATTCTTCAAAACAGACAGAAGTAGATTTATTGATGATCTTAAGACTTTCGGGTCTACCTACACGGATAAATCACTAATCGGGGGTGACTTTAATGCTCAATTGTGTAGAGCGCGCCCCGGGGAAAAGACCAAAGTATCTGAGATCAATAAATGTTTGGTAGACAACGATTTCGAGCTACTGACCAACTTCGACACCTTCAAGAGAACCCTGAAGAATGGCAAAAAAATCAGCTCGTCAATTGATCATATCTGTACTAGGAACATCCAGGTAGAAAAATTATATCCACTCAAACAGCATCAAACTCTAGGCACAGACGGCCATGTCGGAGTGTATGTTGAAATCGACATGTCCACCGGTGACGATGAGAAATGGACCCGGAAAATGATAACTGAACCACTGCCCCTTGAGGAAGGATATAAACACGCCATGGAACTGACCCTCGAATGCCACCGCATGAAGCAGGCAGATGCCTGCCTGGATAAACTAGAAACAGGTAATAAGCTGCTAAATCGTTATGCCGAAATAATGCGACCCGAAAAAGAAATTGTGGTACGCACCAATAAGTATAGAATAGCCAAGAGTGACCGTACTAAAGAATACATAAGCCACAATATAGCCCTGGGCGAACTCATAGACGAATTCGAAAACGAACAGTTTCGTTACAAGCGAAAATCTAAGATAAGAGCAAAGCTCAAAGCCTCAGCGACAAAACTTAGATCCATTATCGTACGGTTAAGGGCTGCGGACCAACGGAAACAAGCGACAAATGTGGACAAGATCGGTGACGTGGATATCAACACGTCATGGAAGGTGTTCGGCGCTGTGGTGAAAAACGCCAACCAACAGTCCATCGAGCAAGAGATTGAAACTGTAGCCGACTCGCTCGTCTCTTTGCAGCTACTCTCCGTTCCCCCGAAAGAGGCAGAACCTCCACCTGCTAGAAAAAAACTGCCGGTAAGCGAGCGATTATGTCTTGAACGCTTCAAGTTTCATGACAATACTAAAATTTCCAGCTTTCTCAAAGCATTTAAAAGCTCCTCTAAAGATACAAAGGATGAGAAAAAGATAAATAAAAGCTTGATTCAGAGTCTGCCGACCGCTGGAATCTCGAGCCTTATGCTGGATCCGATCAGACTCGCCATCGAAGAAGGTAGGTTTCTGGAGGACTGGAGGGAAAATCGGGTAACGCCGCTTGTTAAGCCCAACGGGCGATTGCGCCCGATAACTATAGCGGCTTATTTAGGGGGGTTGGTGGAGAAAATCATATGCTGTAGCATAACTGATTTTCTGTTCCACAAGAACTTAATCCCCGCGAGCCAGTTTGGCTTCAGGCCACTGCATTCTTGCGGTGCAGCCATCAATCATGTTGAGAGAGTAGTTAACTCTAAAACATGGTTGGAGTCTGAAGCCAACTGGGCGAAAGGGCACGAATGGTGGGGGTGCGTAACAGTTGACGCCAAAAATGCGTTCGGCGTCGTCCCGCACAAAGAGCTGTTGGAGGCCCTAGAGTGCGTGGCGGCGCCGGACGTAGTTAGGCTTATTAAAGCCTTCCTACCAAGATCCTTCAGGGCCACGGTAAATGGATTCAAAAGCTCCCCGAGGCAGCTCCCCAAGTGGGGGCTGCCTCAGGGGAGTGCCCTCTCCCCTATTCTCTTTTCTTTCTATACCGCACCGATAATTGACGAATTTGTAGTCGATCCGGCGGACGATGGAGAGGAACTCGAAGACGAGGAGGAGTGCAGCGACATTCACCAGGGCGATGCCGACTTATGGGGCAACAACGACGACATCATCGTTATCTCCGGTAAGAGGAAGTGCTCACACGGTGTGCCAAAGTCGAAAGGATCAATAACCGTATTCGCAGACGATTGCCTGCTGAAAACCTGCGGTGGATCCATGATGGACACCGTAGGCAGCATGCAGAGATCAGCCACGAGAATGCTCAAGCTCTTCAGGAGACTAGGGATTAAGACGGAATCCAGCAAAACAACTGCCCTTCTTTTCAGTAAGTCGCTTAAAAACATTTCTGTTAAAGAATACGTAAACGCCTTCAATGCAGAACAACTAGCCAAAGCAGGAGCAGGCGACGTCAGTCACCCTGCCAACAAGAAAGCAGGCAGCGACCTACTTAAAGATCACTTAATAATTGAAGGAAATAAAATCGAATTTGTCAGCTCGACAAAATATTTAGGAGTGATGCTAGATACCCACGAGGGAAAGCTAGGATACTCCCAGAATTCAAAGTATCTAAAACATAAATTCAGGGCGGTTTCTGAAAGGCTGAAAAATATTAGCTCAGGGATACCAAGAGAATCTTTAGCAATTATGACCAGAGGGCTCTTAGGAGGCTCGCTACTGCATGGTAGCGACTATCTGCCTTTTCCCTCAGCTGAAGATCTCAATGTCCTACAGAAACAGTATATAAGTACAGCCATGAACAGGAGAACTAAGCCCATTTGGCAGATTCTCAAGGAAAAAAATGACGGCACATACGTATCTCATTTCGACTGGGCTGCAAAAGCCAGAGAAATCCTCATTAAGAGGAAGGGTTTCATAGCCCTTCCTGAAAAGGGACTTGAAGAACTAGCCTTGATCAGACAACCCACGCTAGCGCTAATGATAGTAAAGCAAGCCATTAATAGCATTTTTAAGATCTACAGATATAAAACCCCTATGTTTGCCAGAGATATTGTTTTGGATTGCCTGGTAATTACAGATAACTCGGGTAAATTTATCTGCAATTTACCAGACTTCTTTTTCGAGCATAAACAATTTTACTCTGATAAAATACAAGAACTCAGATTTGACAATGATAGACTTAACGGTATGATGAATAAAGAAGAATGGGAACATTATAGGTTATTTAAATTCATGTCAATGAAAACAAAAACTCTGCTGGACACGGGAGTCATTGAAATAAGAATGCAACACCCAAAAAGCAAGTCACATTTTGGCTATTTGGTCAATAAAAACAACTGGCCCTACAATACGATTGATCCATTTAATTCACTAACAAAAACTACAAGAAATAGTTTTATAACCGATTTTTTCCCAAGCAACCTCAAAGCAGAAACTGAAGGAGCACATATCCATTACGGTTACAGTTTTACTTGCAAAGAGTGTCGTCAGGAAAAACCATCTGATTACGATAGTGAAATGATGGATCATGAAATTAACATAATCATCATTATGACCTGGCTAAATCCGTTAAGATGGGAGGGAGTCCTTTGGATCCCTCCGTTGATAATGCAAGATTACATTAGGCAAGTTGCGATTCATGCTCATCAAATATCCTCTAAAGAACTTATAAAAGGACTACTCTTGGGAAACGCCCCTGGGGCCTTTGACGTCCGGAAATGGCTTCGGGAAGTCAAAAACCGGATATGGAGTACCCTACAAGTCAAAGTTTTCAAGTCAAACCACAGATAAAGTTCTCTCCTTTCAAACAGCATATTTGACACTAATTTGCCTAAAACAGGTTCAAACTAATCTATTACCCCCTGCAGGTTGAGCAAAAAATTAAGCAGGCAGCTGCCTGCATTAAAAGAATATAATACACTCATTCAACACTCCAGTTACCATGACTTACATTTTTATTCAGAGTTCGTATGTATCGAACAACGAGTGAAGTGTGTACAAGAAGGTGTTGATGCCAAGTATATGGACGAACTGGTCGCCTACTTTCCCACGGTTCGGAAAATGATCCTTATCAGCCGTGCCCTTCTGGAAAACCCGAGTTTCATAACATGGCTCAACGACTTCCAATTAATACCCAGCGGGATAGGAACAGCCTTAGGCTTATTCGTGGAAGACTGTGACGACAGGGAAGAATTTGGTCTCGACGTCTCTGTACCTGACTCCTTAGCGCATAGGATGAAACAATATGCAGCAACCTATTCGAATCGATTCAAAGATCAAGAGGAGGTCGAGGACTTTATTCTGGATGGAATCAAAAAGCCGAAAGATACGAATCTGGACGTATCGACAGCCTTCAAACTATTTAAATGGATAGAAGGCGGAGGAATTCGTCTCTCAAAAACTACGGCTTCGCTTAATCGTTTGGAACGTTCAGAAGGACAAAGAGAATGGAAGCTCCCCTCGATACAGGATAAGTTCTATCGTTTGGCAAGTCGTGTTATCTTCGGTGAATACAACATCCCTCCGACAATGATGGCTGGATGGGCTCTTCCTCTCGCGAAGGATAAGGAAATCAAGCCACTTCTTGATGAAATTACAATATCATCTGGGTCAGTGAAGCGCTTCTGTCAAGCTCTGACTATGCGACCCGGTGCAATAGCTACAGTCGGTTTGATCTCAACCCTCTACGCGGAAGTGGAAAAAGCTGGTGGTTTCGTATCGAATGGATTGGATCTCCAGTGGAAAATTGTGGACTCAATCTCCAGCATCATGGACCATCCAAGCCTATATGAGATAAGGCAGCTGCCTGCATCAACCACTGATACCATACTCGCACGTTGTGGGGGAACACGCCAAGATGTTCGCGGAACTAATGGAATCTTTACCTGGGAATCCGAAATGAGCCGCTTCCTTGGGAAGAGCCTTGAGAAGACCCTAACTCTTGATATGGTGCTGAAGAAAAGACTCGGCTCCTCGCTGTATAGTTTTGTTAACGCATTTGTTTACAGCGGGCTGTCTGACGTTTGTTCTGTCTGCGACGCGACCAAACTTGCCAGCCATGAAGCTAGAAACGATGATGAAATCTTCAAACGCTTCGAACTGTTCCGGTCATTCCTGTCGATCAGTACAGAAAAAATATGGCGTGCAGTTAAAGGTCAGTGGTCAAGCGACTCGAATAACTCTCTGTACTCTCACCGCTACTTTTCACTTCACTCCGCGTTAACCACCAATCTTGAGAATCTCAACTATCTCGCACTATGGCGTCTCTTTAATACCTCCATTTTCAAAATCCCCCATCATCCCTGTCTAGTTCGTTCGATAAGCTTTCTCAATAACCCTAGAATTGGAGGCGAAAGCCTTGCTCTTTTGTACTCCAACTGCGCACACGTCTTGTGCTTGGTGTGCACTTTATCGTTTAAAGCTAGAATTAAACAAAGGGAAAATGATTTAGAACAACAAGATAGGGATAAAAACAAAGATATCATTAAAGCGCGTCTGAAAGGATGGCGGGAGATTGAGCTTTGCCTCACTGATACGTCCCGGAAAAGGGCCGCATCAGGAACTAAAAGAGCGATTAAGAAACTCAAGCAAACTCTTGAACCCTATAGGAAAAATCTCTCATCTCCTATTAATGACAAGCTGAGAAAATTGATCAAATGTGCTAAATTACTACCGTTCACGTTCATTGGAGTGTTCGCAAAAGACATGTTCGATGAAGACGTTAACGAAATTACTGGTAAAATAACCGAGCTAACGTCAATGCTAAATGATCAACTCAGCGGTAATTCACAAAGATGGAGTGAACTTTCGGGGAATAAGCACACTTTTTCATCGTTAAGAATCATTCAGTGCTCTAATGAAGGCACAATTACCTCTAACCTGAGTCTAAATTTTAATTCAGGACCTCTGAATGATCAACTTTGGATGAATGTGCTCCTCAAAAGTCTGGGAGACAAAAACGGCCCTTCTGAAGAAATAAACCCTAAGTGGGTCAGCAATGCACTGATCAGCAAGCTATTCGACCCTGACTCAACCCGCCATAACGGCTCCAAGAAGAGGAAAAGGGAAGAATATGACCTGCTTGCAATAAGAAATGAAATTCTTCAACTGTGCCCACTCACTGACCAACTGAATGCCAAGAGGATAAAGTTGGATGAAAACGAGTCAGATCATAACGAACCGCCATCACTGGAATCGTTATAATACTTCCCTCCTCAAATCATGTTCTCTTTAAAGCTCTCCAAGTACAACACTTGTTTTGTTTATTGTAGTTCTTTTTTTTACCTCTGTCCAATAACGTGAATCTCTAAGACCAAAAAAACTAGTAAAAATCATTTGCAGAGAGCCACAACAGCTAATTATCTGTAAATACCCCCTCTGTAATTTCTCGCTCTCCTTATCACGTGGGCACCAATATCTCTGCATATCAAAACAAAAATACTTTCTTTAGCGGAATTACTTACTTTCTCACGAAATCGCTGAATCTGCGAATTCCCTTTTATTTACTCTGTTGTTTGTTCTTTAGGTGTATTTACCAATATGTTACTTCCTGTGTTACTAAAAACTTTACCAAAAGTCATCATCATTAATAAACTCAAAATAAAAAAGATTCAAAACAGATTTTCCATATAAATCTGTTGTCTTGAACTAAAGCAGGCAGTGACCTGCCTCTAATGTGTATGATGAAAGCTTGTTTTATTATTCATGCAGGAAGGTACATGGAACAAGTACAGGATTACTTTCGAGCAGCGGGAATCTTTACAGATTCAAGCAGGGATAGATACTTGACATCCAAACCAACCGGGTGGCTTTGTCGAGGTGAAAGAAGCATCGGTGAGCTGTCTGGTGTCATCGGGAAGAAGTGACTGTTGAGTAGAGGGACTCGGGGGTGTGTGTTCCGACGCTTGTTCGACTTACTCTGACGAAGAAACACTCCCAATACCCGGCGGCCGTAAATTGTCCCAAGTCTACTGAGCTCTGTTAAGCTCCATCCGTACTTGAGAAAGGCCTTCAGCAGAGGAGTAGGCTCCATTTGTGCAGCCACATGCTTACTCTCGTGGTAGAAAGGAGAGCCCATATCTAAACAATAAAAGTTTTATAATCTTCTCTAACCCGTCATATCAGTAAAATGTGATATTTTAAAACTGGAAGAACACTGATAATTACCCTTAAAAAGGCGATCCAAGTAAGTGGTGGGGAGCTCAAGGCCGATAACACAATTAGCACTCGTCTGCCCAGTCCTTTCTGGTTCCACTGGGTTATTCAGTATCGTAAGGTACTTGGCAGATAAACCACGGAATCGGTCGTCGGTCTAAATTTAAGATGGTTAATACCATCATAAAAGGAGAATCCTGTGTTAATATCGAGACGCTACCTTTTCCAATGTTCTCTGAGATGATAGAACAGTCAGCATCCTACGATATCCAGCCTGATTTGCGTGGCATCGCATGAAACAGAATCGATGCTGGCAGGTGTTGTGGAACGTCTTGTTTGGCTCCAGTGGAAACAATATGGTCTCCAATGCAACCTCCGAGCAGCCGGGAGTATGGAAGTAATGGACCAGCTTGTCCAGATACTTCTGGCGATCCTCATGAAACAATCCAAGATCGGTAGGATTGTCGTGTAGTGTGTAAAAAGTTCTCGCTCTCCTGAGGTTGGAATACAACTCAGAATTGAAGCCATATTGTGGGTCGCGACGCACAGATCGAAGAAAGGAATGAAACGCGGTGTGGCAAACCTCCTGTAAACTAAACAATGAAATCTCGTTAGGATAAGTTGTAATTAGGTGGTTATTTTACCTGGGATGTGTATCGGGTCTTAATACTATCGAAGGATACTCGGTGGAGCAAAGACAGGCTGGTAATGCTGAATCAACACTCAGCTTAGGCAGGTTGGACTCCTCCCGGGTGAAGCTATTATCGCAATACTTCTTTTCGAGCCTTGAAATCTCGGTGAAGTAGGACATGAGTCTGGCGCAGTGACTGGCAGTTACATCAGTCATTAGGACGAATAGATCACCAGAAGACGGTTGTGACACAACGCGGAAACCCAAACAGCTCAACAAAGACATAATTTGGCCATACTGTTGAAGATAGCGGGAGTGAAACTAAAATAATAATATAAGAAATCAATCCTTAATCGATTCAATTCGTTGCTGTCCGAAAATCCATTCTCTATTAGACAAAACATACTAAAAATGTATTCTGATTTCTAAAGGCCTACCTCGCTGTTCTCCGACTTGAGTGGAGCAGGAAAATGAACTCGTAGATATTCTCCAAGGGTCCCGAAATGCAGCGACTGTCCAACAACGAGATTGCTTGGGGCCTGGCCGTGATTCACTAATTGAGGATGAGTGGGCGCGACGAAGGTATGGGAGTCAAATAAAGACTCGCCGAGGAGCGATAAACTTTGCTCCATTTTGTAAGCAAGATCAAAATCATCGAGACTCTCGACCAACAGCCGATGTCTGCCGTGTTTCGCTACATGGTACAAGCGATCGGCGATGGAGTGCAGAACCGGCAGTCTGAATTAGGATTTAACAAATAGCTATAAACTGATAAATAAAATAAGAACCCTACTCTCCCCTCTACCCCATTATATTCTTATGAACTATAATAACAAATCTTACATTGATTCGGTCAAACCAGCAACAACGGTGCTATGCCTCAACAAGCACGGTCCTGCAGTAACGCATCGAATTGAACTGCATATGGGCTGACGCCAGGAAGCACGGTCGGCTGAGGGCTCAGAACGACACCAAGTGGAAGGTATGGCTTGAAGCGCGATATCATTGCACAATGCTGCCTTGAACCTTGTTTGGCGATTCTGGAAGTAGTAGAAATCCATTTTCTAAACGGAAAGTTTAAACAAGTTGAGAAGGCAGGCAGTTGCCTACCGCTTGGAGTGTAGCAATAGCCTCGTCCTTTAAAAGCTTTCCTAGTATAACAGGGGCTTTAGTGAGGTCTGTTCGAGAAAAGGGAGCGACCATTGTCACATGATCATGATAAGCTTTATCGAAAAGATCAGGTTGAGACAAGTAAGGTAGAGGCGTGGGTTCATCAGGGTTACGATTCTCATAATTGGGCAAGTCAGTCTTGAAATGATGAAGCCATGAAGCTGAAATAAAATATTAAGCTTTAAAAGCAAGAACGCTTGGTAACACTTACAGTATCCACCAACCACTCTAGCACCCTTGATTTTCTTGGCGAGATCAGCGGGGAGTTGTGCTTGGGGTGAGTCTCCAACAGTCTTGAAATACTCTTGGAATGCAACAACTCTACACTTGTGTTTCTCGACGCTAGTCGCAGGGGAAGGCAACAGTTGAGTTGCCGTTATCAAAGCGAGACGAATAGACGCAGTCTCATCACTTGGGGTCGTTCTATACTCGACTCGAACTTTAGACTTGTCCAACTCGTTGAAATAGATCAGTTGGTAGTCGGTTGTGTCGCTGTACCTTCCCCAAACACGAGGTGGCAGATCAACAGGAAATACATGCCCGACGTTATTTCCAGAAGGCTCACCAGTTGGCTGTAATAAAGTCGTTACCATGGCAGTTGTTTCATCGTGAAGTAATTGCAGAAAATTGACAGGCTCGACACCAATTCGCTCCAAGTTCACTGCAGGAGGATCTTCAAACTCCGCCTGGGAATCGCCTTGGACGGTATTGTCGGATGGCACAGGAGGAATATAAGTCATCGGTGGAGCACCACTCTGCTGCTCACGATAAAGAGTACTTGCCGAGGCTTGAACAGAGGTAGCTGCCTGCATTGGGTAGGCAGTATTCGGACGGAAATGCTGGAGAACTCCAGCAGCCTCTGCGAATCCAACTAGAAATAATATTGTTTAATGAAATGGAATGAAATATATTATTAAGAATATTGAGATTAGCTATGATTTCCTTACCAGAATTAGGCAGACGGATGGTTTCAGCGTGAGTCCCCTGAATTATGACGAGGTAACAATGAATAGGTTGAGCTGAGGTGGAGCTGGCGGGGTTATTCTGCAAGCCTTCCACATCAATCTCATCATTTTCATCTAGACTGATGTCGTGATGACCTGGTCCAAGGGAGCCATGATTGGACAAAATATCCATCTCAGAATCACCAGGTGCAGGGTGCACGGTCCCATGATCGGAGAAAGCTGTACTGGGAGTATGGGGATAGTTAGAAGACGTGGGCGAATAATGAGGCTGAGATTCAGGAAGAACGGTTGATTGCCCTTGCGCCGCGTCCTGAAGTGTCTTCTGCTGCGTAGTCTCCATCTTCTTCTGCTCCTCCAGCTCGCGTGAAATTCTCTCTTTTTCCAACTCTTTTTCCTTTTCGGCTTGTTCGGTGGCTAATCGCTCTGCTTGAAGTCTTTGTTCTTCCCTCTCTCGTTCTTCTCGCTCGCGCTCCTCCTGACGAATTCGCTGGATGTTTCCTGACATCAAGTCATAAAATTCCAAGGAACGAAGAGTATAAATCTCACACCGAGATGCAACAGGGATTTTACAAGGAGGTTCATCAACTAAAGTGTTCAGTTAGGAGAAATTCCTCGCTCTCAACCATATCTATCGAGTTCAAGAGCTCACTCCTTACAAGAATTAATGATCAAGCCGTCACCTGGTTCATTTGCAGCCTGATTGTCGGCAGTCCACGAATAAAACTGACGGCGATACTCTAAGTGATGTGGCAATGTCGACCAGGTGATAGTAGTTGGAGCAGGCTCTTTTCGATTAGTCAATATGTGGTTAACGCGCGTGAACAACTGCAGATTGGGTGGCATATTAGTCAATAATTGCTTCAGCAGTTCGGGCGAAAGCACTCGGAATAAGCGCTAAAACAAGAATAAGAACTCTTATTAATAACAAAGAATAACTTACCTGAAGGTGGAAGCAGATCAAATTTCTTAATGATTCGCTTAATGACTTCTCCAACAGATTCTTGTTGAAAACAGCCTCCAGAGAAGCCATCAAAGGAGACACCTCATCCTCATCAACAAGTGGTAGTAGACTGTGAAAAATAAATAAGTAAATATTAATGAAGAGGTATGCAGGCAGGAACCTACCTGTTCTGGAGTGTGTTCTTGCTGTCAGATGTCTGATCTTCGGGCTTTTGATACAAGATTCGCTCAAGGTAGCGTCCCATAAATGCCCCAACGAATCTCAGCATGGAGGAAGTCTTCTGATGCAGCAATTGTGAATCCTGGAGGCTAGGATCAAGAAGATCGAGATGTACTCCCTTCAATACAGTGCGGGATATTTGTGTATCTTGTGGGTCGTACATTGAAACCAAGCTTGGAACAAAAGAGGAAATGAAGTGATACAAACTTCTGAGCTTGGTGTTATCGTCATTAAGAGCGCGGTTAGTTGAACCAAGCAAGAACTAAAATAGTTTTGGTCAGAAATTAATAGTTATTCTAGGGCTTTATATAACCATTTAAGAGCAAATTAATTACATACATAGTATAGTAACTCCGTTACGTGATAAAGCGACTCTGCCCAGGGCTGCACAGTTTCCCAGTTGCTCTCCTCATCGTCAGAGTTAGGCTCGGCGAGCAAAGAATCCTCAGCGGGAACGATAGGAGGTCGAGTTTCGTTGGCGGGGAGTGGCAGACCGGGATGCTTTAATCTACGAACTGGATCGGGCCCACAGTCGACCACATCTTCTTGCTCTTCGGTTGATTGAACCAAGCTTGCCTCGGCAGCGGTGATCTCTTGTTCAGTGGGTGGACTTCTTTCTAGAACACATGTTTTGATGAGAGCAAGCAAATCTAAGTTTCTTACCAGTTGCATCTCGTTGCTCCAAATCCTCGGAAGTAAGCTGAGGTTGGCTACTGCCTGCCTCGGTAGGCAGCTGCGTATCTGTCTCCATTTCTTCGGGGTCAGCCGGTTTGGCGGTGGAGACACCCTCAAGCTTCTTATCGGCTTTGCGCATTTTGGAAAGACGAGCTGACTTGCGGAGTTGCGAAGATCCCCTCTGGGGTGTCTTTTTGACCTTTCCGAATCCAGCGCGGGGTCGTACTTTCATGGTGTCGGCAACCTTGAGAACATCGGATAGAGTTGGGCGTCCCTTGCTCGTCTGAGTAGACTTTTTACCACGAGATTGCTCAATTGGCTCCATCACCATCGACGCATCTGACGGTAGCTGGGGGAATGAGTCATTTAAGCTCATAAGGTAAAACTCTAGCTCCAAAGAAGTTGGAAACGTTCCGAACTCATCGAAGTATTCCAATTCCTCGCAAGTGTAGTCGGAAAGAATCTATAAAATAAAATAAAGCCTCTAAGTCTAAAGTGAACTTAATTCAAATCCAACACATTCTATATGAAAAAATTTAAAATAATTAGAATGATTATCCAATAATAATTACTTTCTGCCTCAAATAATTATATGAAAGCCAGCTTTTCTCTGTTTTCTAGTAACTCGAAAGAATCTAAGAGCTCGAAAAATTGTTATGCCTCTTGACCATCGGCTGCGATCAACGCAATATGAATCATTTGATTTATGCATTGTCAGCTTTTGGCAGAAAAATAAAATAGATCTACTAGCATGAATCAACAGGAAGGCATGTGGTATCTCTGGATAGCCCATTGTCATTTAACCTTATAGGAGTTTAGATTACTGATATAAAGTAATCATTCAAAATATTTATGAAATATGATAAACCTTAAACTGAAACTTTATCACGCTCCTATTCAACACTCACCTCGTAATAATTTCCAGTAAATGGCTCCATGTGTTAACCCTCGGAGGTCCAAGAATGAACTGAAGACGCGGGGCGCAAAAATCACAATAACACCACGCATTCTAGAGAATGTCATGATTATTGCATTCCCCGCCCAGTGAAAATCAACAACACGAACCGTCATCTCAACAACACAGCAACGAAAACAGGCGAAGACATGAACTCCAGGAATCTACAAATCATATTTATTTTAGCCACGTTAGATATGTTATTATCAGCTTGTACACCAGTTTGTGTATCTGCTACGTCTCACTGCTATTTCTCTCTTCTCCTAATTATTTATTTATACCTTACACATATTGATGTACAATTCTTATTAGTTACTTTTCCATGTATGTTTAATGCTTGCTACTACATTATACTCTCCTTATGACCATTAGTATTTTATTACGTAGGTATTTACTCTTATCATTTATTTATTTATACTATATATCTCGTATTTTCCCTCAGGGCTATACTTTCACACTTTTTGGCTGGCAGTCTGCTTAAACCATCTGGGTTTACAGGCCTACAGCGGCTCTGGATGAGCGCACGGGATTCGATTGAATTCCTTTAGGCAGGCAGCTGCCTGCATTTGTTTGCGGGCAGAGGCCTTCCTCCATCACTTTCTCACCTGGTGTGCATATATCTATGTATATGACATACTGTAGCTACTTACACATTCCTGACATGGACCCATCCTCCCCGTACCCACTCATATTTCATCCCCAACACAGCCCTACTCTTTTTACGTTATCATCACTCTTTTGTTTCTGTTCTGTTTATTCTTTTATTTCCATTTTCTGTGCACAGGCTTCTAACCACGTGATTAGTTGCTTAAATAAACTCAAATATTAAAAAAAAAATCGGCGCGCTCGTTGTTCACTTTCAAAAACAATTTGGGCTGGATGTTTGAAATATAGGCTCGCGCCAAAGGGAAAGTAACGCTGTAGGAATATGCAAAAATGTTCAAATTCAGTGAAACTTAGACCCCATATATAACTTTTTCCGCTGATTACGAATATGTAAAAATTATTTTGAGATTCGGGGCAATTAGCTATTTATGATTGACAGATCATCGTTCAAGTAACTAGCACATTTTGGGCGTAATAGTTGCCTATAAATTCGATATTTTTTGCAAACAGGTAGCTTACCACTTCCGAGAACTGTTTTGTTTGGATCACCCGGTGATTTTTGTTACAGTAGGTCAGAGTGTGCACCCACTGAGATTATGGGGCCTTTCAGGTACCCCGGGGAGCGCGCAAAGCACAAGCGCACTGCCACTTACACTCAGTCATCTAAACACCGCGTCTACCTGATAAAGTCCCTAACTAGGCAGCTAGGATAATCTGAAATATTTTCTGCTGAGTTGTTTCTTGAAAACTAAGATTATAAAGATATCTAAAAATTATTTGGATAATAACATCTTTTTTGATAAATCAAATATGATATTTAAATCATTTACTTAGAATGGCGACGTAGGGTACTAATTTGTTTATTTCTATGAGGCGAGGACCGCGAACTTGTTGGTGAACAACCGAGCGCCCGTTGTTAACAACCGGCTCCCGTTGCGCACAACTGTCCGCGGAGGGTGGCGCAACATCCAGCCCACCGTTGTTTTCTCGCGCAAACATCTAGGGCGCGGGGGTTGAAAGCGAGAGGGGGCGCCAAAACAACCGCCGCGCATCCAATTTTTCGAGACCCTGGTCTGGACTAGTGTTGGCAGTGATCCAATGTTAGTCCGTTTTCAGAGTCCGAAGTGCTCATTCGTCTCCGAGACTTGGTCAATGTTGTCTACTGCACCACCAATAAGACTGACACGCCCTTAACGCTAAGCGATCCATTCTACGATCTGAGGGATTCGATCGGAAATCTAGAACTTCTGGTAAGGACTTAGGATACTTCAGACGCTAACAAATACACTAGATCCTGCGAGTTCTGAACTTTCATGTCCCAAAGCCTGAATTTTTCGACTTGACATGCCACTATCTTTTCGTCATTGAAAAGTGGTTCCACGGAAGGCCAACTCAGAACAACCATCCTGCCGTTACTGTATTCAAGGCAGTAGCAAAATCATCAGGCAAGAGAAATGTAGGAAGATTCTTATTTACCGAGTTTTCAGTTAGCTTTTTGATGGACGGACTTCACCGGCCGGAAATCATCCACTTCGAACAAAAAGCGGTTGCGATTGCGTGTATTGATCTTGCCCTCAAAGTTCATGGGGCGCAAATACCTCTAGGTAATTATTCTAGCGGTCCAGCGAGAAGTTAAATATTTTTATTTTTCAAGATGAATATTGCGAGAAATCTTGGAGAAAAGCCATCTGCCCAGATGTGGAGTATTCAACGATTAAAAAGATTCAAGAAACAATCAACTTAGTCTATGAAGAAGATGAGCCCAAGTGGCAAGCTTTAATCTGATCTCTCTGTACAAATCTTTCATTGTATCTACTGCCTTGATTCGCGAATAAACTTGATATTTTAAGAGATAATGCGAAATCGTCCATTGTTATGTTGTCTTGTCACTTTATCTACTTTCTTCTCCATGATCTGGCTCCTAGCTCAAATTGAAAAAGACAGAAGATTCGTCCAGTTTGCCTTGGGAATCTGCCTCTTTGGGTCGTTCTTTGTTCTTCGAAATTTCACTTTGGCTTCGGTTGTAAGAGCAGCGTTCATTGGTGTGTTGTACAGCTGCAGTTGGGAAGTGCCTGAACCGCTTGATAGCTTTATTATCATTGTCTCAATTTTTCATCTAGGTATGACCAATTTCCTGTATCAAAATCACCGAAAATTTAAGGTGAATACCTGGCCGTAGCTCTTTCCAACCCAGCCCAACTCAAGTACACTTCCTTCTTACTCAACCACTCTCCCGCCTACCACGCTGCCATGGCCGCCGCTGTCATCGAATTCGCTGGGTTGCACGCTTTGTTTGGAACTGGATACGTTATTTCTGTCGTTTCCCGCTTTGGTTTCTATTTGACCTTGTTCGGAGATTTTATCAGAAAGTTGTCGATGATCTGGTGTGGGGCTGGCTTCACGCATTTGATCCAGTATCATCGAAGGTCGGAGCACAAACTGGTTACCAGTGGCCCGTATAGTTTGTGCAGACATCCTTCTTATTTTGGATGGGGATTGTGGTCCATTGCTTCTCAAGGTAAACATGATTGATTCGATCGTTGTTATACCTCATTTTAGTTTGCCTTTGCAACCCAGTCTGTATAATTATCTACACTGCTGCTACGTACACATTTTTCGCCGAAAGAATTCCTCACGAAGAGCAAACGCTACTGTACTTATTCGGAAGAGAATACGAAGAGTATCGCAAAAAAGTTCCATTTTCTGGAATTCCTTGGTTGGATTTGGAACATCCAGCTAATGATTGAATGATAAATCTGTATATTTTGAATTTCAAGCTTCTTTTTTTACTTTTTCTCGATTCAAGAATGGGCGAGCGTAGGTCGAAGACGAATTTGAGCAGAAATCTGCGAAGTATGAAATTCATGCGTCGCGCAGAGAGTGCGATTGATTTGGACGCAGAGGTAAAAAAGCGCTCTCTCAGCGAAAAGGGTTGTTGATTTCTTTACCTAGGCAGCAGAGTTGAAAACGCGGCCAGAACAGTGGTTCAGAGAAGTGCAGCCGTTGGAAGTGAAATTCAAGGAAGATGAAGATATTTCGATTGCAGAATGTATGGGGCTCAGGTAAAGCGGTTTTTGAAGGTATTGATTGATGATTGAATTTTTCTAGATGGGGAAGGGCAAGCTACGGCGGATTCAATAAGCCGCTGGAGAGACTTGCGGAAAGGATGAACAGACCAGAGGGCGAAGAAGAAGATGATTTGGGAGAGGATGTTAGTGCGATGGAAATGATCAAGAGAGCGAGGGAAAACGCAGATAGAGTCAACTGTAAGTTAATTTTGACTTCATGATACTTTTATCTTTTATTTTTAGATGATAATGACACCGATGAAATTGTATACGAGCCACTTTCGAAGAAGAAAAAGAGGCAGCTAGAAGCGGAAGATCCAGAGCCAGAAGATGATACGATGCAATTCAAGCGCCCAGAATAATAAACTGCTGCTTCCGCGCTGCTTTTTTCTGCCGCTCAAATCATGAGAAAGTAAATCAAGGAATTTATTTTTTTAGAATGTCAGTGAGCTTCGATTTGAAAGGTTCCGCATGGGCCGCCCAGATGCAGCAAGACTGCCCAAACGAAGCCGCAGAATACTGGTCAAAGCTTGAGTTGTATTCCAAGAAGAAATTGTGGCATCAGATGAGCCAGACGATCTTGGAGTTTATGGAGAAGCCGTTCTTTACTTGCTCCGCTTTGAATTTCTATGAGTGAGTTTCACTTTCCTAGAATCGATTTTTTACGCTTTTTCCAGGCAGTTTGTTTCCGAATATGAATCAAAGATGAAAAAGCTCTCCCTCGTCGAAGTCATCCAGCGCGCCGTCGCGAATATTTCCGAACTTGAAGATGCTGAAAAATTCCTCGAAAAGGCTGGATCCAAAGTTTCTGCCTGCCAGATGAGCACGATTTTGATCAAAGTTATTTTGGGCGCAACTATTTTGCGAATCAATGATGACAGAAAAAAGGTCAAGGAAATTATCGAAGAAGTCGAGAAAGAAATCGATGGTCTTGGAATTGTCCCTCAGGTTCACAGGTAAGGCATGGTTTTGGCCATCGGAAAATGAGGTCGTGTTTTAGTCGATTCTACGAGCTCGCTTCCAAACTTTATCAAATTGAAGCCAACCACGGACTTTACTACAAAAACTCGCTCAAATACCTTGGAGTCGCAGATGTGAAGTAATATTTTCTCAATTCTACAGCTTTTTTACTGTCTATTTAGATCACTTTCGGCTGAAGAAAAACAGGAAAAAGCCTTTTCTATTGGCATTTCCGCCCTTTTAGCTTCAGTAAGTCCCCGAATCTGACGAGAAATCAAGATCGTTTTAGGATGTGTACAACACGGGCGAACTTCTTCAGCACGATATCCTTGCCTCTCTTCAAAACACTCCAAACTCATGGCTCGTTGATCTCCTTCAAGCGTTCAATTCTGGCGATATTAATTTGTTCCAGTCCACTGCCTCCCAGTGGCAAACACAAGCTGATCTCAAGGTACCCTTCAACTTCATAAAACCTCCATCAAACTCACTTTTCCAAGGCGGCTAGTCAAAAACTCTACGAAAAAATGTGTCTCATGTGCTTGATGGAAATGACTTTTGTCCGACCTGCAAACGACCGTGCCCTTTCCTTCGCTGAAATCGCTGAGAAAACAAATCTTGCCAAGTCTGGTAAGAGCAAATATTTTTCAGATTCTTCATGGGTGGCATCAGACACGCCCAGAAAGCATTTGATCTTCCCATTTTCATTTTGAGATTGGACTTAAGCTTCAGAATTTTCTAGAGGAAATATAGGAAGCTAAAACTTGATTCTAGATGTAGAAAGTCTCATCATCCGCGCGTTATCGCTCAATCTTGTCAAAGGAACCATCGATGAGGTGGACGAAAAAGTGCATATGACCTGGGTGCAACCTAGAGTACTCTCCGTTGATCAGGTAAAAAGACTACGCCACCCACGCACCTTCCATACGAGTTCCTTTCCGTAGATCGACAGAATGCGCCACAGAATCAGCGACTGGGTCAAGGAAGTCGCCGAAACAGAGAAAATGATGGAAGAAAAGGCTCGCCCCATCCTCTCGCACTAAATTCCAGATTCGCTACTAGAGAAAAAATAAAGAAAAAAAACGAAAAAGAAAGTTTGTGTCACAATCTACCATTTTTTATATAAATATATTTTCTTCACTGTCAGATTATTACGTAAAAAGCCGATACACATGTAACAGTAACTGTAATTACCTGAGCAAGTGACTTCTTCTTTCCCTCAAATGGTTACTTATTTTAGTTCACGACGGGCAAATAAATCTATTGAATGAAAACCTTTACTTTCCTTGAAATCAACGAAGACTAACGGAAGTTTACATTTTCAGCATAAAACAGCATGACCCCAACTAAGAAGACCCGACACGAAAACGCTTTGGAAAGCCTGAAGGCTTTGACCACTGTTGTTGCCGACACTGCCGATTTCTCTGCCATGGATCTTTACAAGCCCACCGACGCTACTACCAATCCTTCACTTGTTCTCGCTGCCATGAAGGTTGAAGGTAATGTCTATCTTCCCTTCTCCTTTTCAACCTTTTAAGGATATGATAAGCACATCGAAGCCGCTGCCGAATACGCTAAGAAAGCCGAAGGAGATGACAAACTCGCCATTGCTGCTGACCACCTTTTTGTCGCTGTTGGAAATCAAGTTTTGGAGAAGATTCCAGGAAGAATCTCCGTCGAATGTGACGCTCGATTGAGCTACAACAAAGCAGAGACTCTCAAACGAGCTCACCGAATCATCAATTTGTTCAAAGAGCGAGGAGTCGGTACGTTATCTGACCAGATAAAGATCCTGTTTACCATCTTTTTCAGGCAAAGAACGAATCCTCATCAAAATCGCTTCAACCTGGGAAGGTATTCAAGCCGCCAAAGAACTAGAGCAAGAGGGAATCCACTGCAACCTGACTCTTCTTTTCTCGTAAGTCAGCTTGATTACGTCCCCTTTTCAACAATATTCATTAGTTTCGCCCAAGCAGTCGCCTGTGCCGAAGCTGGAGTGACGCTTATCTCCCCCTTTGTCGGTCGAATCTTCGACTGGCATGTGAAAAAGGGCAACTTCGCGAAAGACGGTCCTTCCGAAGAAGACCCAGGAGTAGTTTCCGTCCGAGACATCTTCAACTACTACAAGAAGCACGGCTACAACACCCAGGTCATGGGCGCCTCCTTCAGAAATGTTGGACAAATCAAGGCTCTTGCTGGCTGCGATTTGCTGACCATTGCTCCTTCTTTGCTGGAGAACTTGAAGGCTGATGGCGAGACGAACAACCTGCCAAGAAACTTATGCTCTGAAGAGGCCAAGAACTCTTCCAAGGTCAGTCGAGCTTCTAGCGATTCTCTTTTGACAGCTTTTTCAGGATAAGGTATCCTTGGACGAAGCGGCCTTCCGATGGGAACACAACACCGACCCTTGCGCCGTCGATCTCCTCTCCAATGGCATCGTCCGATTCGCCAACGACGCTGAAAAGCTCGATGCCATGCTCAAAGCAAAATTGTGAAATCGCAAAATGTCGCTCTCCTAAAAATTGCCCTCTTTCGCTCCCCCTTCTCTCCTAAAAACCCCAGTATCGGTGCACAATTGAATTTTTTCCAAAAAGTTCTTACTTTTTCCGAACCAGTTCCTCCCTGCCCAGAAGCCAGATTCTTTCTCAGAACCTACCTGTACCAATTTTACTCCTCCCCTCACTTTTTTCTGTCTGGTGATGGTTGAAAAAATAAAAGATTACCCAAAAAACAACTTGTTGTTTATAATTCGCATTCGTGGATTATTGCATTTTGTCGGAATTGATTTTGCATGTTTCACTTGTAGAAGGATTGATGACCGAAGAAACAAAGAGCAAGTACCCAAAGTGGTCGGATCAATATTCCACGCTCGTTCTTATTCAGCTCGCTAAGGGATGTGATTGGAAATCGAAATTCCAGCTTACAGAACAGCGAGTTGGTGAGCATGAGTTTTTGGTTCGCCTGAAGAACGATGGAAAGACATTTGAAGGAGTAGGAAGTAGCAAGAAAAAGGCAGAGCATCGTGCGTCCTTCAAACTACTCAAGACATTCAAAAATTTGCGGGAAATAGTGAAGGCAAATAGTTTGCAGTTTCTTGGTAATAATGATAATTTTTAACAAACTTAAAATTTCTTAAGAGCTTGCGAATCGAGAAGGGGCTGGAATTCTGGCTGATAAAATGAGAATCAATCCTGCACCGGCTGGTGGATTCGTTGCTACTTACATTGGCCGTAGCGATTTGGAGATTCGAAATGCCGTCAAGAAGGATGCAAAGAGACTCTTGGCGTACGAGCTTCTTTCGCCTCTCTGGAAAGAGATGGACAAAACCTTCGCCAATGAAAATTTGCCGGTCACGCCTAATTCTTCTCCACAACGACCCGCGGTACGAGTTCAACCGAAGAAATCTCCACCCATGAGTCCTATCAGACCTGAACCTGTTGCTGTTTTGAAGGAGCCGATCATAAAAATTGTTCCGGAACCGCAGAAGACATCGACAAACTCGACGGAGCTATCATTCTCAAGCCTTCCTTCAAGCTCAATCAAGAGTGGCCCTCCTGTAGAAGTCTCAACTGGCTCAAGAGCGAGCACCGTTAGAGGCAGATTCCCTCACTGGAATAGCGACTATTACATTCCAATTCTGACCGCACTCGCAAAAAGTGCTTCTTGGAAAGACATTCTTGGACTCAAGCTGAATGCACTCACAGACGGCAAATACGATGCTACACTCATTTACGAAGGATCAACATTCAGGGTAAGTTTTCTTTGAAGATGAATTCGAATTAAGATCTTTTTAGGGAATTGGACAAGGAAAATCGGAAGCCACAAATGATGCGGCATTCCAGTTAATATGTTGTCTCGACGGACTAGATAGATTCCTTGAAGAAAACTGCATGGCAATCCTCGGTAAGAAATCTCTCCCACTTTATGATCTTATATTCACATATTTTTAGAATTTGCTGTTCGAAATGGTTGTCCAATCAACCGAGATAACATCCGAGTCGAAGAAGTGATGGTTGATGGCACGAAAAAATTTCAATGCAAGTACTTGGCTCCTGGCGTGATGGAACATGGTAGAATCTCTCAAAGCAAGGCCTCAGCAAAGAAAAATCTTGTCTTCAATCTTTTAAAACCTCTATGGACCAGCCTCAAGCGCGAAATAAATGGAGCTTTGGACAAGAGAAAGGAAACACTTTACGATGAAATTGACAAGCTGGAATCGAAGCGAGACTCTGGGGTTTCGTACGAAAGTGAAAGTCTTTTGAGCGATTATAAAACAGAAGCAGTTTCGCCGGACAAAAGCGAGGACAAGCTAACGAAAGAAATCGAAGCGCTAAAAAAGCATCTGAGCCATCTAGAACTTCTTCAACAGACTCAGAAGGGAACGTCGCCCGACGGAGATGCAACAGTAATTCAACATAACGAACCTCAAACTTCTGGCTACGTAACTGGTCGTTCTGACGCTGGAAATCAAGGAGACGATGCTGTATCTGCAATTTCGTCCAAGTATGATTACTCTGTCACAGCTTTCATTATTTTAATTTCATACTCAGTATTAATTTTTTCGTACATTTCGTGACTAGTCCGTCGAGACAACATATTAATTGGAATGTTGCATCATTTGTTGCTTCTTGTTTTAATTGTCCCTTTCCCTGAAAACTTTTCGTAAACTGATTGATTTTTAGATGGTGCTCGGTCGATTTCAAGATTGATGATTCGATTTCGAAGATTTACAAGTAGAAAGAAAACTGCCTTTTCTTGACCGCCAGTTGTCGCTACAGAGATCCCAAAAGTTCAGATTCCCACCTGTCATAATGGATTCACAACCATTTCTTCCATGATTTTTACGACTGATAAATAAAATAAACAGATTCGATTGAAAAACTAACTGAGCTCCTCTTTTTAGAAGAATCGAAATAAGAAAGCATGTCGCCTGACGCTCGGTATCCAGAATGGAACGATAAATATTCAATGCAGATAATCGTGGCGATCGGTGGTGGCTCGTGGCGCGAGTTTTTCAAATTCAAGGAAGGAATGAATGCTCAAGGATTTAACGCTTCGCTCGAGTATTTGGACGAATTGTACACGGTACTTGTTTCAGAATTGAACTCATGTCATGTTTGATAGGGAAATGGATCGAGTAAACGAGAAGCGCTCTATTCCGCAGCTTTCAATTTGATTGCGTCGATTCAGTTTCCAGAGACGTATGTTCGAGAGAAAGCGTTGGATATATTAGGTTTGCTATAATTAAATGCTACTGACTAAATTTCTCGTAGAACTTGCTAATGGACTCGGCGCTGAGATCAAGACGGAGCTTATCCGAGGAGAAAAGACATCGAACGGACATGTAGCTTACTACGACGGCGAACCGAAGGTCAAGGGCGATGTCGGCGGGGATAAACGAACGGCAAAGAAAAATCTCGTTTACAAGCTCTTACAGGTTAGTTCCTCTCACAATTCATCGTTGTATCATTTTTCCTAGCCGCTCTGGAAAAGTCTTGACGAAAAGAAAACGCGTGAAGGAATTGGACGAAAATCAAGGATTGCAATCAGAACAAAAGACGTCCCAGAAGAGAGAAAGAGACAATTGGCGGTTAATTTTCCCCAGCACAATTCTTCGACACGCATGAGTAGTTCCACTCCGGAGAACGACCATTCGATGGGTAGTAAAGAAAAACTTCTAGAGCGCGTTTCATGCTATTGTAGTTATGAGAATGGGTCAGCTGAAGGTTGAAAATAAAGTTCCCCACCCAGATCGCGACATTCAAACTCCTCCACGGCAGATTTACCTTCAGCAGCAGCAGCAGTATCATCCGATGAATGGACCGGTTATTGGCACTTATCACCGGCTCCCTGACACTGATAAACGAGCCAAAGTGATGGACTACTTTCGTAGGTCGCCAAATCAACCTCCAGTCATTCAAGATCGATCGGAACTCCAAACTCCTGTCGGAGAAGATCTGGACGATGTCGGTTCCATCGCTTCAGGGATCATCAGCCGGGATCGTTTTCAAACGCCAAAGTTAGAAGTCGAAAACGCCGAATGCACCGTGTGTACGCTCAAGCGACCAGTGTCGATTATTGTGCCGATGAATGACGTGTTTTCGAAGTGCATTCACACGGCTAGAATTTGCAGAATCTGCGCGCTTGGCCATATTGAAATGTTGAAGAAGCGGGAAAGCCGATTTCCCAACCAATGCCCGTTGTGCTATTATCTTGAGTTTGCAAAGCACAATGATAGACTCAAGGACAACTACAGGGACCTTACTGATCGGACCGCCCCTGGAGATCGGAGAGGGTATGATCCGATGAATCCGCTGAACGAAGAAACTGCGGAGAATTTGACAAGAACGCATGTAACAACAAGCAAAAACATATCCACGAAGTGAGTCGTTTGTAGCTTTATCTTTGCTATCCTTTTCTAAGATGGGCAAGTACTGATCCTCGGATAAGTCAGTCAGCGTCAAACCCAGCTCTCCACAATAAAAGACCATCTGCTAGAGCCTACAAGACGAATATCCAACTGCAGGATATTCGTATCACTTCTCAGAAGTAAACCCTTCCACTGATCACATTTTGATATTTCTAAGCTTCATCAAACTTTAATTTTTAATTCACTCTACCTGGTAGTGCCTCCATACAACCCTCATGATGTTATGTGATAATGTTGTGAGCTTTGTCAAAAAGTAATTTTTCATTTGGAACTTTTTTGAGCTTGTCAATTCTAGTGACACCCTCAAAAAAGTTCTATGAACTTCCCTGCTGTTTTATAAATTAATTTTTCTATGATCGAAAATGCTTCAATTCGAAAACTTAATAGAATGAATCAAATCGCCTAAAATGGGTCTGCTCGATAAAATTCTCCTCCTCTTCGGCGTCAAAAAGCCTGAAGCCAAGGTCGTCTGCGTCGGCCTCGACAACTCCGGCAAAACAACAATTATAAACCGCCTCAAGCCGCCAAAAACGAAGCAGAGGTCTGAAGAAATCGTCCCTACAGTCGGCTTTGTCTCCGAAAAGTTCCAAGCTGGCGGACTGGAGTTTACAGTTTGGGACTTTTCTGGACAAGGGCGGTATCGGAACATGTGGGAAATGTACTACAAGGACGCCCAGGCGGTGATCTTTGTAATCGATTCTGCTGATAGGTTGAGGATGGCAGTTGCAAAAGATGAGCTTGAGGGAATTCTCAGTAAGTTGTTGTCGTTTATCTTCAATCTGGGCTCCGGGCGCATCGCGACCGTATTTTTTTCGCTACGAAACCGCTCACTTTAGTTTTTTGAGTTTATTGAATGAAGCATTTTTTTCTCAGAGCAAGATATTTAGGCCCTTTTTCATCCCTTCCAACAATTTCTTAGAGGACAGCTCGATACAAAAGAACAACGCAGTCTTTCTCTTCTTCGCGAATAAAATGGACCTGGCAGACTCGTGTTCAGAAGTTGAAATAACCCAGCTGCTGGATCTTCCGAAACTGCTACGAGGAAAAACATATAACATCGTTTCGTCGAATGCGATAGAAGAAGATATCAATAAGGTGAGTTTCTCTTCCTTGATTTCAGTAGGAAAAACATTTCTAGACGGGCATTATCGAAGGCATCGCATGGCTAGCCGGACACGTGAAAGATCGCGACTCCAAATAGAAAATTCTTCGTCAAAACTAATAGTTTATTTTTGTAAAACCAAATCGCTCAATTTGTATTTCTATGTTTTCTCATCCCTTCAAAATATTATTTTGTTTTCTACGTCGATTCATTCGAAAACTTGAAGAAATGGCGTGTTCGGAGTTTCATCTCTTCGAAGAAATCCCCATCGATAGTGATAGAGTTCGTGGAATAACGACGAAAGCGATTTTGACTGAAGATGAAAGCAAATCGCTGAGATGGACTTCTTCGACAGGGACTGTGTCGAACCCGTTAACATTCGATCGACCGGTTCAAGAAATCACTTCCACGAGGACTGATGATTCCGTCTTTGTTTTCACCGATAAGCAAGGTACCGCCATCTTCAACGGCTTGTTTTTAATATTTTTTAGGCTTCGTCTTTCCAGCTGGCCACAAGCATCCAATAAACGAGTTCTATATCCAGAAAACCGATCTGGACATGGCGATTCAAATCAAAACCTACTCGCACAACGTCTCCAACTTTATCGTCGCCATCTTATGGACTGATAAATTGATCATTTACGCGGAGGAAAATCGATTCGAGCTGAAGCTTGCATCTGGATTGAGAGATCTCACGTTTGTGGATTCAGAGTACATCTATGCATGGGGAAACTCGGATATATACCGGATCAGGGTTTTTGAAGATGGGCCAGAGGTTTTTAGGCATTTGCGTGTTCACCTACCGAGAGATGAGAAACTGGGGAAGTCTGAGGAGATCAAATCTTTACAGGTTCGGAGCGGATTAGCTTTCGATTGTCTAATTAATTCAGGCTGGACGACGATTCATTCTTCTCCAAACATGCTCAGCTATCTACAGTATTTCCAACTCCACTGGGGACATCCTTGCAGTCAGAAAAACGCCTGGGATTCTCGAAATGCGACTTTCTTTCATGAAGCGCCATGTTTTCTCCGAAAGCGTTCAAATGCTCGTCCTCGTCTTCCACAACAAAATTGAGTTCGTCGAAGTCGACTCGCTTGGAAAAGCGCTTAAAGTTGAGTGGTCCCTTCTGTGCACCGACGTGAGTAACCACAGTACTGGTTCTGTGTCCGTCGTCTACGAAAATAACGGCAAAACTGTTTGGCTGACCCCTCTTGGTCCAGAAGAAAAGATCCAAAAGCTCGTCTCTCGAAACGAGCTTCAGAAAGCCCTTGCATTTGCGCGCCACTACGAACTCGACGAAGAAATAATTTACAAAGCGGAGCTCAAGAATCGAATTCAAGACAAGTCCAAAGCTAGCGATCCTGGACACTTTCAAGCCGTGCGATTTTTGAGCAAGAAGATAACTGACATCGAGTTCTTTCAAGAGCTGCTGAAGATTGTGGAAAATAAAGAGCTGAGAAACGCGATTCTTCAGTACATCGGAATATTGATCGATAAAGAAGGAGTAGATGAGCAAATTACGATTCCGCTGATGAAATTCGACGAGATGAGCCAGCAAATGGTGGAAATTATAAAGGTAGTTTTTCAGAAGCGCATTATCATTGAGCATCTTTAGACGCAAAATTTTGCACGACTTCCAACGCTACTTTTCCCGTACCAAAATCTCATCAACTCAGAATACCAGGCCAAACTGTTGGATTTCATCCCTTCGAAGATTCCCTCAGAAGACCTTATTTCAATCATCGGCTCATTCCAAAAGATCTTCGAAATCTCCGACTCTGGTTTCTGTCAAAATATGTTGCCGAAATGGTCATCTGAGAGGGCGCTGAACTTGGAGCAAGAAGAGCCGAGTAAATGGCCTGAAAACGCGCTGAAAGTTCTGAACGCTCTGAAGAAGAAGGATTTGATGAAGATGGATTTCGATTTTACTGGCAAAGAAAACAGCTACGATGTGTCCATTGAGCTTTTGATCAACAACTTGGAGGCGCTGAATGAGCTCAAAGTGCAGTATAGAATCAATATACCTTTGAAGTACAGGGTTCTGTAAAATGTTTATTTACCCAAATTCTAGCGACTATATCGACCCAACTCAGCGATCAGACTGGCTTCTTGAATGGATCGCAAGGGAAGTGCAGAATCGACACGATGAAATCAGCATAAGACGAATTTTCAACGATACTGTCAAGGTAAATTTTCACAAAAAAAGAGCATTTCTTAACACCTCTTCAGCCTTTGACATTCAAATGGGGCTTCGACTTCGAGAACTTTCTCCTGCCTTTCACGGACGTAAGTAAAAACATTCCTCTTCAAGCGAAAGTCAGCATCATGAAACTCATCCCTACTGCCTCCGTCCGTCAGCAGCAGCTGCTCAATCTACTTGACCAGCTCCGCCATCCATTCCCGGACTATCTAGTCGAGTTTATGAAGACGATGTTGCCCGCCGGCCGCGCTTAGAACTAGAATAACCAGAAGTTATTTCACTTATCTTAAAGTTCACCGAGTTTTTTAACTGCCCAACACTTTCACCCATTCCTGGAAAATAAAAGTTCACTTACGAAGAAAAATCATCCTTTTGTTTTTCAGTCTTTTCGGTACAACCATGTCGGTAGAAATTTATAAAAAGAGCGAGAAACAAATCAACCTTCCAGGACTAAATGAAGAGCAGCAATTGCGACTTGAGTCTGCGAAAAGATACTGCCAGGAACAATCTGTTAGGTGACCATTTTTTCGATGTCCTCTTCCTTGATTTCATGTTAGATTCGTGATGCAACAACAGGAGGAAGAGACCAAGAGCTTCATGTCTGGCGGCATCAATGGAGGTTCAGTCCAGTCTCAGCAAGTGTTGTCGCTGATGAGCCAGGTCTTCATCGGTTCGATTTTTTACGAAGTGAGTGAAGCGCAACTAAGAGATGCTTTTGCGCCTTTTGGGATCATCAACGTTGTTAACTTGAATCTCGACCCCGTCACTGGCAAACACAAAGGTAGGGAATCTTACAAAAATCATTTCTTTCTTGATAGGTTTCGCGTTTATCTGGTTCGAGCTTGCAGAAGCCGCCCAGCTAGCGATCGAGCAAATGAACGGGGCAAACATGTGGGGTCGTCCGATCAAAGTCGGCCGGCCGACCCAGGCTCAGCCGTATTTGAAGACCATCGACGAAGCCGTCTACGATTCAAAACGATCGACCTGCATCTACGTCTCCGGAATTCAGCCAGTAAGTCTCGATCAATCTAAATCCGTTTCGGATATCGTATTTCATCAGATCACATGATATATCCGAAGAAAAAAGACTGATGAAATTAAATCAACTGTAACATTAAAACAACGGTAATTGACTCATTTTTGACATGGATGGTTCTTTGTTTCAGACTTTCGCGAAACCACGCAGCTTTTCCTCCAGCATGAAGATCTCTTTCTTTCTCTTCTTTGATCTTGTTTCTCAGAGCGTTAATGATTCTGTTCAGGATATGGATGACACGGACATCCGCGACTTGTTCTCCCCCTTCGGAGATATCAAGCAGTTGCATTTAACAAAAGACGACGTCACAAGCGAAAACAAGGGCAACGCCTTTATCGAGTATAATTACGGCTGAAAACGAATTTTCATTTCAGTGAAAGACTTTTTTAAAAGTAAAAGTTTCCAGCTCTTTGAAAGACAAGAAAAGGAAGCGGCTGATGCTGTCAAGTCGATGAACCTGTTCGAATTGTGCGGCCAAAAACTAAGGGTCGGCAAAGCCATTTCACCTCCATTTTCTATCGGAGAAAAGAAGGTAGAGCGTTTTTTCCTGATCTTTTGCTCAAAAATTTCAGGAACTTGGAGAGATCAAAACCGTCATTCCAAAACTCGCCCGTCCAAGAAAATAGCGCCTTTACGTTTTTCTTTCTTCTACTGCCCTGTTTCATTCATCAAAATAAAAATATGAAAATCCCTTGAAAAGATAATAATTTGTTCTTTTTTCGCATAAAGAACAGATTTTTTATTTATCATTATATTAAAAACTTTCATGAACATTTATTCAAATCGCAGGTGCCAGAGATTACTCTTTGTTGATTGCAGAAAGAAGGCATGAGAATAAAGCCGGCAGGACATGTTTTCAACTGGTGTAGTCATAAGGTTGGTTTTCGAGCCAGATTCTATGGCCTTGGTTAGTTTGTAATTCCTCCATTTTTTCATCGAGAAAAGGCAGCTCCGCTCGAAAGTGCTCTTCGCTGACGCCCATTTTTTCTGGAAAGCGGGTTCGAGCCGAAGCGCCGCCGCTCCGTTGAAAAGTCTTCAATTTTGCTTTTTTGAGTTCACTTTCAAAGTCGCCATGGTTCGCAAGAGACAACAGACGCCTTTTCGAAAAAGCGTTGGTACTTCGGCAAAAAGCACCAAAGAGCCGGAAAAAATCGAAGAGACTACTGATACTGGAGATGATATGAAGCGGCAGATGATGCAGATGATGGGAAAATTTCAGAAATTTGTGGCTTCTGATTCTCAGCAGGCTCGGAAGACTGCCCCAAAACAGGATCAAGGTAATTATTAAAACCTTTATCGCTCATTATTTTTATCAAAAATTTAGGAAAAAATGGGCAGAAGGAAAAGAAAGAACTGGTCCTCGAAAACATCAACCAAGCAATTTCAGGCGCGTTTTCTTTGAAAATGAAGACTAGAATTAAATTAAAGCTAGAGTTAAATTCTCATGTCAAAAAGCGATGGAAAGTTACAAGGCTAACTTCGTGAAAATGGACACCCTGCTCGAAAAAATCAACGCAATAGGAAAAAACAAGGAAGACGCGAATCGTGAGTAAACTTTTTGATTGAGTCTTTTCTTACTTCTTTTTAGCTCAAGAAATCTTGAACGAGACTCTTCGAGAATTGGAGACGAAGCAACAAGACGAGGAAGGAATTCTCATCTGAATATGTGAACTCGTTTTGCTCTCTTATTGTTGATCGAGCAACCAATAAATGAAATAAAAAGTTATTCTTCGTCGATTATTTTCCGTTTCAAAACGGCAGCCTTTCGCACCAATAGCCCCGTCTTTCAGGTTCTAGCTATGTGCCCGAAAGGTTCCGATTTGCCACGAAAATCATGGTTTTTACGCGTTCCTCTTCCTTGATTTCAATGCTAGCGCTTTCAAAATATCTCTTTTGCTCTTTTGCTCGAGCTGGAAAAATGATAGAATTCGCACCAACTGGTGCAGTTTTAAAGCATCCGATGGTGGCGTCGCTGATCGCCGGTGGTGGCGGCGCAACATATGCAAAATAAATGCGTGTTGACATTTGACGATAAAATTGGAAAACAATAACAATCGACGACGGGTGTAGCGAATATCAAATTTGAAATTCACGCCAAATGCCAGACCAAGGCAAGATTTATTGCTTTGGCAAAGCGGAAATTTTCCATGAAAGAAAGAAATGGTCTTTTCTTCAACTAAAGTTTTATTGTCATTTAGTATCAAGCATGTTTTTCTTCGAGAATAATGTCGATTCCTCCCTTTGGTCTCGTGATAATTTCAGCCAAAACCGGAATTTCGTTTGTTTTTCGCGTGGATTTCCAGGTGAAGTTTCGGAGAAGATGCGAAAGAATGATTTTGTTGGTCAAATTCGCAAACTGGAAAAATTCGAAATAAATTGAGATTATTGCTCTTATCCGCTGCCCAATGCAGTTTCTCGGGCCGGCAGAAAACGGAAAGTACGAGTAAGCATATCTCGTCTCCCCAGAGCCCCCGTCCAACCAGCGCTAGAAAAATGTCTGAGGCTCTTTATTCATATTTTTCTTACCGATGGGTCGAACTTTTCAGGCTCCTTCCAATGCGTTTCATCTCGGTGGAGTTTGTAGCAATTTATAGTAACAATCGCGCCAGCTGGAATTTTAAAGCGTCTTTCTCCTTTTTCGACGAGCAAATCCGAATCAAACTCCCGAGAAAACATCGTCACAGAGGGAAATTTTCTCAAAGTTTCTTTCATCACCGCTTCAAGGAACTTATTCAAAAATTATTTCACAAAATGCTTCATGGAAGACAAACCGTTAGTTTATCAAGATCTCCAGTAGTCGCTGGTCGATCGGAATCGCCAAAGACAAGTTCTACTTCTTCATGAAGCTTTTTCATCACTTCCCAATTTTCTCCAATTTCTTGAACAGCCCATAAAAGAGCAGCAGCAGTTGTATCGTGACCCTGAATGCCGAAAATGAAGAAAAAGAAAGCCCCCATTCTCGTTCACCTCGAACATAAATGTATCCACTTCCTCTCGAATCCCTTCCAGATCAATTTCACCCCGATCCAGGCTTTTCAAGAGCGTATCTTAATACAAAAACTCAACCCTAAAAAATCAACTCTTTCTCACCCAAAAACGCCATTCTTCCTCGACTGTCACATTTTTCTGCAAAATAAGTTGCCTCAAAGTCATCTCCAAGCTCTTCTTTTAGCTCTCTAAAGTGGTTCCATCTTTCCCAAATAATCTTCTTCGTGAAAGAATGCATTTTGGTAACATTTTTCTTCTGCCGCCGCCCGATCGGGCTGAGGTTCCAGATCAAGTCGGGCCAGTACCAGATTGATTTGTGGCGAATTTGGGTCAGTTCCATCCAGTCAAAAATCGCTTGAGCGTAGGAATTCTTAAACGGACATTTTCATAATTGAAGAAAAGTTTGAAACTTACATTTTCCTCAAATTGAATGTCCGATTCCGCCCCCATCGCGGTCTGAATGATAATATCCAGCGCACAAAGTGTTATTGGCCAATGCATGTTGATTTTCTTAAAAAGACTTTTCTTTCATTTTTTTTCTAAATTCCAACCTTTTCTGTTTTGATTTTTTCCTTCAAAATATCGACCATCTTCGCTGCTTTTTCGTTCATGACCTCGACGAAATCCGCAAGAACAGTTTTATGAAAAGCAGGAGTCAAAAGCCGCCGCCGAGTTTTCCACTTTTTCCCGTGAGAAGTCAGCAGTCCTGTTCCAAGCCAGTCCTGAAAGAGCTTGTAAAAGAGCCCTTTGCGGATATGGACGGTCGATTTGAGAATGGCCTCGGCTCCTTCTGGACTGAGAACGAACAAGGATGGCTTCGGCCCGAGCAAGTGATAGCCATAAAGAGCGCCGGGGTCTTTTTGCTTCAAATGGTCGACGAAGTCGTTCAGCTGGCGGAAAAACGCAACCGGATCGAAATCAAATGAAAGAGCGTGTCCAAAAATCGGGAAATTTCTCTGAATTGACCCGTCATCGACGGTCAGGATGTTTCCAGCGACCAGTTCTCTTTCGATTTTCTTGAAATTTCAATTATCATCTCTTGATAAAAATATACTTAACCGTTTTCTTGTGATGGAGGTACAAAATGAAGGAACAAATCAAGATTACCACTGTTGAGGAAAATTTGATTAATTCAGAATCGAGGAAAAAGAAGCTCTTCTGCTCAAAAATATCGAAAAAACTGGAAAAAATCATTTATTTGTTTGGTGTTTTTAGCGTTTAACAACTTCAACTACTGAGTGAACGCTCTTCCAAATTGTCTCCATAATTCTAAAGGGCACATCTGACACTATAAACCACCAAGTTAACTGCCGAAAATAGCGTCATTGCAACTTGCCAGAAATGTTAAAGCAAAAAAGATCATCAAACAATAATAAGCTTCTAAAAAACCCACCGATTTGTTTCTTTTTTTTATCTTTCTTGTTCAATCTTGCCCGTTTGTGTTCCGTTTTTTATCACTGCTGATCGTCAAAATTAGAAACAAACGAAATCTGCCGATTTTGACAACACTCGAAAAATCAACCGCTCCAAAGAATTTTTTCGCTATTTATTTGGTCAAATTGGCAGTTTTTCTTTGAATTCCCATTTTGACTCGCATTGGAGACACTCATCAAGTCTTAAAAATGAGTTACAGTCATTCTAAGACCGTTTTTTCGTACGTTTTTTCACCAGCATAGGCAAGATATTTAGCCAAACAGCAGAAGTGGTAGCCATGGTTGCATTTTCCGATGCAGATTTCGCATTTTTTCTAAAACGAAAAAAATTTCTTGAAAAAAAATTTTAATTTTTGGTTTCAAACATTTTCTGCTTCCGGGTTTTTCAGATGCAGTCCGCAAGTACTGTCCATGGAGTAGCCGCAAATCGTGCAATCCAACCTGAATTTTTTCCCTTTTCAACCAAAACCGCCAAAACTCACGAAAGCGACTGAAAAGAAGCCTCAAAAACAGCGGTGAAATTCTTCAATTGAAATAAATTCTCGCTTGAATCTGATGAAGAAATTTCAATCTTCTGCTTTTTCTTCTTTGGCGAGTCGCTTCTGATTCTTACTCTTCTTGATTTTGGATTTCTCATTTTCGGAGTGAGGAATTTTCAAATAATGGAGAAAAACTTGTTATTTGCAAAAATATTGGAGTCTTGAGCATATTTGCTGAGTGACTTAAAGTTGTTTACATTAACTTATTCAAGTTTTTATTAAATTTAAATTTAAAAAAAAACATTTTAAAGAATAAAAAATAGACATCAAGAGTTTGAATGTTGAAACGGAAATGACCAAAAAGACTATCAAGAGAGTGAATTTCGAAGATTAAAACAGACTAGATTTTTTCAATGAAATGTGTTTGCCAGACCCTTACGAGGAGAAATTTGCACGAAGCGGAATTTCTAATGACACCCTTATTCAAACAAACACAACGATAAATGAAACAACAACTTTTCCCGCCAATTCCACTTTGATCCCCGAAACCACTACTGCTCCGACTGTAGTTCCTCCACAAGAATGGTACTGCGACGACTTAGGTTACAACACTTGCATCCGCCTCATGCACACAAAGAAGAAAAATTTTTTCGCAGGACTGGACTGTGCACGGCAAGAATCACAGGTACTCTTCGTTGATTTCCAAATTTTCTAAAATCGATTTCGAGCTTTTGAGAATTTATGACGAGCGATATTTGGATTTTATTCTCGATATTCGGGAGAAAGTCGGCGCTGGGGATGAGAAAAAGATAGAGGAGCTTTCAGAAATGTGGGTTTTTTACCATGATATGACAGAAGAAGTGAATATTGACGAAAATGGAGACATAAAGGCAATGGATCAGTGGGTTAAACCCTTAACTCCAGGTACTTTTTGTTGAAATATGCTGGTTTCTGATTGGTCGATGTAGAAAATACAGGCTTCTTATTAGTCTAGGCCCCCTTATTAGGTCTTGAGAATTTAAAAATTGGCAAGAAAATGGCGATTTCTTATTAAAATTTTCAGAATTCTTTCAAAAACTCAGCGCCGGGAGAAAAAAACGTGGTGCCTCGGAAGCAGTTCCTTTTGGAAGCTTGAATTATGACGAGCGATTTGAAACTTGGGACGATCTTGAAGGCAACTGGGCAGAAGACCAGCCGAATAATAACGGAAATCAGGACTGTGTGTACCTTGATGCTGATGGAAAATACAACGATTTCTGGTGCGATACGAAGGAGTTACTGTATTTTTGCCAGAAACGACCGGGGGACTTTCATCACATCTATCACCAGGTTTGTCCTTTTAAAAATCGAGGAACGAAACCTTCTCTAGAAATTCCCAGACGCATTCGATGTCGAAGTCCTGAACAACATGAAATATTGCAACGAAAAAACCTGCAAATTCTTCGCCAAAGGAAACGACACGAACAACGCTAGAACAGGCGAATTCAAAGACGCCGAAAGCTGGCTCAACTTCGAGCCTCTGAACGAGATCATCTCGCGACCGTATTACTTCAAACTCGCGTATGGCAGTGGCGATTTCATCACGTGGTCGCAGCTTCAAAATCCGCTGGAAATCGAGGACGATGCAGAAATCACGCCGTCGGATTTGACGTTTTACCCGAAAAACGGAGTCCAGGAGTTCGGGAAAGGCTTCAGAACTTGCGACGGGATCTTTTTCTCTGGCCTCCGAAGAAGTTCAAAAGAAGGCGTGTTTCTCGACGGGACGGAGGGCGAAAAGAGTTTCTACCAAATAGGAATGGATAAAGAAGCGATTATTCTAGACCCGATGACGACAAGGCCGCTCGGTTTTGCTCACGTGTTCACTTTTCCGATGCACGAGCCGAGGTACATCATCAACCCAGACGACGAAATCGGGTACGAAGAATGCTGGGATCGGAATAAAATTAGAAATGAGCTCAAAAGAGCCGGCGCTGCTACCGGTAGTCGAAATTATACCCGATTCTCAAGATTGTTCCGCCATCCTGGTTACAGAAGCGACATGAATCCAATTCAAAGCGTGGATCTCTTTGTTAGCGAGTCTCCTTTTCCAAGTCATGGTTCTCTTCATTGCCACAGTCTTTTTTCTCTTTCAGAGCACTCAGTATCGGTCGATCATGGGTACCAATGCCTCAAGCGTAAGCAGTACTTTCCTCGTTGATTTCAAACCATTTTTCAGCGAAACCATTCACGACGCCAAAGTTCACTTCCTCAACTCTAGCGCCGAAGACGGAAGAAATCGCAGATCGAGTGGCCGATGTTGTTTCTAAGAAAGCCTCAACTGCCTCTGCTGGAGGAGGGATCGCGGGAGCAGCTGTTGGGACACTTGCCTTGCAGTTTTTGCCGAAGCTATATGATCCCGCGAAGAAGCAATTCAAGAAAGCTAAAGATTGGCCAAGGGGTTCATAAGTTTTTCAGTAAAATGTTTCAGTAAAGGACCATTTCTACTCAAGCGAGTTAATTTTAGCTGTCAACCCTTTCGTCAGGTCGTTGAAAATATCTTTGATGGTGTTGTTTTGAGAGACAAAAATGTTGGTGTTGCTTTTAAACCAAAACTGGCAACGAAAAATCGACAAACTCAATACCTCGATGATAGCATCGAATTCTCCAGGAAGCATCGAGTGATGATGAAGTCTTTCGAACCCGACCCGAGCAGTCTTCATCACGTGACGGAAGAGTCGATCGCGGAGGAGAGAAAAATCGTTGAAGAGGAAAGACAGAAAAGAATCAAGTTCTTGGAGGAGAAACAAGAAGCGCTGGAGAAAATCCTAGCGGTGGTTGAAAATTATCCAAGTGTCGATGAGATTTTGACGGGAAGCGAGGGGTTGAAACACGTCGAAGTTGAGGACAATTTGAATCAAATTTCAGCTAAGGTAAGGCTTCAGAAAGAGCGCATCTATAGCTGATAGTGCTTTCTGAAGCTAATAAAAAGACGAGCAGTGGTGCTTACAAAAACATCGAGCGAGAAATCGAGCGAATCATCGACCAACTTGAAGTTCTCGACAGTTTTTCAGACGAGGAAGAATTCGACGAAAGTGATGGTTATTTCGATCTCTCGCAAATTGAGACCATCATAAGAAAATCTGAAGACATCTTGTCGACGAAAATATCCCATCCGCTTGACTCGATCGATGGAAAAACGATGGTTTATGACAAGTTTGATGCAATAAGGGATGAAATTGATAATGGAGCTGAAAGCTACGATTCTGACTTGGTTTACAAGATATTTTTCTATATAAAGAAGCATTTAAAAACCAAGAAAAGTTGCTGAAAAAGAACCGGCAAGGACTGAAATCAACGAAGAATTAAAGCTCTACGAAAGCAGAATCGAAGCAATCGAAAATCTCGCCACGGACTATCCCGAAATGACCTTCTCTACCATCGCTAATAAAAGTACTCAAACGCCCATTCCAAAGTCGAAGGCAAAAGAAATGGTGGCAACCAGTCTAATCGACAAAATTCCAGCTGAAAAAGCGATGGATTCGGCAAAACAACTTGCTGAAAAACTGGACATTCGCGGAAAATTAACGTCCTTATTTTCAGGAAAGTTTTCTATAAATAATTTGCATTAATTGCTTCAAAAATCGGTTGAAAACAAAAAAAGGCTTGACGGAAAAACTCTCTGCTTTCGCGGCAAAAATCGGGGCGGACAAAATTCTAGCTTCGGCAGAACTGGAAGCGCTCCTTGTCGATAAAGAAGATTTCAGCGCGAACTTTCACCTCAACCCGGACGTTTTCGTCCAGACGATTGATCAATTTGAACTCGACTGGACTCTTTTTCGCGAATTTGGAACACAAGTTACTGATGATTTGAAACTAAACGATGTTCTGTGAAAAAAATAGATATTTTTGGAGAGATGAATTTATTAAAGAACAGTGGAGAAACAATCAATTATGAAATTAGAACTGATGGCAGAAAAGCATAGTTAGATAAATAAGCAGAATAAAACAAGGAGAAATCTTTTGGTAAGTTTTAATAATCGAAGACGATCGTGGGTCTCTCTTAGCAAGATGGCGGCTAAAAATTTCATAAAAACGAAAAAAGTTTGATAAACTAACCGTTGCTCCTCGATTATTCCAGAAATCATTCTTGTTTTTGCACCGGACGATGTAGTCGCCAGTGTCTGCCCCATTGTCGCACTTGACTTTGCAGTTGTTTCCGACGTTGTTCCTCTTGCATGTCCAAGAGTGAGCGCCAGCAGGAGCGAATTTGGCAGGAATCGAGTCGTTCGAGCATTTAGCTGCTGTGCAAGAGGGCGCCACGCCATTGAGCACGGACCAGCCGTCCGAGTTGCAGGCAATCGTATAGCTCGCATTTTTTCCTTTTCCGTCGCATTTGGCCTTGCATTTCCGCGCACCGTTCTTAACTTTTGTGCATTTCCACTTGAATTGGCCGCCAGAAGGATTGAGCGCTTCTGGAATAGATGAGACTGCGCAATCAGGGGCTGTTGGCGATTCAGTTGGCGACTCCGTTGGCGACTCAGTTGGTGGCTCAGGTTGGGACATTTCACAATCGCATGAGACTTCTGACCAGGCATCTCCTTCGTCGAAGTAATACTGATGGTCACCGAGGCAAGCTGAGTCTGGGACGTTTGAAGTCCATGCGAGAACGTTATTACAGCCCTTATAGTTTGGGTTGTCGCACATGATCCATCCCTTGTCCGATTCCCATTTCACATCGCCAAGCCATTGGCTACCACTGCAGTCGTATACATCTCTTCCATTGTGGAGAGCTCCGGTAGCTTGGCAAGCGGTGACAACTCCAAACACGTCGGTTCTGAGTCTTGGGCAGCAGCCGTTCGCGGTCAATGTACCGCATGGCTCTAGACCAGCGACCTAAAATAAGAAGTGTCAGTTTTTGACTTAGAAGCAAAGAGCAACCTGTTGGGCGATCGCAGCGTGCAAAGCCAGTCCTCGAAAGAAGTCCATTTCCTAAAAAAATATTTTAATAAAAATCCGATATTTCAACACTCTGCTCTTACTCTCGTGAAAATTTCAGAATAACCTGATTCTAGCGATCCACCATCGCATTTTACCAAGATCGGTACGGTACTATGGCGCCCTCAAAAATTATCATAACATGCGGGACACGTGCAAAAGTCAAGTAAGACTTCTCCCAAAGTAATCTCCACGAACTTTGAAAAGGTTGAAAATTTTTTCTGCGGCGATTCTTTGCCTGGCAATTTAGTCAATAAATTTTCAGTAGTCTAATCAAAAGCGGCGAAATTTTGACAAAAAAACATTTTTCGTCCGACTTCAAAGGGTTGTGGTTAGGAGTCCTAACTTAGGACTAGAGCTCACTCTTATCCATCACGTGACCGTATAAATAATGAACAAAGAGATGGTTCACCTTGATCGTCAAACTTCGTAGTGAAGAAGCACTCTTGGAACGACCTCCGCTCACCCTCAGACTTCGTGTGGTAGAAGAAGAATTTCCAATTTACCAAAACATTTGGTGTTCGAGCATGCCTGTGGCCAGCTATTTGGTGTGGTGCTTGTGCTTCAAGTGGTGCGACACTGGCTGACCCTCTATCGTCGAACAACTTGTAATCACTTGTCATACTTTGCGACAATTCAAACTATTATAAATTTGACAAGTATTCCACAAAAATGGAAATTATTCGCGTTATTTTTGATGAAACTGAAGCTAAAGATCATTCAACAAGGGCTTCGTGAATCACGAATCGTGATTGATGTTAAAAAATCGGCGCGGACACAATTCTAGCCTCGGCAAAACTTTTGCTACTATAAAATCGACTATTAAATAAAACGCAGCTGCTTCAAAAAGAGTAACGGTATAGAAAGGAAGGTTTGATTATTGCGAGTAGTGGACTGCGCTAAAATTTATGATCTATCATTATTGTGGCGCCATAAATAAGGAACAACATAACTGCGTGTCATTAAATGTTAGTTGATTTGAAAACTGATGACTTATTTTTGACTTTTTAGAGATTATCAAAGCTCGCTAAAAGCAAATTTCAAGTATAAATATCTGATCTGAAAGATGTCTGATTATTCAAGTCTTCCGCCAAAACCAGAATTCTGCGATATATCAATGTCTGATGTTCCAGAAAGCTCGATTTCACCCTCTTCTCCCAACTCAAATTCATCAGGTAACAGGTTGGAATAGTTAATCTTTTTTACCCTGATCTCAATCAAGGAATAATGTATGAGCTGATGCAAACAAGGAAAGGAATGGAAGAATTAAAGAACTTGGTTTATACGGGAATTGCTCAGAACAGTCCGAAAGAAGGAAGAATGACAGAAAATGCAAAAGAATTCGAGATTAAAAGACCAAATCACGAGAACACGAAATTAAAGGAGGTACATGTCAAAACCATTCGCAGAAAATTGAAAATTCATATTCTGATTCAAGGAGTTAAATAAACAGAATTATGAGCGAGAAAAATATCAAAAAGAAGCTCAAAAAGCATGGCGAGCAGTTGAAGAGCTTCAAACAAATCTAAAAGCCGCCCTAGCCGAGAACGATCGAAATAAACATAAAATAAAAGTTCTGACTTTTGAATACGAAAATCGCCTTGACCGTCTCAAAGAGGTAAGATTTTTCGGATAATAAAATCACTGATCCATTGAAGGAATTCGAGTCAGAACGAGCAAATTGGCAGGTTGAAATTGCAACATTGAAGCAAGAAAACACTTTCCTGCAAGATGCTGCTTTCCCGGAAACGCCCGATCAGGTTATCAAATTTAGCAAAGAAAACGTCATTTATTTCAATAAAGGAATTCAATCAACTGGAAAACGAGCGAGAAATACACGAAAGAGAAACTAAGCACATGCTACTAGAAATTGAGGAGCTCAAGAAGACTTCTCGAATAGAAAGCCAGAATCAAAAGAGGGAAAAGCTGCGGAACCAAAAATTGGAACAAGAAATTGAGAAGCTGAGGAGAGAGAAGCAAGCAGTCGAGGAAAGAAGCGAAACGAGAGAGGAGCGCTTAATGGAATTGGAGAAAGAAATTGGAGTCGAACGAGGTGCTGGTTGTTATTACGGAGATGACCGGCACGTTTCTGAAGGCGGACCAAGACGTGGATTTGACAAAGAAAAGTTGCAAAATGTGCTGAAACTCCTGGCTCTTGGGGGATAGTCAACATAAAGGTACGAGACTTCCTCATCTCGAAATCAACAAAGACTCCTTTTAGTTAGCGTCTGATGAAGATAAAAAAGCTCGCTACGAAGAGTCTGACTGGGAACTTGAATTCAGCGCAGCCTGCAAAGAAAATGGAAATGGAACACATCGTCTTTGGTTAAAATGCAGAAGTTTGAAATTTCAAATTAGAAAATTAAATTTATTTGGCTTTAGATAATTCCCGTTTCCACGCGGTAGTGCAGCAAATCGATGGGAAAGATGGAGTCATCAAAGACACGAAGGTGATGCCAAGCGTGCAGGATGGATTACGACAATTGTTTGAAATAAAGCATGTTGGTGGAAATTATATAAGGTTTAATATTTCCACACTTCAACGTCGTTTTTGACCTGTAGAATCCGATACCTGGATGAAGATTTCGGAATTCAAAATTTGTTATTCTCGAAAAAAAAGCTGACGGGTTCTGTAAGTTCTGTAAATATATTTTCTACAAACATAAAGCTGTGTGATTAAAAACGAAAGAAATTCTTGAGTTTGGTCGATGTTTCTGATTCTTTGATTCGGTTGAAGAAGTCCTTCACTTTGTTCTGGATGTTGTCTCGCTCGGCTTCGGGGACTTTTTCCTCGCAGGGAAGGCAGATTGTTTGAGTTCCGACTTTCATTTTGTACACTTCATTCACCTAAGAAGATAGTAAGCTGATGAAGCGAAAAAAGCGCTTAGTACATTGCATTCTGGACAAGGAGTTGTCGGAGTCCAACAGAGAGCAGCATGTCCGGCAATTCGATTTTCCAACCGTTTTACTTCTAGTCGGAGAAATTGAACGCAGTTTTGCACGTGATCTTCTAGCATATCTGGGTGCATAACCCGCAGGCAGCCCTTGCACTTTTCCTCTGGTTTCTTGCACTCCTAGTCATTTTTATAGAAGAATCGAGACAAGGGATGATACCTTCAAATGTCGATCCAACTCATCATATTGCAATTCCTTCCAGCACCAGTCTTTGTTCGGGCACTTGACTCTGATCAAGTCCAAAATGTTAACCAAAGGTCGAATCGGCTGCTTGATGTCTTTTGTTGAGAATTTTGATCGGCAGGATGGACATTTGTCTTTTTGGGAAGAGCATTTCAGCAGGCGGTAAATGCAGGACTCGCAAAACATGTGCGACTTTGGGCAGATTATTCGGGGTTTGTAGCAAAGTCCGCTAGAATTTGATTGAGATGAGGAGAATGAAGCTAGATTTTTTCTTAATTTTTTGATACCTTTATATAGCGGAAATAATTTGAACCTGCAGATGGCACAGACATATTCTTGAGCCTGTTTCTGGAACTCCGGCAAAACCAGGTCCAAATCCAAGCCTCCCTCTTCAAACATTCTCTTTTTTGAATTCTGGGCAAACAAAGGAGCTCAACGACCTCACGGGCAAATCGTAACTTTATGACTCAGCTTCCTTTCCTTTTTTTCTAGCTTTTTGCGTGTCAATATTTATTGCCAGGAAAATCCAGTAAAAGAATAAAAATTTCATTTTTCATAAAATTTGCCTTTTTTGACTTCAATTTCCACGGGAACGATTGTTCGCTGAATTTGACCAATTCCATCGAAAAACGAGCAAGTCTTGAAAGTCATTCTGGTCGTTATCTTCGTCTCTGTCTGCACGATCTTGCAATCAGACATCAATCCGCAGAGGAAGGTGCAGGAAAGGGCCCGAGATCCTGTTTTATCGACGATGAATTTTTCCAGGGAGGGTATTTTATTGAGAGAGCATTTTCCGTTATTGTAGATTTTCAGCGAGTCACAGGAGGAATCGTACTGTCTAGTCGGGCTTATGAATAGTGATGCCGATCGACAGAGGCTTTTACAGTCATTTTCAGACTGGACAGCAATCGGGCGGGTCAAATCGACCTCCGAACCGACCAGTTTTTCAAACCGAGGCAGTTGTAACTTGATAAAAAGACCTTCCGTCGAAGCGAAGTTAATAAGGAAGAAAATATCTTTTATCATTTGAATTTCAAATTTTGAAAACTTGAGATTTTGTGGCTGAAAGATGAACTTGCCTCCGTTTTATTCCCGTTCTCGTGGAGCGCTGGTCAAATTTATTACCGAAATTCTTTCTACCGGCATTTTATTTTGTCATGGAAATTTCAGCGTAGCCGCTTGAATCATGGAAAAATAACATGCCTCAGCAATCATCATGATCGTCATAGGTTTTGTACGAACTCCTGAGTACTTACGACTTACTGCTAACCCAAAACTTAACCCAAAACCTCGGCCTAAACCAAATTTTGATTAATTTTTCTGAGCTGAGCTGAGCTGACCTGAGTAAAAATTTCTCTGAGCTGAGCTGAGCTGGCCTATTTTGGAGGTTACTGCGCTGAGCTGAGCTGGCCTTTTTCAAAGGTCATTGAGCTGAGCTGAGCTGAGCTGAGCAGACCCTAATTAGAGCTGAGCTGAGCTCATTGAGCTGAGCTAAGTGATAATTGTCTGAGCTCAGCTGAGCATCAGATCATGTTCCAAAACAATTGAGCTGAGCTGAGCTGAGCTGAGTGAAAATTGTCTGAGCTGAACTGAGCACATCAGATCATTTTCCAGAACCACTCAGCTGAGCTCGCTCAGCCAGCTCAGCTCACTCAGCTCAGCAAATTTGCAACTCTGACCTAACCAACTCCAAAACCAAGGAATTTCGCCTCAAAGATCGAGGAAGATATTCTCACGGAGGGTGCGCCTCAGTAGCTACGGTTTGGGGGGTTTGCGTCAGTTGCTACGGTTGCGTCAATAGACATCGCCTAAGATGGAAATGAATACACATCTTGCCTAAGAGAAGGTGGGAAATTATTCTATGCGAACTCATTTCCCTTAAAACTATGGATGAAGGCTGAATATTGTCAAAAGGACTCTGGTTGACCTTGGTGGAGGGGGGATGAAATATCATCCTGCTGCCTTTAAAATGCTAATAAATTAAGTATAAATAAGCATATTCATTCGTTTATTGATCCTAAAGGTTGACTCTTGAACTGGTCAAAATATTCGAAGAAAATTGATTCCAGGCATAATACATCAAAAGGTGAATCTCTTCTATGATTTCACTAGTCAAGAGCTACTAATAACAGTAAGAAAAGAGGTGTTTTTGATTCAAGCAAGCAGACAAACAGACATTCCAAAGAGACAAAAGAGGTGATTGAGACACAATTGAGAAAGAGGTGATGCAGGTAGAAGGGAAATAACCTGAGCTACAGTCAGGCTAATACAGTTTTTCACAAAAAGGGAGGAGTAAGCGGTGTTTTGTAGAGGTTTTTCTGGTTTCATGGCCGTTTGGAAACCTTCTCAGCTGGCATAGTTCAAGAAGTAGACGATTTGTTCGGTCGAGAAAATCTGGTCGACGGTATCTTTGATGTCGGAAATGATGTTTTCCGCGGCAATTTCGATCTTGTCCATTTTTGATTCTTCGTTTTTTTTCTCGGAAAGGTAAAAAATAGCTACTTTTCGGGCGTATTTTTCGTTCTGGCCCGGCGTGAGTTGTGGAAATTGAGAAAATCGGCTGAGCACGAGGTATATAAAGTGCTGGCGCGGCTCCAAATATGGCTCTGGTTCGGACCAGTTTGCGCGGCAGCGTTTTTTAGCACGTCCGAACCACGACCTTTGATCCTAATCGCGATTTGGAAGGCGAAGATTTCGATAGATTGTGCGGAGACAGTTTTGAAATGGCAAGATAGATGGGTGCGATTGCAAAAAAGCATCTTGTCTGGAGCAAGAAAATTGGCGATTTTGGACAGACAAGCTGTTTTCGAACGATGTCGTAAACGATCTTGGGACCAGGGCGTTGACCCCGTGAGTTGAAAAAATGTGGGTTTGTTGTCTTTGGGGCATTCTGGAAGATAATATGATTATGAAAGGCTTCCGTAAAAACGCGTGTTATACAACGATCTGCTTGAAAATCGATTTTGAAATCAAGGAAGAGAGCAATTTCTGAAGTCAAATCTGACCAAGGTTTCGAAATTGCAAATTGCTGTTAAGCCCCCACGATCTAGGAGGTCCTGAAAATATCTTCTTTCTCCCCAGCCCTTTTTGATTCATGTTCACAATCATTTGTCAGGGTTTTTATTTATTTGGTACTAATATTGTAAAATTCAGTTAGTTCGTCATCCGCAGCATTATTTTTCTCTAATTTTAAAACAAACTGCTGTCTTTTTTTATCACAGATTCAGTAGATTCTGGTCTTATCTGCGCTGTTTCTCCAAAGCCTTCTACTGGAAACGAACAGTGTAAGAATGCCTTTTTGGAGGTCGATTTGAGGTTCGAAAGGTATGAGCCTGTGTCCGGGAATTCTCATCGACCGTTCCTTGAGAGAAGTGGAGTAGGAAATACGATCCATTATTCTGAATCCTTCAAGATGAACAAACAGTTCGAAGAAAAGAACGCCCAAGCAGAACACCAAACATGCCCAAGCGAATGAAATTGGCGAGTCTTCGATGTGCTTTCCTAAATTAAAACTACCAAGAGTTGAGCTTGGTCAATCACTAACCAGTGATTGTTGGAGCAATCATAGTGCCGACCGAGGCGCCGAGATTGTTGATAAAGACGTAGGTGAGGCCAAGATTCGTGAAGCTGTTGCAGAGACTCGTCGAGCTACCGTAGAAAAGAGCACAGAAGACTCCGAACAGGACAGTAGCTGTGTATAAAATTGCGTCGTTTGAAGATCCACCGATATTGCCATCGACTCCGAGGATCAAACTTATCGATGCATAGAGAAAATCCTCTTAAATTAGATGTATATGATTTTCTTGCCTTTCCTGATTCCGATTGTTGAACCAATGAAGTAGATCAAGAGCAAAAAGGTCGGTCTAATCTTTCGAGTGGTGTAGGTTCCGATGAATCTCCCGGCAGTCAAGGCAGCCCAGAAGATCATGTTAAGGTAATTGGCTTTTACGGGATCCCAGTCGAAGGCTTTCGAGCATAGTGCGTAGTAGTAGATGTACGACTAAAGCACACTGTTGGCTCTAGTTTTTGTTTTCTTTTTCTTTACCTGGAAGATCGTATCGGTGTTCGCGCTACAAGCATGAATAAACATCGTGAACATGAAAAACACCAGGAGTTTTCTCCAAGGATCTTCGCCGCGCATATCAACCTACTCTTTCATAACTACACAGATGATGAAACAAACCTCATCATGTTTCGCAGTTGTCAGTTTTTCAATGAGCTTCCAAACAGCACAAACACAGGTGAATATTCCACTTGCGAGAACAATCACGCCAACGATCAAATATGGTGGGAGAATATCCTCGTCGACTTTAAAAGGATGGATGATAATACGGAACTGGTTTTTCTTACTGAGGTCGAAGTGATTTCCTGACGTGTAGTTTTTGTCGTAGCCGGTGAAATTGTCGGCGTTGGTGACACATTCCTTGAGAGGATCACTTGACTTAAAAACTTGAACAAGCAGGGGTGCCAAAAAGCCTCCAATAGTAAAGAACGCGTGGTAGATCGCGACGACCCAAGCGGATCCTTCAGCGCCGAAAATATTCAACACAAGCGATTCCAAGCCAGTTGTGAAATAGGAGCTCGTTAAAGTAGTAGCAAAGGCGACAGTTCCGAGCAACCAAAGTTCTGTCAAGAGCGGAATGACGGCGATAAAGAGCCCGTTGACGAGTAGCGTGCCACCAATAGTCAGCAATTTGACCTTTCCTGATGAAAGCCTTGGTAAAATTATTCCAGCGGCAATCGCTCCGACTACATTTCCAAGCCCTCTCCACGCAAAAACAGACGAGACATCACCAACAGAAACGTCGCAGTTGAACGCTAGACTGGGAAGAGTGGGGCCAGTGATGGAGGTGAAAAAACCATGTGCGATTCTAGCCTCAGCAACGACACCAATAAAAATGTATGTCAATAACGATTTGCTGCTTTTTCTAGTCTTGAAATTTATATATCATGGCCAAAATTTTTTTTCTCTTCGTGACTTTTTGCCTGGAACTTTCTGGAACTGGCTGATTTTCTTTTTTCTCTTCCTTGTTTTCTTCTGTTTCATGGGCGCGCAAATCGCCTTTTGAATAGAGAGATTTATACATAGTCTTATAGTTGACCTCTCAAAATAATAAATTCGTTGTTTATTGGGGACGCGTTTCGGCTACAAAAGTGCCTTCATTATCTGCCGCTCCATTCACCTGCAGGCTGCCGCGAAAGCGAATTTTCATTTTCTGTTTTCAGAACTTTCGTTCTCATTCGAAACTGCCCACTCTTAGGTAAGAGTATTCTTCCTTTTTCTGAGCACTAAAGTTAATTTCTGTTCTAGGGCTGATGAAGGCACTTTTGTAGCCGAAACGCGTCCCCAATAAAAAACGAATCTATTATACGAATAGTATTATACGAATCTTAAACAGTGTATACTTAACACTATCTTACTGTTAAAAATAACATCAGTCGAACTGAAGAGGAAATGAATGACTCACCTTCGAACGCTTCATCTGTCTTCGCCATCAAAAACTTTCGATTTATTACGTTCTACTTCCAGGGGCAAAGAGTTCAAGAAAATACGAACTGTCTTTTAAAGAGTACAGAGGTAAATATTAGCGCAAGATCCTTTCAAAAGCATATTAAATACGGCATTTACCGGTAGTCCATTTGCTATATCATTCAAAGGAGGCAACTATATTTGCTTGGCGATTTTCGAACATTTTTAATATATTTGGGTTTGTAATTATGTACAGATAAGTTTCAATTTTTTACAGTTTCATTTGCTTTCCATGCTCAAACATGTGCGAAATCAGCAAATCGGAAGTCGGAAAGTTGGCGCAGCAAAGATCGCATTTCAATTGCCCGTCAGAATCGTGCGATTTCAGGTGGCTTCGAAGATGAGCAGGCCGAGTGTAGCTTTTCTGGCAGTTTTTGACGACGCAAGCGTGGTAAGTCGGAGAAGGAATTTGGTTGGCGCGGGCGTGGCAGCATTTCAAGCAGGGACACTTGGAGCGGGAAGCACGGCGGTTTTTCAAAGCTGATTTGGCGATTTTGAGCGGCTGGGGTTGGGGAGAAGGGTGGAAGCTTGGAGGAGTGCTGAGGTAGGAGTTCATCGAGGATTGGAGGGCTTGGGGATTGAAGTCGGTCGGAGAGAAGGTAGAAGGAAAGAAGTACTGTTGCTGGGGGTAGAATTGCTCGGGGCTGTAGTGGGGAGAAGGAGCTGGGGATGGGTAGTGATAGTAGGAAGCGTTGACTGGAGCTGCTGATGGGATGGGGTTTCCAGGAGAGCTGTTAGAAGAAGAGGGAGATGAAGAGGAAGAATAGTGGACGGGAAAGTCTGAGGCGGCCGAGTTGTATCCAGAGCTAGGAGCGAAGTTGGGACTAGAATAGCTCTGCTCAGAAACAGTTGACGGAGAAATGAGCCCGGCGAGAAAGTCCAAATCGCTGAGGTCGACTTGGGGAAGCTCAAAGGCGACGTTTTGGAAGCTGTCGGTTGAGGAAGTCATTTTTTTTTCTTGAGGAGTTTTTTTTGCTTGTTGATTTGTTTGTTTTGAGAAGTGATTTGATTTTTCTGGGAAAAGGGAATGGTATTTATTTGGAAAGACAGGTGCGAGAGGGTGGCGACGGGCGACATTGGGATTGACTGGGGCTGATTACAGACGGCTGCTGCCAGCGAAAGCTGCAGGATGATTTGGCAGATTGCAATCTTGATTGATTCTGCTGAGTCTACCACCCGTTATTTGGCTTACTCTTGGAGTTCTTACTCTGAAGCCGGAATCGAAAAATCACTGAAAATGAAGCTGGTTTTTGTATGTGCCTTTTGTCGCCGGCACCTCCGTGGCAAGATGGCCGAGTGGTCTAAGGCGCTGCGTTCAGGTCGCAGTCCTCTTTGAGGGCGTGGGTTCGAATCCCACTCTTGTCAAGCTTTTGCTAACTCTTTACCAAAAAGAACCGACCGGTAATCGAGAACATGGAGATTTTATTTACAGGACAGTGAAAGTGGGGTATATAATCCCAGAAAGCGAAATAATAGAGCGTATTTAAAAGGGTTGAAAGTATCAGTATCGCTCATTCAAGTTGATTTTCCAGTGAGAACATCGAGTAATAATCGATCATCTTTGACAAACTTCCTTGTTTCAGGATCAGCAACACGTTGGATATGAACATTGCTCGACCAAGAAGACGGCCTCGCTCTCAAGAATACTCTAGCTCTTAGACAGACTTCTTGCTCAATCGAAGACATGACATCTCCTTTCAGACCAGTTGGCACATTCGCTAGTCGATTGTAGAAAGGCTCGATGTCTTTTGAATCGAGAAAAACGACTTGTTGATTTGGAAATCGTCGACGAAGCGCGTCTTTGATCGAGAAATTGATCTGGACTTCTTGTGGTGGGGAAGCCAAGTAAACAGCTTTTATGGGAACGTCCTCAGATCTGAGCTTTTCAAGATAATTGACGAAGATCTCCGCCGATTCGGTCATATTCCCCTTCATCTTCATCAAATCGTCGCAAATCTTATACGGGTCTTCGGTGCTGCATCTTGACAAATAGTCCACATCATCAAATCGGTAATGAAGGGCGATAAATCTTCCTTCGAAGAGCTTTTCTTTTACGAAGTCGTCTACCAGCGCTCTCATAAATTGCGGCCGAGCGACGTAATTGATGACGTCGGAGAAAATTTCAGCGTCGAAGTCCGAGATCTCGCCTTGTGCACCTTTTCTGTTTCTTAAAAATCGTTCGATTTGGCCGTGGAAGTTTGGGAAGAGAGTGTAAGGATAGGCAATCACTGCGCATCTTTCGTCCCCAGGGTAGTACTCCTCGAGCCATTTTTTGTCACTCGACAAGGTTCGGACAATCTTCTTCTCCTCTGGATACGTCGGGAGGCCCTTAACTCCTCTGCAGCTCTCCTCCTCCATGAATGCTTCCAGCCCAAGTCTCTTCCTTGTCTCCTCAGTCGTCCTCCAAATGTCGCCAGAGCAAATGTCCCTCCCAATCAACAGGGAATCAACTTTCCCACCACAGTTGCCGGCGATTTCGTGGACGTCACAAGTCGTGATCAATTCATGAATCTTTCGAACATCAATTCTGAATCTCGGAATCACCAGGTGCTCCTCTCCATCCGACAAACTCAAGTCCTGAAAAATTCTTCATTCGCTTTTGGAGCTAGAATTGGGCTCTCACCGTGAAATGTTTGAAGAAAAAAGGGACACAAAGTGTTCGATTGAGCTTTATCGCAAGAATAAGGGACTCTTGTAGGCCCCGGAGTTGATTGTTCGGGCCCCAATTCAGGAAAGGGATGAGAAATTTGTCGCTCCTAAAAAGGCTCTTTTGACGGTTATTGGAGATCAAGTCTTGCCTTGTTTGATATTTCGGAAGAACTGCTTCTTCTCCAGGAAGAAATCGTTGAAATCTATTCAACAACTCTATTTCTGTGTCTCTTAGACCCGAATCACTGACAAACCAAAAATGATGGCCGTACAAAATGGTTGTCAAAATCAACAATAAATACGTTTCAAGATTTTTCATTTTCTTCAATTTTTCGCCTCTCAAAACTCAAAAAACGCAACTTGTTTAGTAGCTGACGTATAATTATTACGCGTTAACGATCCACTATGTGTTTACGAGTTTGTGAGTTTGATGATTTTTTAATCATTTAAGCTTTCGATGATTCTTTTCTTTCAAAAGAAATCATCATAAAACTCATCTTCTCAGCCGTAATCAAAGGATTTTAAAATAGACAGAAGCTCAATTTTTAATTAATTGAATCTCAACCGGAAATGCTCAAAATCTCCTCAAAACAAAAATCAATTACAAAATGGGAGCCGAGCTTCATTTAGAGAAAATCGTCGGCGATCAGACGGACGAGGTGCTAGAATTTCTCCAGAAAAATGCATTCGCTCAGGCGGCAGCGCAAACGACTGAAAAACCTAATCCAAAGAGACTGCGGCAATTCGTGGCGTACGCTTGCGACAATGAGTTAAATATCTGCTACAGGGATCAGGATGGCAAATTGGCAGCGGTTATCAGTATGTTTTTCGCACCTTTTCTTCCGAAAAAAACATTGTAGTCGGCTACGACATTTCGAAGAAAACGGAGCTGTCGCTGATTTCCTCCGCGCTCTGCTGGCTCAACTGTTGCCCCTGTCTTCCAAACTTCCAGCGGCCGATTTCTGCTCTAGAATTCGTCAAATCCCTCATCGGCGACACCAAAAACCTCGATCAGCAATTCAACGTCAAAGAAGCGGAAGAATGCTACGAAATTGCTACTGTTGTTGTTCGAACCGATCTGAGGTAAATTTTCATTCAATTCTCCCCCTTTCATTTTTGAAGACAACAAGGAATCGGAACTGAATTCGTAAAAACCGCCCTGGACCGAGCGCGAGAACGAGGAAGAAACCATGCTACTGCTTTTGCTACAGTCGAGCCTTTGAGAAAGACCTATCAAAAGGTAACTCGCTGGTTTGCTCCTAATTTGACTACTTTCTAGCTCGGTTTTGAAACTGCAACATCGGTAAATTACGAAGAAGCTTTCGGAGCGGCTCATTACAACGGAAAACTCGAATCTGGAGAATGCCATTTCATGGTTTGCCAACTGTAGAAACTATTACTGTATAAAGGACTTTGTTTTTTCGGAATTTTATTTTGAAGATAGACAATTCGATTTCGAATTGGCGCATGTAACATGCGGCATGTTGAAGCTCAGAAAAGTAGAGAAATTGATAAGGAACATGGTAAAGGAAGCAGCAAAAAACGAAACGAAAGAGATAATTGAAAGTGTAAAAGTTGGTTAACGGAAAATGAAAGAAAAGGTCCTGTGGAAGTCATGGGCTCAGTTATTGATCGTCGCGTTTCTGGGCTTGACGATGGAGGTAGAAACCATCTTGTTGACTCCGCAGACGCCCTGGCCTCGCTTGACTCGGTAGTAGCCGTCTTCGCCCCATCGTGGTCCCCAGGAGTTCTTGATCTTCCAGTACGGTCGGGGATGTCGGTGGCGCCAGCTCGTGTGGTGCTCGACTCCGTAGCCGACCATTAGGACGCCATGGTCGAGGCCTTCTGGTGAGCAGAGGAAGGAAAGAGGATGGGAAACGCCGCCACGGTAGAACTGGAAACAATTAGGATTATCAAAATAACGCTTTTTAAAGCTAACCTGCATGCCAAAAGCATTGATGGCGATAGAAAGAGGGCCGTGTTCTTCGAGTGCTTCGGCGATCACGTCTTCGTCTTCACCGATGTCCATGAAGTCGTCGATTTGAACCTTGGAAAGGGACTTCTCAAAATTGCACTGAAAAGAAAGGAAGAATGAAGAAAGGATTATTGCCGAAAACATACAGTTTCCTGGTGCCCATCGTAAGGGTACTGCTGCTCAGTTTCCAGGCCGCCAATTCGGATGACTTCTTCGAAAGCTTGGTCCATCAGGCCACCGTTGCAGCCCTAAACAACCAAAAAATTGAAATCAAGGACGAGAAAGAGGACTAACGCTGTCTTTTTGATCGCAATCGACAAGTTCCTGTTCCGACAAGCTGATCAGTTCTCCTGTCGCCTTGAACCAAGTTCCTTCGATATTTCCAGTCGTCGAAAAGGCCCAGCAAGAACCGCACATGCCCTAAAAACAGCGCTAGAATCAACTCTTCCTTTGTTTTTTCCAACCTGATTTTTGACCTCCGTCACAGCTCCTTTTTCAACCCAGTCAAAAGTTTCTTCTTCTTTCTTCGCAAACTTCAGCTTCCGCGAGGAGTTTTGCGGCTTTCTTTGGTATTTTCTTCGGTTGGGATTTTTGAGCTCCGGCTTGAGTCCGAGATAGTGGCGGCGGAATTCGTAGTCGGAGAGGTCGGCAAACTCGGTCACGCCGTAGCGGGCGCTGCCTTGCTCGATGTGGTTGTGGAATTTGATTCGCTGAAAATGAGATGAATGGGGAGGAAATAATGCGCTGTAGAATCTACTAAAGGTAAGGCCCTTAACTTAAGGGTAACCCCTTTCTTTTGGCATCAAATTGAAGTCCAGAGAAAGAGGGTTAAAATGAAGGGGGTCTCCTTAAGTTCAGCTTGGAAATTAAGGGCGTAGGTGCCAAAAGAGAGCGTGATAGTAAAAAAACCTAACCTTGAGATTCTCCCAAAAAGTCTGAAATTTGGAGTGACTTTCTTGAGCAGAATACATCTTAGGATACTCCAGAAGAAATTCTTCAAACTGTTTTCTCGCATCATTCTCGGAAACGGCGAAATCTTCGGGCGTCACTTTGAACAATTCGCTCAACTTTGAACTGAAAAATTTTCTATCTCTTTTATTTTTACGAAGAAACTTACTGGTCATAAGTGTCTTGGAGAAATTCGGCGACTCCGGCGAGCGCGGAACCGGCCAAAATTGAATATAAACGCATCTCTTTCTTTCTGAAAATCGTGAAAAATGCTAAAAATTGAGAAGAATCAGGAAAATAAAAGACAGACAGAAGTTGATACAGAATGTCTGGCCAATCAGAAAACGAATGACTCTTATCAAAATAATTTAAATGTTGATAACGCTGCTATTTAAAATATTCATTATAGATAAATAATAAAAAATAATCTTTGAGAGAAACTCAGCAAATTTTCTATTTTTTTTTAAAGATCTTCGTAATTCTCTCTTAATTTTTTTCACCTTGAACAAATTCGTAAAACTCGTAAAACGCGAAAACCCCGAAAATTGTAAATTTCTCTGTTTCGTTTTGAAAAGCGCAAATTTGCGGAAAATGGCCGCGGCGGCGCAGCGATGACTCATCGCGCCCAATCGAGGCCGCGTCCGAAAAGGAAAAAAATCATCTGAAAAAGCGAAAATAAAAATATAAAAAGAGAAACAGTTTCAGCTTTCCAAGCGGCTTTACAAACAAGAAAACAACAAAATAAAGAGAGAAAAGAAAAATCACATGAAGGCTTTTTGAGAAAAATATTTTGAAAAAACGAAAAAAGAAAGAATTGCGCAGAAAACATGACAGGTAATTTATTTATCGGATAAAGCCATTTAGGCTCTTGCCTCAGGGCAATATACATTTGCCTCGAATTATTAGTATTTGAAATTTTTTTATTAAGAATTTTGCGGTTTTCGTTTCATTTTTTACCGTTTTCTTCTCTTTTCAGTCGTTTACGCGAAAGTGAAGCTCAACTTCAAGAGCGAGCAGTACACATTCCACATCGACTCGCGAATGAACTTCGAAAATTTGGTCACCAGAGTCGAAGAAATGTGCAACTTGGCGCACGGCTCTCCCCTCGTTTTGAAATACATCGACGAAGACAACGACCCTATCGTCGTCTTTTCCGACGAGGTACTAGGCTTTTCATCCCTTTTCCTTCATGCAAGCACCTTTTCAGGAAATGGAAGAAATGCTGCGAATCAACCACCCGAACGAAAGTATACACATGCACGCGTTTAACTGTCGCCCGCCCGAGCCAGGAAAACGCTGCGAAGGAGAAACAAAGGTAGCAATTAGTAGGAGATCGTTTTATGACCGAAATGGCGATTTCAGGATATTTACAGACGAAATGCAATGGCCAAGATCAAGCATCGATTGAGACACCTGGGCAGAAAAAATAACCGACAGCCGAAATCGCACGATTTTCCAGTTATTGGTCCGGATCACAATAATTTACCAGCGACATTCACAGTAATTCCGTCTCATTTTTCCCTTTATTTTATTGTAGAATGCGGCAAATCCTCAACCGACTCCTCCTGGTGGCAGAAAACTGGGAATGGAAATCACCCAGGATCCGAAAATCCAGCGGGGATTCAACTTCACCGATTTCGAGCTCATCAAAGTCATCGGACGCGGCAGCTACGCAAAGGTAAATTTCTGCTGGAGCTGACGTGGGCTCCTGTAAATCGAGCTGTAGCGCAAGATCCGCCTTGTTTTGCCTGATTTTCTGCGTCAAATCCGTCCAAGGTGGCTCAAATATTCCGGAATTCACTGCTGTCAGAAAAAGCCGGTTATGATAGAGACATATATAAGTAATAGATTCTGATAATGTGTTGATGGTTGTGGAAAACAGCTTGAAATCCCCTCGATTTACGTCAATCAGTGCTCGAAAGATCTTGAACCCAAAAATCTGCTAGACCTAAAAGATACTGTTTTCAAGGGTAGACGTTTATTTTGACCGACATAAAGTAGCGACATAAAGTAGCTTTTTTGGGTTCAAGATGTGCACTTGAACTGATGATTTTCCCTTCATCTTGACTCGGAACTTTCCACGTTTATCCCCTGTCGGACTAACCGATGATTTCTCAGCTCTTGAGGCAGGCAAGATAATTTGTTCCTGTTTTGACTGTCGAAAACTGGCGTCTTAGTCTTCTTTGATTTCAGCCTCGTTTTCTTGACTTCAACTTCAGGTTCTCCTGGTCCGTCTGCACACGACGAAGCGCCTCTATGCGATGAAAGTGATCAAGAAAGAACTCGTCTGCGACGAAGAAGACATCGACTGGGTGCAAACAGAAAAGCACGTCTTCGAAACCGCCTCGAACCATCCCTTCCTCGTCGGCCTCCATTCCTGCTTCCAGAGCCCCTCGAGACTTTTCTTCGTCATCGAGTACATCAATGGCGGGGACTTGATGTTCCACATGCAGAAGCAAAGAAAGCTGCCAGAAGAGCACGCAAGATTTTATTCGGCAGAAATTTCTCTCGCGCTCCATTTTCTTCACGAAAGAGGTTTGAAAATGAAAATTGCCGAATGAAATAAGGGTATCCCTTTGTTAATTTTGTTAGAAAAATCCTCATTTCTATCCCGTCAAGATTCGTTATTTAAGGAATCATCTACCGCGATTTGAAGCTGGACAACGTACTCCTCGACTCCGAAGGCCACATCCGATTAACCGACTATGGAATGTGCAAAGAAGGAATCCTCCGACCGAACGACGTGGCGACCACTTTTTGCGGGACGCCGAATTACATCGCGCCAGAAATTTTGCGCTGCGAAGACTATCGATTTTCTGTCGATTGGTGGGCACTTGGTAAGCGCGCTTTCTTTTGATATTTTGTTGATTTTTGAAAGGTGTGTTGATGTACGAAATGATGGCTGGTCGATCCCCCTTCGACACTGGCCCGGTGACGAATCAAGAGGGCGAGCAAAACACAGAAGAAATCCTCTTCCAAGTGATTTTGGAACGAGTCATCAGAATTCCCAGATCTTTATCAGTCCGAGCTGGGAAGGTTCTGAAAGGCTTTTTGAACAAAGACCCGAATGATCGACTCGGTTGCATTGGCGAGAATGGCTTCCAGGACATCATCAATCACGAGTTCTTCAGAAGTATCGATTGGCAACTGCTCGAGTCTAAACAGATCAGCCCCGTAAGTGCATTAAAGAAAATTGAATAGGCGAACACTTGAGTTCTCAAAAGAAACATGGTTGAATGGTTCTTGTATTCTTTGAGATCTCCAGATTTGACATTCTGGTAGAGACGTTCATTTTGTCTTGAAAAATCCGTAATCACCGGCGATTCAATTTCAATTCCAGCATCATACCTGTTTTGACTGAAAGATGCGTTTTAGTCTTGTCGTGTTGGTGATCAAGTGAGACTAGAACGCTTCTTTGCAGTCAAAATAGTTATGATGCTGAAATTGATCATGGAATTGCCGGTGATGATGACGAACGTCCATCCTTGGCCTTTTAGATTCTCTTCTTATTCGATTGAGTTCTATTTGCAAGACACAATAAACGTCTGTGCTGCAGAAGGACAAAAAATTGAACCACTAGAATTGACCCTTCATTTCAGCCGTACAAGCCGTACATCCGCGACGAAATGGGCCTTGACAACTTCGACACCCAGTTCACCGAAGAACCAGCTCAACTGACGCCCGACGTGAACACCTTCCGCGGCAACGAGTTTGAAGGCTTCGAATACGTCAACCCCCTCCTCATGACTGTCGAAGATCAAGTCTGAATCCGGCTTCTCCTATCTTCGTTTTCAATCTTTTGAAAAATTGCCTCGTCAATCTTCACAAAATTGTTCTTTCATTTTTATTCTCACTCACTCATTAGTGCACTTCACTTACAGAAACGTCTGAATATACAGATATCCCTTTCTCTTTTTTTTCAAAAATATGCCTTGAGTTCAATTTCAAAATTCCTGTTTTCATCAAATATTCTCAAATTTGAGCAAATTTCGCTTTCTGTCCATTCCTATCTCCAAATAACAAAACCGACAACTCCTCGTACTCGGAATTTTAACCAAAGACATGTGACATCTTTTCTGTGTTCTATTTTTTTGAAATTTTAATACAGCACACTTTATATTTTCATCATAACAACGACTGTAAATAACAATCATGCAATTTCAAACAAATACTTAACAACAAAAACGACCAAAAAAGACATCAAGCAGCAAATAAAACTTGTTCACTACTAATTCAAAAAACATTGAAGCCATTTTGATTTTGAAATAATTGAAGAATGGATAATCCGTTCGCTGATCCTTCGGTCGTAGAAGCTCAACGAGCAGCGGCTCAGGCCCCTGCTGTTGAAGACAATCCTTTTGCGGACGATGTCGGTAAGTTTTCTTTCTTTTTCTTCGCTGGAATTGCCTTTTTTGAAGATTTAACAGATGAATATGAGTATTTTCTCCACCCAGCACATGGTAAAACCTTTACCACCTACACTTACCTTCATTTATCAATTCAAATCTTTCCCTTTCCCCAATTTCACCCATTTTTCTAGCTCCGAGCGCGCCAACCCAGAGCGCCGCTCCGACCGGACAGATGACCTCGATTCCGATCGCCGAATCGGCGCCGAAAGTTCCGAAACCAAAGGGGATTTCCGATCTTCCAGGACACGAGGATTTGATGAAGAGACAACAAGAACTCGAGCAGAAGGAGAAAGAGCTGGAAAGAAGGGAGCGCAATTTACAGGTTAGCGAGATTCTTTTGAATGGTTGTTTTGAATATTTTAGTAGTATCATCTTTTGGTAATAAATTTTGGTAAAGACACCTTATCTTTTTCTTCATTTATCACTGCATGAACTCTTTTATCATTCGTTTTACTCATTTTAACTCCATTTTCAGACCGGCGGAACCGTCCAGCCTAACAACTGGCCTCCCCTGCCGTCCTGGTTTCCAGTAAAACCGTGTTTTTACCACGACATCAGTCTCGAAATCCCGCTCGATTTCCAAAAGACGGTGCGTTACTTGTACTACCTCTGGATGACCTACGTCCTCTGTCTTTTCCTCAATGTTCTTGGAAATATGACCTTCTGGGTAATGCATTTTTTCCTGCTTCTTTTTCCATATTTTTCTTTCAGATCGCAGAAAGCAAAAGCGAAACGGCCGACAGCGAAAGTGGACCCAAGAACTTTGGCTTGTCAGTCCTCTGGCTCGGGCTTTATTCTCCCTGCTCCATGTGCTGGTACATTCCCGCTTACAGAGCGTTCAAGAGCGATTCTTCATTCAATTTCTTCATTTTCTTCTTCATCTTTTTCTTCCAGGTAAACAACCTCACGAAAGATCGGCAGCATCACAAAGAAACAAGCACCTAATGTCGTTTCAGATTTGCTGGCTTTTATTGATGGTTATTGGTATCAAAGGAATGGGCTACTGCGGCTGGGTAGTTTCGATCGCCGCAATCAAAGAAGACGTCGCTTCTGGCATCATTTCCATGATTTCTTCCATCGCTTTCACGTAAGAATCCCTCCTTTTCCGCCTTTTCTACCTTAATTTAAGGATCTGCCTGTGTTTCGCTCTGATAATGCTTCGAAAAGTGCACGAAATCTACCGTGCAACAGGCGCTACCTTCGGCAAGGCGATGACAGAAGGACAGAGCTCGATCGGCACGACGCTTTGGTCGAATGAAACTGTCAGGAACGCGGCCACCAGCGCTGCTACTCAGGCTGCACAGCACAGCGCGCAGGTAAATCTACATGATCTTATGATAATCGCTAATCCCTGTTTTCAGAGCGCGTTCGGCAGAAATCCCTGAAGACAGAATAAATCTTCAAATCCCGCTACGAAAACTCACACAACATGAAAAAAAGAAACTTACCTATAAACTCATTTTCTATCTATTTAAAAACGACACATCCGAAAAATATCAAGTACCATCATTTCATAATATAACTTAGAATTCTTCTCAAAAATCGTGGATCGTCCAACAAATCACCCAAACTTGTAAAACTCCCAAAATCTCGCCCGGTCGTTGCAATTTTTGTACTCTCTATCGTCTTCAAATAAAGCTTCTTAGCGACTGATCGAATTCCCTTGACAGATAAAAACGTAAATTCAGCAATAGAAAATGCCCGAAATTAGAAACAGACTCGTACAAACAACATTTGCTTCAACTTTTGCATGAAATCGAAAATCGAAAAAATATATCATTTTAACATGTTTTGAAAATTTGAAGACCATTCTTGCTCTTTTCTATAACCTAGTGTTGGATGTCTGACTCTTCAACCCTCTTTTTAATATTTTGCAATATTGATAAAAACTATTATAATATTCATTTTCTTCTATGTTTTCAACATATCTTTTCCATTAGTGTAATTCATCTTTTACTCAAGAAAAAAACAATAAAAATCAACAAAAAACAGCGATTTTCAACGAAAAACTTTTCAGTCAGTCGATTTCAAATTTCAAAAATGGACGGCCGCGTCCGAATCCAGCGGAACCGCGGGGTCGACGCTAATGGCGACTCTGAAAGCTCGCATTCAAATACGAAAACGCGGGGAAATCGAAATGGGCGGAACCAAAGATACAACAGAAGTAACAACTCGGAGTCGGAGAAGATCCTTTATCAGCGAGAATACAACAATTCCAACAGCGAGTACTCGGAACGGCCTTCTTCTGGAAGAGGGAAGGAGGTTGATGAGGCGGAAGGAAAGGGTTGAAGAACAATCACTTATTATTGCAATTGATAGTGTTGATTGTAGTAATGAAGCAACCCGAAGAAAAGGAGACTTGAAAAATGCGGAAATGAAGCGATCTGCTCGAATAATCGATCCAAATCTTCACTGGCGAGAGCCATCTCCAGCGCTTGGTTTCCTTCAGGAAACAGTTTTCAAGACCAGCAATTTGCGCAATTGTGATTCTATGGTTACTCAACCGACGAAACCCCCCTGAACCGTCGGACATAGGCGTGTCACATAGCTCCTAAAGTCTCCAAGACCTTGCTTTTTTGTTGAAATAGAGAGCATCGTAAGATAAGGAGGAGGGAAACGCGCAGCTTTCGTCGTGGAATTTCTTCATTCCGGGGCATAATTTAATCAGCACCTGGGGATCATCTTCGCTTAAAATTTTCCATGAGGAAAGAAAGCTTGCAGCTTCGAAAATCAGCTTCTCGCTTCGCTATCGTAATTCACGTAGAAAACTGTGAAAGCAAGAAAACACGGATTTCCTGGTCGTCGGCGTGATCGGCCACCAAGGAGTGGGCAAAAGCTCGCTGATGTCTTTGCTTGGCGGGAGCAACTGTCGCGACAAGCGTTTCCACTTTCGGCCTCAAGGATTCGAGACAAAGGAAAAGGGCTGCCACATGACTGCTGGAGTGGAGATGTTCATTACCAGCGAGCGGATGATCTTGCTAGGCAACGAGTTTGAAAAGCACACTTTCAGAAGTCTGCCAAAAAGCCGCACATAATTTATAGAATAAACGGCGCTGATTAAGGCTTCCTACAGAGTTAGCCGAGCCCACAAGACTTTGTCCACTTTCGTAAATCAAGAAACGTTCGTCTATTTTGAAAACCAGAAAATCACTTATTTTTCGAATTATATGATTTATTCGATTTCAGTTCAACTAGAGACGATAGTGATCGTGCTGGTAAATGGCATAGTTTGGCTGTGCCAAAAACCTATAGAATACATTGACGTGCTTTTTTTAAGGTTAACGAAGTTTTCCAGCCCACTTCCGCCATATAAACCCCAGAACACCATACCTTTTCAGAATCAGCAGAAAATTTCAAGAACTTTGACCATTTAAAATTCAAGAAATCTTCACTTCCGGTCAATTCTAGAGCCGGAAGTTGACGAAATTTTCGAGTATGTATAAAGTGTGACCCATCAAATTGATGCTCAGAAGATTCTGAGTCATCTCATTATCGATTCATTCGAAGAAACAAATCCATACGCGGTCAAACCATCCGCCAAAACTACGAAAAAATGCATAAATTTATGAAATTTTTTCAGTTTTTGCGGTTGATTTGACCGTGGCCGGGATTGATTCTTCTCTGAGATGATAGGGAATCGTCTGAGAATCAATTTGATAGGCCACAAGTTGCCCATACTCCCAAATTTCGATAACTTCCGGCTCTAGAATCGACCGGAAGTGAAGATTTCTAGAATTTTAAATGGTCAAAGTTCTTGAAATTTTCTGCTGATTCTGAAAAAGTATGGTGTTCCGGGGTTTTTATGACGGAAGTGGGCTGGAAAACTTCGTTAACCTTAAAAAAAGCACGTCATTGTTAACTTTATTGAATTTTTGAGCCCAAAACTGGGCCGTTTTCTTGAATCCTCAACTGAAAGCTTTTCTAAACTTCGAAAAGACACTCAGCCAGTTCTTTCGACTTCTTTACTCGACGAATTATGCGTTAATGATCGCGATCGGCGGCACGGAACAGGATTGATTTGAAATTCGTCAAATGTAAAAACGCTAGAAAATTGCTATTTTGGCAACTTGAGAATCTGTTACAGGTGGTGGTGCTCCTGATCTCGCTTCCGGCCTCTCGCTCCACCAAATCCAGTCGCTTCAGCTCGTTGCTTGGCTCATGAGCGTTTGTCACGTGATTTTAGGAAAAGGAGCGCTAGAATAATGATCCAAACTTTAGATATTCTTCCCAAGAGCTTTGAGCACTCCGAAACAGTTTTGCACGATCAAGCGCCGGATTTCAACCTGGTGCGGCTGCTGACCACCGCGGAAATGCTCAAGGCACAATTTTACATGTGACTAGAATGTCCTGTTGAATTTTTTGTTCAGCCGACTACGACGCCGCCCGATGGAACTGATAATGTCGATTTCATGCCCGAGGTCGTGTTTGTCATTAACAGGAGTAACAGAGACTTGTACCAGCCCGCCAACTTCATTGCTTGTGAACAGATTATTGCCGCCTTGATGAAGTACAGCAAGGTAGTGTTTTCGATTGTTAATTAAGGACGCGTCGATTTTATATAAGAGTATATTCTGTTATTATTCATTTTCTTTATATAAATTAGCTCAAAGTTCGTGGCCACTTCGGCTCCTGGCGAAAGAACCTGATGCTTGAACTTCCAAAGGATGAGCATCCCTTCAACATCTTCATGGTTCCCTCAGGTACAATTCATCCTCGCCGAGAGATTAGCTAGCCTCTTAGCAAACGATCGATGCCGGAATCCGGCGTATCCCTCCTTCGAGCTGACTATCCGGACGCTTCGCAATCTGGTCTTGCCAGGTGCAAAATACGGAATTTCATGACTCCAAGTCGTCTGCTCTTGATCCTTGAACATGTCTTGATGATCATTTACGCGCTTGACATGACTGGTCTCAATCATCATTTCCAAGTTTGACTTGAAGCTTTGACTGCTACTTCCGCCACTTGATCTACAATCAAGAATCTGAATTTGCTTCATTCCGTATTTCGAACAAAGTCTTTTCCGCGTAGCAACCAGCCCCACAATCACGAAAAAACCTGGTTGAGCAACGCATCACGAGCTTGGGAACAAGGCACTGGTTAATCTAAAGTAAAACCAAATTTCCAGCGTATTTTGTGACGGAAAGACGGTTATTGAACCAGGATACAAGTCCGGAAGACACCGATGATGGCTGAATACTCAAGACATCTTGTAGAAGCTACCTGAATTCACTAATCACAAATACCCGAAAGCAAATCGAAGGAAGAAGCTTTCTGAAGGCGCGGGTCGGGCATTTTTTCTATCGGCCCAATCACAGGACTTTATTAGGCTTATAAGCCAACCGGAAGCATTATTTTGGCCATGAGCGAATCACAGCCCCAATTTTAACCATATTTCCAATGAAAGGGCTTGATTAAACCCATAAGCCAATCAGAAAGCTTATTTCGGCCCAAAAGCCAATGAAAATCATCGAAATGCCGACCCTAATAAAAAGTTATAATCTCCCAAAAACCTGAAACCAAATCATTGAAACCAATTTAACACTAGAATCCAAGGTCGGCGCGATGTCTGACCCTAACATCTAGTGGCTTTTTTCGACCAATCAGCACCCAATTAGCATTTGGTCAAAAATCACCAACAACTTAAATTGTTGACAAAAAATACAATGATGATCAGTTAATTTTTTGTACCTGTGCTTGTTTCATTTATTTACGCTTTGTTTCTGCTCTAGAATCACTCTCACGCGCCTCGAGAAAAGCTTAAAAAATGCGTAGGCGGTACAGCTTTCTTTTTGATTGTTTGTCTTCAAAAGAATGCTTTTTACCGCCTACGTATTTTGAAAAAGCAACTCTCGAGCGCCAAAAAGTCCCTGGGGTGTCCCTGTAGCATCTTACTGTATCAGAAACATGGAAAAGAAGAAAATAAACTCGTAACATATTTTAAAAGAAAACAAAACTCTAGAATCGCTCTGGAACTCGTTCACATTTCAGAATGGCTCTCAAAAGTGGCTTGAAGTCACGATGACGGACGACGATCTCGGAGGACCAGATGATCATGAGCGTCTCGGTCCAACCCCAAACCAAACAGAGGCAGAGAACCGAGGGCCCAACCCCCGGCCACCTCCACGACGGAGGGGGACGCCGACCAGGGGGGCCACTGGTGATGTGATTCTTCAAGTTCACATTGCGAATATTTTTCTGGAAAGGGTTCAATTTTTGAAGAATATAAATAATTTAAGTATATACTTAAGTAGAACTTTTGGAGAACTATTTTCCGTTAAATTATTGCAGAATCTATTTTATATATATCAACAAAACTCGGGTAGAAAAATAACCTTTTCTTAAAAAATTGATGCCAATTGTGGTTTTTTCTTTGAAAAATTAAAAATATTTCTAAGAAAAGCTTCAGAAAAGTTGTAAAATAGCTAGTGGTAGATGTAGATTGTAAAACGATAACGAGCAATTATCATATCTTTAGCTTGCTCTACCTGTAGGCGATTGTCAATTCGAAAGAATGGAATTAATTATACAGAGAATTATACGTTACGCACCCTTCACTTTAGTCATTTTGTCAACGCTACGCCCGCTGGTGCAAAAAAGGACTTCGCCGCTTTTTGGAATTTGTTGTTTTGATAAAGGTGAAAAATTAATATAGAGAAAGTTTCTGCTGCTGGAGGGGGGAATTTTTATTAATGAAAGACGCTCGTATTTCGAATTAATTACTGGAAATAAAATGCGCACTCAAGATTCAAATGGCAACACTCGATGAGAAAGTCATTTGAAGAGGCGGCCTCTTTAAGAATTTCTCTCTTCATTTTTTGATTGAAAAATTTTCCATTTCTTTTTTCGCGCTTGTAAAATTTTATGACACCTCATCGCGCAGCAGGGTTGATTTTTCAAAAGCTATTGTTCATTTTCGCTGTTTTAGGCGCTGGGCGCAGCATTGGCTCTTATTTATTCACACGTCGGATACCCCAACACCAGTACTTGTCTGCTGCCTTTGAAGGGCAAGATCCCCGTCGAGTCGATTTTGCGGGTAGAGATTGGAAGACGAAGATCAGCGCTTATTTCTGATTATTTATACAGGTACGCGCCTGTCTCTAGAGCAGCATAATCGAATGTTACAGTAACCATCTTGTTTGTTTTCTGTCGCTAAGCAGGGCATCATTTCCGCCTTTCAGAATCGAGAACCAATGTCCTCTCTACCGCGAACTGGAGCATCAGCCCTATCAGAACATATCCAGACGACTTATCACTATTTCGACGGATGTAATCACCGACACTCCCAACCCTTCTCGGCCCTTTCACTATCAGGCCAATTATTTCAGGTGCGATTTCTTTTCCGAAATTTTTGGAAAGGCCTATTTCGTCCTAAAATGACTCCAAATGGCTGCAGATTCAAACTCGTTTGTAATAATCTTTCTAGCATGAGAAACATCTTCGACTTTGGCTTCGACTACCTCAACCTAGTCCGCTTTGAGTTCTCGCACGAGTATGGCTACCTCCGTTTATCCGAGCAGGCGCGAAAAACCCGAAACGTAGAAGTGATCAAAGTGATGCTCGATCCATCCAAAGACGACTGCTTCAAATCACTTGTTTGGGACAAGTTCGGCCGCGTTTTGCTGGCCGAGTGGTTTGGCTACGACTGGATCGTTTTGGACTCCATCGTGCAGATTTCCGGAAACACCGGTTTTATCAGAAACACTGTAACTAAGGACCAGTTTACTGTCTTCAACGGCGGTCACAAGAAACGAATGCTTTATGTGCCTGTAATCGCCTGTATGGTCTTTACGGCGCTGATTGCCATGCTTCTTAGGTAATTCGAATTAATTTGGTGATTTTGATTCATGGTTGGTTTTCTCATCATCTACTCTGTAGGTTCGCTTATAAACAGGTGTTCATGTTTGTGTTCCGGGTGCTAACGGAAGGTCCCCTCGATCTTCAGGCGTGGATACTCAATTGAAAATCATCCCTTTTTTGATTCAGGAGGGTTTTATTTGCATCCATAAATTTGACAATTCACAATCACTTTCCCTACGGCGCCGTGGCCAGCTCCGTTCTAGCGCTTATTGGGCTCGAAGACATCATGTCCGAGTACTTTGGAGATTCCAGGAACGCGTTTCGAGAGCTTCTCCATCAGTTCTGAGGAGAACACTGTCGAAACGAGCGCTAGAATCGCTTTCTACGTGATTTTGTCCGTTTGGATCGCTGACCAATTCCACTCCTACTGCTGCCACACGCCCATAACCAAAAAGTACTGGATCCGCTTCTTCTACTTGTACCATTTAGGCTTCTACATGTATAACCACATCTACACCAGGTAGGATCCCTCGCTTAGAAGACGCGCTAGAATTAATTCTATTCAGTCGAAGAAACGCGTTTATCGCTTTGTTTACTTCTTGCATGTTGACCATGCATATGATGATCTTCTTCTTTCATCACTTTGAATTGCCCTTTGTTTTGGAACGGTTCAAAATTATTTCGAAGACTTTTGGGCTTTTTCAGCCAACCAGAGGCCTGTTTCCATACGCTTAGCCAATCAGAAATGCTCGAACCTGTTTGGTGAGTTTTGCTCGCTTCTGATTGGCCTAGCCGAGTTATAGAGGCTTCTTATTGGCTGAAAAGATTGAGAGTTAGAAATTTCGCTTTATATGCATTTATGAATCGTAAAAGAACACCTTTCAAATCAGACGGAGATTCACCCCCCTCATCGCCGAGCCACTCATCAATCCTGCCAACGCCGCGCCAAATAATGCTCAAGGTCAGTATTTGATCGATAAGCAAAAAATAACTTTCCTCAAATTTCCCAGACCCTCTTTTTTCTGAGCCCAGACACTCAGGGATTCGGATCTGTCTAGCTCTCAAATGTGACAATCTGGCCTTTGAGTGTTGGCTTTCTTTTTAATATCCGTTTCAGATTCCGAGGAACACTCGGAGGATGAGCGCGAAAGAATTGAAGTTGAGGCGGAGACAAGGACAACACGTGGCGGTGATGAAGATGGGGAAGTCGAAAATATGGAGATAGAAATGGAGGAGGAAGTGGAAACGCTTCAGGAAGACGATTTCCAGGTCGAAATTCATATCTCGGATATCGAAGAGGACATAGAAGGTAAGAGGAAGAAGCTGCAGGAAATCTGGAAAGGGCTTAATCTTAATCTTTATCCAGCTAAAGCCATTTTCCAACAAATCACAAGATCGAGAAAGAATCTTAAATGAACTTCAGAGCTGAGAGCATCCGAATTGTAAATCGACAATCGCCAAAAATGGCGGATTCCTATCAACTCACGCAAAATACAATATTTCTTCAATACAAAAACTTTCGCTCTTTCTGTAAAAAATTGTAAAAGAAAGTTCGACCGTCCAACTTGCTACTGTTTGTTTATTACTGTATTGTCAATCTGTATTAAAATTAAATATACTGTGATGAATTAAAAGCTTCAAAGTTAAGACGATATTGTTTCATTTCAACCCTTTTTAAAGAAAAAAGTAGAATGGAAATCGAGAAGCCAGTGACTCTTGAAGACAAAATCGCAGCGGCTCGGGAGAGACGGGAACGGCTTCAAAAGGAGCGTGAAGCCGCCCGCCAAGGTAATGAATATTCTAGAGCCAGATTCATGCTCGGTGATTCTGTAAAGATTTTCTAATTTTGATTGAACCTTTGACCAAGATCTCGGCGTCCGCGGATGTTTCATGTGGAACGATTCTGATGGTAACAGCGCTTTTAACTTAAAAGCCGCTTCCCCAACTAACCATCTAATTAAACCTTTCTTTCCAACAAGTAATAGTAACATAAATTCGCATCCAAAAAACAAGTAGAATCACGTGTTCCAAAGTAGAACACAATTAAACATTCATCACCCACCATCACTTTCCTTCACGAACAAAAGTTACTTCAGCAAACCAAAAAAGCCACAACTGAATTTCAAAGAGCAAAAACAAAGTCGCTTTTTTCTCATTTCATTTTTAAAATTGCATGAAAAACACGACCTTGCCTGTCAAGACGGATTTCATTTTCGGGTAAAATCCGACACGCGAGCTAACCTCTGTAGAAAGTCATTATAAATCGTTGATATTCAGAAACAGTCAACAGAGCAGAAACTGCAGCTAGAAGAAAGTCACAAATTCAAGCGCAAACTGAGACTGAACGAAAACAACGAAGAGGTAACAAAATAGGCCTCTCCTTCGCAAGCTTTGTTTTTAGATTCGTTATCATCCAGACACGATGAAGCAAAAGAAAGAAGAGAAGTCATTCTTCGTCAAAAGAAAGAAAAGGCACTTTCGGACTTGGAAAAAGGCGAAGCGAGAAGCAGAGAAGCGCAGAAAAAGAAACGATGGAGCTGGAACGGCGCCGTTCACGGTAATTTTTCATATGAAATCAAGGAAGAGAACCTTGAAAACAAAAACTTTCTTTCGAAAGAATTTCTAGAAGGACGCTTCTTCGGTCTTTTTTGACTGAATAAAAGCGTCTTTATTTTAGATAGTAGATATCATTATAAATGAAAATATCTAGTATAGAAAATTGTCTAAACTAGAACGAAATCTAACTCAATCAACTTCTGTCTCTCAGGAACATGGTGGTATAACTTCCCCTCGGAGACCATCGCAGAGGGTACTGAACCAGATGAAAATTGTAAATTCTCGTTTGTACCATTTTTTCGTTGTTTCCCCTCTTTGACTAAAGAACTCATTGGATGTTGTGCTTGTATTAACTCATTTGTTTTTACTAGATGTCTTCGGCACCGACATGCTCGACAGTAAGATATTACCCCTCATTCGGTGCTTATTAAAAAAACGGGTGCTTACATAAACGGGGGCTAAAATCGCGCTAATATTCCGCTGCTGTCTGATATGCAAAATCGTATAATTATTCAGCGCCTTGTCATCAAGAATTTGCTAACCAGAATTTCCCTTTTTCAAAGTCGGGAATTGTGACCTCGGGTGAATTCGCAGAACCTACGTTTTTGCTGATTTTGGCCGAGTTCCCAATTCTCCCATTTTCAAAATCATGTTTCCGAAATCGTGTTGCATGAAAATTTGAATATTTACTGGTGTGCCTTAAATTTGTAGAGAGAATCGTAAAGTAACGTCGTTTTCAGGCGGTGGGGATGATGGCTCAAGAGCGAGGCCCACTGCTATGCCTCGATCCATGCAGGTACTGTATTACTCGAGTTTCCTTTGTTCTTTCTGATTTTGATTTCAAATTTGACGTCTTTAGGCGGAAATAATCCCCGCAGAAAAGGTACTTTCAAAATGCCAGAAAAAAACTTGCATGCGCGCATTTTGCACTTATCATTTTCACTTACTTTTATCGCCTCAAATCAATACTACCGTTCCACTTTCACTTTCACCCTTTCTACACGATCAAATCTCCCCCATTTATTCCGAGGCTTGATGGAAAAAAGACCAGTTGAATAAATTCAACATCTTTGGAAATCTCCATCGCACAAAATCAAGGAAGATCATGCCTCAAGTCTTTTTTTTCAGTCTTGGATTGGAAGTCTCCGAGGCGGTTTCGATCAGGACGACAATGACTCCCTGAATGGATCAACGCTTGGAACACCGCGAGATTGCAAGTCGCAGAACTCATCCTTCTCCGTTCCCGACAGACTGCTCACTCCTACCGCGTCCTCCAGAGCCAAACGCTTCGGAAAGCCAGATGGACAGGTACAAAAGCGAAATAACTATCGACAACTCATTTTTCTTGCTCTTGAAGTTTTCCTTCGCTAGAGAATGTCCTGAAGTCTAGACATGAATTAGCCCGTTGGTTCATTTTACAGACTTTTTCCTATCCTCATGTTGTTTTTTATATAACTACTCTTTCTGTAGACTTCCTCGCCTCCGAGCCTGAATGGCGACTCCTCACTAAAGGAAGCGAAACTCCGTCGCAGGACGATCTCCCATGAACATTTGAACAGACTTGCCCAGCCTCGTGTTCGTACTGTTTCATCCGAGCGGCATTCGCTCGATCCCAAGCCCAAGGTGTGTATTTACAAACATTTTGATTACTTCTTATTTTTGTTTTGTCCAAGAAATTATCTTCTGTGTCTTCAGCCCTCTGGTCGCACAACCCCTCAACCTCGCAGTCGCAACACATCCAGAGACTCCTCCAATGTGATCTCCTCTTCCTCTCTTCGCCCAAAACCAGACGGATCCGAGACCCCTTCATTGTCGAAAACATCTTCCAAAACGCCAGATGCCAAGAAACCCGCCAGAGAAGTGAAGCCAAGGTCAGCTTCAGTTACGCCCAGACATCCAAGAACATCCGGAGTTGGCGCGTCTAGTTCTGCGAAGAAAGATGAATCTACGGCTAGACCAAGTCCTCGTCAGCAAAAAACGACCACCACGTAAGATAGATGCAATCATTTTTATCCATCTTAGAATGTTCTCCCTAGACCGAAGCCAAAATCAGCTACAGCGGCAGTCAAGCCATCTCCTAAGCCTTCAAAATCCGCAAAACCAAGTGCCAAGAACTCAAGCGACGGAAAAAAGACAGAGTCTCCTTCGCCTCCTCCCGTTGTCAAGAAATCCCCGTCTCCCCCGCCAGCTCCGGAAGAAGCAAAGCCTGTGGCTCAAGCTGAAGTAGTGGAAAGCGCTCCCGTGGCTGTTGAACCGACAAAGGAGTCAGATGCGGCTGCTCTTGAAAATCAAGAGAAACCGGCCAGCCCGATGTCAGTTAATCCCCTGGATGTTCCTTTGCCAGATGATGATGAGGAGGAAGGAGAAGCAGCTGCTGCCTCCGATGCTAGCCGAGGTGAGAAACAATCAACATCAGCGAATTTGACAGAGCATCGCATATTCAAATGCTGAAGCTCGTCTGTCAGAACGAAAACAGCTAATCCTGCCGCGTTCATCGGCTTATCTAAATCTATCATTCTCTTTTGCATATTCAATTTAAATATTGATGCTTGTGGCAATACCAAAATTTGACGATTGTCACTAATATAATCTTCAGGGGAAAAATCAGCATCGCCCGTGCAGGATTTAGAGAAGGACAATGAAGAGGAAAAATCCGTCCCAGCTTCAGGTAAATCGAGATTATGATTCAATTTTTTACCGTAAAAAATGAATTGAGGATTTGAAGATTCCGTGATTCACTGATTTTTATGAAATAATTTTTACATAACGAGGAAGACTTTCCATGCTTTGCTGATGCTTTCCTCATTAATAATCCGTTTCCAACATTCAATTTCCGAAATTTAGCCAGCAATTTTTATGTGAGGCGATTTCGGAAAATGCTTGAAATTATGGTTGATTTGATCCGCGAATAAGTATTTTGTGGGAATTTTTCTTTCCTTTTACTTTCTTCCTTCTTCTTTTTTAAACCCAAATTCAGCAGCTGAAATCAACAACGAGAACCCCTCAATCCAGTCTCTCAAAGAATCCTCCGCCGTTTCTCTCGTCTCCTCTTCTGCAACTTCTCTTCATTCCGACATCTCCACGGAAGCGACGGAAAGCGAGCAACTGCACATTCAAGGTTCGCACTCGAATAGTTTCGTCGAGAAAGGAAAAAGTTTTTACCGCGCGATTCTCAAACGTCCAAAGGGTAAAAATACGGGGAACATCTTAAATTCCAAGATTTGCAGTGGCTAGCGCCAATTGAGGACCTTTTTTCTGATCCCTAAAGAGGGAACTAAATTCAAAAGGATCCGGAAATCTGGGTCCAAGTTTGGAGCTAGCTACTGTACTTCTATCGTTCTAGCGTCTTGAACTCAAAACGCTTGAGCCTCCAATCCGGGGTGTTTCATATCTTCCTACTAATCGAAATATACTTGGTGTGCTGTCTGTAAATACCGTAATTACGGCTGCTTCCTCTCGTCGGGAAGGAAGTAGCTTGATGGAAAACTTACCAAAAGATTCCGAAAAACCTCTCACCCAACATCTTGAAGCATCCTTGAATGACGACGACAGACTCCAAAAAACCGTATCTTTCGACGATACTGTTGAAGTTTCCGAGATCCCCGCCAAGGTCGGCCCAACCGAGGAGGAAATTGCCGACGCGCAGGCCAAGGAGGATAAAAAATTGAAGAAAAAGAAGAAAAAGGAAAAGAAGGAGAAAAAAGAGAAAAAGAAGCGCGAGGAAAAGGCCAAGAACTCGATGTTAGAATCGTGGCTGAATGACTCACACTCTGCTGACCTTGCTCCTCAAGCTTCTCCTGAGCCCCAAGAAAGGTGAGGAAAGATTCTTTGGGGATTCGGTCTAGCTGACAGATGGATGAAAACTTGTCTGTCACCCTGAGTGTCAAGGCAGAATGATTCTTGCGTTGGTGTGAAAACATGCCAAAATTGACTGTATACGGGAGAATCCTCAAGATTCTGATTCCCCTCGTCAGTCGACAGGTTTAACGAGGCTCAGATTTACATGGGGCTGAAAGATGACGGAACCAGAGCTAACTGGACTGAACCAGAGCCATTTTAGGGATCAATCGATGATCTTAGATCAAGGATTTATCGAATTCACGAGCGTAATTTGGGCTGACTCTGGTCTCTCGACAGATTCGCGAGTTCAGATCTTGCTCGTCAGACAAAGCTCTGACAAGTCCATAATCGTTAACTCATCTATTTCGGCCGCTAGAATTTATGGCGCTAACCCAAGCCGTCCCAAATATGCCCTGTCATCACTTTTTGTCTATTCAGGGAAGTCTCGCCTCCCGATTTGAAAGCGCCCGAGAAAAGCGAAGAACAAAACAACGCTGCTCAGAATTCCGTGATTGAAGCAGCTTCAGAGCAAGAGGACGAGTACAAAAGACGGCTTAGAGAGAAAAAGGAAAAATTCAGACAGGAACAGGCGGCCAAAGAGGCCAAACAAAAAGCTGATGAAGGAGCGGATTCGAAATAATAAACTTGGCCTTGATTTTTTTGCGCTGACTATTGTTAAATTAATTACTTAGTAGCACTTCTTGTTATGAACGCGAATGAGACTGGCTAACTCCCCTGGGGCCAGGTCAGCGCTGATCAGCAAGATCAAAAGAGCAACTTGTTTTTATTGCGTCAATTTTTTAATTTTGATGAGTTGTTTTTCATCTTGCTGAAATATATTTTCGCCAGGATAATACTTGAGAAAATATCCTCTCAAATGAGAACTCTCATTCTTTATTCAACGTGAACTTTTGAGTTGTAACCAGAGTTATCGATAAAAATGCCGATAATAAGCACAAATCCTCTGATCAGGGATGATGGATTTTTAGGTTTATTCGGCATTTATGTCGAAAACTTTGGATAGAAGACAAAAGTTCACGGAAAAATTATTCATAAAAGGTGAATTTCGGAACGAGAATGGATCAGGGCTCAGTAAACCTGTGTCAGGGTCTTGGAGAAGCTTTGATAAAATAGCCGCGAATGAACCTCACTCAGGTTTCAACACAGGTTAGTTAGCACAAGCAAAAGCAAGATCGATTTACTTTTCAAGATATATTTTTCATCATAATAAAAGTTCTGGCATTTTCCCTCAAGGCTTTAGCTTCTGTGCTGCGACCATCTCGAAACTACAGTAAAGAATGAACGTCAGAATGATTTTCAAATAAATATTCAACGCGCCTTTTGCAATTATTCATGAAGAAGAGGATGATTACGGGCAGAACAAATTACCTCCCGTTTTTTTTCAGTTTTCTAGACGTATTTTTTCTTTATTTTTATTTTGAATCCCATAAAAAGAGAACCGAAAGCGCCTGGCAGATGAAGCTGCAGCCGCGCGTCTGGCCAAAGAGCAGGAAGAAGCTAAGAAACTCGAGGTAAATTCATTATTCACAAATCGCAGAATATTTGAATTGAAAATCTGTCTAGGAGGAAAAGGAGCAATTAGCGAATCGAATTTCCGAAAATGTGCGCCGCGCCGATCAGGAACGCGAGGAAAAGCGCCAGGCCGAGGAAAAGGAGAGACTGGCCAGGAAGAAGAGGATAGAGGAGATCATGAAGAGGACCAGGGGCAGCGAGAACTCTTTTCCAAGCAGGTGAGTCTTTCTTGATCGGAGATTATTTTGAACCTGCAGCAGAGTTGCAAATTTCCTGAGCTGAGCTGAGCAATTTTGAGTTTAGGGTCAGCTCAGCTCAATTTTCTGAAAAAATCCAGCTCAGCTCAGCTCGGTGATTCTTCCAAAAGAGCCAGCTCAGCTCAGCCCAGCTCAGTGATTCTTCAAAAAGAGCCAGCTCAGCTCAGCCCAGCTCAGTGATTCTTCGAAAAGAGACAGCTCAGCTCAGCTCAGCTCAGCTCAGCTCAGCTCAGTGATTCTTCAAAAAGAGACAGCTCAGCTCAGCTAGCTCAATTTTGACCTCAGCTCATCTGCACTCAATTGAAAAGTTGGCTAGACTATTGCAGTAAATATTGATCGACTTTTGTCTAGCTGAAAAAAGCTGGCAATCTACAAATAGTTTAATTCATTCAATTTTCAGCTCTCAAATTAACGAGCGGATCAGCCAGCGTCAAAATGGAAGTGCTGCTTCCAACGGGGAGCAAACGCATGATGACGTAGGTGCTCGTGCCCGTTCCCTTCTCGGTTCCTTTCAAAACTTGAGGATGGGGGGCAACCCGAGTTCTCCAGTATCATCAATCAGTCCAAGCATCAATTCGCAGCCAGCTTCCTCCGTCCCTACACCGACCAATCCTGAGCAGATAAATGCCGAAGGTAATTCATTTTCGAGAAAGTAGGACTTTTGAGTTCTGAAGCAGATTTCTTTAAGAATCGTTCAAGAAGCTAAAATTGCTAAAAAGAAGCTCGGAAAAGCTCCTTTTATTGAGCCGATATTTGTTTGTGGGATTATTTTTGAGTCTATTATTCCTCCCAGGGGTGCAGTAGGAATAGATTGATATTACTGTAGTCGCTAGTTTGTTGATTTCTATTACAGGGAAAACGAGCAATTTAGAGAAAATCAAGCTTCATTTCTTAATTTTTTCTTTATTTAGGTAGCTAAAAAAACAACGGATACGTCAGCAAATCATGTTCCAGTCTAGTTACCATCTGATCGACTTACAGTCAGTATAAATATTTTATTATTTTATCGAAGGTTCAAAAATTCAATTTCCTCCTCTTTTCACTCACTTGACAGCTTTACAGTTGCTCAATTACTGTCACAGCAGCTTCTGTAATTCAAAAACTCAAAAAGCCATCCTTGACCAAAAAAGAGAACTAAAAAGAGCTAAAAAATCCAATCTTTTCATCTCCAATTTTCATTTTCAAGTGCAGTCCTTGACAAGCTAAAAAAAAATTCCTTACTAAAAAATATCATCATAATGAAACATTTGCTAATCCTCTTTTTTTCCAAGCCGTTACTGATAATATTTTAAAGAAAAAAAAATAATAATCATATGCATGAAATGACGCTTTTTCCTCTTTTTTCTAACATGTTACTTATGCATACTGTAAATATATAAATATAAAACCTTTTCATTTTTTCTTATGTATTTTTTTTCTCGATTATGAAAAAATTCTTATTATTATTACACTAAACTTCGCCCTCTCCCTTTTTTCCAGAGATGAATGTTAAAATATTAAGGAGCACCTCTCAATATTGAATTGTTGTCTTAAACCCTTTTCAAAACACTTCCACGAGTTCAGCTCGTGAATTTTAAAGCAACTTTGATTCATATTTAAATTTTTCGTGGCGCTTTAAAAACACTCTCTTTGAGAGGAATTTAAAGCCTTCAAGTGATCCGGATTCTCCGAAAGAGAAAATTCTCGTTGAGCATATTTACACGCGCCCCAGGTCAAAGCAGGTGACTCATAATTAGTTTGATGCGGGAAATCACTGTGCCCGCCAATTTTATTATTTTTTTTTTTGAAAAATTCGAAGAATTCAGACTCAGAGTTACGAAGAGCGCGTTCCTATGGCGGCGGGCAGAGCTTTGTGTGCCCAAAAGTAAAATCATTTTTGAAAGTGCGCCACTTTCAATCGCCCCCGCCACAGTACATTTATCTTTTGGAAAAAGCGAGTGCGAAAAATGCCAGAGAACAATTTTCAATTCTAAAACTTCTTAATAAAAAGAACGACTTTTCAAGTGCAGATAGCCTTAACCCCATCCATACCATCCAAAGCCCAAGTTAAAAGAAAAAATAAGTGTTGTCCTGACTGGTCACGTGACCTCAAATGACCTCAATTACAAATTAAAATTGACCTTTATTACTATTTTCTGGCCAATAAGAGCCCCTGATGCCTTTGATTTGGGGCTCTTTTTGGTCAAAAATACTAATAAAGGTCAATTTTAATCAGAAATCGAGGTCAGTTGCGGTCACGTGACCTCTCAAAACAAGTGTTTACAAAACAATTAATCCTCTTTCGGCATCTTCATATTTATATTTCCGCCAATCGGTGTTTCCATTTTTCTTCTCGTCGAGGATTCCCTGTACAAGCACACTCTGTAATTATCAAAAATATTCAATTTCATTTTTATTATTTTTTTGCCATTGCTTCCCAAAAATTTAATTAAAAACCAAAAAATATTGCTACAAAAATCGTTCGAAAAATGCTCGAATGCTATTTCTATTTATAAAATAAATATTGATTTAATAAAAAACTGAAAATAACCAAAATAATTTTAGACTTGAAAATCGCGGCTGAGTTATTGTTTTAAAAATTGAAAAAATAAAAGTCGGAAAAACGAGTTTCAAAAAGCGTTTTTGAAATGACTCGAGCCGCTTCGGCGAGTACCATGGAAAACGAAGTGATTTCAGCCTGCGAGTTAATAAAGGTAAAACTGCTTCTGTCACTCATACTGAGGGAATTTCCCGGGCTAAATAATTAAAACCAAATAATTGGAAATATCGACCTTTTCTTTCATTATCTCTTTTTTGAAAGACACGGCTTACAGCCAAGCCTTTCTTAATTTAAATTCCAGGGATTAAGGGGGTCACCATCTAAAACTCGTCAACCAGTTAATATGATTCTAGGATCGATTATACTTCGCAACGCTGAAAACCAAGCCCAAGAGCACTGCGCACACTCACTACTTCTGCATCGACGACGAGTTCGTCTACGAGAACTTCTACGCCGACTTCGGGCCTCTTAACTTGGCGCACATCTACCGCTACTGCTGCCGAGTAAACAAGAAGCTCAAGGTAAACAGCTCTTTCTTCTTCCTTGATTTCAATATTAACTAGTCGGCCTCGTTGGCAAAGAAGAAGATCGTGCATTACACCTCGCTGGATCCGAGAAAGCGCGTAAACGCGGCTTTCCTCGCCGGCGCGTACCTTATCATTCACCTCAGAAGAACGCCTGATGAAGCGCACCGGCCACTGGTTTCTGGAGGCGGGCCTGCTTATCTTCCATTCCGGTTAGTCCTGCTTTTTGGAGGAATTTCGAATGCAAGAAAAAGAGAAATTTTGTTTTTGAGTTTAATCTCGACCGACAAGAACGAGTGTTGTCAGGAGAATAGATGCCAAAAATCCTCTAGGCGCAGATTTTCAGCATTTTTTTCATACGGCAAATTGGACAACCTTCTGTTGAGGTCCAACTATATCATACCTGTATAATAATAACAATAACAATATTATCTCTGTGTCTTATTTATTTTCATTTCGAGCGTTTATCTCTCAGCTCTGATGATTTTCAGTGAAAAGTGTCAGGTTTATATATGTATCCGAACTCGCTTAACCGGCAGTTAGAGGTTTTGTTCAACGGCCAGTTAGAGCTATCGTTCAACAGCCAGTTAGAGCTATCGTTCAACGCGCATTAACTGGTAAGCTTTAACACGCGTTAGGCATCGGCTACGCCGTAGTATGATCAAGGCTGGATCCCAATACTCTCCCCCACTCCCCCAAAACTTAGGACTTCTAAGTTAGAAGGAGAATTCGATACAAAGTCTCGCACCAAAATTGTCGATGTAGCCGACAGTAACTGTCCTTCTCTTTCGTAGTATTTGCGATCACCGTGCTTAAGAGCGATGAACTGGTCAAGATTAACACAGATAGCAGTGGGTCCAGCAATAGCACCTTTCTGTGGTACTTCATTGAGCATACCGACGTACAAATCAACATCTTTTCCTTAGTTACTGGACATTTGTGAAATAATAACCGGCCACAATGGTGTCATCCTCACTTCTCTCGCAGTTCTGGCATTATAGAATTTCTTTATACCACCCATGCTGCATACATCGGTCTCTTACTTCCGTGTAAGAGGCAAGGCCGTGGTCCCGACCTCTCATGATATTAATTGCTTGAAGATCTATTCCATGAGATGCAAAATTAGGCTTGAAGAACATGTGAACGGTATCCTCAATCCATTTAGAGCTCATTTTCATCGGTTGTTCACGCGCCGCTGCTCGGATAAGTTGTCCTGGTGTTACTCCCGATGCCTCAGATAGAACTTGTGGATCAAAGAAGTTATCTCGCAAGAATGCCGTTTTGATTCGTGTTCCCATTTTATTTATGGCGAAAATTTCAGATCTTTGCATCGAATGTCCCCAACGGAAAAGAGCAGCCCCAAACTCGTTTCGAATTGAAGGGTCCGTTTTGCTTGGAAAGCCGTCGAATCCAAATTTTGCATTTTCGGGGTTGTTATCTGCATCATCGTCGTTGACTCTCCCCATTTGTTGCCCTGGAGGAAGGGGGAAAAGATCAGGAGTGTCGAAGAGGTTGGTTCCAATTACCAATGGCATGAATTCAGTAAAAGAAATATGTTGGAACACGGCAAGGTTTATTTGACGAGCTTCCATGAAGATTTTATCTTCCGTTGCGTCTTCCATGACGCCTTTGAGGCCAACAGCAAGTTTATTGTGCATGCGGAGGAAGGCCGTGTGAAGAGATGTTAACATGGGGTTTTCGGCGCACCGGGTGTCACCTGCAATCGGAAATGGCAGTTTTTTTTCTCGTTTAAAACTCTGGTGGCTCGGATCTTTTCAGAGTCAACTCATCATCACATTCTCAGATGCGTTAATCCTCCTAAAAGTCTTTCTAGAAGCAATTGAATTTGAAGTTCTGCACAGCGCTTGTTTGACATTTACACTAGATGCTTGGCAATTGAGCAAATCTTGTCCGAACATTTAAGTTTTCATTTTGATTTCTTTGCTTGTTTGAGCATTTCTAATTTCGAGATATCAAATCATAGCGATAACAAAAACGCTAGAGCTTGAACTGCCTATTTCCAGCTCGCAGCATTTATCGTGGTAAATAAACGTAGCCTTCAAGTTATCGTCAGGTTCAAGAGTTAGCTCTTGATCATTTTCCGACACGTTTTCAAACTCTTGAGAGAACAGGGTGAGCGATGAAATGGAGCGTACCAATATTTCACTTTGGCACAGCGAGTTCCACTATTTCAACGATAAATTTCCGCAAGTCGCGAGCCCCATGTAAGCGACCTTCCTAATGTAAATATTGTCAGGCATAACAGTAGGAGCGCGATCTGCTCGAGGATCTTTTTCCGAGGAATAACTTTTCTTCACGCTCAACAAACGGTGAGGTGTGAATCGGAGAGCTTTGAATGTTACGTCTTCTTGGAATAGAACGAATTTTTAGTTAATCTCTATTTTAATTTATGAGAGCGCTGGTAGATACCCATTTCCCAGATTGCAAATGCACCAAAGCAGAAGTTCCCGCGAGTAAATTTCCATCTTTGATTGTCGCTGAAATCTATCTTTCAACTGTTTCGTATTCGACGATTTCTTCCGAAGTTTTTTTAAAAAAATTGTGACGAGAGTGAAGAGCGCGACGTTCTGAATCGCCCAGTTTTGATAAGAAAGATCCTTGAGAACTTGATTGAAAATAATCATCGAGGCGTCGCCCCGGATATTGCAAAGAATAAGGAGGTAGCTTAAAAACTTGACTCGAATATTACTAGAAGTAATCAAAGAAGCCAGCGTGGGCACCAAATCATCTCTTTTCTTCTGCTGTCTAAGTACCGTCTGAAGAACGGAATTACTTCCCCGAAGTTGTCAGATAAAATCGCCTTCTCCGCCGCTTTCTGAACGGTTTTTTCCGGATACAATTGCTCCATTAATTATTCTTCAGAATTCGAGCGCAGATTTCTTCTCCGAATTTCTTATCTTCTTCGCTGCCAGAATATGGGTGGTTTTTGGTCGAATAGGAAGTGAAAAAGTCGAGTTTTAGAAGACGCGAGATTTCTGATTCTGGTCCGTTGTAAGCGTAGCAATTGCACTTTTCTAACTCGCCAAGATGATTAACAACGTCGATGCTAATCCTTTTGTACTCGCCCTCTTGATCTAATCCCTCGAGTTCATTCAGTTGACTACTGTGGATTCTTGACTTTTACGCTCTCCGATGAAAAACTTCTTGACTGCAAGCAAGAATCTTTTGCAATATGCGAGCATTTTCAATCGGGCAAGTAATCTGGCTATTAGTAATTGATTACTGTTCGTTCTAAGACTGTTTATCCTTCCCTTCTCCTCCCCCCTTTTCGTTTCCTGTGCGAAAAAGACTCGCACGCGAGGCGCTCACGCCAATTTTTCCGACGGAGATTTTGAAAAATCAAATTTTCATCATTCGCAATTCTTCTTTTTTCTTTTTTTTTTTCCAGTTTTAAGAGAATACTACGGCAAATGAGCAATTCTGTTGCTAAGGGTAAGAAAGTACAGTTTCCTTTTCTGTTTAACTGAAAAAAAAAACTATAGCATATGGAATCCCTTACGCCATCAGAAAACTACGATCTGAGAAAAAGGAGTTGCAGCTTACGGTTGTGTCTTTATCAAAACGAATCGATCATTTGAATTATCGTCTACGAAGAGTCAACAGGATCAGGCGTCGACTGGCTGCTAGACTAGGGGAAGAAACGGAGAACCTTATCTCGATGGAGGCTCGAAATCGCACGCTACGATCACTGTTGGAAGCAAAAAAAACTGCTACTCCTCCGCGCCCAGCTTCCCCCATTAACCTCGATAGTTCTGACACGGATTCTTCTTCGCTGCCTTCGCCAATCCGCTATTCTCCAGATCGGTAATTGATGCTCATTTTGGTTTCATATTCTTTAAAATACTATCTAGTGCTGAATCCAGCTCTTCCGAGGACGATTACAACCGTCCAAGATTCGTACACCCTCAGATTTCGAGCTCGTAAGTAATTTCTATTTTCGGTCCTTCAAAAATCCGTATCTCTAGTTCCTCAGATGAAGAAACCGATGAAGAAACAGGCCACGATGAATTCGACTTCAAGACCGAGCAGTAGACGAACAATAGATCATTTTCATCATAAAGAGTTCTTTTTTTTTTTTCCCATTATTGTACTCTCCTAACATTTAACACTTCCATCTTCATCTTCTTTCTTCATTTAATACATAAGTATTATCAATTTCAGTCGTCTATTTTAACTATCTTCGGAGCACGTAAAGAACACTAGATCATGATCTTAGCTTGAGAAAACGTTTGTGAGGGAGAACTTTTAGTTGTTCAAAAACCCTCATGCAGCATGCATAAGACATTGTTGAAACATCAGTGTGAAAGAACTTGAGAAGTTCGTAAACGAAGCATCTGATGACGACTTCAAAGGTTTCTGGCAAGTTTGAATGCGCAGTGTTGATCAAATTAGATAATCCCGCTTCCTCAAAGTCCTAAGTGATCGAGATAACTCGGGCGAGATTGGGGCCGATTTGCGGTAAGACAGCGACGTTTTCCGCCCGAGGGTCGTAAAGCCGGATTTCTGTCAACATCACTATTTCATCGAGTTTCGAAACTTCAGATAGCGCAAGTTCTAGTTCTGAGTCGAGCTTGTCTTTCAATTTTTCGTGACTGTATTTCAAAATCGTACCACAGCACTTTTGCCAGACACTGCTCCTCGGTCTTTGTTATAATTTCATTGTAAAACTTTCGGCAATCGACTGGCTGTTTTGATCATCAGTAGCTTTTGAAATTTCATCGAATAGAACCTTGAGTAGTGGCTTTTATGATTCTGGTTCAGCCGCCATTTCTTCGAGAATAGAAGCGCAGGAAGCAGCGGATCCGCGAGCAAGATCAAGAAGTATGTTTGACACTCCATCGAAAATGCTGGTCTTTGGCTTTGAGAATCGAAATTTATGAGTCTCAGACTCTTCCACATCTGCTTCTTCGCCGTTTTCTGTCGCTACTTCTATGATTGTTTCTTTCGCTGTTTTCTCGGCTACTTTTCGCGATAAGTTTTATTTTAGAAGAAGCCACAAAGAAACCAACTCATGATTGCGAACTAGAATGTCTTCTGTTTTCAATCCTTGGCAACTTTCCTCGCACTCTTCGGCGATTTCGTTGTACAAGAAGTTGTAGATTGCGTTTTTGAAATCTTTTGTGGCGTTTTTCGCCAGTATAATGATAATTTCGAGCTGAAGCAAGGCGAATTCAGGCTCAAGTCGATCAGACTTTGAAACCAGTATTCCAACCAAATCGATCATTTCGCGTTGAAGTCTTGAGGTTTTCGAGTCTTCTGGAGTTTGATTTTTTTTGTTTCTGGATTTCTATCGAACGCAACTCATCTTGGTCATCTTTTTTACCCGCGCTGCGTTCTTCTCGGATGGATTTTCTGCAAATTCAGAAATGGTAGATTGAAAGCAGCTTTCAACTGATTCTAGCAATGCGTTAAATAAGTCTTTCTGGTCGTCGACATTTTCTCGTGATAGCTTCTCGATGAGACTAATCGGCTGGCGCATGATCGAGCTGACGTCGTGTCCGACTAGAATCATTCCACAGACAGTTTCGAGCTTTTCTTGGCAGACTTCGTTCCTGTTCCATTCGAAAGTAAACGCATAGCCATCTTCGGATTTTTCAACCAGCTGAGGCTCCGCTTAGTTTTCAGAGCTATCGACACAGTTGGTGTTTATGATTGAATCGTATTTTAAATCGTTTTCACAAACGTCCCCATCTCGATAGATAAGAACACTCATATCGCTTGAGTAAATAGCGTTATAGAACTTTCCAAGTGATTGGGGATCCGAGCCGGTTTTCTTATTCTCCTCGCACAGAGAAAGATCGTACTCATCATCAAGAGAAAATGAGGATTTTTCGAAGTCTTTGCGAATATCAACCGATTTTCCAACATCGCCTTCGGAAAAACGACAAGTTTTGCTGGACATATCCGAGATCGCTCTCGCCGCGCTAGTTCTGTGAATGACTCCGATTTGACACTCATTTTCGCCCAAAGAACTCGAGGTAAAATACTGCGGCGCATGTTCTCTTCCGACATGAGGAAACTCAAGAGTGACAGTGAATTGATTCGAGCAGGCGACCTTCTCGAGCTCTTCTTTTCCATAAAATTTCATTTGAACAGAGCTGTCTTGTGATTGGAATTTCGGTTCAGGAGAATCTTTGAATAACGTTCGGATTTCTCCCTTTTTTCAACAAACAAGCTGCTTTTCCAGCACATTTCGTTGGAAATTCTCCGTCTTCTGGAAGAACAGAACAGAGACTGTAGTAGATCTTATTGCCTGCTGGAGATGCTGGAATAGACAGTATTCGCGAGTCGGGAGAGGTCGATTATTGCGTTTTTCTTGGTATTCACTGTGTAGCATTTTGAAAGCGTTTTATCTGCTTTCTTTTTCATCCTTGCAAGCTGCTGAGGTCCGCCATCCAAATGTAAGTTCTCGCTTCTTATCTTTCTCAGATTTCAAAATAAGCTCCGGTGGAAAAGTAGCACCAAGAGGTCGATGTCCGCATACAAACTGGACGGTGAGTTTTGAACTCGTCAACGTCGTCGAAATCATTTGAGTTCTTCAGGACGAATGAAGTAGAAATTGAATCCGTCTCTAATTCAAATTCAGAGTCGTCTTTCGGAATCGACACTTTCGTATGCTCCTCGCCAGCCGGTTTGATACAGACGAGGCCATCTTTACAATGTGACGACGTTCCACATAAATTGAAGAGGTACATGTCCAAGTTATCTACGGCTTCCCATGCTCCGACGAGGCTTGAGAGGTCAAAATTACTGTTGAGATTTTTACATTCCAACGAAAACGCAACACTCAATAAAAACAACAGCGATTTCTCACATTTCATCCCTGTTAGACAATCGAAATCGGACTCAAAAATGGGATGAGTTTTGAAACTTGTCCTGAGAAAGGAAAGACGATTGTTCTAAAATTTCTGAACATTGTTACTGTCCACCCGGGTCTGTTATTGGTGAACGTCTGGATAAATGAACTAAGCAACCAAATTGTAATGTGATTTCTTCGGAAAGATTTTTCAACCAGGAGATGTTCGCCAGAATGACTGTTCAAAATATACGTGCGGATTTTGAATAGTATTTCTTTCCGGTGATATTTGGATATTACTGGGAAATCGTTGATCAGCTTTCCAAGTAGGGACTTAAGAATATTATTGTTGGCAAGGAGTTCTTTAGGGAAACAAAAAAAATTATCTACGATTTTTATGCGTAGATTCCAATTCTTGGCTCCGAGTAAATCTTGAGTGAATGAGCTCGCGATTGACTCACGTGGAATAAGATCGTCCTTTCCAGCCTCTTCTTCACTGTGCTCAGCGTTAATGTCGTCGTCGTTATTGTTCGATTTAGCTCTTAACGCTTTGAGCACGGATCCACGAGTGGGTGTCAATGGTACACCGTCGAACTTTTGCCAAGTGACAAAAAGCAGTTACTGAGTCTATTTGGGGCCTTGATGGGTTCTTTTCGGTCGCCAACTTAGAACGTAGCCGGGGAACATACCGATTAAGGTGGCGATAGCGTCCACTGCATTACCACGGACGATCGCATTAGAGTTGACAAGAGCTTCCACAGCTTCTTCGATCGTTACTTTGAGTTCCGACTTGCCGGAGCCAAACCGAGGGAGATCATCGCTGGACCATCTCCGAGACTCTGCTACAATTTTTGACGCTTTCCAGTTTATTTCCCTCAGACAGTGCTCGAGGTACTAGATGAGCTAGTGAAACGGAATCTGCCATTGAAGGGAGCGATCCAGCAGAGCATTTTGGGTCAGTAACTTTGTCGAGACGGTAGCCAAAGACAATGTTGATAGAGGTATTTGACAAAAATACAAAGTTTTCATCCCAAAAAAATAACATCAATTGCGGAGTCATTCCTAGCAATTGGTTAGTTGGAAGCAGCCATATTTTCTGCTGAATTCTTCACTCCTTCAAACAAAATTGATTTTTCGACAATTTGGTCCGAGTTCTGCATGACGTGCAATGCGGGAGTTTTTGGCATCGTGATTGTCTGTAAAATTAGGGCCTCGATATCGTAATTATTTCTCCGTAAATCAACACCCGCAAATTGGGTGTTTTAACACAATGGCGGCAGTCATTTTCAGTCTAAACATTTCTAATTCTAAATCCCTTCGTTCAAAAATCACGTCGATTGTTCGTGACAGCTCAGACAACCTTTTCTTGACAGAGAGGGCAAGAATTCTTTTGTTCCAGCCAAGTTTTCATACAATTCGGGTGAAAAAAATGACCGCATCTCGGGAGGAATGCGGCTTCTTTTTCGAGATTGTCTAGGCAGATTGAGCACGGATCCTCCTTTTGTTCGGGCGTAAGTTCTCGAACTTGTAATGCTCGTATTCGCCCTTGGACTTCTGCGCGTGTTGTGACTACGGGTCGAATTTGGTTGACTATGCGACCATCAGGGGTTACGAACATCAGGGGTTGAGGATAACGTTGTTGCGCTGGTTGTCCTGGCGATTGTGGCTGCACGCGAGGCAGGCTGTTAATTAGGCTTCTGAGTGATTGAGGTTGCATAGGGGGCCCAATAACTCCGAATGGGTTTGATCTTTGCGGTTGATGATACGTTGTAACTGCTCGATTCGTCATTGTTCCTTGCCTATGGCTGGACTGAATCGCTGTGTATGTAGAAGCACCACTTCTCCGAGCGACTCTTCGCACTCCTTCTGACTCTGCTTGGGTTACGTACGCTCTACTTGTCCCTGGCACGCCTTGAGCTAGTGCAAGTTAGTGTGAATTCCATTAAGTCTTACGAGAGTGTGGCTGCTGAGGCACCGACTGTTGCTGGTGATGCGTAGAACTTGTTTTGTCGATAAAGTCCGATCCACATTGTGGGCAATTCCAAGGTTGTCGCAGGACGGCTACTTTGGCATCACATCTAACATTTAAATAACATGTTTGTTTAATTTTAATTCGTCGCTTGTAAAGTGGGTGACTTAACCGAAAGCAGTTATACATCCGAACAATCAGGACGGCTAGCTTTTCTTTCGCTGTTTATCGCACCTCAAAAACATATCCATCTATATCTTTTGGGCAATGGATTTCGCGAATACCGTTCTATTTCTAGTCTTTTCCAGTCTAAAACTTCATGATAGAACAATTAATTTTCATTTAACTAAAATCATTATAATAAGAGCAGGTTTCATAAAATGATACTTGCTTCAGAGGAGGCGTGTTGAAACAGGCTCGATAGTCGAATCAGTATTTGCACTCTTCCTTTTCTTACAATTTCAGTAACATTTTCTCGTCGGTCATTTTTACTGTTAATCCAATCTTTTGAGTACTTTTTCATTAACTGTCGTGAATTTCATTTTATAATCGTTGGGTTAAAGTAGCATTATTGAGGTCAAGTCGTCAACCAAATCGAATTCTTCTTACAACTTCAGTAACATTTTATCGGCATGACATCGGAGGTCGTCTCCACAAATGATTTCTTCATATTTGTTGTGAATTTCATTTTTCAATTTTCGGATTAAAGTAGCATTACGCGTCCAATAGAATGCTTTATGGACTTTCAGCGGCATTTTATCGCAGGTCGTTATTATCGTGTTATTACCATTTTGTTCAGTCTAAAGTGATTTTGTTTGTAAGACGCGGGTCTGTTTTCTACAATTAACAACGCTGTAGGTTCTTGTTGGAAAAGGAAGGGATTACTTCGCTAGGCCTTATGCTTTTCTGCGTCCTTCCAGTCGACTATCAGTATGCGAAAGATGGCATAAATTATGCCCAATCACAGCATATTTTATAACAGAGGTGATTGAGCAAATCGAATACCAAGTCTCGCAGTCCGCCTTTTTCCAGGTTAGTTTTCTCCGTTGGTCTTTCGGTCCGATTCGATATCTAGATAATAAGAGAGTGTCAATTGATAGTGCTCTACAATGCTATTTAGGATGAAGCAAAAGTAAGATTGAACACGTTTCAAGGGAAATCTATTGGGGGAACGTCTCCAGCGATCATAAGGGGAAGAATTTTGCTTTTACTCTTCTCCTGCACTCTGAGTGTCCAGTTGATAATTGTGAGATCCACTTATGGCGAATTCTTCGATGCCATCGTCAAGGTTGTCATGTAATAACAAAGCGCGTCGAACCCATCGATTGGACTGGTAAAGAACAACCAGTCGCGATGTGTTCACGTTGCGCATGACTTCGTCTCGCAAGGCTTTGCCATAGGCTATCAGATTGATACTTCCTCTTACATCACTATCGAATTCGAGAGTTAAAAAGAAGGCAAGGACCAGCTCTTTCTCGGAGTGCAAGGTAAACCGCTTTTTATGATCGTTCCATCGCCGAGCGGCCAGAGCTCTCAGTTTTTCAGTCACTTCCAAGTCCATTCTGAATATTACATTCAATAGATATCTCTGGAATATGGAGAAGCGAGATGAGCTTCTTCCAGCAATAATGAAGGTTTTTCCTCAATCTAGCACAGGAATTTATTTTTCTCCAAAACATTGGCGACAGACAGCTATGTATCTGTCTGTTCCACCAATAATTTCCAGTTGCTGCTCGGATTCTTGCAGACGCTTAGAGAACGACGCGTCTTCCCCACAGATCATGCAGACAGCTTTAAGCTTTGTCACTAATACCTGGATTATCTTCAAACTTTGAGATTGAGTTACCTTTTTCGGCGGAGGGTACCAAGTCAGTGATTCCGTTGAAACTTCGTCCTTTAAAATCTGCATCGAGGGCAGCAATGATGACAATCTTTCCTTTATTCACCATGAGCTCCGCGAAACGGATGCAGTCTGGGTAGAATTGCCCTTCATCGATTCCAATTACTACGAACGTTTAGATCAAAAATGACAAAGACTTACTACCATCGACTTGTTCGAGACATTTTCCAGGAATCGCGCCCAATTCCAGAGCTGATATGACTTCGATAGTGTGTTGATCGTGTCTCGTTATGTCTTTGAGACCATATCTATTATCCCTCGCGTATTTGATCACGATACATTTTTTCTTGGCTAACTGGTATCGCATAATTCTTCGCAGGAGCTCAGTCGATTTCCCAGCGAACATCGGTCCAAATATAAGTTGTATTTGACCAGTTAAGGAGGGGCTTTTTCGTTCGACTTTGCACGTACAGTTCATCTATTTGATTAACTGTTTTCTGAATTTCCCTTATGTTATAACTGTTATCCATTGACAGCATTTGGGACTAATACGCAAGTACTACAGTTTTTTTTTCATCATGATCATCTATAATTCTTATAAAGCCTATTCTGCTGGACAGGCCGGGTTTTCAGAATTCGGCGCACTAGAACAGGGTTCATCACCAGAGTATTGAATTCTAACGTGAGTAGTCTTGAGTAGTTTGCTGGCAGGAAAGATAAGGCTTAAGGTAGGCTCAATCCAGCTTCGGGTGTTTGCCTGTTCTGATTGAGTCCGACCTTTATGCCAATTCTTTCCACCCTATTGTATTTCCCGATTATCCTTCAAGCCTCGGATTGTCTTCATTCTTTTTTTGACCTTGAGTAGCTAAGGTACACGATCGTCATTCTTAAATCAATTTTTTCTTATCCACGGTCAACTTATGATAGGGAAAGGATGATCTCTCGTTTGATGAACATAAGGTTGGAAAATGGAGACAGGATGAGTAATTTGAAGTTTTCGGGATTATTTTTCTCTCCAATGTTGGCGAAGCGCGGACTTATTTCAGGGCTGGTCTCTTACATCCTTGGGTCCAATGCTCTTTCGTAAGTCATTCTCAGATTAGTATACAATGCCGTTCCATGGAGGTGCATTCGTTTCGAGTGAGGGAAAAGTCTCGCCATGGCGTTTTTGATGTTCCATCGAGCTTGAGATAAGGGAATTCGGCATTTAGCCATTATTTCGTGGCTTAAGGGAGTTTTTATTTCTTGTACTCCTTGACAAAGGCGTACCTGAGTCTAGCCTCGCTTACACAAGCGGTAAAGTCAACAACAACCTCTTGGAGAATAGTTTGAGCGCATATTTCGTGAAGAGTGTAGTTGCCTTCTAAAGGTTGATGGCGACTCCCTTGCATTGGCGACCGAGCTCTTACTCTGACTTTCGAGGTAAATACTGGTTGACTCATCATCATTGGAAGTAGCGGGTGCCCCTGCGGTAGGGAAGGTGCGGTCGTCGTTGCACTAGTTCTGGTCGTTGAAGGGGTTAAACAGGGGTTGATTGATATTACAGGGAGCCTTATAATATTCTTTAATCGGAGAGTTTTACTACCCTATCGTCACCTGCAGACCTGTGGTTCAGCGTTTTTGGCAACTTCGTTTTTGAGCATGAGTAATCCTTTGGCTGCCTGCTGCATCTTTTTATCCTCTTCCGTTGCAATTTCCTTGACGTCGTTAGCAGATAAGGGATCTACGTCTTTGGTGGATGTTGAGGGAACGGAGTTTATCTGAGAGTGTTCTGTCTCCGAAGCGCTCGAGGATTTCTCGCCCTGATCCATTCTGAAATCCGTTTTATTGGGACTGGATAATAATATATCACTAGTTTATGATCTTCAAGGGCAACATCTGACAGATGCGGAAAATGTTAGCGCTTTTTCATTTTAAAGGATCAGCTATTATAATATAGGGAGTAAGTTCTTATCTTGCGAAGGACAGGTAACCATTGCCGCATATACAAAATGCTTTCATTTTATCGCCGTCGACTTCGTTATATCATCGTAACACACTTGAATCTTGTTCTAAAAAGAAGAGTTCCATTACTTCTTTGTGAAAAGGGAAAAAGTATAAGAAAGAGTAAATAGAGAGTTTCCAGTGAATCTAAGATAAGCAGGTTTGTCACGAGAGAACAAGGTTTTCGGGTTATTCCTCAATGTTGTTTGAGCCCTAAGCGCCAGTCTCAGGTTCGCCCTCGTTTTCATTTTCTCTGGGTCCTTCCGCGTCCATGTCTTCGATTGTGGCATCGAGGTCGTCTCGGCTCAACAAAGCGCGTCGAACCCATCGATTCGATTGGTGGATCACGACCAGTCTTGCAGTGTTCACTCGTTGAAGCACTTCGTCTCGCAAAGCCTTGCCAAAAGCAATGATATTCATGCTTCCTCGTACTTCGCTGCCGAGTTCGAGCGTCAGAAAGAAGGCAAGGACCAATTCTTTTTCCGTATGATGGGGGTATCGCATCGTGGTCGCGGTCCATTTTTGTGCTGCGAGTGCACGCATACTCTGGGTTATCTCCGTTTCCATTCTAGAACTGTTTCATTTCTTTCTCTGGAAAATATTCTATTGTAGTTACATGACATTGTATAATATTTTTCAGATAAAATTCGTTATTTAGTTGCCTTGCAACATCGCAAGACACACAAAGTTGCTACTTCACCAACAGCTGCACCTAGCGCGAACACTAGCCCAAAGACTGACAGCGTTAAAAATTCGCTGCTTAGTAACGCCGTCAACATCAGGCGGGCATCTGAATGGTCGTCGTTTTGAGCAGTTGCTGTGCTGTAGCAGTTCAGATTCGCGTTTATGATTTTCCCACCCTCCATCGAGTCTAAAGAATTGCTTATCTTTAAGTGACTACCTTTTTCTCGGAGGTTTATCACAAACTTCAGCAAAAATAAAAATTATTAAAAACAGTGCCGATCGGAAGAAGTCGGTTACTAACTCTTATCAATTTTTTCGCGTTTTACGCTTTCGCAGGTTATACGTATGTGGTTTTTCTTCGACTTCCAACTCCGATGTCGGCGCTTGTACTCTATCGCTCAGCATTACTTCATCGTCGTCGACTTCTCGTATGCGAGCCTCCTCGGAATATTCTAGGTTCTGTTATTTCTAACCACATACCTCATTTGCGGTGCGCACCACATTCTTTTCCGAACCATGAACAATTGTCGTTCCTATCGGGCGGATACGCTCCCGATGTACTACAAAAGTTCTCCGAGGATACAATGAATTTCGCAGAAGGTATGAATATCGGTCCAGCTTCTTTGCAACCTGAAACTCACCTTTCCAGGGTTGAAAGAGCTTGCCGCATTCCCCGGGTGGTTGCTCGACTTTCATCAACACCTTCCTTCCAACTTCCAAATTTTCTTCTTTACCCGAATAGCTTTCGGACGGTCGAACTGTTCTGCCAGCGAGCAGACTCATCGTTCGATGCATCAAATTTCCAGCGGTTGACGCCCAGTCGCGCACATTATTAGGCAATGTGGCAAAATGACTGCTGTCCACGTTCCCATACTGTGGCCGCATTAAAAGCCAGCCATGTAGTAGGTAGAACGGTGAACAACCTAATGTAGAATGTATCGTCAGATTGTAAGATAGTTGTATAGCAGGTAACAATAAATCCCAAGACGAAGGAGAGCCGTATATGCGCATCAATTTCTTTATTTCACGATTCATTCGCTCAACAATGCCTTGACAATTCGGTCGATAAGGAGATCCATGGGCTAGGGTTACTCCGAAGCTCTTCAGCAGTTGTTGCAATAGTTCATTAGAGAACTCCTTGCCGTTGTCATTCTGGAGACTGAGCGGAGGCCCCCTGACGTAGAATATATCCATAAGAGCTCTCGCCACAGACTTCGCGGTCTTGTCCTTGATTCCCCTTAATTCCAGCCATCTTGAATACTGATCGATAAACACCAAAATATATGTATTGCCTCTAGCGGACCGCACATACGGCCCAGTCAAGTCGCATTGTGCGAGCGCGTACGGGTGTTGGCTTTGAGTTGCTGGGATTGGTTGGACATTTGGATTCGTAACGGGGTTCATCTTGAGGCAATCCTCGCAATTGGCCACGAGTTCTCGAACGTGTTCGCGAAGCCTCGGAATATAGATCTTGGATTCTGACAGCTCTTGTCTCAATCTTCTATATCTCAAGTGCAGTGGTAGGTGAAAAGATCGAAGACAGTCTTTAACTAGCGAGTCTGGAATAATTAGAAGGCGCTTTAAGGTAGCTTTGTTCTCAAGGTAACGAAGGCCATCTTTTTCGATAACTATTCTTGATTTCGCTAGAAGTGGCTTGTAAACCCCACCTTGACGCAGGAGGTCTCCATCCTGTTCCTGCGCCTGGACCATTTCTGAATGAGTTTTGCCTTTTGTTCGGATCCATAGCGGAAATTTCCGGTTCGCGTTTTTGAATTGGGCCTCGACCTCGCCTATGTAATGAATTCCATCTTCGGCCGGTGGGTATCGGCTGAGCAAGTCTGGCATAGACATTTCCGCCGATTTTCCTGGCGTGTGTTCTATTTCAAACTCGTATTGTGAGAGAATCTCTAGATACCTCGCAATTTTCGCACTTGGTCTTTTTGCTTGCGCGAAGGATTGTCCTGCCAGGGTTTGGCTAACTGCCATCGAATCCGTTCTCCAGGTGAATCTCCGGCCGTACAAGTGAGGGTGAAAATGCTCAGAGGATTTTATAAACGAGAAGAATTCCTTACCAAGGTTTTAAACTTAAGGAGTCATCCTAAACGGTCCTTATCGATTCGTCCAAGTTTAAAACCCTGATCCTTGTCGTATGTCGACCAGCGGGTTTGGCTGTTCCTGAAGGTTCCAGAGCAAAACCCAATTGGCGTTTCAATTCCTGCAGCTGATTTTTGGCTGAGCATTCCGCCCCATCCCACAAGGCTTGCGTCCGTGCTTAGAATGAGCCTCGTTTTAGGACTGTGATCGGGAAACGCCAAGGGCACACTGCTAGCAATAGCGGACTTGACTGCCTGAAAGGCTTCCTCTTGCTCGGATTCCCATCGAAAGACTGACTTTTTCCCGCTAACAGCATGCAGTGGACCCATGGTTCTCTGCAGATCCGGGATGAGCTGGCTTAAGAAGGAGCAGGTTCCGATGAATGCTTTTAGTGAGCGCTTATCTTTAGGTGTTGGAAATCGCTCAATCGCCTCCTTGCTGTTGGCTTTTGCTGACCATCCTTCGTCCCCTACCTCGAATCCTAAGAATTCTATTTTTCGCACAAAGAACAAGCACTTTCCAGGTGTTAGTTTCCAGCCTTTTTCTCTAAATGCCTCAAAAAGCTCGCGAAGCACCCATCGATGTGACTTTTCGTCAGGGGTTGAGATCGCACAATCGTCCATGTAGACCGAGGTGTATTGCCTGATTCTGTCGGGTATGGTTTCCCAAATGGCCTTCGAGAACACAGAGGGGCTCGTTTTGAGCCCCATAGGTAATCTCGAGTACTCCCACTGTGCTCCGAGACAACTGAAAGCCGTCAAGGGACGACTGTCGCTGTGTAAGAGCAAATGGTGGAAGGCAGCTCTAAAATCTAAAACAGAGAATACCTTGGCCCCTGAGAAACCCTCTAAGGTACCAAGCAAGCTGGGAATCGGCCATTTCGAGTCCTGGATAAGAGTGTTGACGAGGCGCAGATCAATAACCATTCTCCATTTACCATTTTTCTTCCTCACCAGGGTTATTGGCGAGTTGTATGGCGATCCAGAGCTCTTCTGTATTATTCTCCTATCTTCTAGCGACTTCAATTCTCCACGGAGCCACGGTACTTGTTCATATGGAACTCTGCGTGGTCTGCACCACGCTTTCTTTGCTTCCGCTCCTGGGATAAGCTTTAAGCGCACTGGTTCCCCTTTGTATTCGCCAATGTCGTTCTCGTGGCAGCTGAAAGTATCTGAGAATTCGCGTAGAAAAGAGCGAAGGAACTCTTTTGATTCATCCGAGGCCGCCTCCGCTTTTTCTAACAGCGCCTCTATTTCTTCGTCAGGAATGATGTTGGATACTTAACAGATGTGATTTAATAAATGTTCTTATATATCTTACAATACTTTGTATTTCTTTCTACAGTACAATTACATGGTCATTTGAGCCTTACCTGGTTGATGAACGTGAGCATCATCAGAGATCGTTGTCACCATGGCCAGTGGCTTCAACGGAATACAACCGTTTGGATTATCGATGGTGATTTGAAGCCCCGTTTTCAACTCGCGAGGTCTCGTTATCACTTTCACGTCCATTGCCTCTTCGGTATGGTCCCGGACTGAGAAGAGGACTTGGATTGGTTTCTCTTCATTCAAAGGAATTGTCTCGGCGGCTTTAAGGGTCATTATCGTCAGGCCACCGACTTCCATTGGTTCTTCTATGAGCAGCTGAATCAGCTGCGTCTTTTTAACAATTGGAAGCTTAACCCTGTCTAGCTTTACATAGTCGTTGCTGATAGCAAGGGTTCTTCCACGCAGTACATCAACGCCAAGTATAACATGTATGGCGTCGGTTTTTAACACGGAAAATCTAACATTTTGGAAACATATGGATTCACGGTCGGCCTTTAAGGACACCGTCAAGATCACGTCTCCTATGATTTCCATTCTGGTCCCCGAGGCTGATTTAGGAGTCGCTCGGGCTGTGGGGAGCAATTCGGGTGCTAAGCTATTTCTTAACTTCTCATATGTATTCCGACCAATAACTGAGTAACTTGCTCCGCTATCGATGAGCGGAACACATGAAAATTCCTTTTTCTCGCAGCTCAAACTTCCCTTAACCGTGAGTAGTCCCTGGGGCGTCCAGGATCTACTCCCATTATGCTCCCCGAGTGAGCCCCTGATATTGTAAATCCTCTCGCCAGACGGGCTCGTTTCTGGCGAGAAACTCCGCTTTTTAGGAATCTGCGAACGTAACCGTCCCGGACGGATTACGCGGCTCTCTGGCATAGGATTCTCGAGTTCTACGAGTTCCTCTTCGTCGAGTTGGGCAATTTCGGGCATAGTGCCCGAATGATCGACAGTTATAGCACTTTATTTCGGAGAGTGGCCTGGGTTTACGCACGGCTTCGACGTTCTCATTCTTCTTGCTGTCACCCTCGACCGATTTGGCACTTTCTTGGATGGAAAGAATCTTTTGGGTTTCTGGATCGAGTTCGTCTGTAGTCGGTGCCAGCTTTTGTGCCTTCATTATTCCAGCTTGCAGCATGGCAAAGGTAAGCTTCTGTTTGTCCAAGTCGTCCTCCAAGATACGGCGGATTTCGATCCTGGTTGAATCATTTGCCGAGCTAAGCACTCTATGATAGAGGATCTTGGCTGTTGCGTTCGTGTCTCCTTCGTCGGACAACTCTGTAAGCATTTTAAGCCTTCCTAAGAACGATATCAGGCTCTCTGAGGGTCGTCGAACCGCGTCGTACACAAGACTTAAGAGATCGCTATTTGAAGTTCCCATAAATCGTAGGATCTGTCGCACGAAAGCCTTCAGGCTCGATCGATCTTGTATTAATGAGTCCAAATATGAATAACTAGCAGGAAGCGAAAGCAGCAGGATATTGCACAGCGTCGGTTCATCTGTTCCCACTCTTCTAGCGTTCTTGAGAGCCAAAAAACTGCTAGATAGATGATCGATGAGCGATGTCTTGCTTGGATCCCAGATTGAAAGACCAAATGACTGTGGTTTCATGCTTCCTGTATTCCTTTTCTGTGTAGTCGGTGTTGAATCCATTTTTCCCTCCGTCTTAATAGTGCCCCCAAGGAGTCTTTCGGCCTCTGCAGTTTCCTGTTGGGCGCCTCCTTCGAGTTTAATTCTGGCAAGTGCTTTTCGTAATTCCTCCTCAGCACTCATCAGCGTTGGGTTTGCAGTCTTGGTTGATTGTACCTCCTCCTTTGGTTTACTTGATCCAGGCTCTGGTTTAACTACTGGAGGTGTAACAGGTTCACTTATTTCCTCCATAAAAATATGCTCCGGATCAAGCTCCGTGGTGGCCTTATTCTTCGCTTCTTGATAAGTAAGCTCATTAGCCCTCAAGCGACCAATCAGGTCTGATGTTTCCGGAGTAAGCACGGTGACAAGATGTCCTTGAATCCTTTCATCGAACGCCGTCGCGTCTAGTTTCAAGCATTTCTTTAATTCGCTCTTAAGAATCCCCGAAATTTGGGATGCTGACAGAGCAACAACAACGAAACCGGGTGTCTTCTTTTTCGCGAGCAGTCTCGCCTCGTCGATTTTAGCTAATCGTGACATCGATTGATCTGAACTCACAACAGCATTAATTCAATAACTAGTACTTATCTCTTTGTTCTCGAAGGGTGAAAGAAAGAATTCGCCATATCTTTAATCATCTTGGTTTGCTTTTTCTCCAAGGTTACGCAGAAGTCTTTTCGTCGACGGAAAGATTTCTTCGATCTCCCTTTCCGTAGGGGTCTCAAGCTCTAGTCGCAGTTGACCAGCTGAAAGGTGCGTTTTTGAAAACATCTCTGCGGCCTCGTCATCATAATCTTCTAGAGTTTTTCCTCCGCATGACCGAAAGATAACTCCGAGCCTCCCTATTAGCCGTTTGATTGCAAGAGTCTTGAAGGAGTTCTTCTCTTTTGTTAGAGTTCCCTGAAATCTCTCTTCAGGCAGGAAGTAGAGGTCAAATTTCCGTCCCTTATGTAAATTGATAAACCAGTCGTCAATCGCCTTTACAAAGAGCCTAGCTTGCGCAACGAATGGAGACGTATTGCTGTCGTCATCAGGCGCTTTTGATGGGTTTGAGAGTATCCGATTGATTCCATCCATTCTTAAAATCCCTTGGTGATACTCAATAAAGTAAAGTTTTAATGAAGGCATGACGGTTATCAGGGAAGCACAACAGGGAAATGACAGTTTCTTTTTTTTTCTGAGTATGATGATGAAAAGGAGAGGCTATATTTTCGTTGTTTTGACTTTCTTTTCTCTTCTTTTTCCTAGAAATTCTGTTGAGTGTTGTCGTCTTATGAAACCTAGTACCTTAGCAGGAAAGAATTGCAGCTACCCTCAGGCTTAGTCGCTGTTTTAGGAACCCAGATCGAAGAAAAATGAGGTATCGATTGGCGATAACTTGCGCGATTCCGCTTTTTAATGTCTCAAGCATGTGTGTGTCGTAGCCATGATCTTGTGCTGCTTCAAGCAGAGCGTAAGCTCGCGTGGCAAGGTGATTCACCTGCGTCACCATATCGACATTTGGGTTCGGTCGTTCATTCAAGATGCCTCGTTTCATGTAAAAGGATCGGTTTACGGGGCATTCGATTTGTCGCAAACGCCTGCTGATGTTTTTCTTCATCACAGGGATCGCGTCAGGAGCAGAGCTGCGAAGAAGTTTGGTTAGCTTTGGGTATCGACCAGAGCCCGGTTGTCGCCGAAGATTGTGATCCAAGCTTTGTTTGATTTTTTCGGCAGCAAAGAAGCTTCGTGCCTGGTACGACTTGCGGAAGTAAGCTTCCAGCGTTTTTAGGATCTTCGAGACGGAAATCTCGTAAAGGTATAAATTAAACGATATTTATTATATATTGTTTAGCTTTATGCCTTCCCTGAGTAATGCCTTTCGGGTAGATAATTCCTTGTCTAAGGCATTCGAGCGCGCAAGTCATATTGGGGTCGTTCACAAGATATCCCGAGCTGTCAAGTCGGGCCACGCTATCTCGTCCGATGTGGCCCAACTGGATTTTCGTTATCAGGATACGGCATATTCCGTGCAGATTTGTTTTTGGCAGCCCCATTTTCAGTTTTTGGAGGTTTATGACTATTGTGGGCAAGTCGTCATCGTACTCTTGCAAATGATCGATCGACGCGGAGATTATAAGTTCTCGGATCGGCGCCCATTCAGGTGATTTCGAAACTTCATCGAGCTTGTCTGCCAGAGCCTCGCTGAACACGCATCCTGGCCGCAGAGTGCCACCTACGATTCGAAGGAAGCCTCCGTCACAGCACAAGTTAACCAACGACATCCTAAAATAGTGTTTTCAAAGATCACTGTTGGTAATGAAGATGGTCAGCGTTACAAGGTGGCAGATGAGAGTTAACTATGGAGATGAGTTCCGACGTAGGAACTAGATAGAAGGTCGATGATTGATGTTGGCAAGAGAATGATGAAGGCGATAAAGGCGAACAGGTTGGGAAAGAAAAGGATGCAGATGTGAAGGCGAATATTTTTTTTTTAGGGCGTTCATAGCGCTAGAAAATCAACAGGATCTTCGTTCAGGAGAGCAAGGGCCCCTGGATCCAGCTGCACGGGCTCGATTGTCGGCGTAAAGCTCGCCCAATCAGGCAGCAGGTTGTTTTCGTCGTGGCTTAGCTGCGCGGGATCGAATGTGGGAGTAAATCTCGCCCAGGCGGGCAGCAGGCTGTCCTCTGCGTCCTGTGGGACTGGATTCTGAGCCGCTAAATCTCTCTCCAAAGGTTTATTTCTGCAGCTTTCCGGCGCAGTTGTAAGTTGATCATCCGTGCTCGAGCCAAAGTTACTAGGCCCTGCGTTTTCAGGCGGGGATGGTGCTTTCTGTGGGGACTGCGGATTTTCAGCTAAAGGCTGGTCTGGCTCCACAGCGATTGGTCTTGCAAACGATTCCGGGGCAAGTAGATTTTCTAACTCTCTTGGTGGCGGCGTCGGCAGGGTTGCTCTTCCCAAGATTTCGTTAGCATTTCTCATGACGATAGGTATTTCTGAAAGAAACTCCTGATTTATAATACCGAATGCCGTTTGAATTCTTCTTTGTTCTTCGTCAAAAGAAAGTTGAGGATGGTTCAGACTCTGTATAGAGCTTTTCAATTTGTCACTCGGGCTCCGATACTGCGCCCCGACGAAAACGTCAGCAATCTTGAAAGATTTGGGAACTCTCCGAGCCACCTCTAGAAGCACTCGATGAGCCACGAGCCTCGTCAGATTGCTCCTCCAGCACTCGTCGACATCTTCTTCCAGTCGTCTGTTGACCGTCTGCGCCTTCTCTCGGAGTTTACGTGCATTGACGATTTTGTTGACGTTTTCGCCCAAGAGCTGCAAATAATGCTCGTTCTCATGAAGCCATATGTCCAGAATTCGCTTGTAAGCATTACAGTATTCTGCAATCCGTCGCAACTCCGGTGTTTCAGGAATCTCGTACGGTTCTGTCAGAAGTCCCTTGCAGGCATTTAGAAAAATGTTCAAGACATAAGTTTGAGCTCTCGGCCGCCTCCAAGCGCTCATTATCCCACAGTCTGAATAAACCTCATTGTAATCCTTTTCCTCATGGGTCAACTGAGTAAAATATAGGTTTAGAACAATAATGTGGAAGTTGTATACAAAATCAGTACTCTTCAGGGAGTATATCTCCATTGGTATTGAAGAATCTTCCCGCGCAATGGACTCGTTCTCTTCGCACTATTTGGATTATATCCGAACCCGACACTGTTTCCGAGAGGAATTCATCAATGTTTAGTGACGACGCGAATTCCCTAGCTTCGCATCGAAGGCTCGCAAGTACACCTGGGGTGTCTTGGATTCCTGAGATTACCCCAATGGCATATGTTAGCCTTTAACGTGGATTTTCATCGAGGCGTCTCTATATCTCACGCCGTCTTTGATTATCCCGTCCTAAAGAATTGGCTGAAATGGATAATTGCAGGTCTGGTTGATCCTTCTAGAAGAGTTGTATCAAGAACAAAATCCAGAAGAGAGAAGTCGTCACTCTGCCAATCGTTTGACGGTTGGTAGCTTTCTAGGTCCATTCTGCTTGTTTCGTACGCTCCGAAAGCGACGTCTCGAGCAGGTCCAAGCGTCACTCGGGCCCTGAAGGAATCGTACATTTTTGATTCATCCATGCCCATCGCTAGCCATTCGACTATTTGGCGAATCAACTCATATGATCGTTGGAAACGGGGTAATTGCTCACCAACCATTCTAAACAGACATTCCTTATTTTCTAGAGAGAAATAAAATTTGATCGCCTGACTTCCATCCCAGCCAAATTGGCCCTTTTTTTTTTCTCGTAACTTGCAAGAAATTTGAATTAAAGGGAAGACGCTGCATCATCTGGTCCTTCTATCGTGTTTCTTCTGTCCACACAAGATCGGTTACTCGGGGAAGTCAGCAACGCTTGTTCTCCTCCAACAGCGGCTCGTTGACCATGCAGGCGCGCGATAATGACGAGGGCCATGACCCCCGTCGCTCCTAGCATGAGTGTAAGCAACCCGATGATAATTGTCAACGTAGTGCTTAGCCACTCCAACGTTCTGGCACTTAACAAAGACTTGAGTCGTTTTGCATAACTTTCCGACAATAGGGACATTCTTTGGATCGTTTTGACCATTCTTCGAAGCAACTCCTGCAGAGCCGATGCGTGCAATTTATCTTTACAAATTCTAAGAGCGATTTTTCTGATCTACAGATACCGCACTCTTTAATGAAAACGACCTCTGGTTCCAGAAAGCTTATGATAGCCTCGATTGGCAGCATTCTGAGATAACATTTAGATGCAGGGGCGGTTAGATCAGTTTTGATTGTGCAGATATCACAGGGCTTTTTTCAAGCAGGTTATAAGAGTGATAAGGATCGCGATAGATGGTATCAAGAGTAGCCCCGTGAGCTTTTTTAATCCCGACTGCATTTCTGACAGATCAATCGTTCGGCTAAAGTATTTTCGGTTAACGGTAAATCAAAGATCTCCCCCCATATCCGGAGCACCTGTGCTGAACATTTCCCCTTTGAGAATTTCAGCAGTTTGCTTAGAAGATGCAGGCCCGCTCGGTTATTACCGAGAGGTGAATTCTTTAAAGCATCCCTACATTCTCTCAAAATATTCTCCCTTGGGACTCCTTCGGTTGACTCGATTAACAGAATGTAAATCGGTCCAAGAAACTTCTCATCAAGCATCAAAGTTTGCACCCCATACCTTTCGAGTGCCGCTGCGAGTTCTTTTTCCATTTTATCTAAATTGTAGGTCATAAGAACGTGATAATTAACTGACTGTGGAACTGGTTTGGTTGCAGAATGGATGCTGGCTGACGATTTGGTCAAGAAGTCGCTTCAGTTTCTCCAGGGTGGCACTCATTTCGACGAGCTTTTTGACGTTTCGTTCACTCAGTTCGACAAGCAAAGCGCTGGTTTTTCGGAAGTCCGTCCGGACGCCTCGGGTTAATTCTTCGAGTTCTTGCGCCGCCGACATTCTGAAGTTAATATTTTGAGCGAAAGAAAAGTTTCGTGAATAATGAGGTAATATTCTGGTAACTGATATGAAGGTGATGTTCTGTTCAGGATTATGATTGCAAGTAAAACCCAACGGGTTTCGAAAAGAGGTCTTCTAAAGTGCCAAGTTCGAATTCCTCGCCTTGTATTTCGTTGCCACAATAGGTTATTACGTAGTCGACTAGCTCGATTGGCTTCTTTATTGGGGCGAGTCCCTCCGATTCCAAATATTTCTCCAGCATGGCTCGGCTAGCTTGGCATTCCTTGTCAATATCTTCCGGTGAAGCTTTGTTGAAGCTTCGCCAGCAGAGATTGCACTTGTGAAAATGGGAGTTAAAAAACTCCAGAATTACGTTCTTCTTCGTTTCTTTGTCGATCGATTCGTTTCCAATCATGAAGAGCTGGCATCGAACCAGCCATGTTATCAGTGTAGATCTCGAAGGAATGCATATCAGCCGCTCCTTAGGATACTCGAATGGTGGAAGCGACTTTATAATTCCGGATGTTTCTTTTAAAAAATTCCGAAGCGTAACAGTTTGTTTCTCGTTGCAAATTTCTTCAGGTAGAGGTACTTCCCATCCTAGGATATACGTGAGCGCAAACTGGATTACCCGCCGCTTGGCATCGTATCGCTGATAACACCATAGGATGTCATCGACTAAAGTTGGCATGGTTCTTTTTTTCTAAAAGAAACAACTGTTATTTAAGCGAAACTGAAGATTTTGGGTGTACTTCATGCAAACAGCTCTAGCTAAGGCGCGGCATAATACAGGTGTAAACGAGGATTAAAGTGATTTTTGATGGGAGTAAACGAGGATAAAAGTGATTGTTGACGGAAGTAAGCGAGGATGGAGGTGGAGTCAAACTGACAAGTTTGCTTCCAGCGAGTCAATCATGGTTCTTAGTAGCGGAACGAACGCATCCGAAGTAGGCGCTTCTTTGTTTCGTGCAAATTTTGACTGGTTTATAGCGTCGACGAGAAAGCCTTGGAGTCTCCAGAATCGTTGTCCGCTTAATTCGCTGATCCGAACGATCAGCCCTTCGTCGGGATGAATCGCGTCCGGCTCTATGACGGCTCGAGAGAGGTTTTCTTCAGAATTATCGATCATTCCTGAAGAAAATCCGGCAGGCATGCTCTCTGATTTATGCTTACCTGTATATCGCAACACGATCAGTGAGCCTGGATTCTTCAACTTTGGTTTTACGCCATATAGCCCATCGAGTTGAATTGCAAACTCTCTCAGTGCAATCATTTCCCCACCGATGAGAAGGCACCTTATCAAACTCCGATCTTTCGCTTCTAGCCGAAATCGGTGCATCGTTTCTTTTTGCCAGTTGTTGTCGACGCACTTCTGAGTAAGAATACACTCCATCAGACAGAGTAAACTTGCAGGCCATTCCATTCCTTTTAGGTCAAACGTTCGATTTTTTCTGAGGCAAAACGCAAGAATGGGCGTATCGAAGGTCGATAACTTGAACTCAACATTCCGCGTTTCCAAGAATCTTGCAGTGGTATTATATTTCGTCGTTTCGAAATCTTCCTTTGTGTATTCTTGTTTGATCCGACCGGATTCGAATGCTTCAAACAGGCATTGTCTCAGGAAGCATCGGACGTCTTTTTCAATCAATTGCTGAAGAGTTCTTTTATGTTTCTTATTTGAATTATTGGTACTTTAAGGCTTTATCTTTGAAGAGTTTACGAAGTTTAAATAACCCAGGTCATGACCCATCGTGTGAGTAATCATCTAAGGAGCATCGCTGGAATAAGGAAGAACATTTGCCTTTTCAAGAATTTCTTAATTATCAGAACCTTCCATCCCCCCTTATCCAAGGATAACCATTCATTTGTCCATCACAAGGGTCAGGAACCTTTTTGAGGAGTGATTTAGAGAAGCCATACATTTATATCATACATAGCTACATTCCTCTCGAGTATTAGGCTACCCACCGGTTGACCGAGTTACCTTTGTTACATGGGAGGCATTCGTTGTAGCTTCTTCCATTCTACCGAATAGTGAATTTTTCTTACAGCATCCTTTGTTGATAAATTCGGTCAATCGGCCGCGCACGGTCGGCCATTTAAGCTTCTTCTCCATCTCACTTCTTCGATTACTTGCTTTTCTCTTTAATTCGTCTTCTTTTATTCTCTTCGATTTTCTCTGATTTTCCGAAAACCTGAATGAAATGAAGATTGTGCTTCTTTATATACCCGAATTTGTTATTTTTGTTTGTTGTCTTTGGCTGGTTACTTTCCCTTTTTGACCGCCTTAGTGTATAACAGTATTTTGGAATTAGAGGCATCGAAAAATAAACATGCGCTAGGGCCGTGAGTCGAAAGGAAATGACCCTTTGTTTTCATATTCTTTAACTTTTCTATTCTTTAATGATGATTTAACGCCAGTATTTTAATTCATATCTCCTCAAATACCAATACTGTATTCATACTTTTTTGACGGCATGTGTTTTTGTAATTATGATGGCATTCCCCTAATCGTACATCTCCTAAAAGTTATTTGATTATTGAGAAATTTTATTTTAAGGATTGGTTTTAGAGAAAAAAAACTTTATATTAATTTCTTTTAATTCATTGTTAGTACCTAAAAGTTATAATGCATAATTTTATAAACGAAAATTATACAATTTAATATAATTATAATTGGAGGGGATCTTTTTATAACTTCTGACACCAAAATGTTGAGGTCCAACTATATCATACCTGTATAATAATAACAATAACAATATTATCTCTGTGTCTTATTTATTTTCATTTCGAGCGTTTATCTCTCAGCTCTGATGATTTTCAGTGAAAAGTGTCAGGTTTATATATGTATCCGAACTCGCTTAACCGGCAGTTAGAGGTTTTGTTCAACGGCCAGTTAGAGCTATCGTTCAACAGCCAGTTAGAGCTATCGTTCAACGCGCATTAACTGGTAAGCTTTAACACGCGTTAGGCATCGGCTACGCCGTAGTATGATCAAGGCTGGATCCCAATACTTCTTTCTTCGCTTTCTTCTTTGACTTATTCTCTACGAGAGCCTTGAGCTCGGTGATTTCTTCCCTAAGTTGACCTAGTTCGAGTTTCAGGAAATTCGCATCTTTGCCAGAAATTCTAAGATTCTTTTAGCCAAAAATTAAACCTTAATTTTGTTTTTTTACCGTGGAGCGATATTGACGACTTTAACATCGTCACAATTCTCAAACTTCGAGGTTGATGACTGATCCGCTCCCATTTTTTAACAGAAAATCCTCTTTTATATGTCTGCTAAAAAGGGAAACTAACTTCAAAAAAGAGAAAGCGCCTAAGACTAGAAACTACAGCCCAAGAATCTAGAAAACCTTTTCTTTTCAGCGATGCTTCCTTCGGCGTGTGTACCTACAACCTCTCCCTGCTCGACTGCTTCCACGGGTTAAAAAAGGCGCTGCAGCACAACTTTGTTGACTTCGCAACTCTCGATGTTGAAGAATACGAGTACTACGAGCGCGTCGAAAACGGCGACTTCAACTGGATCGTCCCCAATAAGTTCCTGGCCTTTTCCGGCCCCCATCCCAAGTCAAAGATCGAAAACGGCTACCCTCTACACGCGCCTGAAGCGTACTTTCCCTACTTCAGAAAGCACAACATCAATACTGTCATTCGACTCAACAAGAAGATCTACCCAGCTCAGCGGTTCACAGGTCCGTTCGATATTCTTCCTTGATTTCAAATTTTAAACTTTGACCTTCAGACGGCGGATTCGAGCACCACGACATGTTCTTTACCGACGGAAGCTGTCCTCCAGACCACATTCTCAAGCGATTCCTTGAGGTCGTCGAAAATATGAACGGCGCGGCGGCTATTCACTGCAAGGCTGGTCTAGGTATGGCTCCTTTTCTTATCTCTTTAAATTTTTTCCACTTGTCTGAAATTAAATTCTCTTTTCCCGTCAAAAGAATTGACCCTAGCATCGGAAAATGACTGCTAATTTTAATTCTAGGGCGTACTGGCTCTTTGATCGCGTGCTACCTGATGAAGCACTACAAATTCACGGCGGCAGAAGCGATCGCTTGGCTTCGTCTTTGTCGCCCAGGCTCAGTCCTCGGGCCACAGCAACACTGGCTAGAGGAGCAGCAGCATTTGATGTGGCAAGACGGCGACTTGCAGAAACTGCGACAGAGCCCCTCGACGACGAGGAAATCGCCAGTGCTGGAAATTGACGAGCAGAACAACGGAACTTCTGGACTTGATTTTGAGGGATACGAGGATCCGGGACAAGGAGACCGTCTCAGGGCGCAGAAGTACAGGCACAGAGTTGGAGAGTTGGAAAAAGAGGATAGGTATGATTTTTGAGCTTTTATTTGTGTTACTAAATTGATAAATTTAGTGGCTTGTTGGTGGGATCATCCGGTGGTGTGGTGACTCGAAGCCGCGCGGCTCAAATCGCAAGGTAGATTTATTCCCTAAGTTTTATCTTTTACAGATGCTTACTTACGTTTAACTAACCCTCCTTTCGCTTAAGTTTTTAAGGCTTTTTTCCGCTTCATTTTCGAATCATCAGATCCTTTTTAAACCCGTTTTTTTCATATCTTCCATTACAACGAAAATCAAGCCAAAGCTTAACCCTGCAACTAGCTCTTGTAAACTAGGGACGCTGAAAATGGCCTGGCCAGCGAACTGTCGCGTCTCCGAGTGGCCAGTCGAGGAGTAAGTCCACCCACCCGCTCCTACTACTAATCCACTTTCAAACTTCAACTTCTTTCCAACAAACAAAAAAATCACATCCATGTTCATCCGACTTTTATTTTGTTCAATAAATTTATTATATTTTATCTTCTCTTTTTTCGGTGTTTTATTTTTGATTTTTGCTTTGGTGCTTCGATTTTGCTTGGTGCATGAACACAGAATATGAAAATATACAGTAAGTAACCATTTTCTTTCAGGGAAAAGGGCCTTGAAGAAAAGTAAGCTTGAAAGAAAAAAAACGAGCGATTGAAAAAACAGATTCATGTTTGATGAAAATTCTTGCGACAAAAAAAAAGTTCCACTCCACCTTTCTCTTCAACCTTTTCTCCTTCCTATTTCTCTTCCGCCCTTTTTTCTTCTGGTGTCTCTTTTTTCCGATTTTAACAAAAAGAACCCCTACTCTTTTTTGCCTCTCGGTGACAGAATTCGCCTTTCAAAATAAAAAAAAGAGAACGTACTGGGAATCACTTCCTGACTCGATCAATTTTTGTGGCATAAAATCGATTCTACAATTTCCATACTTTTCCACTTTCGGATTCCCACTTTCGGATTCCCAAGCTCTTTTCCGACATTTGTGACTCTCATTTATTCAAGTTCATAAAACTAATTGACTCTGGCTATGATTTCTTACCACCGTTTCTTTGTGACTCTGTTTATGCTTTGTTTTTCTTAAAATTTTGAAATGCTCAGGTACCATTTTCTCCCTAATCTTGGGTTAAAACAATTCATGGAAGTGATTTTATGGATCAGGATTTTTATTGGTCGGTAGGCCAAATACAGCAATCTTATTGGTAATCAAGAAATTCACTTCCTTAAATTGGTTTAGTCCCTAAACCTTGCTTTTTTCGGACTAAACCAATTCATGGAAGTGAATTTTGGGATTACCAATAAGATTGCTGTATTTGGCCTACCGGCCAATCAAAACCCTTTCCATAAAAATCTGTTCCAAAAATTGGTTCTACCCCTTTTTTTCGCATTTATTCCACTTATCTTCCCTTATTCTTATTTAATTTATGAATTCCAACCTTTCAATCTATTCAATTCCTTTCCTTTTAATATTTCTTAAATAAAAATTCAACAAAAAATCAACAAAGGAACAGTTTGATCAAGAAAGACCTCTTCATCTGTTCAATTTTATTCAATTTTGCAGCTTGAAAATGACGATTTTTAGCTGTGAATTCTCCCGTTGATGATTATATTTTTCATCAGATTTTGATGATTTCCTTAATAATAATATGAATTTATTAATAATTATGGCTGATATTCTCGGAGGACGGAAGTCACGGGAGAAGAAATTATTCTGAGATAACTTTTCCGTCGCTTCAAAATGATTAATGACGCGAGAGGTAGAATTTTTCCGCTCTATATACGAAATTCTACTGAGGTTAAGCGCATACCTAGTTGATATACGATATGTTTCCAGGAAGGAGCATCGAGAACCAAGCAGCTACCGACTTTTCCTTCAGTGATGCTTCCATAAGAGTCCTAAAAGGCTTGAAAAAGGCTTCCAATCAATTTTTCTTACAGTAAGTCCGAGAGAGTAAGCAGCATTGATCGTAGCAGCGTTGAAAGCTTCCTCCATATTCATCTTGCAAATTATACAGGCCAAATGCATCACCAAGGGCATCGAGAAACAAGGAGCATTCGGGTTGAAATCTGAGTTGAAAAGTGAACGCTGAAATCATGGAAGACTCACCGGAGCCAAGTGCTACAATGACGTTTTCTCGAATCATTTCTCGCACCGGGGGTGGAATAAGTTTCAGGATATACGCAGTCGTGGGCAAAATCACCCCAGCAATGCGTTTTTGAGACATTGACTTTGGCCAGGGATTTCTAGCCGTGGAATCAGGGGCTTTAGCGGGCAGCTGAGGAATTGACGGAAAAAATCGGCTCTCGCGAAAGGTAAAAACACGTGGTGGAAAATCCCTGCCTTGATAGCAGAGCTAGATAGAAGCTCAAGGTGGCTCATTGCGCGAGCATTCAGCTCACATCCCATCTCTCCGCCCTGAAAATTTACGTATTATACGACTCTCAGACCAAGGTCAAGAAAGCCCTGGTAATCGACCATGGCCCATGGTGTCACTTGACTTTGTTTTTCTTACCTGAATGTAGTTGAGCTCTTCCGCGTGGAAATTCACGTGCCAGCCTCGTTCCTATCGAACCAGTCAATTTCAACATCAACGTCATTCTTACCATTCCGGCTTCAAGCATTTTCCTCGACTGCTCCGCGTCATAAACCCCTTTTTCGCAAAAGACATCAATGTTGTCGACGCCGAGGCCAGCTTTGGCGACCGTGGGGATGTGCTCTTCCACGATTTCTTTCGTCATTTCGGCTGGGTCCCGCCCTGGTGGCACCGCATGCGCGCATAGATATGTACTGAAAGAAAAACGTTGAAAAAGGCTGGCTTTGACGTCAATTATTCTTGATTTTCCGAGATAATAGAGCTTAACCCAGTGCTGCTCTATTCCGTGGGTACCGGAAGTGTCAGCAGAGCAACTAACTGACCTTTGGATTTTGACAGGATGAGTTTCTTTCGCCTTCTTGATCACTCTGTCACGCGCTCAAAATCAAAACCAAGCTGAAAGCTGCAAAAAATTGTTAATCAAATTGGGCTGTTCGAGATTTTCGAGCATTCCTTAGCATCTTCATTTCCGTCTCGCAGTCTGAAAAGAACATGTTAGCTCCAATTAATGTTAATTTAATACTGTACCAAGGCCATATCCGGATTTTGCTTCCGCAACGATCGTCCCGTGAGAGAGCATTTGGTCTTTATGCAGGGATTACGCTACTGTATGTCATCTTAGAATGCTGTGGAATGGTTACTGAAGCTTCAGTAAGAGCATAACCGTCGTTTTCCCCCTTCCTAATCGACGAAGGCACAGTTCTGTCAGCTTTTCTTCCGGGCAATTTCGTGTTTCTGAGGTCAAAAAATATAGTTAATTACTGTTTATTCCCTTACGATCGACGGTATAGTGAATTCCGCCGCCTTTTTCGTGAATTTCCATGTAGCTCGCGCCAGCTAGTTTCATCGAAAACTCATTAGCTCGATCTCCGTCGAAAACAGGATGAGTGTGACCGTCAACGAAACCGGGAATCACTAGAGATGGTAATTTATGTTGATTCAATGAATGAATTAATAATATAAGATCATCATTATGAAAAATTTTTCAAAGTATCTTCCAACTGTCTAGACAACAGACAACAGATGCGTGTAGCTGATGATTTACCAGCTTTTCCAGCGCAGTCCAATATCTCTACCCCTTCAAATGGGACGTCAAGATCTTTTCCCACTTGCTTGAATTTCCCATCAACGATCAAGACATCAACATCATGGAGGACTTCAACGACTCCAAGTGCTTCACCGACTTTCTCTTTTCCGTCCTTTGAATAAACAACTTCGCTGCAATTTTTCAACAAAATCGAAGCCATTTTGTCGAATTTCTATGTTTTTGAAGCTGATTTTTGTTTAACAAAAGGCGATTTTGGTCGATTTTTACGATGAAAAAAGGCGTGTCAAAATCGTCCAGCTTGTTTTTATTTTGGATTTTTCTCATAAAACTTGAATTTCAAAGATTTCAAAAGAGTTTGATGTTTTGTGAATATTTTATTGGTGAGGATTTTTTTCGCGAGGACTTGAAAATTGAAGTCAAATGGCTTTTTTTGTTGTTGAAAAAGAAAGAAATAAACATTGAACGGTAAAACTAATTTGAACAGTGAACAGTGAATTTAATTGGGTATGCAGCGGAAGTGACAGTACTTGGGCTGGTTGCCCAGGGCGAGTTGGCTGCATCTACAGGCGTTGGCGAGTAGACGCGGGGAGGGGGAATAAGGACGGCCCGAGTCCTCATCGACTCCTGCCGATTTCGTCTGCAGCTGGGCCAGCAGCTTGAGGAACTTGTCCTCTTTGGCGAGGTGCTTCAGCTCTAGAATAGATCTGATCGCTTCGATTCCATCTTCCAAGCTTGGCGCCGCTGTCCGAGGTGGCATTGGCATTCTGACTGCAGCTCCGCAGGCGAAGATCCAGGAACAGACAATTGTTGATACTTTCATTTTTTTGAGTTTTGAGAAGCTAAAGTTGAAACTAAAGATCCTTTTTTAGTTTGATTTGAAATGGTTGTTATTTCAAAGTGGGGCGATTGATAGTTGAACCTGGAGTTCTTTTATATTTATAGAAAGAATTGACACTCTAGCGCCAATGGATGGCGCAAAAAAAATTTGAGGAAGAATCGGGTGCGCTTGAGAGTGAACGGAAGCAAAATGGTCGATCGCGGTTTTGGAGATGACTAAATAAAGTAACCTTGCTGACGAAAGAAGTAGATGCGGAATCAGAAGTTTCTGACTTCACTTGAATCAGTGTTCAAAAAAGTGTTAACAATTGTTATCAAAAATGACTAGGTTTCCCTCAAGAGCCCTACCGGTTCTTCATTCATCAATCAAAATAAATTATTGAATATGGAAAAACAAAAAGAGGTTACCGAGAAAGTCTCGGGAAAGCAGGAAGAGTTGGGCCTCCCTTCTGATTGGGACTACTCTCGAGTTTCAGGACCTGTACCTCAATTCAATTTTGTACCATTCAAGCAGAAGAAAATGGCTAAATTTCGTGAATATCCTATGAGCTATTGGGATGGTGATAAGACCGGATGTGCACCAAAAATATATATAGATCCGAATCGCCCTGCGTCTGGACTTGCCCCTGGTAGATACAAGCAAAAACCAATTCATGTGGAGTCAGACGATTCTGATGATGCAGAAATCTTAAATCGCGAGAATCCCTAGTAGAGAATTCCCTACTCACTCAGTTTCAGCCGCTTATTTTACATTTTCCCCTTTTGATGATGAAAATCAAGGAAGATTCGAAAAAGTCCCAATTCCCGGGATGCCAGGTCATTTTTATGAGAAACGATTTGACCATAGGAAAGGCTTTTTTTCGCGGTTTTTTTGATTAATACTAATATTTTACGATTCCGATTAGTTGCTCACTGGTGCTAGGCGAAAATTCATCCTAGAAAAACCGATCATAAACAAGGAATTTCGTACTATGCTGGTCTAATTCATCAAGAATGGAACAAAGGCCTTTTCATAAAAAAGTTTAGAGAATACTGATCTAGCGCCCTTTTACGAATTGTTCCCCTCCATCGCGGGCGTTTTTTTACGATTCAGTGCGCTTTCAAACCAAGCACAGATATAATTACTTCTCCTTCTCAGCTTTTTTTCTTTCTTTTAGCAAAGAAAAAGAGTAGTCTGACTTTTTTTCTCAGAGGATCAAATTTTCACCTTCAAGTGCGAAAATTTCGCTTTCGCCGCGGGGAGAAACTACTGGAAGGGTTGAAGAAACACAGCTTTTTTTGTAAACAAACAATTTGTTACGCATAAGTAAAAGAAGCCGAATTTTCAAGAATCGAGAAAATGTCGAAGCTCGCAGAGAAAATTCCACCGATAGGTAAGCCAAACTACTGTCAGTAGAGTGTCCGTTTTTCTACAGACGTAGTCATATAGAACGGGGGAAATGTAGTGAACTCGCGGTGGAAATTTAAGTTTCAGCGCTTCAATTTAATTATTAAAAAGTCTGAGCTTATATGTTCGCCAGCTGGGGACAGGCCAGACAGAATATTATGCTTGGTAGACGGAATTTCTATTACCGGAGTTCAAATGCTGAACAACGAGTTTTTCAGCCAGTAAACATGATGACTACACAGTAACTAATGATGAAAATAACTTATTGAAAGGAGTGAATTTACGGCAATATTTTTGCCATCATGGGATCATATCTAACCATTGAGTATTGACAAACCGTTTTTTCAATAAACTATTGACAGTATTATTCGATTTTTACAATACTGTATTCCTTCGATTGTGATAGAGATTGCTATTGAATAGTCTTCAAAGAATAAATGATAATTTGATGCATTAGCTTTTATGATGCAAAAGTTCATCCATTTACCATCAGTTATTGAATTAATAATTAATTTATCATTAATTTATCATTACTAAGATGCTGAAATCAAGGAAGAGTACCAGTATTTAAAAACCTACTCTGGGAATTTTAAAGCAGGGGAACTCCTGGGCAAGTATTAAACTTTGATTTAAGGTGCGCTCGTTTTTGGACTCATTTCTCTTATCATCTGCGCCACTGCAGCGGGGACGAAAAATACGCTTTTCATACCTTTGGTGGTCTGCCTCGTTTTGGGCTGCATCGTCGCCGCCGCCGCGCTTTTCGTCTACTTCAGGCAACAGCGACGCCAAGCCGATTTGGCAGATGATTCGAACTTTTTCGAAACCTATGGATACCTTATTCTGGAAAGGATCACTTAATTTACGTCACGGCAGCGATGAACCGAATCGCCCGTGAAATAAGAACAGATCTAAGTTTGATCGCTTCCACAGCGTTTATCTTCTCTAAATCAAGTCTGCCTGACAGTCGGATACAGTAAAGAACGTACTGTAATTAGCAAAGAAATGATCCCGTTAAAAGACCATCGGAACAGCTGTATTCTACTTGATCGGGTTAATTCTATTCATCGGTAAGTTTTTGATGATCTTTGCTGCGTAGAAACCTGTGTAAAAACCTGAGTCAGGGTTCTGAGAAACCTCTGATTAAAAGTCGCTTCGCTATTTGACGCCCTGACTCAGGTTCCTTCACAGATTGTCGAGCACTGTCTGTGAAAATCATTCAAATCTATTGTTGATGAATTCTAGTGACGAAAATCAAAGGAGGACTGTCCCTCGGCGACACATACAAAACCGAACACATCGAGCTCGACAAACTGCTCACTGACTTGGGAATTGGAACATGCGATGTAAGTAACTATTGAAAGAGAAACTCTTGCTAGCAGATTTTGATGCTGATTTAAGAGTCTTAGTCCGACCCATTCTTACTGCAATGGACATAAGCAGCAGTGCCAGGAGTTCTTTCTTAAATGCATCGAGAAATCAGGAATGGGGTGTCTCTTTATCTCAGTGTTCAGGGAGGGACAAATGAGTGACAATCTTTTGACACCCGAAATAAAGAAGTTGCTCATGCAGAAGCTTGGGTCTCACTCGTGTTCGCCATTTTCGCCTGTAAGTGCTCCTAAACGATCCCTTAGTTAAAACTACCATTGCCTAGTCGTTTTCGCCATGCTCTCGGTCTTCTGCGCCTTCAGAGCGCGCAAAAATGAGGAAGAATACGGAACTTACCAGCCAACAACTGCGCCAAGAGGTGGAAACACGACCATAAACTCGGACTATGTTCCTGGAGACAATAGAATGCAATCGCCACTGGTTTAGTGAAAGAAGGAAAATGCTCAAGGTTAAAATTCCTTACAGTAATGTCACTGTTCAATCAAACAAATTCTTGTTCAAACATGTGTTGAATAAAATGTTATATAACAACATTTCCGTAAATAGATGTAAGGGCATCAATTTTCGATTCAAATTTATTCTGGTCATATGAACTGGGAGATGTTTTCGCCAGCAGACCATCCATCCCGGCTGTCTTCTCTACGTCTCCGCGCGAATATCTAAATATGTGTCCATCAGAAACCCGAGAATAATTAATTCTTATAAAAAAAAGATCATTTTTGATGAAAAAAACTAGACTTACAAAAAAGGCAATCGATGAGAAAATGCCCAAAGCAGCCGCTCCCCAGTTGAGAAAAATGCTCGGCCCGATTCCAAATTGCTGAGAAAAGAGGTCATTTCGTGAATATGGAAAAGGATAGATGTAGTACCTGCGAATGATGGTTGTAATATCCGACCGCAGTGCTGCGCATAATTATTTGAGAGAGTCTTGCGGCTGGGCGGACAGGTTCCAATATGCTCGAGATTATAATTTTTGGAAGACGGTTTTGATTTTAATAAAAAATGAAATATGTCTGTTTTTATGAAACATGTCCAGAAGTCAAAGTTTCTGACGCAAAAAGCATTATTGTGAACCCTTTTCATAGAGGGACGTCGACACCAGTAATAAGACCGCGGACGTAAGAGCTCCTGAAAGTACAGTAAGACACAGTTTCTCTTCGAAAATAAACCTGAAGCAGCAGTAGTCAAAGAACAGCGCTTCCATCTGTGCGCCAAATTGGTGCATTTGAGTCCGAAAACGCCGAAAATCACCGCGAAAAGCTGGATGACGTTCGCTGCGATGACCAAAAATCGGTGGAGGAGGATGCTCCTGTATTCCTGGTTGTAGTAGCCGCCGATCATGCGCATGAGGGGGTGACACGTGACGGACTTTTGGAGAATGATCTCGCAGCGCTCCCACAAGCCGGATGTTTCGAAGCTGGTATCGAGCCGCATGGAAATATATTTTTGTGTTTTCCAGTCTACATTTTCGTAGCGATGGTTCAAGCGTTAATTACAGTACCTGGTAGAAAGGTAGCACTGAGCTGGAGCGACAAACTAGCCAGCATGAAAATGAAAAAGCTACATTCAATAACTGTCCTTCCCATCTTTCTCCTTTGCTCTGATTTTGTCTCTTGATTGAGATCTGCAATTCTAGTGCGGAAAAAAGAGGGATCGATAAATCTGAGTCAGGTGGAGTATTTATTCATTCAAGCTTTATTCATCGAGATTTTCAACAGAAATTCAGAAGATCAAGATCATTTCCAAATACTAAAAACGCAGAGAGAGGAGAAAAGAAATTCGAGTCAAAATTAGTCATAAACGATTCGAGGGAATCTGAGATATTTGTCAGCGAGAATCTTCTTTGTCACGGGCATCAGCCAGCTCAGCCGCTTTCTTTTCTGTTTGTCGGTAATGTCGACGGCAATGGCTTTTTTGTCAGCGCCACGAACCAGGGCGATTTTTGAATTTTCCTTGACTCCAATGTTCTTGGCGTGCAGTTTTTCAAACTTGTGCAGACTTTTGAATAGCTCTTTCCCGGTAATTATTTTTGGTGTTTGTTGCATCCCGAAGCTTGTTGTCTCTTAGCTCTTTTTATCAAAAAGAATTTGATTTGTTCTTCGTTTTCTGCGGTGGAAGGCAATTTATGTGAAGTATTGGCGCTAAGGAGTTAATTGCAGTAGCAGGTGCTGGCGAAATTCTAGAGCAGAAAGTGATCTGAGGCGTAAAAACGGAGCGGCGTTTTTTGATATTCTATTAAAAATTCTATTTGATGACGAAACCTGCCTTCTGTCAAATATAGTCGATTTGAGCTGATTCCTCTGCATGGAGTGAAAATTTATTGAAAAGGGCGGTGTTCAAGTTTAACAGTGAGAGATATCGAATGTTGATGTCAAAATTAATAATTTAGATGCGAGAGGGTTTCTTCGTCTTTCTGATCGCATTCGGGGCTTTCCCCTTGTTTGGCTTCTTTTTTGACTTGTTCTTCTTCGACTGTTCATTTTTCTCCGTCTTTTCTTCGTTGACTTCGATTTCTTGTGCTTTTCCGAAGAGTTTTTCCTTCTGCTCGTCTAAAAGTGGCTTGGATGGCTTGAGGAAACCTTTCTTGACAGTCTTTGGTTTCTGTTTCTTCTCGTCTGAGGTTTTCTTCGGGGCGGGAAGAGGGACAGTTAGCCATTCATATCGAGGCAGTACCTTCATTTTCTCCGCAGTTTCTTCGTCAATCTCCATTTCCACCGGCCCTCGGGTTTCACTCATCACCATTTTGCTCGCTTTCTCTGTTCCAACGGCTTTGGAAAGAAGCGCAAGCTCGTAGAAGTTCAAGTATCGGATCGAATCGGTCATCTTTCTAACTTATCAAAGGTATATGATATACCGTATATCATATACCGTATATCAAAAGGATTATCTGACATTTCAAGAAAACCGACTTTTCAAGAAACCATTGAAATGTCCCTTTTCCTTGAAATTTCCGTGGCTCTTGAAATGTCCGCTTTACTTGAAATGTCCGTTGCGATTGAGATGTCCCCTTTTCTTGAAAGGACATTTCAATCTGAATGGACATTTCAAGAAAAGGAGACATTTCAATCGAAACAGACATTTAAAGAAAGTGGACATTTCAAGAACCACTTTAAATGTTTCTTTTTCTTGAAATGTCTCTTTTTCTTGAAATGTCCGCTTTCTTGAAATGTCCGTTTTTCTTGAAATGTCCACTAATCTATCAAAAGTACTGCTTACCTGAGAAGGCGAATTGATCAGACTGGCTGAAATATATCTGAATCTGATGGAAAAATATTCAGCGTCTAGAGATTTTTAGCTTTGAATTGTAAGTTGATTGATGCTTAAATTTTCCCTTTCATTGGATCCATCGCCTTTCTAACGAGCTTATAAAAACGAATGAAGATAGTGCCACCGCTGACATGCTCTTTATAGCCTTATAGCCGCGATTTGTATGCAAGATTTATATGGGCGAGAAAAGGTTGAAGATTGATGTCTTTAAAACAAAGAGCGAATTAGATTAATTTTAATGCGCACTGCCCCCTCATCATCTCCACTTAAAATCTTTAAATCCGCCAATCGACATTTGACACGGATTTTTTCCTGTAAAAAATGACACTATTTGAAGGAAAGAGACTGTACTTCATTTATGGCGGCTTGATTTGTAATTCTTGGAAGTTTTTTTTTAATTTTTTTTTTCATGAAAATTCTAGTGCTTTTGTTCGTCCATTTCGCCGTTTGCGCAAAACTGGAACAAGGGTTGGGAATTTTGATCGCTTTTCCGATGATTTTTGAGCTGTTGCTGCTTATTTCTGGAATTCAAGGTACTCTCAGTTACTGTAATCCGCCTTGAATAAGCCTAAGGATACGAGCGATATCTGCAACGAAAGAAGATGGCGGTTCTAGAGCTGCAGACGATCCGAGACTCTCACCAAATTGCGAATCAACTGTTCAAAACCGACTGAACTAAAACCGACGTAAAACGCTAATGCGAGTAGAAAGAGCGTAATAAAATGATGATAACGGTTCAAATCAGAGTTTCATTAATGCTCATCAAATATTCAACTCTCGTGTATTTAATAATTCGTCTTTCGCAGAATAGTCAAAATAGAAAAATAAAAATATGAATTTTGCGGTGCAATCTGCTCTGGTTTTTTTCCTCGCTGCGATATCCGCTGTTTTCGCGAATGAAATGGATCCGTAAGTCTTCCATCATATTTCGATGTTTTCGTATTTACAGTAGGGCGCTTCTGAAGTACTGGTTCGACAAAGTGGTCAACGACGATTTGACTTCATCTTCTGGACTTCTTCGAAAACGATCTGGTTTCTACGGCCGAAATGACAATTTTTAAACTTCCAACTTGACTGCTCTCGTTCTTGACAAGTTATGCAATTTTCAATAAAACAAAATAAACCCCCATTTTTTATTTAATTTTATGCACTGTGAATCGCGCAGATGATCATTTTTATGCAGCTGAAACTTGAATCTCTGGAAAAAAAATTTTCTTCGAGATATTTGAAAAATGAAACTTTTTCATTTCGCCCTAGCCGTCGGGAGCTCCGGTGAACGATGCCAGGCTGGGATTGGCGACCTGTGTAGAAAACCTGAGTCAGGGTCTGAAAATACTGAAATGAAAAGCCGCGCAGCGGCTTTTGAAAACGAAGCCGCAAAGCGGCTTCGCTAATATTACCATTACAATCTTTCAAAAATTCTAGCGAAGCCGCTTCGCGGCTTTGTTTTTGAAAAAGCCGCTGCGCGGCTTTTCATTCTAGCTCTTTCAGACCCTGACCCAGGCTTTCTACACAGGTTGCCGAGCCGAGATGCCAGGATTACAATCTAGGCAATCGATGCCAGTCGCAGTGCTACGGAACTCAGCTTGATTGCAAAGCCAGTTGTGCGGAGGGCGATTTTTCGTAAGAGAAAACAGAGAATTCAGAAAAAGAAAAAATTCTGCTTGTAGTTGCGCTTCTCGTTGCGACGCAGCAGCTTTGGACTGTACGTATTACTGTCCTTGCTCGACAGGTTGCCCGAAAGGCTGTTCGACAAATGCTGAGTGCAGCCAGAACGAGTTCTGCAACTACACGGATTTGCTGATTCTCAACTACCGACAACACTTTCGCGACGAGGGCGTAATCATCGACACAACTACTGACGTCGGAAGACCTGTTGATTTCGACTACGGATTTTCGGACGTTCAGAATTCGTGCACTGTCGTGCTTCGAGGAGAAATGTACATGCTTGGCGGAAATCAACGAACTAATCAAGCCAAGGTCACAAGTTTTAAAGCCCTTTTTCTCAAAATTGAAATTTAAAAAACCTGAAAAAAAGTCGCTAAAATTTCAAAAGATGGCTGCCGAGTTGAAGTCACTGACGACAAAATCGTCCCGACCTTCGTTGGCGGAACTAACGGTTCTTGCGCTTTTTACAAAGAAACCGTCGCCCTCTGCTTCAAGGAAATCGAAAAAGACTATAAAGCTTGCTACCAATGGGAGCCAGGACAGCGACGAGTCAAGAACTTGCCCAGCACCAATTTCAGCCACGACTGGGCGGAAATGACTGACTACCGCTACCAAGACAAGATGGTCGTGACCGGCGGCTGTACTCAAGATTTCATCTATGGATGCCACAGCAAAACTGAGATTTTCGACGGAACTCGGTGGATCGAAGGCCCAGATGTTCCAATCCCAGAGGTCAAGGGGCACAAAATGACGGCAGATGAAGAGGCCGTCTACATCGTCACTGGAAGAGGATACGACTATCATGGCATTCCAGGTATACAAGCCCAATTTTGAGCCGCAAAAATTTTTTCATGGCTTTTATACGCCATCTCAAGGTATAATAGTCCTGAAATGGCAGTTTTTTGTCTGATTTTAATGAAGAAAAACCACTTTATTGTTTTGAAAAAGCGCTCTAGAATAATCTTCAGAGGTCTTGAAGCTCGACATGGCAACACAGCAATGGAGTGCGATCGGGAAACTGGTCGAAAACACGACTTGGAACAACTCCGCCTTTCAATGGGGATATTCTTGGTACACTGGAGAGTGCTCGATTCAGAAGGCGACTTACAACGATGGTGTTTTTTCGACGGAAATCATCATTCCAGACGATAATGATTGCTACATGGATCTTTGGTACGCGCACATGTTTGAACTTCCTGCTGGTCAATGCTGATTTTTCATCAAATAAATAGTAATTTTTTATAAATTGTTTCTGATGATGTCATCAGCAGGCTTCTGAGTTGAAATTTCCACTAACTGGCAATGAAGTGATGAAGGAGGTGTTGTTTTCTTCTGAGGTTGTGTTCTTTCCAGATTTGAGCATCTTTCGAGATTCGAACCTAAAAGGGAAAATGCGGGTTGCGACGGTTTTTATCGAACTGAGAGCGTCACTCTTTCCTTTTCGAGTTTTGCCTTTTCTCAAGAGCTATTTTTGCTGCTTTATTTTGAAGAGATCTTTTACTTTAGTGGATTTTTTCAGATGACTACTATCGCTAAGCAAGGGTACTTGAAGTACGGACAATATCTCCAGATCCTCGGAGTCTCCGTGAACGCTGCGGAAGGAGAGATTGATAAGGCCTTCGCAAAGGCAACAGCGGACTTCAAACTCAAGCAGGAAGCTTTCAATGCTTTGAAAAATGGTAGGAGACAATCATTTTGAGATAGTAATGAGGGATTTTAGGGACTGAAGGTACGATGGAGCTGGAAAAGTTGAGGAAGGAAATTGGTGTTATCGGTGGAGCGGGACACTTTTACGGACGAGATGGAAGTAATGACAAATTTTCGAGCGCTGGAGTGAGAGGCGAAATGAGCGAGGATGAAGTGGGCAATGTGCTGAAATTGCTGTCAAAAGGAGAACGGCAGATAAATCTCAAGGTAAAAAGTTTTAATGGACTTATGTTTTGCTATTAAGTTTATAAAGTTTGAAACGTGGCATTCCTTGTCCGTCAACGTCGCTGGATGGGCTCTGCATTTCAACTGCAGGGGTGACCATTTGGGCAAAAAATCTTCGTCGGGCCGACCAATTGCCCGCCCAATACCAAAAATCAAGACCCGGACCGACCGAATGCCCGACCAGTCCAATGTGCCCAGAATGCCCAATCGGGCAATTGGGCAATTTTTCGGGCAAAAATTTTCCCGACATTTCGGGCTTGTTAAAACTTTAATTTTTTAAATTTCTCTAAATAATTTATTACAGTTGAAGATTTGGAAGGTTTGAAATATATTTAAAAAGCGGTAAGAAATAATTTTGTAAAAGATCGATCAGGTTATCAAGAATAGACAGCTAACCATTAAGGTCCACTTCACACTCTCTTGCATAACCGTCTCGAAAAAAGGGGTTCAAAAATGTGGTTGGAAAAATGAGGGATAAAAAGGATCTGGAGGTCAAGGGTAGACAGCTAACCATGAAGGTCCACTTCACACACCCTTGCAGAACCATCTCCGCAAAGAAGGGGCTGAGTTAAGGCTACCTAGGTCGAGATGGCCAACTTTGAGGGTTTATTCTGATGGACTGATGAATATCAGAGTAACTGACGGAACCTTATATGAAAGATAAGACCTAGATCTCACTTTTGTCAGAGGATTTTTATGTTTACTCAAGGCATAAAAGCCAATCGAGCCTCTAAAAAGTGGCAAATTACCCAAAATCAGCCAAGAAAACGGGGAAATTCCGAGAAATCTAACTGAACAACTCCTACTTTTAATGGCAAATAATTAAACTTTAGACCCTTATCTTAATTCTGTCAGAAGCTTTTAGCAGTATCATAATACTTTCTTAAGAAAATTTTCAAAAGTTTGGAGCCGTCTTCGCAAATTTCGCATTTTCGCTTGGTAAGCTTCCATTTTCCCTGATTTCGGAGTCACTTTTATTTTTTGAGGAGATTCTTAGCTTTACAATGGTGTTCAGCAGGCCCTAAGCTTTCATTTAAGCCCTTAATCGGCAAAATCGGGGACAAAAAATTTTCTCGGTCAAACCTTGGGCGCTAGTTTTTCACATAGATTTTCACCTTTAGAGTGGTTTTTGACGGTGATAACGTTAAGATAGATAGAGGGTCATAATAGAGTTTTTTGCTCCTCAGAACCTGAAGAATCCGATCCTGGGGTCAAAAAATGGTTTTAGGGGGTACCAAAACTCGACCTAGGTACCCTTAAGGGTAGGGATAATTTCACAAAAGGATCAAGAAGTCAAAGGTAGACAGCTAACCATAGAGGTCCACTTCACACACCCTTGCAGAACCTTCTCCTTATATCTTTTTTCTTGTTTGTGAGCTTAACGACCAATAAGCGGACAGGAAAACGCCTACGTTCATGATTTTCCCCGGTGGGCATTTGCCCAACTGCCCGATGGTGCCCAACTGCCCAGAAAATTCCCAAATGCCCGACTTTTCCAATGTTGCCCAGCCTATTTTCAGGCGTTGAGCCGACCAAATGCCCGCCCGAAAGGGTTTTTGCCCGAAAATTGCCCGATTTGCCCAAATGCCCAATGCCCAAATGGTCACCCCTGTCAACTGTGCTCATAAAAATGATCAAGGGCACCCCGTAATTATTCTTTCGATTGGGAGTTCAGGTAACAAATATAATTTATTGAATCAATGCTTCATTTTAACATGAGGTCGGGACGTCCGATTCAATGCCGTGGTAGAAGAAATTGCTCGCGACGGAAGTGCCTCCAATCAGCAAGTTCTTACCAGCACAGGCGTCGAAGGCCATCCGCAGAACATCAAGTACGCCATGGCATCAGAATATCGGAACTATGTGCGATTTAACATCTCCCTCCTCTAACTTTCCGTCCGCAAAACAGTCCAGTATTTTGATATCTGACTGTATGAAATAAAGATTGAAACCGCCAGACAAATGTCTCCCTCTTTATTCTGCAGATTTTTTTTATTCCTCAGAAATTGAAAGTAGCAAATTTCTAGCAACCTTTTCGTCGAAAGCCAAAATAATTTTTCATCAGCAAAATCAAATCAGAGCGGTCGTTTTCGTTCAATCTGCGGAAGCACCTGGCAGCACCATCAATCGGCGCCAGGCTTTGAATCAGTTCAAGTACAAGTGCGCCGAGAAATAAAAAAAAAGCCCCCGCGCCATAAAATATTCTGAGCGTTCGCATCCATTTCATGCTTTCAAATGCCTCTTTTGTTCGGTGAGCTTTAAGCTAATAGCCACTTGTCCACCTCGTTATGAGACAACCTGCCATGTCCTGTTGCCAAAATAACAGTCGCCTGGAATTTCGGGAATGGAATTTTCATTTACAATCAACGAAGAAAAAACCGCAAAGAAATCTGTTTTCACAGAGTCCAAAATCGCAATTTACCAGCTGAAAACAAGCCGTTTTAGTCTGATTTTCTCGAATAGTTAAGCTACTGACACCCTTATTTTATTTAACCAAAAGAAAGTTGAGACCCTAATTCACGTTTTAATCGATGAAAAAGCTTCGAATTCAAGAAATTTCTGAAGAAAAATTAGCTTGAAACTTCAAATTTCTTGATTTTCCCCCTAAATTGTTAATTAACCTATTGAATCCATAAAGCCAATCTTTTGGTTAAACCAATTTTTCTAATTTTTTCAAGGTTTTTTTCTAAGAAAAACGCTTGATTTATTGAAAAAATCGAATTGCGGTCTTCTCAAAAAATCGCTATCAGAAAAAAAGAAGAACGACCGTTTGGTAATTCGTTATCTCCCACCCATTTTCGCCAATCAAGGTTTCAGGGCGCGGCCGGTCGCCCTATCAGATCTGCTCTCACACTTGGCGGCGCTGAATCACCTCGATTTTGAATAAATATTTCACCGCGCTTTCGGGGAGGGCACAGTCCACTTTTTCCAAAAAAACACCCCAAAAAAGGAACTTTTTCAAAAAAAAGAGAAGAAAATTCGTCCAAAAAGAATTCACCGAAGCAATCACCATCATCCCTACAAAAACGAGAAAAAAGAGATGACGCTGAATTTATTGGAAAGAGAAAAAGTTTACAACGTCAGCGGAGGAAAAACGCCGAGCAGAAATGAACATGGAATTTTCAGCCGACTTTCGAAGGGATATCTTTCTTCGCGACTTAGGACACCGAAGTTCCAGAGAACGCCGAAAAATACAGAAAGATTCGTCATTTCAAGCCCCAAGGACTTCAACCATGTCACTCATGTCGACCCAAGGTGAGATTTTTTAAGAATAAAAGGTTTTTTTTTGCTCAAAATTCAAAGCAAAAATGGATAATTTTCAATAAAAAGCGAGTCCGAAAATGTCACGAATGACGACAATAACTGACAATTCTAGTTGAGGAAAGAATTTTGAAGGTTTTTGACTTTTTTCAAGAATAAAATGGCAAGAATTGATTTGATGAGACTTTTTTTAAATGTCACAAATGTCAGTATTTATTGTCAGTAGATCTAATTTTCGATTTTTTTGACATTTTCAGTAGTGTCTAAAGAGTCGTTATCTGCTTTTTATTATCACTACTGAAAATCAAAAATTAGATCTGCTGACAATAAATGCTGACATTTGTGACATTTTCAAAGATCATCAATTCTCGCCATTTTATTCTTCAAAACTCAATAATCTTCAAAAATCTTTCGTCAACGAAAATTTGCAGTTATTGTTGACATTTGTGACATTTTTTGAAAGTGACAATTTAAAGAAATCGTTCGAAAAACTCGAAAATCTTCAAATTTCTCCCCCCAACTACAGTGTCTATTAATTCCACAGCCAGTAACTTAGCAAACATTACTTTATTGTCTTGGAATTTTTCATAAGACGCGCGTTTTGAAATCCTACGTTACAAAGAACGTAAGTTGTTTTATTTGAACAAAGCAGACAAGACTGATTGAAATTCGTGTTTGAATTGACAATAGTCAGCTTCGCGTGTTCTTTTTTATTTTTGGGGAACTTTGGAGCTGGAAAAACAACAAAGAAACACGTGAACGACGTAAAAATAGAATTTTAAAGAACTTGGCTTTTCCGACTTCGAAAAAAGTTTAAGGGTATGCCCTTCAATAATTAAAATTTCTACCAGACCTTTCTTATCTTATTAACGTTGTGACACCCTTATTTTTTTTGTCAAAAAGCCATTTTTAAAACCTAAAAGCTTGATTTTCTGCATATAAAATAAGGGTGTCACTCTTTTATTTTTCGAAGAAAGAGCTTTTATAATTAAAATTTTTACCTCATAAAATTGTGAGTGACAGATGAGTTTCCTTGGATAAATTCTCATAAGCTACTCATTTCTCATTACTTTCCCGAAAAGCGTCAATTTACGCCACTTTTTAGTTTGAAAAGAATGATTTTGAAAATACTCAATATTTACTCAATTTTGAATTCAGAGACGTGAAGGGCAACTTTGGCAACAACAAGAGCATTTACGAGCAGCGACTTCCACGAGCAGAACGGCCTGGTTCTTTTTACATCAACATTCCGCCTGTTTCAAAGGAGCTTGCAGAAGAGTTCGAGAATTCTGGTAAGAAAGGGAGGGAGAGAGATTTTAATTGGATTTGGTTTTCATTTCACTTCGTCGTAAAATCACGTGATCAGCGGGTTTTAAATTTCAGAAAAGGGCAAAAACAGACCGATTTTGCTAAAAACCTGTTTAAAAACCTGAGTCAGGGTCCCGAAACAAAACCTAAGGACCCTGACTCAGGTTTTTAAACAGGTTTTCCAGCAAAATCCGTCTGTTTTTGGCCTTTTCTGAAATCAGAAACCAAAAATAATATTGAAATTTTATTATTATTAAATTTTATTGTTTTATTAAAATACTTTTTCTATAAAAAGAAGCCGATTTTGGGTCGGTTTCCAATGAAACAAATCTTGACCCAAAAACGTCAGCGATTTTTCATCCCCGATTTTTTTTGAAGATAAGTGCACTCGTCAAAAAAATAGGCCGCTTGATTTCAAATTTGTGATCTCTCAAAAGCGAAGAATCTTCGCAACCTGGCCAAGCGCAAACAAAATAGAACCTTTTTGTTCCGCTCAGATGCCTTTTCCAATATTTCAAGTTACTTCCAACTCTCTTTTTTTATCGAATCGGCGATCACGTGGCACAAAAACGCAAAAGGGCAGGGAGCAAGTCAAGGGGAAAGGTCAAGTGAGATTATGCTAATTTCAAATTTGTGCGTTTTTGAGCAGAACTGCTGGTTTTTCAAATTTCAAAAACAAGGAAGTAATAGAACATTCTTCAGAATTCCACCCTGGCCCCTTCGCTCGATCCCCATCGATCAATTTCCTGGACCAGCCAGTCCCCGTCCGTCAAAACCTCCTGGACAAATTCTCCGAGTCCAAAAAGTACTCCCAGTCGATGGACGATCTTTCCTTCTGGAGCTCTCCCCGCCGCGGCTCCCGGGGCTTGGAATCGCCTCTCGTCAAATCGACCAATTCGGGGATTGAAAGAAACAACGAAGAAACGGCTTCTCACGTGAGAAAAGTTCCAAAAGAAGAAGCTTCTCCGAACGACCAGAGAGAGGAAAATCGACTGTCGCTGCCGGAAGAACGAGTGGCAAGCCCAGCGTCGAGTTATCGCTCTTCCTTGTCTTCAAGAAGCCCGACTAGGACTACTCCCGTAAGTTACATTTTTACCAAGGAAGGAAAATCATCTTATGATTCCCTTGGTTCTGATTCGGCACTCAATTCAGAATTAATGGGCCTATTCACTAAATGGTCTATTCAGGAGAAACTCACTTCATCCGACAGAGCAACAAAAGCGCCCTCAATTGAGGACCTCTTGGCGAAATTCAAAACGAAGCCAGTGCGACAGCCGCACCGGTCAGCTGCTGCTTCCTCCGCCTTTTCCGCTTCCGCTTCGAGCAGGGGCTCCTGTGATTCGTTGAATGAGTCGTTGAGGGTAAGTCGAAAATAATTGATTCTTCTATGATTTCCAACCCTTTGAATGCAATTTTTTCAATCAAAAAACCCTCAATTTCCATTTCAACTTTATTTACCGTCAAATTTAACCCTCTACCTGAGCTCAAAAATGACGAATATTTTCAGTCGTATCCTGTGAGCAGCAGAATATCAGAAAACACGCCGCTTTCCCGCTCCTCTGTTGGCGACTCGGGCTCATCTTCTTTCATCTCGCCGACGAGTTGTTTCATTCCCCAAGCGCCGGCGCGGCGGACCGTCCTTTCCGAAGGTCCCAATCAATCTTCGCGACTGAACAACTCGGCCTACCAAATCGACGGAAATCACAATCTTCCAAATCGTCTCTCGGCGCCTGTCCCAAAACCGCGAAGCAAACCCGCCCCGCCGCCAATGCTCTCGATGAGTTTGAATCATTTGGACGACGATATCGAGCCTGATGTCGTCTGTAATTTATAACCAGTGACTTGAACTTGAGCATCAAAAAATACCTTCAAAGATAATCACAACTGTAAAATTTCATAATTCAACTTTTGTGCTAAAAATAACTAAAATTCATCATCAAGCCCAAATATAAAACTTTCTTTACTCAACTTACTGTACAATGCATAAAACAAGAATTTACTGTAATGCTAAATGAAAATTGCAGAGTTAATCTTATTTTGCTGGAATAAAATATTTCTTTCGACTTAAAAAAGCGTGTTTTTTTTTATTGAAAAAAAGGGGTTCACTTTCGCATGACATAAGGAAGAATCAGTTTTCGCCGACCATAGGCACGTGATGCTGCTCTTTTTGGGAAGGTCTCCCAGTCGTAGTCTTTTTTAAGTTGACAGACTTGATTTTTTGTGGAGATTAGGGGAAGTTTTTCCTCGATTTTCAGCTGGAAACCGCTTTTCTTTGAAAAATGAAAATAAGGGTGTCACAACGTTAACTCTTGAGGCAAAGTTTGCTTCAAAATCTTAAACAAGGACCCTTTGATTTGTCTGTAAGTATCAACTGTGCCTGTAAGTCCAGAAACAAGCAAAAACTGAACAAAGAAAAACTTCATCTTTCGTCGTTTTTTCCCTAAAAAAATTGATTCTCTTCTATGTCTTCAGAACTTTTCAAGACTCGAAAAGTTGAATAGTCGAAAATTATTCAGATAAGTATCAAGCCGCATCGCATCCACTTTTATATTTTAATTTATTTTCTTTGCTGGCCGCATTTAATTTTTGATCAGCTGCGGTTCGAGTTAGCTGAAATCGCGGTCGAACGAAATAACCGCTTATTCCGGCTTTTTGTTTTTGTTCAATTCAGGAAGTTTTCGCGATAAACCGACCTAGAAATCAAACTCACCTTTGACTTAACTTTCTCAGAAAACAATGGAAAAGAAGCGGGATGAGCTAGTTTAAATAGAGCTGCTGCAATTTGTTATTATCGAATTACTTTTATTAAAACTGATGAATTTCTTTGAAACCCAGACGAGCCGTAAAATCGTCGCTGAATTATTCAAAAAGAAGAGCTGACTTTGACTTCATCTTTATTCATTGCCTCTTTGAAAATGCAGCTGATTTTGCAAAGTTTCAGAAAAGTTCATTTTGATTTTTTTTCGTTGCCACAAATTATAAGCAAAATGTTAAAATTTTCAATTGGGTTTCGGCTCTACTAACAGGAAGCGATTTCAATAGCAATTCATGGTCTGCTTAATATCATATCAAAAAAAATCGAACAAGGAGACGGCTTATAGGGCAGTCGATAATTGATGGTTCTGCGCAGAGTTCTGCTCCCTTTTCAAGCATTTTTCTAGTTCTACGTCTTTTCTGAGTCGGTTCAAAGCCAGAGTCGTCGAAAATTTGCTCACCTGCGGAAAACTGTAATGTGTAAGATCTTTAATACAGTATGAAGAGTCTCTCTTAATAACATGTAAAATTATTTGTAATTTTTGAGTTTTGACCAAATGATTCGTTGATTTTATTTACAAATTTAATATTACTCAGGGATTTTTTGGAAAATTTTTTTTGAAGAAATAGTTGGAAAATCATTTTGTACAAAATTTTATTGATTAGGACGTTGATCATGCTTGGCGGTGCAGAAATTCGACGGCGATATCAACAGAATCGGGAAGTAATAATATTTATCATGTTCTCCAACAAACTCGACTGCAACAATATTGTCGCCGTCTTTAACATCAGTTGATCACTTTTTACTTCAAATAATCGAAAGCTTTCCGAAAGAAATTTCTTGAAAAACTGGTCAACCTTTCCTAGATTTACTCGTTGTATCATATTAGTTGATTCGTTGCTTTCTCCAGGGAATGAATATATAGCGTCGCCGACTTGAATTGCTGATCCAACGTAACAACGCTGAAAAATATAGATTTTTTAAAATAATTAATATAATCAAATTTTCAAAATACCCCGAAATGAACTTACTTGAAGCAAATTTCCCATTATTGTCCATTTTTCAAATTTATTCAAAACGAAAATCTCCTTGAGAATTTCTGAAATCTCTAAATCCAAACCTCCCAACGTAGCAATTGATCCCGACGGCAATTCAACAACAGAAAAACTCTCTATCCATCTTAAATCATGCTGAATAAAAAATTTGCAAAATAAAAAACCTTGGATGACGCGGCAGTTTTTCCCAGCCATTTTCAGTCAGGGTTTCCGTGTATCCTCTGTTCGAATTTGGATAAGGACTCATTCCGCCGACTGCTGTTGGCCGTCCTTTAAAATGAGCAAGTCCACCTTCCCAGTGCCCTTCTCTTGGTTCGAAAGCGAGTTCTACAACAGCGGTACCGTTAAAAATCTCGCACTTCTTGTCTGTTTTAGCATCAAAACAAACAAGAGCTGAAAATTGTAAAAATAATAATTTATTCTTGCGACGAACCTTTAGTTCCGTTTGAAATTGTGAGCGTCCTGCTTCCAGTGTAATATTTATTTTGAAGCCGAATCGGGAGAAGCCTTAATTCGCATTCAAAAAGAATAATAATCTAAAAAACAGTCAATAAGGAGTTTCAAAGAACAGCCTACTAGTTTTTGTCCCTGACGGCCGCCGAAAAAATGCAACTGGCCTTTCACAAGAGCAGCTTTAGATGTGTAGATTTTATTCTGAAGAATCTGTGGGACAATAATTTTTGTATTTTCGTTTTTAAAGCCATCTCCAAACAGAGCATAATGGCGTGGTAATTCAGCTGATTCAGATAAGATAACAAGAATCTGACTCGGTAGATTTTGATAGAAAAAAACATTCTTGATTTCGGTTTCGTCGTCGAATTTGAAAACTCTGATTCTCTTTTTTCCCAAGGTTTGAAGCTCGTTAATTTGCCTTGTTGCTATTTCCTCTCCCCTTTTCGTCACAACAAGGGAAAATAGTGAGTCGTCTTCGACTTTGAAAACGAATTCAAGAGATGTCCAATTCGTGCTTAACGGATCGTCCAATATGATCGATTCCTCGAAAAAGTCTGATAAGACCGCAATCGAGCTGTTTTCGTAAGTTTTAATTGCGAAGATTGATTTTTCATTATAAGATCGAAATTCAAGAATTTTTGCTGCTTTTGTGAGGAAAGATTTGGTCGTCTGAGAGTCAAGAATATTATTCGATTAGAAATTTTGCGACAGTACTGAAAATGGCACGAATGGCACGAAAACATGTCTTTTCATCGTGCCATTTTCAGTAAAATTCTAGAGACTTTTTTGTTATTGTTTTTCCACCCTTGAGTTTCCTACCATTAAACCCGCGGAGCGGGCGTTTATTACTTGAATATTCAAAGAAAAATTGATCATTTATGCTTAAATCACTATTATTTCGATTTTTTATCAATGACAATGGCATAATTGAGGAATTTCACTCAAATAAGAATCTTTTTGGACCTGAATTTGCGGTCAATTTAAAAAAGTTTCAAATTATTTTTTTTGTTTTTGATCATGTTTAATGAACTTTTCAAGTTGTTAAATAATTATCGTTTCAGCTAAATCCGTTAATTTCCCAGTTTAATTCATAATATTCCTCAAGGTTAATTCGCAAAAAAATGTGTCTCTGTTTTCGTGCCATTTTCAGTGAATTCGTGCCATTCGTGCCATTTGTGCCATTTTCAGTATTGACCAAATTTTGTTATCAGCGTTAAAATTTAGACTCTTTCCTTTATATCCAGAGTGAGTTTACGCGTTTCGTTAAAGTCCAACTCGAAAGAAGAAATATGGAATAGTGACTCATTGAAAGACGAAAAAGGGAAATCGGGCAGAATTGCCAGTGGATAGGGTGGAGACAAACTGCTTGCTTTTTGGGCTCCGTTTAGCGCTGTTAGCAGGGTTCTGTAATTTGAGCTCAAGCTCAAACTCATTTTGGCTAGACGCTCAAATTTTCTCAAATTGAGAACTCAAAGTGACTTGAGAAATCATTTTGAGAAGATTTGATAGTTTGCATGAGAGCAGGGAAAGTCCGTGAGTTTTCAAAACTGAAATTGAGCGAGCGCGCTGACCCTCTTCTCGCTCATTTTCACTCTCACTCTTTAGCTGGTTATATTTTTTCGATTGTCCTGATTTTTGTGCAAAAACTAGCCTTTATGCTCATTCATCTCGATTTCGTTAAATTTTCGTATCATGTCGCTACGCTGAGTTGTGGCGGAAACAAGGCTGAAAATTTCGGGAAAAAATCGCATTTATCCCTCCATAATCACATATATAAATGCTTCCGGGAAATATCAATAAGTAGACCCTAAGCAAAAAGGCACAGGCCTTTCAATGAGGGCAGTGTCGAAGTATCAATCCGAATATTTCGAGTAATTATGTACACTCGAAATCGAGCGTCAAGTTTTCACAACTCAGCGTAGCGACATGATATGAGAATTTTATGAAATCTAGATGTAATAGCATAAAAAGTTTAGTTAATGCGCAAAAAATCACGACAATCGAAAAAATTAAACCAGCTGAAGAGTGAGCGTGAAAATGAGCGAGAAGAGTGCCCAGCGTTGACTGGCTCAATTGATTGCTCACGCGAGCTCTCAACTCTGAGTTCTCAAAACTCAAATTAAAAGCTTGAGTTTTCAAGCTCTGTTTCCTTGAGTTTGCGCTTGAGCTCGAATTACCGAACCCTAGCTGTTAGTAACGACTTGCTACTAAAAGATTATGCTCGTTTGCTCAAGAGCCTCGCCTGATTGCGGAAAAGCAGTTTGTGTTTTGACAGCGTTTTTCGCAAAGTACGGAAAGACATCTAAGTGGAATTCGAAATACGGGTTGCTAGTCACTAGCATTTTGTTTTCAGCACTTTGTTGTCGGAAATCGAGCTCGATGCGATCTTTTTAGAGGATGAACTAATATCTAGAGACTAACGGGCAACAACTAATGGTAGTAGAGCATAAGATAATCTAAGTTAAATTACGACAATACTTATAATTAAGATCCTCTCCGAAGTCGAAAAAAATTTCAAAAGTTGTGTCAAATACAATATTCTGGAGGAAGATACGATCGTTGTTTATAAAC